TTCAAACCAAAGTATTTCAAGAGAGACAGCGCAACGGATGAGAGATAAACGGTATTGCCTGTGCGCTTCAATGGATCTCTCTTACTAGCAATAAAGGGAAAAGTGAGTAAATCGTTGTGCTATACATCCAAGGAAAGAGAAAGTGTTCATATAGATATATATATATATATATATATACAGCGGTAGAGGGTCACATAGAGAAAGGAGAGTTTGTTATGGACCGATGGCGTACCACCAGCGGCGTGAAGCAAAGTCATTTTTTGTTGTTGGTTGTTTTGTTATTTAACGAGACGGCGGAATGAGAGCAATGAAGCTCAGTACCGGAGATTGATTTGCGTACATATGCAAGTCGCTCATCTTTCTACACGTGGTTTTGCCTTTCGAACACCTCCCTCTGCTTCTGCGTCCTGAAGCAGGTGTGTGCGGTCTTAGCGACTCCACCAGATCCGCTGCGTATTTTGTAGCAACGGAATCGTTTACAACTATCTTCTCTCCTTTTTTATTATTATTATTGAGAGAACGTATCGATTCTCTCTGTACTCGTCCGAAAGATAGAAAGAGGAGAAAGAACAAAAAGCTGAATATGTGTACGAATACACTAAAGTAGCGGCCGTTCACCTTCCCCTCGTGGTCGGTGTGGCGTAAACGTGTGATAAGAAGCGTTGCCGACAACATACAGGCAACAATGAAGCCATGCAAAAGGCAATAATAGCAATAATAATAATAGTAGTGGATGTAGCCCCGCCAACGTCGCGGTAGCACTCAAACCGAAAAGGGAGAGGAAAGGCAAGAAGCAAGGCTGCCCAATATGTATATAAAGAGGAGAATAAAACACCTTAAAGGCGAAAAACGAGAAAACATTGTCCTTTCCTTTTACCCCACCTGGCATAGTGCCTTACTCCGCCTGCAGATGCAGTCCTTCGACCAGCTTGTCGGCGACGGCGAAAATGGCCGCCAACGTGGGACTCTCCTTCACCGCATTCGTCTCCACAAACTCGGCAAAGGAAACGCCGTCCTCGCACGCCTTCATCAGCAGCGGGTCCAGCGGCACTGCCCCCCACAGCGGGATGTCGAACTCCCGACTGAGTCGAATCCCTGCCCCCTCCTTCTGTCCTTCCTTGTTGGCTTCCTTTGGAAAAATCTCCGACTCGCGGTGGCAGCCAGGGCAAACAAAGCCGCTCATGTTCTCCACTAGCCCCAGCACGGGCAGCTTCGCCTTTTGACAGAAGTTGACTTCGCGGCGCACGTCCGCCTCGGCGACGCGCTGCGGCGTTGTCACGAGCACCGCCCCGTCCACTCCGCCCACCGTCTGCTGCAAGAGCGAATTTACGGTGATGTGCTCGTCGGATGTGCCGGGCGGGGTGTCGACGAGCAACACATCCAAGTCACCCCACATCACATCCTTCAGAAACATCTTAATCACGCCGTTCTTGCGTGGGCCGCGAAAGAGGACAGCTTCGTTTTTGTCAGACAGCAGGTAGTGCATCGACATCATCACCACGTTCTCATCGACCAGGACGGGCTCAATGCCGCCCGCGCTCTGATGCACGTCCTCACCACGCACGCCCGTCAGCCGCGGCAACGACGGGCCGCAGATATCCATATCCACCAGTCCCACCGTAAAGCCGCGCGCGCCGAGGGCAAAGGCGAGTTCCTTCGTCATGGTGCTCTTACCCACCCCGCCTTTCCCGCTGATCACCATGACTTTATGCTTCACTCCGGCAAGGCGTTCGCGAATGAGGGGGAGGTCTGGATCGGGTCCTTTCGGAGCGGAGGCGCAGATGGCAGCGTTGGGGCAGCCCTGGCAGGACGGCGCGATGCCCGCTTGCGCGCTCTCCGGACCGACGCACTCGGGGTTGGCGTTTTGCACAGCAGCCATATTTGTTGTGTCTGATCTTTTTTGTATTTCTTTCGTGGTTTTTAATTTATTTTGTTGCACGCAGCTGGTGTTATTGGCTGTGTCTTTTGCCTGATGAAAAGATTAGTTTGCGGATAATAAGGATAAATAATAGGAGGAGCAATATAGCAGAAACTTGAAAGGCAGCAAGCCGCCAGTTTCGTTCTTGTTTTTGTTTGTTTCCGCAGCTGGTAATCTCACGCACACAACTGTTCTCTCCTCTGGCAAAGATCAATGGGGAGGAGGGAGAGGGAGGGAAACAAAAAAACAAATTTGCAGAAAAGAAAAGCGACAATGCCTGGAAAGCGACATTAAAAGCCAAGTGCTACGGGTTGCTGTGCGCTACAAGAACTAGATTTCCACAAATGCAAACAGGTGTTCACAGAGTGCAACTGCAGCTCGCGCAGCTGAAACACGTTTATCATAAGGGAAACACAGAAAGAGATGTGCAGCTTCTTCCGTCACTCTTCTTCACACGTGCCGATAGACGAGGGCGCTCCCCAATTAAAAAAAAAAGGCAGTGGCTCTCTTCCAGCTTTTTCCCTCTTTACTGTTCGTTAGCTTTATTTCCTTCCCGTTCTTCGTATTTACGACACCACAAATGCCAGCCTCATATGGACGATCGTGCCGTGCGGAATGTTGTGCGAGAGGCAACAGTTAGACGCTGCTTACTTGCATGTTTTTTCCTCGTTTGTGATGCGAGTTAAGCAGAAGGTGAGCGAGCACGCAGAAAAATAAGAAGAAAGCCAAGACAGACATGATCCTGTCTTTCAAAGAGGAAAGGGGAAAGGCACAGAAAAGAGAGCAAATTCAAAAACGCGGCGGTTACTTCCACACGCGGGTGCGTCATCTTTCCCCGTCTTCACCCGCATTCCATAAGCTCATTTCCTTTTCCAATATAACGAGAAGACGGCGTAGGCGTCGACGAGGATGATGATGCACGCGCGCCCTCACGCGTTAAGGTGTAGGCCCTCGCACCTCTGCTGCTGCCGCCACGTAAAACTCTGTAAGAATACGGCGCAACAGATTCACGTCAAAGCTGGCGCCCTCGCCAAACGTGGTGTAGTCCGTCGTCTCCTGCAAATACGCCGTGATGTCCGCCGGGACGTGCCGCACCACGACGTCGCCCTCGCTGATCAGCTTCTTTAGATGATGAAACACATTCGCGCCCGCCGCATCCTTCAATTCGGGGGGGATGGTTTTGTAAATCACCTCCACGATGTCACGAATGTTCAGCTCGCCCACAATTTCGTTGCTCTCGGTGCGGTTGTGTTTGGTTGTGTGCGGCGCATTCGGCGCGGCACCCAGTGCGCGGTCCCGCAGCACCTGCAGCACCTGATGCTCCCGCAAGTTGCGGTGTCGAATTGTCTCCTCAATGCGGGCCGTCCCGTCCTCCGCCACCGGGCCGTGCGCCGAGTACAGCTTCGACGGCTGCAGGCTCTTCAGCAGCTTTAGCGACTGCATGTATTCCGTAAAGCTCGAGAAGACCGACGAGCCGGCGCCGAGGATCATGTCCCCGGTAAAGAGAGCCTTCTCTTCCTTGAGAAAGGCGCAGAAGTGGTCATCGGTGTGCCCGGGTGTGTGCAACAGCTGCAGCGTCGCACCCTCCACCGCGATCTCCGCCGGCGGCAGCGCACAAAGCGCGTCAAAGCGGGTCGATGTGTACTGCGATGGCCGCTTAAGCAGTCGCACCTGTGGAAAGAGTTTGCGAACTGTGTCGACGCCGCCGATGTGGTCCTCGTGCCAGTGCGTAAGCAGCAGAGTGGAGACGAGAACCGGACTGCCAAGCCGGGAAGACTCGTCTCCTACGGCTTTGAGGAGGAGGTCGCCGTAGGCCGGCACGCCCTCGCCGGAGTCGATCAGCACACGCTCAGTGCCCGTACCGATTAAATAGGTGTTGGATCCTTGCAGCGTAAAAGGGCCGGGGTTGAGGCCCATAATGCGGATTACGCGACTTGAGAGGACGGCGACGGACGGCATTACCGCGTCCGCAACCGAAGAAACAGTCTGCATTTCAGTAGAAAGTTTCAACTTGAAAGCGTACTAGTCTACAAGAAGCGCAGTAAAAGGAGCAGCAAGGGAAAAAAAAAGGGACGCTACATGTAATAAGCAATAATTTATTAATTTTTGGTAGTGTGGGAAGAGGGGGAGGGGGGAAGATAAGAAAAGGTAGTTGATAGAAGTGAGTAACGATTGTAGCTAAAGCAGTGAAGTACGTCCACGACAAACCGCGTGACTTTCGTTTTTTTACTTGCCACTGAGAGAATAAACGTGGAGAAGAAAATTAAACGCACGCTACTAAGAGAGAGAGAGAGAGAGAGACGAAGACCGGGTTTCTTTTGCCGCAGTTCGTATCTTTTCCCTCTCGATTGCTTACAGTATAATTGAAAAAAAAAAAAATAAGAAGAAGCAGAAGGAAAAAAGGGGGAACAAAGATACGAGCAAAGAAAAACACTGAGCGGCAGTGGATAAGTGGTTACTGCTGGTGTAATGAAGTGCTAGAATAGATGTGATCGAACTCGCGAAGGCGGTTGTGAAGGAAGGAAGAAAAGAAGAGCAGCAGAAGTGGATACTACAGAATAGCAGAGGAAAACAGCTCACGAGTTGTTGTTTTCAATTTGCGCGCAGATGGCAATTTGGCTGCATATGCCTTACTATTATTTCTATCAATGCGTCAACAATCCTCTCTCATTTTCCCAAAAATGACTTAAAAATTGCGTCTTGGTTTGAATACTTTTTCTATGAAATGTTCGTTGCAGCTTTCACACCCGTGAAAACAGCTATCTTTCAAAGCTCTATCGTTGTCTTCTCGCGAACTCTGTCGTTTTTTCGCCGCCCATCACCTCCTCCTCTTCTCTGCTTCGCTCTTTCTAAGACAACAGGACTGGCGTTGCTGCTGTTTACGAGGTCGTGGCTTCAGACTTCACCTCTACACCCTCTGCTGTGGTGCCGCTGACCGCGCCCTCCTGCGTCTCCCTCTGCAATCGCGGGTGCGGCCGAATATGAGGAACGTGCCGATCAATCTGCTCCATAATGACCTGATACGCGCGCTGGCAGTGCAGACCCGGCAGCGGGTGATTACTCCGATCCTGCGCCACCATCAGCAGCGGGGAATCTTGAAATAACCACCCGCTCAGCGGCATATCCGTCACCGGCAGCACGGTGTTGGGCTGCAGTGGGTGACCGGCTAAAATGCTCGTCTCGTACGCCCACAGCTTCGCCACATTGCGAATGTTGTAGCCTCCACCGCCGAGCACCAGCATCGGTATCTGCAGCTCCCGCACCGCCTGCACACACCGCCCATGGCCAAACGACGTCAAGTTTAATAAACCGAGACGGTCGCCCGCAAGTGAGTCGGCGCCGCACTGCAGCACGATGACATCGGGGTGGAAGCGCTCCGCAATGCAGCGCAGAGCGTGCTGGAAGATGTTGACGTAGAAAAAGTCCGTAATGCCGTCCCAGACCGCAATGTTCATGCTGAAGTACCGACCCGCCCCGTACCCAACGTCGCGTGGGTGTCCCGTGCCTGGAAAAAAGCTCTCGCCAAATTTGTGCAGGGACAGCGTAAAGACGCGGTCGCTCTGGCAAAACGCCTCGTCCACGCCGTCGCCGTGATGCATGTCGATGTCGATGTAGAGCACCCGGTCGTGACACTTTAAAAGCTCCAAAATCCCCAGCACAATATCGTTCACATAGCAAAATCCGGAGCACTCTCCGCACTTGGCGTGGTGCATGCCGCCGCCCCAGTGCACCGCGATGTCCACCGCACCGCTGTTCAGCAGCACCGCCCCCATGAGCGTCCCACTGGCTGTCGCGATGGAGTGCTCCATCAACCCCTCCACTGGAGGGCAGTCGCCCGAGAAGGCCGCCTTCGACGTCTCCGTGTTCCACAGCCAGCTGCGGCAGCTGTGCAGACCCATGTTTGCTAAATACGTGTCCGTATGGTACTCCATTAACTCCTCCACCTTCACGAGCGGCGGCACCACGGTGCGACAATGTGCGTCCATCTTTAACGCGCGCACAATTTCCATGGCCGCCAACACTCGGTAGGGCTTCATGGCGTGTTGAGGGACGAGGGCAGAAATGTTCATGTCGGAGGCGTAGCCAGAGGTGTCGATGAGGGCGACGCGGGTGTGACCTTCCGAATTGGCGAGGGGGGCGGCCTCTACGCAGTCAGCGGTGGAGGCAGGCATAATGAGAAAACCTTCTTCTTTTTGACTTTTTAATTCTGACATTGCAGCTCGCTGTGGAGTGTCCTAGGATTTGAAGAAAAGCGCCACAGTAGAAAGGAGAGGAAAAGACGTTCAAAAGAACTTGGGGAAGAGGAAGAAACGCCTCGAGCAGCGTGGGTGCGAAACCCCGCTGCGTGTCCATTTAAAACAAATAAAACGGTATGTTTCTTTGTTGTGAGGTGATACGGAGTGGAGTATAAGTCTTTACTTTTATTATTATTGAGTTGCAGCGCGGCATGTTACAACTTCTACTTCGAAAAATTCTATTCAATTGGTGATTCCTCGATAACTGTTCAAAACATGGAGAATGTGACGGAGGCGCAAAGCCTTCTTTGACAACCATTTGTGCGCTTGAGCAACGCACCAGCACCCGCAGCACAGGCCCTGAAAAAAGGGGGATAGAAAACCGATGAACGTGATCAAGGAGAAGAGCAGCGTCAATAACGACTTTCAACAGCCACAAAAGGAAGAACTCGCACAAAGAAAACTTGCTATTCTTTCCGGGTTCTTTGGAACCGAGGGGGGAAAATATATACACGGCATGCCGCGTACGTGCAATCATAAATGTACTCCAGTCGCGTTTATCACCCACCTTCCACCACCACCACCCCTCCAGCAGCTCAGACGACGGCGGCGCCCCTCCTCGCCTTTCCATTCAATACTTCCCTAGATCCCAGGTGTAACCGATGCTGCGAAAGGTCACGCGGCCTTCCCGCACTACAAGGTACTCATGCACTGGCTTTTGAAAAAACGAAGACAGCCACGGCCCGATAATGGGAGCACTAGTAATTCGCTTTCCATCCACGACGTGCACGAAGCCTTGCCGTACAAAGGTGTGCGAGGTCAGCGGCTGCAGTCCGGAGGTCCACGTAAGCCGCAGATGATCGTTTTCCTGCGCGCGAAGCGCCACAGCAGCCGGGAGACCCCGCACAACACCCCAGAAACTTCCGAAGAAAGCACGCGGGGTCATTAAGCTTAACATCTCACGTGTTTCGCCATCGTCCTCTGCCATAATAAACTGATCCGCTGCTTTTTTGTTTTTGCGCAACCAGCCGTCGGAGTCGTCAACAAAAAATTTCAGCTTCTGTCCGCTGTACGACATCGCTGTGCAGGGGCGATTGGCCACGAAGGAACTGTTGGAGATACAACTACGAGAAAACGAGAAGAATCGCTTTAGGAGCGGTAGCCTACGACTCAAATGAGAACAGATCTACCAAAAAAAAAAGGGAGAGACGAAACGCACTTTCAAAAGGTGCCACGAGGTAGAGGAAAAACTTGGGTTCTCAAAAACCACCTCTCAACTACTCTCAAGCAGATGCAGAAGGGAAAGGCGAAGCAAAATAACTCCGAAGACGTATTTGTTGTGCTCCCGTAGGATAGTACGAGTAGGTGCTTCAAAGATCTGCACCTCGCTGCGTGGTTGGAAGCTGTACTTCCTTAAATCTGCAGTAGTACTCTGAGAGTTCAAAGCCCTTGAAGCAAAAAATGACAGGACGTGATAAGAGAAAGGAGAGAGCGAAAGCGGTGAAAGGCAGAATAGAGAGGAAGATGAAGAGAAGAGCAGATGCGTAGTCGGTTTTGGTCCCACATCACGTTATCTCTCTTCTTCCTGTTTTTCGTTTACATCAAACGAGCAGGAAAAAATGATTCTTTGTAGTCCCTATGAAACGTGTTGTGTGCTTGACTTCTCTTGCCGGCTCAAATGTTTTCTTACTGCGACGGTGCAAGGCAAAGAAAAAAAAAGATTCAATGAGGTCCTCCGCTGTGTTTTCCTTCTGCTTCCACAGCCAACTGTGTGGTGTTTTTTTTTTGCTGTTTATGTAACGATCCCGGTTGCAGAACCTCGTTCACAATTCAATTGACAGCTCGTGCGGTAGGTTTACACGTTGCACTTTGCGTTGAGAGCGTTTCGTATTATTATTGTTATTGCCATCGAGCGCTGGGGAACGTCAGCGACGACAGTATTGATAAGGATGGCAACGGTACTTTATGAGCACAACCTACCCCCTCCCATCTCCATTTAGATGCAGAAGGTGCAATGCAACACGCTGCGCAAATAGGACAAAACAGGCAAAGAGAGACTTCACTCTTTCTTTCTTTCTTTCTTCATGGTGAAGGCAATCGATTCAAAAACACACAGAGAGAGAAAACATGAGTTGACAAGAGAACTGAAAAAAAGAGAGATTTCAGTCTGTGCGCCTCAAACAAGCGCACGAAAATTCAACCCCAGCAGCCGAAAACAGCACGTTAGCGTGCAATGAAAAGGAGAAGATGTTTTAATACAACGGCGAGTCACACCGCTAACATGAAAAGAACTGGAGAAAAAACACAAGAACACGGATCAACACAGAAAATGAGGTACAGAAGGGACAGTCAAAAGAATAAATCTAAAAATGGGGGAAAGAGCTACAGAAACTTACGTGAGTGTTATGGACAAGATGTGCACCTCTGCTCAAAGAAACACAACTACGTGTTTTGTGTGTACGCCTTTGCTGTCTTGAGAACCTTCGCATATACGCAGGAGAAAAACCTGATTTGCATGCCAGACAAACAAAAGCAAAACGAAAGGCGCGTGTTTGCGCATCACGAAGCATTCACCTTGTTCATTCTTTTCTAAATTCTACATTCGTAGAGTGCTTGTAAAGCGGTCTCAAAAAAAGGGGGAAAATTGGGAGAGCGCTACTCCATCAAAGCACACCAACAAAGAGAAAACCAGCAGGAGAAGAGAGAGAGCACGAAAGATAACATCCTATGAAAGACAAAGAAGAAACAAAATCACCCACAACGAGAAAGAAAAAGAAACGAGTTGACTCCTTACAATATAAGAAGATCATCTGTCTCGGACTAGCTTGATACAAAGCAAAACAACAACAAAACGCAGCTAACCACGGTGCGTTGCGGTGCGCTGAAAACAAAGGGGGAGGTCACTTTCCACTTCCGCTGTTGTTCCGTCATTCTCCCCTTTTCTTTTCATCTTCCAAGAAGAGTCGAAATAGAGCTGGCAAAGTCAGGAAGCCCACACATGACGTCTGTGCGTAACTGATTTCATTTCTATTCTCAGCCACCTCAATGATTATTAATTTTCTTTTTTAGATCACTTTCTGCCTGACGCGATGGCTGGTGGAAGCTGGCGTTGCACTGTTGCCGGGTTCTTCGACGCAGCCCCACCATGGTTGTTCAAATTGCTGTTATTGTCCTGGCTAGAAAAGGATTCATTCAACGAGCGCGCCGTAGAAGCCGTGTCGCGGTTCTTATGCGTCTTGGGCGAGCGGGTCCGCACGGGCCGCCGCTCCTCACGGTGGCCGCGCCGCCGCCCATTCGGGTCGTTCCTGCTTGACGGCGACTGCACAGGTGACAACATGCGACGACGGCTGCCACTCCGCGACTCGAAGCCGTTGACACTGCCGCCCTCGGCATTTTTCATCATCTGCGACGGCGACGACGTACGTGAGCTGGTGCGTGGGTTCGCGGAGAAGACCACGGCGTTTGGGTCGAGGGCGCGTGGGTTGACGGCTGAGCGAGACGGGGCGATGCCGCGGTAGGCGGCGGTGACCGGCCGGCCCATGACCACCTCGCGGGAGGGTGTGTTTGACGCGTGCGGGCTGCCCGTCCGCTGCGCCGCTGCACGCGAGGCGGTGGGACTACTGGTGGAGGTAGTGGCAGTAGTTGACGTCGTCGCATTGTTGGTTGTATAGGAATTGTTTGTTGACGCAGAGTGTTGGGCCGCTAAACGCACCGCCGCAGACGTGGCAGGCGGGGCAACAGGGGACGGGCCCGTGTTAACTGGCGGTCTCGCTGAGGGTGAAGAGGAGACCTTCATACGGCTCCCTTTTGCGGTGGTCGTTGCCGACTTCTCCTTCGGCATGGGCAGCGGGGAGCCGATGCGGTACTTGTGGCTCGATGCGAGGGTTGCGAAAGGCGAGCGCACTTGCGAAGGCGGTGCGAGACGGGAGTAGTCGATCGAGCGCGTCGATTCCTGCGAGGACTGCCGCGGCTGGGACAGGAAGGCGTCCGTCTCCACCTCCCGCGCTTTGGGCCGCTCCCGTTCATTGAGGTGCGAGGAGGAGGAATGCGAGCGCGACGCCGGCGCGTTCGAGTGCAGCGCGGGCGGCCGCTCTAGCTTCCCCGTCGTGGACGACGTCGCCGTCTCCATCGTGCCGCTGTGCACCACCACAAGCGTCTGCCGCCCTTTAGGACAAGACCGCGGGTCCGACTCGAGCCGGCGCTCGCACGGCGACGTGCTGCGGCTCAAGATGCTAGGCGAGCGGCGTGGCGTGCGCAGACTCGACGTGCCGCGGAGGCCGATGAAGCTGCTCGGGTCCGTTGATGCGGGGTCGGCGTGGAAAGGCGTCGTGGGGTTGACGACAGGGCAGGTCACCTTCGACTCCACATCCGTGTTTTTCTTTGTGTCCACAAAGGTAATCCGCGGCCGTGCCGTGGTCGTCTTGGTGTTCACCGGCGCGCCAACGTCCACCTTCTCCGTGCACTGCTTGTAAAGCGGGTTGGACATCTGGCTATCGTACAGCAAACCGTTGAGCAGTGTGTTGCGCAGCATCCACTGATCATTGTCGAGGCCAAAATGGCTGTCATCAACGTCCAGCGCGAAGATGTCGCGATCGGCGGCGTGGCGCTTCGCAAACTGCCGAAGCTGCCGCTGGAAGTGCGGCTTGATTTCTGCGTCTGGGTGGGCCATGTTGATGTACGCCAACGCGCTCTCTAGCTTCCAACCATACTTAATGATAAGGTAGGCTGCGATAAGAGCTGGGCTGCGGGACTTGCCGTACACGCTGTGCACCAGAACGCATTCCCCGACAGCCAGCGCCTCGTCAATGAAGTTGACGGCGCGAGTGATGTTGCCATCCGCCGCGTCGAAAAGGATGGTCGTGCACACCGATCCCGCGGCGTCCTTCCATGGAAAGGACAGGTAGCTGAAGCCGGGCTCGCCTGAAAAGAAGTCGCCGACTTCGGCTCCCGCGCAGTTGATGACGTGCGTGATCTTGTTCATGATCAGAAATGTTTTATCAGCGGCGGCACCCCTGTTTCCCGCAAAGATGCCGTCTTTCACGCGCACTGCTATGAGTTCATCCATCGTGCTCTACTGTTGCTGTTCCTAGTGTCGTGCAATTTATCTAAGTTTCCTAAAGCTGGAATAAAATGCGTATGATCTAAAGCAAAACAACGGGTACTCTATTCGTGCAGTGAGTACCGACCTTTTTTCTTTCCGCTGTCCTCTTTAGCACAACAGCGGAACTAAGAAGTGTGAATGACCTGACAGAAAAAAGAAAACGATGCGTGTTCAAAATATAATTTCCAACCTAATCAACTGCTCAGGTGAACATGCACCCAAATAGTAATAATAATCAGCGAAAAATACTAAGCTCTAAAAATGAGAATTGAACAAGAACAGGAAAACGCGGCAAAATAAAGTGAAGGTTTAGCTGGAGATCCTTGAATGGGTGATCGTTGTCGCAAAACGCGAGAGTTGATGGACAATAGTGCTGCTTGCGAAACGAAACCGAAACACTGCGCTAAATGGCTTTCGTTGAATCACACATCCGTACATACTTGCGCAACAACTAGCAGAGCCACAGCTGCGGTAAAATGAGTAGCTTTTCGAATCACGTTACGATACTCAAAATGAAGTCTTGCGCTGCTTCAGTCGTGGTTTGCAGCCCGCCCCATCGCGTGAGCGCTAACTCAAAGCGCGTAAAGGACCTTGCGTTCAGCGTTCCTTTTCTTCGTGTTACTTTTACATAAATTACTTAGCGCGTCTTAAAGAAAGACCTGATTAATCATTAAACAACTAACGGAACGAGAGAAAAAAAAAGGGAACGGTTTTAAGTGGCTAAGTTTTCCTTCTTTTTTGCTTGTTGGTTTGTATCGCTGCTGCCTGTTTGGATGTATTTCGCCCTCCTTCATCTGACGTAAATTAAAAAAGACACATATGCGCACTTTAAATGCTTGCTTTCTTCTTCTTAATGAGGCAGAGCAGCCATTTTTTTTTTTTTAAAGATTATTGTAATTGTTTACTAATGATGCATTGTTCACTTCACACCAAATCACCCTGCATCCCCTCAAAAGCCGGACATCCTTCAAAACATCACGTTAGAAGCAGTAAGATAATTGTTCAAAAAGGAGAAGAGCATCATGACGAAAGCCGATCGTGGAAAAGAAAAAAGAGCTGAGCACATAAGGAGATGAATCGGTTCGCAATCGAGAATGCAGATGTCTTCGCCGTACGCACACACACACACACACACAGATAGCAACACACGATTTCGCAAACCAATGGCGGAGCTGCACTCACTGTACCCTACTAATCACTTGTTCGTCATGATCAAATCGAACTCTCCGTTCTGTTTCTTCTTTGTTGCTTACTTTTTGTGGTTTTTCTTGCCCTTACCCTTCTTGCGCTCGTCCTCGTCCTCGTCAGAGTTCTCGGAGTCATTGCCGTGCTCCTGCGGCTTCTTCTTGTGGTTGTGGTTCGCCTTCTCCCCTGGTTCGTCGTCGCTGTCGTCCTTGTCACCCGCCTTCTTCGCCACCGGCTTCTTCTTCTTCGGGTCCTCGGCCTCCTCTGTCATGTAGAAATAGTTGCCGACTGCTTTCTGCTCGCGGTCCTTCACGGAGTCCAGCTTGTTGATGCGGGGACGGAAGTTGGTGGGATCGCGGCGGAAAGTGATGTTGAGGCTCTTCAGGAATTTGTTCATGCCCTCCAGCAGGCCGCACGGCGTCTTGGCTGTGCAGTTCACCGCCGGTGTGCCCTCGTACACGATGACCTTGTCGGCCAGGTAGGTGGCCATGATGAAATCGTGCTCGACGATGAAGGCGGTACGTTTGCTGTGAAGAATGAAGCGCTTGATGACGCGAGACGCAATGATACGCTGGTCGGAGTCCAGGTAGGCACTTGGCTCGTCGATCAGGTAGATGTTGGCCGGTGTACCGAGCGCAATACAGATACCCACACGCTGCAACTGACCACCAGACAGGTTCTGCACTTCCTGGTCTAGAAGCTCCTCGATCGTGAGGGGCTTCAGCACATCGCTCTGGAACTGCGGGTGACTGTACATGTCGTAGATCTTCGTCTGGAGGAGATCGCGCACGGTGCCTTGGAATTTGGGGGCAATCTTTTGCGGCTTGTAGCTGATCGACAGCTGCGGCACCTCAGCGCCGTTGTCGGGCTTGACGTGGCCGGCAAGCATGCGAATGAAAGTTGTCTTGCCACAACCGTTCTCGCCGAGCAGGACGACGATTTCGGAATCAGAAAAAGTACCCGCGTCGACGGAGAGGCTGAACGAGCCGAGGTTCTTCGTCATTGCCGGATACTCGTTCGTGGAGCGGCGTTTGCTGACGCCCTCCTCGATCTCGTCCGCGATGTGGAAGGTGAGGCTCTCGTCGCGGAAACGCAAGTTCTCCGTCGGCACGAAACCGTCTAGAAAGATGTTGATACCTTCACGCACACCGTAGGGCATGGTCACAACGCCGTAGATACCGGGGACGCCGTAAAGCACACACACAAAGTCAGACATGTAATCCACAACAGAGAGGTCATGCTCGACAACGATGACGTAGTTCGTCTCGGTCAGCATGGAGCGAATAACCTGGGCAGCCGTCAGACGCTGGCGCACATCCAAGTAACTAGAAGGTTCGTCAAACATGTACACCTGCGCATTCTGTACGCAGAGAGCGCCGATTGTGAAGCGCTGCAGCTCACCGCCAGACAGCTTGTCCAGTGTGCGGTGCGCGACATTCTTCAAATCCAACACCTCCATAAAATGTTCTTTCATTTGGCGTTCATCTGCCTTGGTCAGGAGTGCGTCCACCTCGCCGTTGTTCGTCTTCGGCACCTTATCAACGTACTGTGGTTTCAGGAGAACGCGCATCTTGTCGTCAAGCAAATGCTGGAAGTACGCTTGGTGTTCCGAACCACGGAAGTACTTGAGAATCTCATCCCACCCGGGTTCATCCTTGTAGCGTCCAAGGTTAGACTTGATGCGTCCCTTCAGGATAGAGAGCGCAGTCGACTTGCCCGTGCCGTTGGCACCTATCAGACCAAGCACCTGGCCAGGGCGAGGAAGAGGAAGGCGATGGAGCTTGAAGCTGTTCGGGCCGTAGCGGTGGATTGTATCTTTCTCTAAGTTAGACGGCAGATTGATGATGCGAATAGCGTCGTAAGGACATTTCTTCACACACAACGCGCAGCCGATGCAGAGTTCTTCCGAAATCTTCGAAATGGTGCTCTGGTGGTTCACCTCGATGCACAACTTGCCTTGCAGCACAACTGGACAGCATTTGTGGCACTCAAGGTTGCATTTGCGTGGCTTACACCGATCGGCGTTCACTACTGCAATTCGGGTGAGCTTCGACTGCTCCTCAGCCTGCCTCTTCGGTGGCATAATGTGCGCGAAGAAAAAGATCGGAGAAGGATACTCTTTTGCGTGGAAGAGAAAAATTCGGGTGAAAAAAAAAGAGCAAAGAACAGTAAATAAGAAGTACAGAGAAGTAAAACTTAGGAGACGCCGAACCGTTAAGCAACAATGCAAAGCGCAATGAGGCATTAAGGATTGCATTTAGAGCGCTTCAAAGAGCTCACATGGATATTCGTCCGAGCTCCGCTCTGTGATACACACGAAAAGGATACTTTTGATCGATTAGAGTGAAAATAAAGCAAAGAAAGAAAGCTGTGTTTCGGATTCAAGCGTAGTAACACAGAGATTGCTTGTGAAATACTTTTTAAAACACCTTTGTAGAACTCGGGCACGTACACCAATGCTGTCACAGGAAGGAAAAGAAAAGAGTTATGTACATAGCGATGCTCAGACGTAGATCGCAGCTAACACAAGAAAAGAAAAGACACAAAACAGGTTGACTGTTGCATGAAACTAGCAGAAAAAAAGACTAAGAAGGGTTTTTTTAAGTTATCTGTAGCACCTGCGGCTGCAACACGGTTTCCTCCGACGGCCAAAAATGCGTGTACTTCATATGTACTTTCTGTCGGCTGTGGTGGCAAGCAAATTATTGATGAAGCCTTTGTAGTTAACTCTACTTCTCTTCATGAAACCTGTTCTCTCTAATCGCAGGCGGAGTTCATCCAGTTCGCTCGCTGACAGCTTTTGTCCCTTTTCGCCCATCAAATAAAGAAAGACGCTTGAATCTACAAACCCAGAATCTTCTGGATCAAAAGGCGCGAATGCAGCGTAGAGCGCAGCCACGTTGTCATTGTTGGCGGCGACTCCAAACTCCGTATTTGAAGACAATTTCAATAGCAGTACCAGGAATTGCGCAAAAGTCACAGGCTCCTCTGGATCGAAGTGACACGCCGCGAGAAGGCGGTCGAAACCGACATCGCCAAGGTTGGGAACAATCGAGCAGAAGAGATTTCGTACTTCCGCCGAACTGACAGTGCCGCTGCCGCTCGAGTCCAGAATAAAAAAGGCTTCTTTCAACTCTGCTACGTTGTCATGAGAAAAGCGAGAGAAAACCGTGGAGAAATTGTCTGGCATCAGCCCGGTCTCTTTTGGAGGCATGATTGAGTAGCAACTATGCTGTAGGAAAGAAGAGACCAAGTAAAAGAGAGAGAACAGTACTATGCAAAGAAATCGATTGAAAGTCTTTCCAGAGCATACGTAGAAGCGCATTACTTTGATATTCCAGTTAGAGTGCGTGTTCACAAAAAAAAAACACCCTTTAGCACTCCTTTGCACAAATTCTCTTACTACACGCATTAGCTTAGCTTGGAAAAGCGGAAGCATCGAAACCCTCACGCCACTATCCATGATAGCAAACACGGCTATTAGCATCCGTTGCATTCGGCTTGCGTTGATTTTGTATAATAGCCATAGAAAAGAATTACTAAACTCAAAAGACGCTAACAAGATGCTTTTTTGTTTGAGGAAAAACCTGCAAAGAAACGATTTCACTTTTATTTTGCGTCATCAAACGGTGTGGAGCTGTGAGCCACACCGCTCTTCACCTCTAAGGCGCTGCTAAGATCGGACTGCTCCGCGCCACCCTGTGTGTGTCCGACAGGTGGTATGAACCCTGGCGCAGGTTGGTAGCTAGGCGCAAAAGCGTTGGTGGGTCCGGTGCCACGCATCGCTTGAAATAAGAGACCGGTAGATTGCAACTGTTCCACAAAGTCATCCACGCGCTGCAGAGAATCACCTGTTTGCCGTCTCATAGATTGCTGCAACGTGCGAGCAAGATTGGCTAGCTGAGTGCTTTCGTTGCTACGCAAGGAAGACACTAGCACGTTCAACACGTAATCAGGGCTGTATTTACGACCAGAGCAGAATTCCGATCTCTGCGACCGCACCCATTCAAAAAAGTTGACAAACGGGTTTGTTTGACGAACGACTTCAAAGTCCTTCCTCAGCTGGTCTTGTTCGTGCTGACTAAACTGAATAGCAAAAAGCAGATGTTTCGCTTGCATTTCCACGCTAGCAGTCCACAAAGGCATTTCTAGTCCGTTGACACCGCGGGTAAACTGGTTGAAGAGAATTTTTCCAGAAAAATATACCAATGCGCAGCCGGTGAGCAGCATAATCCAATCAACTCTACCTCTGTTTTGAAAGCGTTGCTCGCCAACGTATCCAGAGCCCTGAGATCCGGCGTCGCCAGTAGCCTGATGAACAGCAGTCTCGTTGATTCCCATTGTCGCAAAGTGACCATATTGATGATTTGTTATAGGAGGTATTTGCATGTGCCGGTACTTTTGTAGAATTTTCTGGCGGAGTTCCTCCTCACGCACACGTTCCTCCGTGTTTTGTTCCAGCAACAGGTTGCACGTTCTGGAAAGGAAGAATCGTCCATTTTGAATCGAGAACAATGACGATAATTTGACTCCACGAAGCATTTTATACGTTGTCTTGCTGCTTATAAGCTGTAGCGTTAGTCACATGGAAAAAAAAACTGTGTCACTTTGAGATCGTGTAGAGAACGCAGAGAAAAACACCAGGAAGATCGTTTGTTATGAACTTCAAAATGATACCCTGACTACACAACAACTCTCACATTGGCTATCACTAATAGCTCCTTCGTCCATATATATATCAAATTACGTTGCATAAATGGCTTCGAGAGGGATGTAGACAACACAAAATTCATCTCATTGTGTGCTTCTTCGTTTTCTTTTTGCTTCTGCTGCATCTATCGCGCAAAGAATATCAGTCTTGACCCATTGTTCTACCGCACGAACCTACCAAATCACCATCGAATGAGGATGCAGTTTTGTTTGCCTTTGAAAGGAAAAGCAAAGTTCCGATAGCTACAGCAATAGCACTCGCAGTCACGACACTCAGTATCGGAAATAGAAGGTCGCTGTCGGTGAGAGATTGATAGTCCATTTTCACTACCGATCACGAGAAAAAGAATGAAGGCGAATTGAGAGAAGAATTTGAAAATTTAAAAATAAAAAAGGTAACGACACCAAAAACGCATTGCCGCGCTCAGTGGCAGCTCTCCGCACATAGCTGTCTGCTTCCGAGTTACTTTTTTTTGCATTGCCAGCCATCAAAGAAAAACCTTCAATGCGACAAACGTAGGCGCAAAATACTGTTTTCATCTAACAAAACAAAGGCACTTTTCTTTTCCTTAACATCTGATTCGGCTTAGAATAATGCAACTAAACCATGGCTTCACCACAACTACCCAGCGCAAAATCACCTTGATAAAATAGAGTACAATCCCGTTCAGCACAAAGAGCTATCGCATCTTTAACTAACTTGCACAGCTTCCAAAAGCGTAGCACCAAGACAATCTGCCTCCTGGTCCTCTCGTTCATCTTCGCTCCCAACTGGTGGGCTGCTTCAGCGCCACTTTGCACCTCGAAACACTGGGGTCCACCAAGACGCGAGGGAGGAGGGTTGCCAATACAACGCGCTGTTAACACTTCAACCTTCTCGCTGCCATCATTCCTTCTGTCATCTTCCAATTCCAACGCTGCCGTTTGCCATCGCTGCCGTCCTCTCTTGGACCGCACCGAAATGTTGCTTCCCGGCACTAAAAAAGTGTGCCTGTAAAGACGTTGCATTTTTCAGTCGTTGTTGCAGGCAATATAAGAAGACGCACCAGCGCTTCCCCCTCCCAGGCCCACCACCTTGTCTAGTGATTCCCATCGTCCTCCCAACTTAGTCGATAGCGGGCGCCAATGCCGTGTGGCCCCCGCAACCCCACGATCGAACTGGCGGCCGTTTGTACGCAGCCAACACTCTCCGGTACAGGACGCGCCTCAGAGTGGCGATGACGGTATGCTCGCCCACAACAAGGTTGACGCCTGGGGTGTGCCACACTCTCAAACGCGTAAACTGCAGGATAAGGAGGACAAGACCAGATTGACAATAGAGAGACTCTCGTCATGGCAAGGCGTCTGCGTTCCGGTATTGCCGCCTGAACTGGAGAGAGAGAGGGGCAGGGGACAAAGATCTGTTCTATGTGCTCGCGGCGCCTGCTTCCTTGGCTTCTTCCCGACTTCAACATATCCGTCGCAACTACATTGTTCATTTCCAGTGGCGAGACTTGCTACCACCAGGCACGCAATTAGGGCCGACTTGGGGTGCAAGAACAGAATTCAAGACACAGGTGATCCGTAGAAACAAAGAAGAAAAGAGAAGGTCACAAGCGCCGCGATCACACTCGTTCGAACAAGCGCTGTGCCTCTAGAGAAAACCAGGAAGATGAACACTGAGAAGCAAAAAGTATGAGAACGTCGCCGCCTTTATCTTAAAAATACATCCTATCCTTTCCCACCCGGCGAACACGGAGAACAAAATGCAGGAAAGAGAGATGAAATGATGAAAAGAGTTTCTTTCCGAGATTCACAGCTCGTTCTAGGGAAGCATTGATTTTTTTCGAGAGCTTCTCCATGCGAAGTTCAATGTCATTGACCCCTTTTTCGACACGGCTCTCTTCTTGATAGCGGCTAAGGCCGTCTTGTTGTCGATCTGTATCCGAAGGCTCGACTCCCCGGGAGCCCATCGCCGCAAAAGTTCCACCGCCAAAACCACGGTGTTCGCTTCCAGCGTGTTTGTGTGGCGCCGCTCTGCTGCGGACCAAGATTTACTAGTGCTCATGATCTCTTGGGACTCGTCCCAGATCAAGACCGCTCCTCAACCAACCCCAGAGACATCGGTGTAGAGGATCACTGTCGGCGCTCTCGTTGCCACGGCCGGTGCTATCGCTCGTGGGCAGTTCTTCTGAGCCAGGTCGTACCACTATTTAAGTTGTGCATGCGCCGTTGGGCGTGTGCAGGCCGGCTCCTTCACCAGGAGAGGTGTCCGGCTGAGCTGAGATAGCCTTCACCTGATGAACTTCAACACCCAATGGAGCAGTGCGATGCGGATATGTAGGAATGACGAGCAGCGGAGGAGCTGAGCGTACAGCCGCTCTAAGTCGCGGCACGTCATGCTTGGCGTCGGACCAGCAATCTTCTTTTTCGGGTGATCTGGTAAGCCCATTTTGTGAGCTGCGTGATAGAAATATAACCCCTATTCAGTCGGAGACTTCTCTCGTGTACCTCTCATTCGTGTTAAGAGAGACTGGACACTCTTTTGCGGCGGTCAACATCCTCCTGAACGCCGGTTGTGGAGTTCTACTTGTGCCTGCGTACTGTATGCTGTCATTTCAAACGTCGGCTACGGTCAGGGCTGGGGCGTTCATGGCAAACCCTTTTCCCGCGTTCTTTGAATGGCCGCCACGGTGGAGGTGTGGATTTGCATGATTTCCGGTGGGACCGAGTCTTCCATCAAAAAACGTGTCAAGCACCACTGTGTGCCGCCTATTCGGATCTGCGAAGACGAAGCGTTGTTGCATGCTTTCAGGGTGCTCGACCTGGAAGAGGCTGGACATCAGGTCATGTACGCTACCCCTCTCGGCGTTTACTGCGTCGAGATGAATAGAAACGTGTAGGAGTGGCGCATCTGGACGGTAGCCTTGTGCATCTGAATGGCCGTTGCTCTCCCTCCCGGCCACGTGATAAAGTGTCTTCGCACGGTGTTGTGCTTGGTCCCCGTGACCGTAAACAGCATAGTACTTTGGGCAGCGTGCTGCCACTTTCCTCGATCCGCTGCTGTGACTGAGTGCGTGCTGTGAACTTGTCGTAGTTTTTTGGTCGTATACGGTTGTATCATGTCGTTCTCGGAAAGTGTTGGAGCAATTTGGGAGTACTTGTTTTGGGATTGGTGCTCCTTGGTGTCAGAAACTGGTGCTTCTTGTGTGCTTTGGCTGTGTGCACAGCAGTTTGCTACGAGGAAGTCAAAGAGATAGTCCACACGCTGGCGGATCTCTGGTTGAGTGCATCATCCACTCCTCTGAGAACTGAGAGGCGCAACTTCCGACGTGCAACGGATGTTTGAAGTCTTCTTACGTGATGGCTGCTTTCTGCGGTTCGCGTGCGCCTCGACAGAGGTAGCCACCGCGACCTGCGATCCTTCTTTTGTGCATCATTCCCGCGCAGAGATGATAGAATATGTCTGCAAGCTGATAAGGCTGGTGTCGACTGTGTTGCGCCGTGGCTGGCCATGCGGTGTTGCCGCTGTCATTTTTTGCCTTGCCGTTGCCGTGACGCCTGACTCTGTGTTGTTGCTGGCCTTCATTTGCGTGACTGTGCTCGCAACCCGGTGGTGTGCGTCCTGCGGCGATGTTCTGTTGGCGTCGGTCTTGTGGGGCGGGGTCTGGTTGGGGTCCGGCGGCTTTCCCGGGGGCCGCCGCGCAAACACCGGCGCCCGAAAGAACCGCCCCCCCCCCCCGCACCGGGAGAAACCAGGGGCGCGAGACACAGCTGCGTCTTGCCGGGGAAAGGGGCGTGGCGGAAGTTTCGGCCGAACGTTGTTTATGTAGGTTCCCAAGCAGCTCACTTGAAAAGGCAGAAGTAACAAAAACGCAACTTAGCTCCGTGGCACTCAAAGACGAAAGTTGCGGCCGAAGAGACGGTTGGACGTGGATGTATAAGCGAACCAAAGGAGTCTCCAAGGAGCGATGAGTGGTGAAGAAGATGCTCATTTTTGTGTCCAGGTTGCTTACTCGCAATTTGAGACACGACAGACAATTTAATCTCAATCTCCACTCTAAGCATCTTTCGCGTTATGTTTTCCACGGAGGTCGGGAAGCGATAAATGAAGATAACGATATTTTAGAACCCTAAATGCGCAATCGACGTCTTGATGCGCACACAACACGATATGAACAATAAACCACCACACTCACGAATTGAGTGATAAGAAAAAAAACATGAAATCTGCCTTTTCTGCGGCGAGTGTTTTTTGATTCGGGTGACAGCTGTTTGTTCAACTGCCAGCTTAAACGTTCTTGGTAACAGTTTTCTTCGAAAGTGTGTTGTATTTCTAAAATTTACTTCATCCATGGGTGCCTTTTTTCCTTTCCAATTGCCTACCATTAAATTCACCCTATATTGCGATGGCGAGAAAGGAATGAAAAGACGAACACCAAATGCATGATATACATGCTTGCGCCATAAGTGATGTTTCCTACATATTTGACCAGAGTCGAGAAGCACTTCCGAATAGATCCTGATGACTTACCGTATAACATTGCTGACGAAATTGAGCAGGCAAAGACATCTGCAGATGTTAGGACTCTTGTTCCGTTAACACGAGAGGGAATACAATATCTCTCTCGGCGCTTCCCACCTGTGCGAAACGCCGCGGATCTTGACGAACTCCCCCAAAAACTGAAAGGAGGCGACGAATTTGGGTTCTCGCCCCTTTTCGATCCCGCTCTTGTTGATGCATGTTGTCAGCGAGGAGTTTTTCCTTTGACCCAAAGCGTAGGAAGAGGGTTTTTCATTTTTGCGCCGAAAGTTCACAACGTGAGAGCAGTCTGTGCACTTGTGACGAGCCCGTGCGAACGAAACGCCATCAGAGGTTTTCCATTCAGCGACGACAATGAAGGAATTTTTAGTCGCAACTGTGTTGGACTTTCCCGAAAGCTATTGAAAGACCCGGAAGAGTCGACAAGACGACCGTGCTTCGAGGTTTTTGTGAACCGAAAAGAGGACTTATTCGACATTTTCACGTTAATACGGAAGCAACATGGGGAAAACTGGCTCTGCAAACCACTGCGTTTGTGTCTGTTTCACATGTTTTTTAATCCTGAAAAATATAGCACAAAAATTGTAATTACTGCTATTCGACGGAAAAAGTACGATGATAGGCCCGCAATTCAAGGTACTCAGGAAGTTATGGAAGGCGAACTTGTTGCGGGTGAGGTGGGGTTTCTCGTTGGCGACATTTACTCTTCTGCTAGCGGCGCGTATTGCGTAAACGGAGGCGGTGCACTACAGCTGTGCTTGACGGGATTGTGCATGCACGCAGCCGGTTGCCGTGTGTGGGATCTTGGAATGATGATGGTCTACAAAACGGCACTTAATTGTTTCGAAATGCCACGAATGAAATGGTTGAAACTTGCTGCTGCACGCTGCTCTAACTCAAATACGAGCATTCTAAAATATCTAGAAGATTTAGAATCCGGGAGAAGTGTAAACTTCTTATTGCAAACCTCGTCTTTTACTCATAACGCCAGTCCAAACAGCAAAGCTCAGCAAAAAAAGCGCCTGAAAGCAGAAGCACTTGCTAAAAGAAAAGCTGAGAAAGAATCAAGAAAGTAATAACTCTCTGTTTTTTGAGTCTACCGTCGGCGGATAGATCCTGGTTAAATTTTCGGAGCTTTCTCTCTCTGAATGTGGTTTGCTCAACGGCTTTCTTTTGCTTTTTAAATGTCGGGAATACCTCTGAGAGCGCAGTTTCTTACACCTTACCTTTGAAACGACTGTTTCTCTTCTGTGCTTTCCGCAACCTGCGTCATAGAGGTGGCTATTGTTATTCTTTCGGCTTTTATTGTGCACTTCGATACGTGATAACTTATGTCGTCAGAGTTACCGAACATACAGAGCGTTTCAAAATAATAATAATAATAATAATGCTAATAGTAACTGAAAATCCAATAATGAGAAATCACGCAGTCATTCTTGATTCGATGAATTGATGCAGAGTGAATTCTGTTTTTCGTGCACCGTGTACGTGTCGAGTGGATGCAGAAGGAAAAAGGAAGCATCACTCCCACACGAAAAACAGTCAATTATTGTTAATCCAGACCAGCCTAGAAAGGCTTTCCGTTTTAACAATCTTTATTCCTTTCCTTTCCTTTCTTCCTACTGCTGTTAACTATGCCATTCTTTAATTTCTTTTTGGCACTTTTTTTTGTCTTTGGTTGTAATAATCCTACTCCCGCTAAACGCTGCTATTGTTTTCATTTTCAACAATTATTCACATCTTTGAATGATACCATTTAGGTGACTATAATGTCCGCTCCTACTCCCCGCACCGGCATCATTGCCGGCTTCAACAAGGGTCACGTGACGACCCGCCGCGCGCGCCAGCCGTCAACGAACGATCGCTATGCCGTCCCCCACAAGCGCCTGCGCGCTGTCAAGGCCATCATTGCCGATTTGGTCGGTCTCTCCCCCTTAGAAAAGCGCGTTCAGGAGTTCCTGCGCGTCGGCAAGGAGAAACGTGCGTTGAAATACTGCAAGAAGCGCCTGGGTGACTTCACGGCAGCCAAGAAGAAGCGCTCGAAGATGGAGGAGGCGCTCCGTCACGCGACGAAGAAGCACCACTGAGCAAAAAGAAGGACGTCGCCATTTATTGTTTTCATTAGTTTTGTTTTTTATCAACAACCACAAAAGACGACACAATAATAGTAATACTAATAAAAACGCTGGGTTCGCATCAAGCTCCGAAGAGAAGCTGGTCGGATGGCTTTCAGGTGAAAATGGTTTCTTCAAAGGTTTAACGAGGTCGCTAATTGTAGACCCATGCCACTCGATCAGTTGATAATATAGATGTGCACCTCATCGTCGTCTCTCTTTTCTACCTCTCTTTCTTTTTTGTCCTTCTTTCCAGGTTCAGGTCTCGATTTGCCTAAACTGCTCACATAGAGATGCAAAAGGGAGAGAGCAACTTAGTGGACCGTGACTCCATGACGGAGTCACAGAAGTGGTCATACATTACCGACAACACGTTGAAAATGATGAGTTTTGGTTTTCTGTGCGGCGGCGCAATTTCAATGGTTGTATTTCGCTCTGTAACGTCGCGTGCGGCGATTACTGCTTTTGGTACCGGATGCGGAATCGGAAAAGCTTACGTTGACACCAAGTATGTTTTAGGTCATGACGTCGCCGCCGAGACTGTTTGGTCTGCTCAGGTTGCACCAGGTAACGAGAATCCGTAAGAGTCTAATGCGTTTGTTGTGTTCTGTGTCTGTTTTACACATTATCTGTAGTTCTAGCATTCAAAAGAAAAAAGAGGGAATATTAATGTGTAGCTAAATTGGTCAAACTGTGAAAGCTTTCAGCGGCTTTAAACACGTTCGAGTCGAATATGTTCCTAGGTTTTTTATAATGGAAACGTAATGTGTGCGCCGAAGAATCAAGAGCAGCTGACCGCACAAACAAGGAAACAACAGTGTCATGTGTGCGATCTTGATCAACGGGTTTTTCTGAATCTGTTCTCCCTGTCTTTTTCTCACGCTCCTTTTTTTCTTAATCCAAACTCGACAATTTAATGTTCCACTTTTCTCTCATCGGATAGCTTCCATTTGTGTTCATTTTCTCTCTTAACCTTCACTACTTATCCAAAAATGATGCGCCGTGTTCTCGCTCAGCCCGCCGCCCGCCGTGTGGCCGCCGCCTCCAGTGCGCTGGTCGTGTGCCCCCGCAAGGCCTCCACCGTGGCCATCTCCGTTCAGGGCCTGCACTACGTCGGCACCGGCCTGGCCGCCATCGCCCTGGCTGGTGTGGGTATGGGTATTGGTACGATCTTCGGCTCCCTGCTGATCGCCTGCGCTCGCCAGCCGAACCTGACGAAGATGCTCTTCAACTACGCCATTCTTGGCTTTGCCCTGACGGAGGCCATCGGGCTGTTCGCTCTGATGCTTGCCTTCCTGATGCTCTTCTCGTAAAGAGGCTGATGTGGACATGTTGAAAGAAGAAAACTGCCGTTTCTGTTTCCTTACCGCCTGGCTTTAGAGGTACTTTTCTTTCTTCTTTCTTTTTACTTTTCTTTTTTTACATTTAACAAGTGACGGTTATTAAAAAGTCTAATTCTGTAGGTACTATTAGTTAGCGGACACACACAAAAAATAATAGTGAAATGTATCTGAAATAAAAACGTTGTGCCGGTCCTCTTCCTTGCCGCGTGCAGTCCGGTTTATCGATTGTGGAAGTGATAATTCACGAATTGCTGCTTTCCTTGCCGGTTCTCAATAGTAACACGAGTACTTTGAGTATATGTTGTTTTCTTCTCAGACCGGAGAGAGAAAGGAAAAGAAACAGCTCTAGAGGAAATATGTTGCCACCGAGTTGATCTGATGCACGAATCCAAAACGCCATCTCTCGAAGAGAAATCGGCAACAATAAAGTAATTTATTTGAGCCCGAAGACTGACTTGCTTTTCTTTTCTCTTATGATTGTGTTCTCTTTTTCCGAAAAATCATAGTCTAAAAATTGGTTTGCTGATTGGAACCATTGTCTCTGCGGACCTAAAAAAGAAGACCAAAATGTCACACCTCTCAATCTCCAAAGATGGTAAGCTTGGCTGTGGCAGCTGCTTCACAAGCTGCCAAGGAAACTGCGTCCCAGGGACCATAAATTTATTTAACGGAGTCGGGGAAAGGGCCATCGTTCACCCTGATCATGTAGCCTTTTCTTCTTTTGGCGTCGCGCGCTCTACTCGCCTCGGTGCTGAATCCGTGTACAATCCTGGTGATCATGTGGCGATGGTTTATAATGACGCCAACACCTCTTTTTCCACAGTGATCGTTCGCTGTGATACTTGGGCGGTGCAGTGGGGCGTCGAAAGATCTGCCTGTCTTGCCGACGCACGAGTAGTACATTTGGTAAACCTGTGCGCCAACACAGTTTGCGGCATTGCGACATCCAAAAGTACGACGACACCCCCCGGAGAGCAACGCGTTTTCATCGCCACTCGTTTCGATGTTCCGTCGACCAGCCGGAAAGCAAATAAAGAATGGAGACACTTTCTTGCCGCCCCTAGAATTGTTGTTACCGGCTTCGAAAACGAGGGCATTGTGCGTGTTGTAGCATACGACAGGAATAGCTTTCTACTGCTCACGTTGAAAGGCTCACTTGCGCTTGTGCGGCTCAACGTTGATGTGCTGAAATCAAAGCAGAAAACGGATGTTGGTCTTTTCGAGGCGAGGCTCGTGGGCAGTAAACTGCGCGGTGTCTCGGCGGAGTCACGGCTTGTCGTGTATGCGGACGACGACGCGGACCGTGCGTACGCGGCGATCTATTCGCTGGGCGGCAGCGAGGTGCAACTCATTCAATTTTCAAGAAACATAAGTGAATCAGTGGACGCCCCAGAGCTGGCGGTGGTTACTGAGATGACCACAGGCGTCCCGGTTGATACACTGGCTTTCGCCGGACCGTTCCACCTCTGCTTCTGCTCTAATCGTGCGCAGCAAAATGTTCAGTTTTGCGGCTTAGTTCCCGGCGCAGCAGCCTTGGAGACGATGATGTTTGACCCGTTAACCGCTCCCTACGAGCCTCTTGGAGTTTTCTACAACGACGCCGACGAGCGCGTCGTGCTTCTTTCCTCCTCGCTGGGCTGCACTACGTTTGCCGCTGCAAGCGATGTGCAAAAAGTGAGTTCCATCATCGAGACGTCGCTTGATTTCTCCGCTGGTCCGTTTGGACAGGACACCTTAAAAACTGTTTCGTGGAGTTCCGTTGCAAACCCGTTTCGCCATCACGGTCCGCGAACGAGCCGCTTCGCCGGGAAAGACAGCGATCAAGAGGACGACGGGGACGTGCAGGTGCTCGAGGAAGCCACCGCGCACAATGCGGGGCGGTGGACACCGTTGACGCTTTGTTACGCCCTCGCCTCCAACAATACGCCTCGCGGAACCGACGTCGCCATCTTCAGTGTGGAGACGGCGCCATTTCTGCATACGCGCCTCATCAAGCAGTGGCACAACGCGACAGCCGGTCTGAAGCAAGTTTTGGGTGCAGTCTCCACCCGATCGTACACTGCCGTTGCGCTTCCCTGGAATCCTCGCCACATTCGTCGCGCGTTGCGGCTCCTCAGTCAAGGGGAACTTTCCGCACTTCTCCATGGCATTGCCGTCGCCATCTCGGCCAGCGAGCGTATGTCTTCATCCGTGGCATATGCTGATGCCACCACGGCTGCAGTGGGGATGGCGTTGCACGTGATCACACTTGCTCGGCAAATGGGAGCCGCTCTTCAGCCGGACGATGTGAAGACTGTTGCAACCATGCTGCGAGCGTGTAGAGAGTGCGGCCACGAGCTCCTGCGGTACGCAAGCCGCATGGAGCTATTGATGGAGAGCTGTTTGCAACAAAAGGCCATGAGCCGCATACTGCGGCGCCGCCCTGCTTCCACACAGGGTGGTGACTACGATACTGCAACGCAGGACTTGGAGAGAAACTTTTACGGCATCTCGGCGGAGCTACAGACGGAGCGTACGCTGCACACGCGATACACCTTCAACACCTGGGCGCAGCACTTGGCGTCACACGAGTCGTCTCACCGCAGCGCAGGTGCGGGAGCGTTGCGATTCCTGTCGCTTGTGAAGCGCGGCAATGAGAGCGCTGGGGATCGCGCACTGAGCGACTGGAGACGACTGGGAACGGCTCCGCATCAAGACCCTGTCCTCGACACGTTTGAGCAAACCCTGTTGTAGGAGAGTTTTGTTGTCACTGCTTGTAGTTGTGCTTTTCACAAAAAAAGGGGACAAAGGAAGAGCCCGATGAGTTCGTTGGAGGTGTTGGTTGCCGCGAAGGTGTGCCAGCACAGACACACGACACAGGTTCGTTGTTGCTTGCAGTAGTAATATCCACTGAACGAACAGTAGGAGAGCTTTTTTTTCTTAGCACTTCAAACGGATTGATTACATTTCCTTCTTGTTGTGAAGGACAACTTTTCGGGAATAAATAATGCGATACGCGTAACTAATTTAAAGCAAAACCGAACACTAGTGGTTAAAACGAAAAGGAGCGTTCTCGAGGCTCTTGCTAAATTTGCGTTTTTTTTTGGGAGACACGGAAGGCGAATAGGAGTTGTTGTAGATGAAGACAGAGAGGGAATGAAAAATTTGTGATTTCCTTGTTTCCATATCGTTCTCTGCGGGAAAATAGAACTGACGTGTCATCTCGTCTACGCAAAACCCAAGTCAGTTTTTCTTGGAGTGGAGGGCTTATGCGTTCTCAAACGACGTGACGACTGTTCTTCATTGTGGCTGCCTTCTGTGCTGCTGCTTGGTACAAAGAAAAAAGGGAAGGAGAAAAGAATAACCGTTTGGAACTCGAGTGTCTTTTCGGTGGCTCTCTTACGAACTCATATGCTTTTCTCTCTTCCTTTCCTTTTGTGTCGCACCTCTTCGCTTTCTGCAACAAAATACGAAAAAGAAGAAAACTCTGTTCTGAAGAAAAGCGCTTTTGCAGGCCCACGAACGCATACATACATTCTCTGTCACGTAGTGTGCGTTGTCTTTCGAACCTTCTTTTCTTTCTGGTACGGCTATTATCTACACACACACAAAACTTTTTTTCTACCCACACACGCTCACGACATCATGGCGGATAACGAGTGGAAAGGTGCGAGTTTCAAGCAGGAGGAGGACCACTCTGCGGAGGCAACGAAGTTGCTGGACCGGGTCAATGCAACGACAATTCCGGTCCTCCTCCGCAGCAGCAACGCCAAGCTAAACGACATCGTGGCGGAGCTGCTTGCGTTGGAGAAGGTCGCCCGCCTCGGCGGTGACGTCGCGTCAACGAAGCGGCTCGCTGTGGAGGTGATTCGGATTTATCGCACGCAGAATGATTTGGAGCAGATGATGGAGACGCTCGACGTCTTGATGAAAAAGCGCGGCCAGACGAAGCAGACCCAGAGCGCCATGATCGCGGAGTGCGCCATTGTACTCACGGACGGCTCTCTCTCGAAAGAGAAGCAGGAGGGGGTGCTGGAGCGCCTGGCCTACGTGACGGAGAACAAGATTCACGTGGAGCTCGAGCATGCTCGCTTCACGATTGAGCTGGCGACGCTCCACGAGGCGGCTGGCCGAAAGCGCTCCGCGTGCGATATGCTGCGCACGCTGCACATTGAAACCATCACGAACATGCCTCGCCTCGAGAAGCTTGAGGCGTTGAACCAGCAAATTCGCCTGTGCTTAGAGTTGGAGGACTACGACCACATCCCGTTGGTGTCCCGCAAGATCAATCATCGTGGCTTGAGCCGCGAGGAGGCGTACGGGCAGAAGCTCAAGTACTTTGAGCTGATGCGGTCGTACTACGCCCACAAGGCATCTTACTTTAATGTTGGCCGCTGCTGGTACGAGATGTACAACACGGTCAAGAGCACGGACGACAAGCTCTCTGCATTGAGCAACATGGTGGTGCACTACCTTATCTCCGAAAACGCAACCGCGAAGGAGATCGAAGACTTGGCAGAATGCACTGCGTTCGCGCCATCCACTAAGATGCGTGACCGCGTGGACGCCTTGTCCACCATTAGCGAAAAACTCAAGAGTGACTTGGAGGATGTACCGCAGCTGTTTGGACTTCTGCAGCGCTTCAATAGTATTGAGCTGATCCAGGAGAGGGTCTCCTCGGAAGTGGAGGCGTTGTGCCAGACGCACCCGGAGCTGGCTCCCTTCCCGGAGCGCCAGGAGCTGCTCAGTAATCGTTGCAGCGAGCACGATATTTTGGTGATAGCCCGCTTCTACTCTCGCATTCCACTGCGCCGCTTAGCGGAGCTGGTGCACCTCTCCCCGGAGCACACCGAGCTTTTCATCATGACGATGGTCACAAACAAGACTCTCTACGCCAAGATGGACCGCGTGGACGGCCTCGTCGTCTTTGAGGCGCGTAAGAACACGACGGAGGTGGTGGCGCTGTGGAACGAGTCGGTGGAGAAGAGTGTGGCGCTGCTGGACAAGGCCTCGCATCTCATCACCAAAGAACGCATGCTGTACAACCTCGCCTCGCAGAAAGCCCATTGAGGCAACTCTTTCTTCTTTCTTGTTGTGCGGCAATTGAAAAGAGGGAGGCAGTTGAGTTTCCGTCGGACCGTGTCGGCATCTGCTTGTGGTTGCAGCGCATATCTTTGTTTCTCGCTTCAGTTGGAAACGAGTGAGAGAGCGGGAAGGGGAGGGAGACATCCGGTGGGGAGAAGTATCGCGACCGACGTCAAACCAAAGGAAAAGCATCTCTAGAGTTTTGTTTCCTAATTAGCTCTATTTTCACTTTCCGCTTTGTAGCGGTAGCACACCTTTGTCTAGCACGTTCGCAAAAAGATCAGATTGCGGTGCCCTTCTTTTTGTTCTCTGCGCTTTCTTTGTGGCAGTAGTTCTCAAAGAGTGGTACGTGGGCGCCCAGGGCAACTCCAAATGGGTACTTTTTGCTTGGGTGCATCCTTCAAAGCGAAGTAACTTTTCAGAAACCGCTTCTTTTCTTTAAGATGGAAGAACCGTGCGACACTCCAAGACGAGTTGCTGTCGAAGCTCGTCGCTCTTCAGGGAAGTGAACGAAGACCTTTTCTTTGTTTTCTTTGTTTTCTTTGTGCCTTTTTTTGCCGATGTAAAAGGCATTCATTTATTGTGGACATTGTTCTCCTTTAAAACAACGCATCCACCGTGCAATTCGCGCGCGAAACCGAACGCTGCTGACGGAGGCGGTGGGGGGAAGGATGAAATTCCATGTACCGTACTATCCTTTTCCCTACACTCCTCTAGTGTAGGGAAAAGGCAGAAGATGGCGACTGCCAAACAAACTCAACAGTTGCTGCCCAACATTGCAAGGCATTCTTTTTGTAGGGATGCGCTGCTGCCGTTCATTGCGTGCTACATCTCCACACAACGGAAATGAGGTGGTGAAAGGGCCAAAAGCGAAGCAGCTGCCTCGAGCTTTTCCTCTGAAGACTCTTCGTCCTCCCATTCTTTTTCCACTTTTCTTGTGTCTCCTTTCTGGTAACGGTTGTCGTGCCTCAACTATTTTGCTTACAGATTTTTCTTCGCCTTTTGTGCTCATTTCTTTTTTTCTTTCTCTTCCTCTCTTTACGATTGTTGTATTGCAGAGATCCTTAGACGAGATCAGTGGAGTCACACACGAGCTTTTGCATCTCTTGACTTTTCCGTGATACTGGTTTTCTTTTCTTTTATAGTGTTTCCCCTTTTTTCTTCCACGTATTAACTAACACAAGTCTAGCTTCCTTTTCTCTCTGATAAGGTAAGTGCTCCTAATTGCTGTTTTTTGCTTGGTCTTCCGCAGCCCCGTTGCAGCACTCGCACACACGCTCATTTACGTTCACGACAAGGTTTACAGTGGGGCAAGACGAAAGGAAAAGTAGCATTGTTCCCATTGACTTTATTCCAATTCACCTGCCTTTCCCCTCATTGACACGCTAGGGCAGAGGAAAGATGAGCACGTTAACGCAGCCGTCGGAACGCGCGTTGTTCGCACTGCCGCACTCAGCCACTCTCGACAAGAACGACGACACCCCCTTGACGGGTACGGAAAACCTCTCCAGTGTTTACACGGGAACCGATGAGGGGAGTAGGGCGCCGACGACTGACGTAAGCGATGAAAAGCACAGCTCCAGCAGCAGCTCTGACGAGAAGAAGGACGAGGACAAGTGGATTTGGGTGTTAGATCCAATGACACGCAAGCTGCGCGTTCCATTGAACATGCTGGTCCCGACCCACGCCACCTCGACCCCTGGCACCGTGCCTTCCCTCTGCATTGCGTTCCTGGAGGGCCGCTGCCGCCATGCGTGGTGCCGGCAGGCGCACGTGGTGCCTTCCGCCATCCCGCAACTTCGCTACGAGGCGCTGAGCGCCCCCACTTGCTGCCATTTCCACCATGACCCTCAAGACATCACGATGCTGACCGACAACTTCAAGTTTGTGCGCATCACCGGCAACGGTGGGAATAATGAGCTTATCCCTGCAGAGCGCATCGCGTGCACGGTTGGGCTGCGACGCTATCTGGTGCACAACATCCCAAAGAAGCTGGCCGAGCACGCAGACCCTTCCGCCACTGCGTCGGAGCACAAGGCCGAGGAGGCCGACAAGGAAGGCATTCTAGAACTCCCCGCAAAGTTCATCTGCCGTCTGCACCTGGCACACCGCTGCCGTTACCTGGATGATTGCAACAACATTCACATCTGCCGCGAATTCGAAGTTCGCCTGCAGCCTCCGGCGCAAATGCTCAGCTCCCTCAACTCCGTCACGACGTCAACACGCACGGTCAACATCGGCGACACCTGCTATACCGTCACCCCGCTAGCCGTGGGCGATGTCAGCGACAGCGACTTCAACGCTATTGCCGAGGCGCAGAGGATCAATCACCGCAACGCCGGCACCCCGGCATCTACGCCGTTCTGGAGCGTTGCTCCCCCATTGGACTCCGCCGTGGGCGGCAGCGAGGGCAGCAGCCCGATGGCCTACTCCGGTGCCGGCGGCGCGGGCACGTTTCCAGCAGTGCCCGACTACCGCGCGGCGCAGAGCACACCCAACGGCAGCCTCACGACGTTCACTGGGCAGTCGCCGGCCTTCACACATGCTGAGTCGCCTTCGCAGCAGTCGCACGGCTTCAGCGGCCACCTGCGCATCTACGACGTCCGCCCTAAACCACAAACCGAGACGGCGGCATCCAGCTGCGCCAGCAGCCCCGCCATGAACCCCAATACAGTGGAGAAGGCCGGTGCCGGTAAGCCACCGCCGCCGAAGTACGCCGACTGCTCGTCCCCTTCGGCATCTGTGAACCGATCAGTCGGTTTGAGCGCAGGAGGCTGCTTGAGCAACAGCACCGAGGGCGGCGTGAGCGTGGGCACGAGCGGTGCGAACACGCCGTTGGCAGATGGCGGGTACGTTCCCTTTGCGACTCGAACGGCTGTGCCGGTGAGAAAATAAGTAAGAACGATTAACGGATTACAACCTGTAATCTTTCTTTTTGAAAACTGCAATAATGATAACATCTTTATGTGATTCTCCACTCTTTTCCTCTACCTTCAATTCATTGCCATTTTCGCAAGTCGTTTGGCGAGCGCGTAGGAAGCCAGCGGCGTTCTTTCCTTCATTTTTCCCGTTTCTCATTTTCTTTCTTCAACTCCCTGTAGATGACACGACAGGAAAGGAATCAATATTTATTTCTATATATTTGTTTCTATTTTTTTTTTTTTTTGAATTCGCAGTCTTTTACGTTGTGATACTAATCGCCTGTGTGTGGGTGTCGGTGTGTATGTGTGTGTCGATGAAGCAGTTTTGATGTAATGGTGAGACGTCACTGAGTTTCTCTGGGTAGGAAATGTGCGACAAGGAAAGTGCTCTATTCGAAAAACGTTAAAAGCAGAAGAGAAACATATTCATGATAAGGCAAAGCAAAACATGAGGGGGAAAAGCGTACGAGAAGCATAAACGTCATTTTTTGTTGCAAAAGCGAAAACATCATTGAAAACCCCCAAAAAGAAGTGCTTTCACGGACCAGTACACAAGGGTGATCGGCTTCGCATGACTCTTTTCGGTTGCTACCGCATAGTTCGACTTTGTTTTGCGTGCCAACGTTGTTTTCTTGCTAATGAGACTATTCATTTTATTCGAAAAGGTCCCATTTTATGTTGTTGAACTCCGCCATCCCTAACGAAGTTGTTACCTTGGCGATGATGTCAAGGGGAAAGGAAATGTTCAGAATTCAGCCCAAATGCCTACGTGAAAAACTATCTAAGAAGCCTTTTTTTCCCTCCTTTTCACGTTTCAGTAGTGATGATGAGATGTGAAAATGCAACGGAGGTTTTGATTGACTTCTTCACACTAGAGTGTGAGTGTCGGGGGTGGTAACCCGCTCCACATCAACAAAAAAGTGATCTATTTTTAGTCAGACCTAGACACGAAAGACTGTCAATGCTGAGCAAGAAACGTGTTTCGACAAATACTCAAACGCGCCGAAGTTGAGTGGATTGGCTCCTGCGCATTTTCTTTTCTTTCTTTTCTCTCTTGGTTGTAATATCTTCTACTATTTTCCTGAGTTCTCTTGGTTTTGAAGGTGTCTATTTGCGTGTCATGAAGGGTTTTTTTGTAGCGTGCGTGTGGATCCTCCGAGGAGCTCTCGTCCTCTCCAAACATGTTTTTCTCTGTTCCCGTAAACGGTGTAGTTCAATGTGTTGTTGTGTGTGTGACTGATTTTATATATAGACCTTTTTTTTAAATTTTATCCGTGAACGACTCTCTCTCGCTGTCTTTTTTTTTCTAACTAGCTACGTGATAGAGCCAGGTTTATATTTTTGTTTTTACATCCGTTTTTCTTTCACCCTAGATCTCTCAAAAACAAACAATAATAGGGGGAGCGATTCTACACAGCACACGTCGTCACAAATGATGACGTGAAAGTGTGCTCGCGGAAGCAAACGAAGAAAATCGAAGCAAAAAGGCTTTGTAACACTTTTTATCTTCTCTTTTTTTCTTTGAGGGGGAGGATGGTTCCACAGGTTTTTTTTTAACAAGGTGTCCGACGTTTAGCATGAAAGTTTCACTACGCCGTTCGCATCACTTCTTTTGGCTTTTTTCCCGTTTCGAGATGTTTTCCTCTGCTCTGCTTGCGGTTCATCTGCAATCGCGCAGTAAACAACGGAAGAAAAGCAGCTTGACTTTCAAAAGAATAACGTCTACCTTTCATTTATTTACCACCTTCAGCTTTTTTTTCTTCTTCAAGTGCTCAGAAGTGGTTCCATATCACTTTCCTTTTCTATTGTTGTGGGGGTGCGGCACACGTAAACGGGTAACGTGTTCTACGGCGTTAGATGGAATGTGTAAGACAATGGCCGCGGTGAGATGAGAAAACGAGGTTACAAGAAAGACATACGCAGCAGAGCAAGCGCCTCGATCAGTCCGAGGTGATGTGGAGAAGTATTGTGCGGATGCGTTTCATCGCGTTCTGGTTTCTCCTTGCTGCGCTAGTGCGTATGCGCGGAGGTGTCAGCGCAAGGGACATGCACCAATGAAGACAATGAAAAGTCTGAAGAAAAGAAAATGTAATAGGCGCATCGAACTTGTTTGCACTCTCTTTTCCAGAAAACGCACAAACGCATATTGCTTCAACTCCTCTGTGGGCAGCACCGCTATTTGCCTCGTTTTTTTCTTCTTCTTCTGTGTTTGTCAATCGTATACAAATTTTACTGAAAATAGTTTTGCCGCTCTTCTCGTTTTTGTTTCCTGGTTGCTCTTGGCGTCTTTCACGCTTTTCTTTTCCCTTTTTGAATGCCCTCTCATTCCTTCCTTCCCTTCCCTTCCCTTCCCTTCTTGATGATGTATGATCAATATCGGATGCTTTTTTCGCATCTAAATCGTGCGAGCTCTATCCTTAAAAAAACACTTTTCCCTTTCTTTGCATTTTTAATAGTATTTCGCAACAGGACACTTTGAGGAGCACCACTCTTGTCTCTTATTTCGTAGCGTTTTTCTTTTCATGAGCATCTTCACATATACACATATATATAACTGGTTTCAAACTGTTTGGTATTCCACTTCTACGAGTGCTTTGGTTTTCGTTTCTCAGTGGCTTATTTTCCCTTATTGTACATGACGCTTAAATCCCCTTTTTTTTCTTTCTTCCTAACTGTACTTTCACGTCCACAGTCTCATCTCAGTCTCTCGTGCTACTTTACAACGAGGAAACCGCTTTTCTTCTCATATTTTCTTTTTTTTCTTTTTCTTTTCTGTCTGTTTGCTATTGATTTCGCTGTTGTTTCTTTGGCTCTCATCAGAAATCTGCATTCTTCGGCTTAGCGGTCACGATCCCCCACCTACTGGGTTTTGAATGGAGGTGGGTATCAGATTACGTCGTCTCCGTGCGCTCCATTCGCACACGGGCATGATTCGGTTAGTTTCCCATTTTTTTTCTTAAGCCATCTACTAATATTTTATCCCTCTCTGCCCTTCAAAACAGTTCGTTAGTGTGCTGCACTTACCGATTTGTTCTGCTTTCTTGTTTCTTTGAATCATTTACCGTTTCTTCTCTGCTTAAATACGCGAAAGCATGTGCGCACTGCTTGTGCGGTTTGGGCACTGACTGGTGTGTTCATTTGTTTTCCCAGCTGCTTTGCTTTGTTGAAGGTGTTAAGAGGAGCGCATCTTAGCTTTGTTTTTTCTTTTGTGGACTCTGAAATTGCTTCTTTCTATTTCTTCTCTTTTCGTCTTATAATTCCGCAGAGATGCATGATTCGAATATTTTCTTGTTCTTTCTTATGCCTCACGTGACTTCGTTCTTGATGCCAAAAAGGCGTGAAACAGCTGGACATCATCACGCAGTGTGCCCGACGAAGATGAATCGGCGAAACTAGGCTTACAGAAACGTTTTCGTGTTTAGCGCGCTGCACCACCAAGGCCAGGCACTCGCAAAAGAAGAGCGAAGGCTCTCCCCAGACGTACACGTTCAAAGCAAGCAAACAAACAAACAAGCAACAACAGCCACGAAGCACAAATAAAGTGGGCCCACGGATACGTGGGGAGCGTGTCACATTACGGTCGTCTCGGCTTTTTCTTATTTATTTACCCTTTTTTTCGCTTTTGCTGTGTCCATTATATACGAATACAACGGCAACAACAAACTTACTCTGTAAGACAAAAAAAGCCGTGTTTTGCACTTGAAAAGCAGGAAGAGTTTGCCGCATTATTTCAATCCTCTCCTTTTTTTTTGCTGTTGGACGGATGTACTCATTAAATAATGAAATCGCATAAGGGGCGAGCGGAAGTGATGCAACACTCACTCACACACACGAAAACAAACAAACAAAACAATATATAGTGATGACAACAAAAAATGTACACCTTCCCGTGTGCAACCTATCAGCTACTAAATAATGTTTCTTTTCAAAAATAAAAACGTTATTGACTTTCTTTTTTCTCATCTGCATGCTATGTCAAGAAAACAAACTTTAAAGTGTTCTCATTACAACGTGCAGAAATGGCGGAGCTCACAGGGGCTTGTCCGTCGTCTTGTTTAGGAGAGACGAGATATCGTGTGTTTCACCCACTGCGCCTTCTCCAAGGGAAGAGGATGCAACGCAGGATTTTTCAAAGCCATGGTGAACCTCACAGAGGTTGCGGAAGCCTCTTTGAAATGTCGTGAGATGACTGCGAAGCAACATGAGTGCCGTTCGTTGGCTGAATTTTCATGTTTACCGACTTGCCATTCGACCGCTTCCTTCTTCAAAAAAAGGAATCTCAATCAGCTGTGAAAAGCGCGACATTGGCTGACATGCAGACACCCGTTGAGAATCTATGTGCTTCGATGCTCTCTTCTCTCTCCTCTTCTTTCTTTTTCTAGTGTTCTCTGCCGCATATCTGGGAAGGGTGGGCTCAAAAGAAAGAGGTGCATGCCTAGAAAACTGAGAGAAGCACATTAGAACTGCCTGCACAGGTCCGCGACGCTTCATTGACACCGTTTTTTTTTTTCGATTCTACGTGTCGAGCAGCAACGACTACACGCTGGGATAACGTACAGTAATACCCACTACAGACGTGCGTGTCTTTCTCTGCTACTTGTGCTTGCTGTCGTTAGAAAAAATAGAGACATAAAAGTGTAACACATTTTCCCGTTATAGAGACTGGCTGTGCTCAAAAGCAATAGAGAGGGCATAGACCTCCGTGCACAACGCCAACTTCACACCTTATTTTTTTTCCGTGCTTGCAGCGGAATCCCGACTTCTCCACTTGTTTAATTTCTACTCTTTGCACATTTCCCAAGCGATGAGTCGTCCATCCGGCTCTTCCCAACGTCCTCTTCGACTCATGCAGCCGTACGATGACGACACGAGCGAGGCAGCATCGGCGGCGTCGTTGAGCGAAAAGGATCCGCCGCCGTCTTTGCTGAGGAGGCAGTTCAGAGGCGGCGGCTCCTCCACTGCGCCCCTCACCTCCTCTCACACACCTGCGGCCTCCAGTGGAAAGTGGAAGGCAGAGACGCCACAGCGTATTGGCGCACAGAGTAAATCGAAATCTGGGTCTTTTCCCCCTTTGCCATCTTTTCTGTCTCGTGGGCAGCGTCAGACAACGGCTGCCGAGTTTTTCTCCACACCGTCCCTGCAAGCGTACCACGGTGCGAGGGATCCGCTCTCGAGTTCGGCACAGTCGTCGCCACGACCCGCGCCCCCGCCTACGTCGTCGGTGGACCGGTTGGCGGCCCTGTACCAGCAGTATCAAACATCCGGGGAGAACAAGAGCGAACGGATCGTTGGCAAGTACCCAAGTCAACGAACGCAGGAGAAGAAATCTGCCACTCCCCCTCCCGCGTTGCCCGTTCACACAACGAGATCGACGGCAACTGCGCAGCGACGCGCGACAGACAGTGAAAAGCCGGACTGCGGTGTAGGGACGCCAGTCAGCTCTGGGTGCGCTTCGCTGGCGGGAGAGGAAACCGAGCAGACAGGTGAGAGGCAGCAGGGCCCGTCGCGCACCGGGCACCCAAATCGCCTCGCTGCTGCTGGCGTTGCTCCTTCGCGCACACAACATGTCACGGCTGGCGCTGCGGAGACGTCGTCCATGTCCGCACCGCGGCCGTCGCGACCGCAAGAGGGACGATCTACCGTGACGCTTCCAGCTGACTTGTCCGGTTCTGGTGTGTCAGGGATGATGCACACCGCCATCTTCATCTGGGCGTCGCTGGGCTTCTTCGAGATGCGACCCAATGAAAGCGAAGTCACCAGCGACGCGGACGACGAGGATGAGGAGGGCGTCGCTGCCGCAAGGGAAGGGCAGTCTGTGGGCAGCTCTGCATTGCAAGAACCGTCGGACCCGCTCGACGTCGAGGGGTTTTTATTTGCGTTGGGGGACTACCTGCGTTTCTTCTGCGCTGAAACTGCGACGATGTCGAGGGACACGCTCGCAGAGCACACGGCACTAATGCGCAACGGTCTTTGGCGTGCGCTCTTCAACGCTGTGTTTTACTGCGTGACCGTGTTGGACGCACGCCGCCGCCGCTCTGGCTCGCTGTCCAGCAAAGAGCGGGAGGTGCGCTCGGGTGGTCCGGAGGACGAGTACGAGGTGGTTTTCCCTTCCTCCGCGGACGACGACGAGCCAGACGAGGAGCGCGAGGCAGCAGTGCGGCTTAGCTGGCGGGTGCCCGGGGAGTCGGAGGAGGCGCGCGCGGCGCGCTGTGCGCGTGATCCGCTTCCATCTATGAGTCCTCTGTGGGCTGGCGGACCGCCCTCCCATTTCCGAGGTAGGGAGGCGACGACAGAGGAAGGGGAGGACAACGCTTGGCGTCTGCGCGGTCAGAATATCGGACCAGAGCGGCGCACACCACTGCTGGATCTGTACAGCGGCCGGCTGCGTGCGCCGCTTCCCACGGCAGACTGGTACTTCACGTTGCGCTGTCTCACCCAGATTGGGTACAGGCGCGACACCTTCTACCTTCAAACGCCCTTTTCCGCCTCCCCGCTTGAGCTGCTGCTCGCCCTGTTGTGGTTGACGCAGCAATACAAGCTGCTGGCGATGGCCGAGTACGTAGAGTTGAACCGACGGTACGGTTTTCTGCTGCAGTACCACGTGGAGGACTCGTTTTGGCGCGGCTCTGCGCATGGGTCAGCAGGAGCGCACACGAACGCCCTTGTGTCGCGGCGCGGGCAGACTCGAGAGCGCATGCTTTACCACCTGTCCAATGCCTCGGTGTGGCCACCCGTCAGCTTCGAGGAGAACAGCGCCGTCCACCTTCGGCTCGTCCAGCTCGAGCGTTGTCTCGGGCGATCTGCGCCGCACGAGTCAACTACCACGTCAGCGACGCTGCAGGTGCGGCGCCTGATGGCCGTGCAACGACTCATCAGCCTTTCCTTCAATCGCCTGCACCACGCACTGCAGCGTCAGGCGGAGCAAACTGTCCTCCTCGGGCTTCACTCCCCGTTGGATGCGCAGCTGTGCCGCAAGGAGCACCACGACTTGTACGAGGAGGTGATGGCCGGTCTTACCTACGTGCAAGGGACAGAGGCTCGTCTGCAGACGGCCGCAGCAAGCTTGGCGAAGGCTGGCTCGCTCGTGGCCTTCCTTCTGCGCTACGAAGACACAAACGTCTCTGCGGAAGAGGTGCTGCTCGCTCTGGAGGAGGACGACGCGACGTGGCTCGACAGCGACAGCGTCTACGGCAACGACGAAGACGGCGAGGAGGCGGATGATGCGCAACGCAACCGGTGGAAACCGCAGCAGAGCACGAAAACACCCAAAAGAACGGCGGCGGAGCGATGGCGTCGAGCGGTGCGACGTGGCGCGCTGCCACCGCCACCACCACCACCGGCCTCGTCGTCGCTCCCGACCTCGGCGGCCGCGCTCGCGCAGTCCCTCTCCACCTTCCGCGCCACGCAGTCGCGCGCGTCGCTGACCGAGACATGGAAGCGGCTGCTACGGCGCAGTCACGTGGCGCCACACACAATTCCTCCAGAAAACCTGCGTTTCTTGCTGGACGTGGAAGCGCAGCGAATCCAAGAGGCGCGCGTGCGAGAGAACATGAGGTCCCGCTACTCGCTACAGGCTGCATTGGCGGCGGAGCTGGCGGTGTTGGGCTACGAACGCCAGCAGCGGCGTCAGCGTAGCTCGTCGCACAGCCCCCTCCGCCGTGATGCGAAGCTGGTCGACGAATCCGTCAGCAGCAGACGGACGGCCGACGCGGACACAGATGCAGAGGCGCGCCCCGTGCGTGTGGCGCTGCCAGCCATGGAACTGGTCACCAACGCGGCGGTCACGTTTGCTCAGTTGCAGGCGGAGGAGGAGGCCTACGGACCCGTGGCGTTGAGCACGGCGGAGCTGCAGCTGACGGAGGTGGGTGAACCAGCTGCGGGGTCGACGACGTCTGCCCAGCTCGAGTTGGCGCGTCTTCAGGCCTGGGAAACGGAGCTGGATGCCCAGCTGGACGTGCAGGCACAGACAGAGGCGCGAGTGGCACATTGCAAGACGACACTCGAGACTCTCTTCCACCAGTTTGGGCTCCGCATGGCTACGCCCATTGTGCCAGGGAAGACGCACTGACAAGTGTGTGTGTGTGTGTGTGTGTGTGTGTGCACTGCTTGGTTCTTTTGATGAACGATGAGATGGAAGAACACGAAGCGGACTTCTGCTTATATAAATATATACATACACACTTGATACGCTAGTTTTCAACTTGAGCGAAAAAGAGAAGAAAAGGGACGAAGAGTCACAACTCAACGACTTCAAATTCCTTTGTGGTGTGCGCAGAACAGGATAACTCGTTTTCCCATGGGGACCGAATGCGTCTTGCGTAGCGTGCTTGCGCAAGTCTCTTTTCTACTTTTGCTGAGTGATTAGAGATCTACACGCACTCCACTTTGTCATTGCGTTGTATATATAGAAGAAAGAAAGGTGCTTCGCCCTTTCGAGTGATCTTGTTGTTTGGATATCCGACTCGTCGTGCTCTCACTTTCATGGACACCAAAGGTTTTATTTATTGATGATTTCGTCCGCGTTGCCCACACTCGAACAAGTGGAGACATCCGTGTGGTGCATCGCTTTCCGTAACATCGGCGTGGACAAAAGAAGGATAGAATACGACGGATCCGTCTTCATCGTCAACACAATTAACAAGCAACAGGAATACCGACGCCTTGTCGAGTTGCACTCTTTGAGAGCCTTTTTTTTCTTTGCAGACAGGCAGGTGAATACGTTCCGCTGTACGGTATCTATATAACGAAAGCAGTCCCCAGCATACCCCCCCCCCACAAGACTCATGGCTGGGTTGACGTTTAAAGTAGTCCTTCTAGGCGAAGGGCGGGTGGGCAAAACATCGTTGATCTCGCGCTACGTGAGCAACTCCTTCGACGACAAGGAGGCGAGCACCGTGCAGGCAAATATGTACAGCTCCAAGGCGGTGCCGATCAACGACACAAACGGCGCACCGGGGTCTGTGAGCGAGGTGAACTTAGCTCTGTGGGACACGGCAGGGCAGGAGCGCTTCCACGCCCTCGCCCCAATGTACTACCGCAACGCTGACGGCGCCATCATCGTTTACGACGTCACCGACGCCGACACGCTGCGGAAGGTACGCACATGGGCCAAGGAACTCTACGCAGTGGTGGGAGAAGGAAACATACAACTCGTGCTGTGCGGCAACAAGATGGACACACCCGCCTCGGAGCAGGAGGTGGCGGAGGGGGAGGGGGCGTCCGTGGCGGCCGAGTTGGGCGCGTCGCACTTCTTCGCGAGCGCAAAGACGGGCCAAAACGTTGCGGATGTCTTTAGTGCCATGGCGACGCAGATTCTGCGCAGTCGTGAAGCGGCGGGTCGGGGTGTGAGTGTCGGCAACAGCGGCGGTGGTGGTGGCCTCACCCCGGCACGGTCGCGTCCTCGCCGGGGATTGATGGTCGTGACGGAAGACGGCGAGGCGTTCGCGCCTGGTCGGGGCTCGCCGAACGAGGGCCGCATCTACGGCGGTGTGGCGCCGCCCCGCGCCCACCGCTACGGCACAAACGGTGGAGGAAACCGAGGCCAACCCATCACCTTCAACGATGAGGAAGATGGCGTTGCAGCGGCGAATTCGGGTAGCAACGCCAGCGGTGGCTGTTGCTGAGGAAGGGAAGCTCTGCTCACAAGCACGTATAAAAAGAGAGATGATCGGTACACAGGTGGTCTCCCTTTTCCTGGCTGATCGTCATGAGGTCGATCCTTTTTTCCTGTATTCTTGGTTGTTGCGTGGGTGCTTTCATTTTCGCCCAGTTTTTGTGTTTTTCATTGCGATTCGTTTGCTTCGTAGTGCACAACTGCTTGTACAACTAACGCTCTTGCTACTCCTGGTTTTTAACAACAGCCATACCAGTGAAAAGGATTGCAACAAGAGGGACCACAGATTGCGGGTGCGAACGTATCGTGGCAATCGGGTGATGTTAGCTAGGTTCTTCACGAATGAGTTGCGTCGGCGCTGCATCAGCTCCCGCTGCGAGCTCTGCTTTACCACGCTCATGAAATACCATGCCGTTACGGTGAGCCCATTTTCGCTCCAGAACCTTTTTTTCAAACTGTGTTTCCACGTCTTCTTTTCTTTGTCTTCTTTCCTCCCGTTTGCTTCCCACGTCACACGGACCCTCTACACGCGGCACGCGCTGCTGAAAGAACGACGCACTCTTTCCACATATCCCATCTATTGAAGATCTCGATTCAACTGCCTCCCCCAGCTGATCCTGCAGCATCTCATTCCCCTATCGTCCCCCTCTCGTCCGTTCTTCTCGCGGTCGCTACCTGTCTTACCCTCCTTTCTTTTCTTTTCTTTGTTCTTTGTAGCAGCTGTTCCGTGGGACGTGGTAGTGCCAAGATGCCCAAGTACGATGCCGTGTTTGTGGGCCTGACGGTGCTCGACGTTGCCGGTCGCCCGGTCGTACAGGTGCCGGCGGGCGGCGGAGTGGAGTTCGTGCAGCAAATCCGCATGAATCCCGCCGGCACGGCCGCGGCGGCGAACCTCAACGCGGCGAAGCTCGGCATTCGCACGGCGGCCGTCGGCTGCCTCGGCAAGGATGAGAAGGCCGACTTCATCCTTAGCTGCTACCACCGCTGGGGCATCGACTGCTCGCTCATGCAAACGACCGACACCCGCGACACGTCCGCGACGATTCTGCCGATTCGCCCGAACAGGGAGCGGCCGTGCCTGCACTACCGCGGCGCGTCGGATGAGCTCTTTGTGACGGAGGCGGAGTTTGAGAGTGTGCTGGACTGCACCTACCTGCACCACGGCGGCACGGGACTGCTGGAGGCGATGGACAAGGGCCAGAGCGCGCGTCTGCTGGCGGCGGCCAAGGCTCGGGGGGTGGTAACGTGCTTCGACATGATTCACCCGAACGAGAACACGCTCAGTCTGCTTGTGCCGCTCTTGCCGTACGTGGACTACTTCATGCCGTCACTTGAGGAGGCCGCCTACATCGCCGGGTCGGAGGATCCGGTTGAGGTGGCCAACTTCTTCTTCGACCTGGGCGTGCAGAAGTGTGTGTTCAAGGATGGCGTGCGAGGCTCGTACCTCATCAAGCGCGACAGCTTCCAACGGGTGCCGGCCTACGTTCTGCGGGCCTCCGACACGACCGGCTGCGGTGACGCTTACTGTGGTGGCTTTATCGCCGGTCTTGCGCGAGGGCTGTCGGAGGTGGAGGCGTGCAAGATTGGCTCCGCCGTGGGTGCCCTCGTTGCCAGCGGCCTCGGCTCCGATGCGGGCGTGGTGAGCTGGGAGGAGACTCTTAGCTTCATCGAGAGCTACGGGGTGGTGGACTAAATGGACGGTGTATGCACAGACGGCCCTTCTTGAGATGGCCTGTTTTTGCTGTCCTATCGACTTCTCTGTCCTCTTTTCGTTTTTACCACGCGCAACGCGTTGGGAGTGTACAATGGGGGTGAGGCGTGGCGCACAGAGGAGCAGAGGAGGAGAGGGAGGGACGCACGAGTGGGTAATCACCAAATGTCCGTCGCTCTTATTTTTATTTAAACCAGCTCCTCTTCTCATAGATGCCCACGAGAAAACGAAGGAAAATTTTTAACAATACACGTCCGTGAAAGCCAGTCACATATCTCTTTTTTTTTTCTTTTCACCACACGTGCGCACGCATGCACATGCACGTACTGGTCGCCTTCCAAACAGAGCGTTCCAGATCGACTTCCACAGTCAGGATTCGACACTTTTTAGTTTTCCGGTTTCTGTTTTTATATATTTACAAAAATCCAATTAACTCGATGTTGGCAGCTTTTCTTCATTGGCTTGTATGAGCTAAACAATAGGGCGTTCTCTATATCTTATTGCTTTATCACCAACTATTTTTTTTTGGTTTTTGATGATCTCTTTTTTTCTTCTCACTCCTGCATTGTCTGCCTTCTATTGTGTTGCATGAAGACTGCTTTGAACGGAAAGTTTGCGCAGAACCCTAGAGCTCGCGTTTACGGAGCTGTTGGAGAAAGAAAGGAAAAAGGGAAAAGAGCTTCTTTTGCCGTGGTAACACGAGTGCAACCGATATCGGAGAAGGGCGCGCATTTCGTTGGGGCACACGTTTGTCCACCTCCTTTTTCGGTTTTAGAAGAAGTTATTTCTTTTTTTTTAATGCTTTTCTTGTTTTTGTCTGTTCATTCTTCCGTTCATATGTTCTCGATGGTGCACCAGGTAAGCGGTGCATCGAACTTACAGCATCGTTGACTGCCACGAGTGCCAACCCCAACCACAGCAGAAAAGAAAATGCTTTTACAGAACACCACGAAGAGCTGCGCCTCATTTAAAACAACAAAAACAACAGAGACATCCATTTTCTTGTTGTCTCACCAAACTCAGGTTCAAACTCGCATTTCTAGCTGATAAACGTTCAGCCCTCTCACCCCCCTCGCCGTGTCAAAGTGTTGAGGTCGAAAGTACCACTTCTCCATCGAAGCTTTTTTCTTGATAGCGCTGAAACGCCGAAAAATGCGTACGGCACTCGCCGTTTCCTCTCCTTCGCATTTTTGCGTCTCTCATCTCTCTCCCCCCGCGCCTCGTCTCCATGTCTCGCTTTCTGAATAATAATTTCGCCTGCCCTGTGTGCGCACTTCATACGCGTTCTCCGTTTTCACATGCATCTTTCCCTGGTGTGTGTGTGCACTCGACACCGACGTGCTAATGTTTGCCACACCTGCTCTCTCCTGTTCGCGATGTTGGCAGTATTCAGTAGTTATTCGTTAGGATTAAGAGTATAAAGGCAGCTCGCAGTGCACCGTACACGAAGCTCTTCATTTGTATCCCAGGCGGTGTTTTTTTCTTTTCTTAAAATTATTGTAATTGTGTTTGTTGATTTTCTCTATTCTTTTCCCTTTCTTGCTGCGAGTGAGTCGGTACAGTTGGCCCTCTTTTCCGGTGCTTTCGCCTATCAGTCCGTCAGCCCGTTTTTTGTTTTGTATTGGTGTTGGTATTTACGCTTGTAGGCTCTTTTGTGTCTTTTCTTTTCCTGTTCTCTTCCTTTTACTTCTTTGCTGTTCTTTCGAAGACGTGTGGTGGAACACGCGTAAAGACTCCCTCAGAGTTCAACGCTGTCCTTTTTATTTTTGTTCTGTTCTTCTCCCCCCTCCCCTCCCCCCCTCCTCTCAGCCTTCGCGTCCTTTTTGAACACACGAGTTCACCGACGGCGGCGCTGGGTTGCTATCAACGACAGAAAGAGCAAACTTCACAGAAGAGAGCGGGGCCCACGTACTTCCTGAAGCGCTGAAGGTCGTGCCACTCGAAATTTTTTTATTGTTCATAGATAGTAAGGTCTTCTGCAGCGTTGTACCTTTTCACTTGTCTCTCCTGTTTTCCTTTTTACTCCTTTCCCCGCTACTTAGAAGAAAAGAAAAGAAAAGATCATCGTAGAAGGAAATGCTGTACGATCGCGTAGAGGACATTGCGAGCGCGCAGGGGGAGGCGATTCGCTTCATCCTCGGCGCCGTCTCGAAGAACACCGTACAGACCACCCTCACCACCCTCGAGCAATTCTGCACCCGCTCTGTCGAGTTCTACCGGTACACGATTAAGTGCACGTGCACCGCACTGCTGGCAAACCGCAGCGACGAGCGCGCGTTGCTGGCCGCGAAGCTGGTCAATGACGCTCTTGGAAAGCCGAATGGACTGACACTGACCGCCTGCGCGCTAGATGGGAGCGCGTCTACGCTGACCAAGAGCTCTCTCACGGTACTCATGACGAATGATCTGAAGCTGACGCCAATGAAGCAGATGCAGATGGCCATGGCGCTCGTGTTGGGCGGCAACGCCATGGTGAAGACGGCGGCGACGGACATGCTGGAGGACTTCAACGTGCCACAGGCCGCCCTGAAGGAGGACGACGGCGGCGTGCGGGCCGCAGCGCTGCTGTTCCGACAAGTCGGACTCGCCTCGGCGAAGCTGGACAGCCAGCTGGCGAGCCTGTGTCACACCTCCTCGCTGCCGAAGCCGAAGATGTCGACGAAGCCGCGCGTCAGCATCGCTGGCATTCTGCGTGAGCTGGGCCTTGGTTGTGTGACGACCTTGGCGGACTCGCGTGAGCTGCTCAGTATTTTCCCGCATTCCTTCACGGAGCGCGACGGGGCTGAGGTGCTTGCCTTCTTTGCGTCAGGCGTGGCGACAGCCAATGACAGCAACACCTATGCCTCCCTCATGACCGCTGCGGGCAAAAGCTCGCCGAAGAGCCTCAGCACCGCTACCCTGGTCAACGCGATGCCGCTGCTAGATGCGCTGTGCGAGAGCAACCCGAAGAAGGCCTTTGACTGGGATCTCGTGATACGGCTGCTGGATCAGGCCGACGGCGAGCCCTTCCGTGTGAAGCACATCTCCGTCATCTTCGACGCCTACCACCGCTTCCAAGTTGACAGCGAGTACCCGTCCGTTGCTATCTTTCTCGGCCGCTGGACGAACACGTTGCGCCAGCGCGGTCTGCTCGAGTACATCCTGCGCCACCCCGACAAGGTGAACCGCAAGCCGCTGACGATGGATGCGCCGTCCGAGTTGCTGCCGACGACGAAGCCGCCCGGGGTGACGGCGTCAGAGATCGAGCTGTGGCGCTCCGCCGCGTTTATGGAGGCCGCCGTGCACGTGGCGAGCCGAGACAAGGAGTTCGACCACGACGTGTTTCGCCCCGCCGCCGAGAAGCTGCCGCTGCTCTTCTTGTACAATTTGCTGACCGGCAGCTACACCGGCACCATCAAGCACCTCGTCAGCGTGAAGCACCTGCTCAAGTCCCACTGCCCTTCGCTGGACCCGGTGGCGCAGCACATTGTGCCGGAGATGGAGAAGCGCGGCCGGCTGGACGCCGTTATCGGTGTGCTGTCGGAGCTGACGGAAACGGCCCCGGAGCGCACGGTGGATATCGTGCAGATGGTGCTCAAGTGCAAGTCCGCCGCGAAGCGCGTCTTGACCGAGAGCGGCAGCCCGCGCCTCGTCACCGCCGTGGCGATGTGCATGGATGAAGCCGGCGAGCCGAGCGACAAGTGGCTGCAGCGGGCACTGGAGGGCAAGCTGCACTTCCGCGCCAGCTCGACGGAGAACCGCTTCGCCGTGGCGCTGAACGTGGTGGAGATTGCCGAGGCGCTGCAGGAGAAGCAAGTCTACGTGGCCAGCGCCACGGCCGCCCTCAATGCGCTGCTCGCCTCGCCGCTGCGGGACGTGCTGAAGAGCGTGACGGACTGCGCCAAGACCTTGCTGGCCTCCACCGACTCTCTCTTCCCAGAGGATGTGGAGAACGAGGCGACGGAGTTCTTCAAGAAGATGTACGCCGTCGGCAGCACCGCTGCTGCGATCGCCACGGTGGAGCGTCTGCTGAAAAGCACGGTGCCGCGCGACAAGCAGCTGTACGCGTGCATTGTGAGTATCATGTTCGACGAGACCTCTGCGATTGCCTACTACCCCCGCAAGGAGCTGCAGTTGTTTGCTGAGCTGTACGGGCAGATGCTCGCCAAGGACCTCCTGCCACCGAACCAGGTGCAGCGGGCGTGGGGCGTGCTGCTGCCCGCGTTGGCCAAGCCGGGCAACTACGCCACGGAGGAGTACGGCATCATCGCCGTCGAGCAGGTGAAGTCGCGGCTGCCGGACTGGCCGAGCGTCGGTCGGGCGTTGCGCCACCTGCGCGATCTCGACTTCCGCGTGCCCGGCATCAAGGCGGCAATCTACCGGGGTATTAAGCAGGAGGAGGAGGCAGCGCGCAACAACGGCGCGGAGATGAGCGACGGGTCGCCGAACTCGCCGACGTCGCCGCGGCTGCCGAGTTCGCCGAACAAGGGACTCGCCACGCTCGATCCAGCCATCGTCACTGCGGCGTCGTCGCAGTCAAAGAAGTTCACGGACATGGCCGCAGCGAAGCTGCACACGCTGGACATTGGCACCCTCGTCACGAACAGCAATGTCACGGCCCCGCCGCGCGTCATCCAGGAGCAGATCAACTTCTTGATCGGCAACACCGACGTGCGCAACCTCGACAACAACGCGACGGAGCTGTCGCAGCTGTTGCGGCCGGAGTACTACGAGTACTTCGCCGACTACCTCGTTGTGAAGCGTGCCGCGCTGGAGCCGAACTACCACAGCATGTACATCGATCTCATCACGAAGCTGCACTCGAAGGACCTGTACCGGGCCCTGCGGGACGCCACCATCGCCGCGGTGCGTCGCCTGCTCACCTCTGAAAAGATCGGCACTGACAGTAGCGAACGGATTCTACTGCGCAACCTCGGCTCTTGGCTCGGCAGCATCACGCTAGAGAAGAACATCCCCATCCTACGGCAGGACCTCAACTTCAAGGAACTGCTGTGCCAGAGCATGCGTGAGGGCCGCCTCGTGCCGGCGGTGTCCCTCATGACGCGTGTGCTGATGAGCTGCGCCAAGTCGCGCTTCTTCTGCCCGCCGAACCCGTGGACGATGGCGCAGCTGACGCTGCTGATGGAGATGTACAACCTACCCCACCTGCGCGTGACCCTGCGCTTCGAGCTCGAGCTGCTGCTGAAGGCGCTCGATCAGACCCTGCAGGACGTGGTGCAGTACATGATGCGCCACCCATCGCACGCGACGACGGAGAAGCACCTGATTGACGTGTACAAGCAGATTGACATCAGCAACAGCCCCGACTTCCGCCTGGACGACGACGACACGGGCATCATCACGGCCGCCCCGATCCCGCAGCTGCCACAGCAACCGCCAATGCAACAACAGCAGCAGCAGCCTACCTCTTCTTCGCCACCGGCGCAGCAGTCGTCGCTGCGCAGCAGTGCCCGGCCGCTGCAGGCGAACGCAGAGCCCTTCCAGCCAAAAGACAAGTCGCCGAGTGCGCTGTCCGATTACGACCGCATGATGCTGCTGCTCAACCGTCCCATCCGCCCCGCGGCGCTCATCACACCCGAGACGGTGCACCTGCCCAGCGGCGATGCTTCCTCGGATGCCCTGGCACAGCGACTGACCTCGGTCCGTCCGCAGATCGCTGCCACGCTGCAGGCGGTGGTGGATGAGGCAGTGAGCTACTGCATGCAGCGCAGCGTGGCCATCGCGACCCGCACGACGGAGCGGCTGGTGCTGAAGGACTACGCGCGCGACCCCTTCCCGGACGACATCCTCGTCGCGGGCGACGGCATGGCCCGCTCCCTCGCCTCCAGCCTCAGCTACGTGATGGTGCGGGAGGAGCTGCCGATGCTACTGCAGCGTTCCTTCACCAACCTCGTCGAGCGCATCTTCGAGCCGATGACGCCGGTCGACTTCAAGGTCGTCGTGCGCGACGCCATCGTGGCGTCGAACCAGGAGCTGTGCATGCGCGCTGTGGAGTACAGCGTGGGCGAGGAGGCGGCCATGGCGACGAGCCGCAGCCTCTTCGACGTCGCCCGTGAGAAGGCGAACACCTTCGCCGCGGGGGAGCCGCTGCCGCTGCCGGCCGACCAGGTCGAGGCGGCCGAGCTGCTCCGTGTGATGGGTGACGCCCTCGTGCCGTCGGGCCGCATGCCCGGCCCGCAGCGTCAGGTCTACGACGACTTCTACAACTGCGTCCCGCCGGTCGCCGTCTTCACAACGGTGCTGCGCAGCCTGGAGGAGGCGGTGTCGCGTTACCTGACTGGTGGCAACGCCCTGGGTCTGAACTTCGCGCAGCTGGAGGCGGCCTCGGCCGAGGCGGCCGCCAACGGTGCCAGCGACGAGCCGCAGTCTGCCATCCGCCAGCACCTCGCCCGCCTGCTCAGTTTGGTGTCGCCCGAGACGGCGGTGCTGTATCTGAGTCCGATGTTCAACCGCCTCTTTTCCCTCGCGGTGTCGATGGATCGGCTGAACAAGAAGGCGAACGCCAGTGCGAACAGCCACAACAACGACAACCAGCAGGGCGGCGGCGGCGCCGTGGCGGCAAACCCTGACGGCACGCAGAATTCCTCCGAGGACGATCCTGCGTGGCGGCAGGAGGTGCTGCGCGTGTCGGCTGGTATGCACCAGCTCTACTTGTTCGTTTTACTGCGGTGCCGCGAGCGCGGGGGGGAGGCGGTGCCGGAGGAGTTCACCCGTCTTCTCCTGCACAGCGAGCACTGCTTTGCCTTCCCAAAGCTGGCGACCGACTTGATGCGCATTAAGATTCTGAGCTGCAGCCGCTTCGACGAGGCGCTGGCGAAGGCGCTGGCGACGGGGACGTCTGGCTACGTCACCTTCGCCGGCGACATCATCACGGACGTCATCATCAAGGAGAAACTGGTGGCGTCGAAGGACATGCGGCGCACGCTGTCGGCGCTCGACACGATCGCACGCACCCGCACCCGCGCCCCCGCCCCGACAGCCCCGGCGCACACCTTCCCCTCATACGTGACGGAGCCACCGTTGAGCAAGATCGTGCCGGCGAACATCACGAAGCTCGTCGTGCCGTGCACCAGCGTTGGCGCTGATGAGGACGAGGCCTTCCACAAGGACGTGGAGCAGCTGATGAACGACTGGATCAGCGTTTGGTCGCAGAAGAGCCACCGCTACACGGAGCGCCGCATCCCGTCTGTCGAGTTTGTGAAGACGCTGCAGCACAAACGCATGCTGGACACGGTACACCTGCACACCTTCCTCGGTCTCGGCGTCCGTTACTGCGTGGAGTACTACGCGAACACGATGCTCGCGATGGAGCGGGCGGACGGCTCCATTACAGACGAGGTTCTCGTTGGCAATCGCCCCGGCGGCCCACCGGGCTACCGGACGCCGTACACCGCCAAGTGCTTTGTGATGTGTGACGGCTTCGTGGAGCTGGTGATGGTGCTGCTGCAGTGCTGCTCGTTGCGCAACGAGTCGTCGCACGACCTGCGCGCGGAGACGACGCTGCTGAAGCGCCTGCTGGACGCCGTCACGCGGGTGCTGACGGAGCACCACGACTACGTGGCGAAGGTGCGCCCCGCGCCGGACTGGAAGCTGTCGGCGGACGCGCAATTCATTCCGGTGTTTCAGCAGCAGCCTTACGTGCGGCTGCTGAGCGATCTCGTCTACTCTCTGCACCGCCTGGAGAGCTCGACGTCGCGGCCGATGTCGACGGAGTTCACGATGGTCTTCCACGCCTTCCTCCGCCGCGTTCACCCGCTGGAGTACCCGGGCTTCACCTTTGGCTGGATTGAGATCCTGTCGCACCGCTTCTTCATCCCGCGCTTCATGCAGCAGGAGTCGACGTGGGACCACTACGCCGACCTCCTCAACGGCGCGATGCTCTTCGTGAAGTTCCTCATCAAGGGCAACCGCATCTCCCCGAACGGCCTCGTGTACTACAAGACGGTGTTCAAGCTGGTACTGGTGCTGCTGCATGACTACCCGCAGTTTCTTATTGGCCAGCACTACCCCCTGTGCGAGGCGATCCCGCTGTCGTGCGTGCAGCTGCTCAACACCGTGCTGTGCTCCTTCCCGCCGGAGCAACGCCTACCGGAGCCGTTCCAGCACGTCGACTCCAACAGCCCCGCGATGCTGCAGCAGCTCGACACGCGGGTGCAGGAGACGTGCATCAAGGCCACCTTCACCGCGGCGAACATGGACGCGCAGTTGCTGTCGAGTTTGGAGGCGATGGTGCGCAACGACGACAGCCCGGTGCGCGAGAGTGTGCTGATGGAGGTGCTGGCGAAGCTGACGGAGCCGTCGGCGAAGCGCAGCCTCATCAACGCTGTGGCGCAGCACATGGCTATCGTGTACCTCAACTCGCACAACCAGCGCATCCCGCCGCAGTTTGCAGACTCGAACGTTCTGGCGTGCTACCGCTTCCTGTGCAGCAGACTGAACACGAAGCGGCGCTACTACCTCCTCGGTGCCTGCGCGAACCAGCTGCGGTACCCGAACATTCAGACCAACTTCTTCTCCAACGTGGTGCTGAACCTCTTCCTGCCCTCGCTCATGGTGGACATGCAGACGCAGACGTGTGTGCAGGAGCAGATCACGCGGGTGCTGGCGGAGAAGACGATCATCGTGCAGCCGCACCCGTGGGGTGTGCTGAACACGTTTGTGGAGCTTATGCGGGAGCCGAAGTACAACTTCTGGGAGACGTCCTTCATCCACTACCCTATGCTGGACTCCGTCTTCACTAAACTGCACCGCACGGTGGAGGCGCGCAACGGCAACGCGGCCGTCAGCAACGGCGCTGGCTCTCCCGCGGCTGCCGGGACCGCCGGCGCGAATGTGGTCCGCAAGTAATATTAGAAAGACGAGCAAGGAGAGGAAAAGAGGGAAGGGTCGCGCTGTCGGGGGACTTTTTCTTTTTTCTGTTCCCCGTGTCTTTATTAATGCTTCGCACCCTTAACTCTCCGATTATTTCTCTTCTTCTTTTAGTGCTCGACAATTTTTGTTTTTTTCCCCTATTCGTGTTGTCTCCCCATCTTAAATACACACGACAGCGACGTTTCTTGTTTCTTCTTTTCATATTTATATATTTATATGTTTTATCTTCTTTGTTTAAGTCCGAGAACACTTTTTTCTTTTGAGTTTTTTTTTAAACTGTTAGCCGTTATCTTTCCTTTTGTAGTTACGCAGTTTTAATGCTTGTGTGGTCGTGTCGAGTTGATGCCAGCGTTGTATCGAGTTCATTGTGAATGTGTTTTTTTTTTGGCCTTGCGAGTGTGAGGAGTCTAACGTAAGCTACGTCACCGGAATCGTTGATAGAACGAAAGCGCAACCACCGAGAGGCAACACAACGTTTCGGGAAGCGCAGAGAAGTGTGAGGCGTGTGAGGCGTCGAAGATGACAAGCCGTCCAAATGGTTGTTGTACGCTTTTCTTCCTCTTCTTTTTTGACTTGGTTTTTGCTGTTGTGGGCACGACATGGTGAAGGAGGCGACGACAGTGAAGTCTCAACACTTCTTACTGGCTCACAGTCCTTTCCGTGCGGCTGTGCGTTCTTCCCACCGAGATGACTCGTCATTGCGACCACTTTGGGGTGGGTTCTCTATTCCGATGAGACGCACACGCGAGGACTGGCCATTTGAGAAGTTGCGAACACTTGGTGGTGGGCCACACACAAGCACATTTGATGCATTAAAAGTAAAAGTCGTTCAACTTCTCTTTCATCCCTCTCCGTTCCTAACAAAACAAATCATACGTTCAACTGTCGGCGGCGCTGACCATCTACGACCCTTCATCAATGCGTTGACGTATGTGCGAATCTGCACTCACACACACAAACGAAAACATGAGCGATTTTTTTTTTTTACATCCCATCACTCGTGTATCGTTGTGGATTAACCCCCCCCTTCACAAAAAAAGTCACAGTAGTAACATCAACGCACACTTGTCGAAGTGTTCAGTGATTCTCTCTCTCTCTCCTTATTCTTATTGCTTCAATAATTCTGTCTCAATGCTGAAGTTCTTCTCCGAGAAGGCGAACCACCAGGCCCTCAAGGCCGTGCTGTGCGCGCTGTTTGTGCAGAAGCCGCTGGAGGTGACGCTGAGCAGCACCTACACCACCCCGTATCTGCAGCTGCCCTCATCCAAGATGCCGCTGTACAGCTGCAATGAGGTGGCCCGCCTTGTGTGGCGCAAGTACGCTGCGGCCCCCTGCACAGAGGAGGTGCTGGCCAGCGAGGGGGAATGGCTCGATTGGGAGTCGACGGTGCTGACGCCGGCTCTGACGCCCCTCTACACGCAGCGCCGCCTCACCGCCGAGGCGGAGGCTGCCCTCAAGAAGCTGGACGATACGTTAGAGCAGAACCACGGCACGATCGTCGTGGACGGTGCGCCGAAGTCGAAGTCTTTCCTGGTGGACAGCGTGATGTTTGCAGCGCTGCTGCCGGCGCTGTGCGAGGGTGGTCTGCTGTCGACCGCCCAGGCCGAAGCGGTGCCGCACCTGGTCAAGTGGTTCCAGGCCTTCCGCGCAGACAACGAAGAGGTGATCGCCTCCGCCTTTGACGCTCTATCGGTGCAAGAGTGCGGCGACTTTCTTCGTGTCACGCGCACCTACGAGGTGAGCCCCAAGAAGAACAAGACCTTCTTCGCCACGACGCCCATCTACTACGTGAACGCGTCGCCGCACATTGGGCACGTGTACACTAGCCTCATCGTCGACGTGCTCGGCCGCTACCACCGTGTGAAGGGAGAGGAGGTCTTCATCATGACCGGCACGGATGAGCACGGGCAGAAGGTGGCCGAGGCCGCCGGCAAGAACGGCGTCTCGCCGATGGAGTTCACGACGAGTGTGTCGAACGAGTTCAAGGTGTGCTTTGAGCAGATGAACTACAGCTTCAACTACTTCATCCGCACCACCAACCCCACCCACGAGACGCTGGTGCAGCAGATGTGGAAGAAGCTAGAGGCGAAGGGCGATATCTACCTCGGCAAGTACGAGGGCTGGTACTCCGTCAGCGACGAGTCCTTCCTGACGGCACAGAACGTGACCGACGGCGTGGACAAGGACGGCAACCCGTGCAAGATCAGCCTGGAGAGTGGCCACGTCGTGACGTGGGTGGAGGAGGAAAACTACATGTTCCGCCTTAGCGCTTTTCGTGACCGCCTGCTAAAGCATTTCCACGACCACCCCAACTGCATCGTGCCAGAGTTCCGCCGCCGCGAGGTGATCAAGCAGGTCGAGAAGGGCCTCTTCGACCTCTCCATCTCCCGCAAGCGAGAGTCGGTGCTCAACTGGTCCATCCCGGTCCCGGGCGACGACCGCCACTGCATCTACGTCTGGCTCGACGCCCTCTTCAACTACTACACCGGCGCCTTGACCCGCGTCGCCGCCGACGGTAGCGAGGCGCTTGACGACGACTTCCACACGCTGAACCGCTGGCCCTGCGACGCGCACGTCGTCGGCAAAGATATCCTGAAGTTCCACGCCATCTATTGGCCGGCGTTCTTGATGTCGGCCGACCTGCCGCTGCCGGAGCGACTAGTGGCGCACGGTTGGTGGACGAAGGATCACAAGAAGATTAGTAAGTCTCTCGGCAACGCCTTCGACCCGGTGGCGAAGGCCGAGGAGTTCGGCATCGACGCCCTCAAGTATTTTTTGCTGCGCGAGTCGAACTTCCAGGACGACGGCGACTACAGCGACAAGAACATGGTGGCGCGCCTCAACAGCGAACTGGCTGACACGCTGGGCAACTTGGTGTCTCGCTGCGTCGCGCCGAAGATCAACGTGGACGGGGTGTGGCCGGCGCCGTCGGAGTACAACGAGAGCGACAAGACGCTCATCGCCGCGCTGAACAACCTGGCTGGCACGGCGGACCACTACTACTGCCTACCGGACATCCAGAAGGCCCTCATCGCCATCTTCGAGGTGCTGCGCAGCCTCAACGCGTACGTCACGGAGAACGCGCCGTGGAAGTTGGTGAAGTCCGACACGGCTCGGCTCGGCACGGTGCTGTACGTCACGATGGAGGGCCTGCGCATCTGCGTCATGTTTTTGCAGCCTGTGATGCCGCAGAAGATGTCAGAGATCATGGACGCGCTGGGCGTGCCGGCCGAGCAGCGTGTGGACGTGTCGAACTTCCACTTCGGCGTCGTGCAGCCTGGGACGAAGATCGGTGGTTTAGCGGAGGGCCAGGTGATCTTCCAGAAGGCGACGCTGCCGGCCGAGGAAGAGAAGCCTGCTGCGTCGGAGGGCGACGGCAAAAAGGGGAAGAAGTGAGCGGGCTTCTGCGGAGGGGGCAAAATGCATGCCAATTTGTTGTGCAAAGGATGCCTCAATGTATGCGTCACTGATGAGGGAACGAGGGAGTAACCTGAGCAGCAACAAACAAAGGATCATCATATCCTCTTTCTTTTACTCACCTTGTTCTCGAGAGTGTGTGTGTGCGTGTGTGGCTATCCCGTTACCAAGGCAACGTCAGCTCCTCCCCTCACCACGGTAACGTGATGGCGCTGCTGACTTGCAAGGTCTCCTTGCCCCGCAGGCTGCATCAATCCCCGTCCCGGTCTCCCGTTCCTTGTGTCTCCAACGGCGGGTTTGGGCAGAGTTTGCGCATTCCTCTGTGTGTGTACACTTGTTGATTTGCTTTCTTTTCTTGCCTTCCGTTGCACAGCCAATCGCCTTCTTCTTTTGGGAGGAGGTGTTTTACTTCGTTCCTTCTTTTCGCTTTAACGGAGGTGCTTCCATGACTCTCCCGGTCTCACGCAACGTTGCGGAGGAGGAGGCCGTGTGTATCTTATTTTTTTTTTTTTACTTCCATGTTGTTTCGATGTCAGCCGTTTCTTTGGCAGTCTTTCAGGTGTTTTTGTTTTTCTCTCCTTTCTCTATCTTTCTGTCATTTCTGGGCAGGCACGTCGAGGAACGTCTCGTTGATCGACGCGTCTGCGCGTGCCAATTGAAGAAGAGGGAGAAAGGAGGCGATGCCACACATTGAGGCGGTTTTTGCCTTTGAGCTTGTGCCTTTTTGCTGTCTAGCGAGAGCGGTGGAGGATAGAGGGGGGGGGGTTGTTGTCGGGGGGAGAGCAGTAGCGTCTGTGCTGACGTCGTCGTGAAGGCTTTCCCCATTTGTGCAAGGAAGGATGAAGTAACCGCATATTAAAAACAACAACAGCAGCAGCACTAGTGATCCAATAGTATGATTAAATAATGCTAAAAAAGATGATGAAATACTTGCAACTCTGAGCTGAGATTGGCACGTAATCTGAAATGATGGCCTCTTATTTTTTAAAGATAAGTCGAAGCTCCTGCAGTCCAACAGCGCTTTTCTTTGGCGACGGCGTGCAAGACGGTCAGAATACACTGACCTTCAGACAGAAGAGAAGCGGGATACTGTGCTTGTCATGCGGCACGTAAACTTGTGCACAGCGCGTGAGAGCAGCAATGCTATATTTTTCCTTCTATCCGCGCTCACGGTGAAGAGCGGATCTCTCTCCCTCTCACTCCCTATACGTGTGTGAGATAGCAGAGGCTGCCTGCTCGTTGGCCGTTCCTCGCCGCTTCATCGCACTTTTCCACCCTTTCTTTCCCCTTCCTCTCTTCTGTTCTTTTGCAAATTCACACACACGTCCACACCGCCAAAAAGAGGAGAAAGAGGCATCGCCGGGTGCTTATTTTAGTTTTTTGTTTTGTATTTGTCTTCTGTGCGTGTGTGTGTGTCTCTCTCTCTTCCATCCCCGTTTGCTGATTGCTGGTGGAGCGCCTTTTGCCACCCGTGCAGCGACCGATCTGGTAATCGTGGGAGAAGAAGAAAAAAAAAATAAGAAGAGTAGCTGAGAAGTACCGCGAAACCGACCGTGGAGAGAGCGGAGAACTGCGTGACCTTTTTTTCCCCTTGTGTTTCTCGTAGTTTTCTACTGCTCCCAAGTGCGCACTTCCTAGTAAACGACGCATATATATATATATATATATATATATATATTTACATTTTTAAGAATATATTTTCCTTGAACTAATCAAAAGAACGTCATGCCTCCTCGCACGCATCGCGGTGGAGTGCAAGGGCCACAACCGCCGCCGCCACCGCAGCAGCAACAGCAGCTTCCCCCGCCACCTCAGCAGCAGCAGCAGGGCGGGTACGGCAACGCAGCGGGTCCGCCAGCGCACCTGCACATGTTCCACCAACACACCCACGGCGGCTACATGGATAGCGGACGTGGCCCCATCATGGGTCCGCCGCAGCACGGCGGCGGTGGCAACAACGGGTCCAACATGAGCAACAACGGCATGATGTACGGTGGTGGCGGCGGCGGAGGCGGAGGGGGGAGCGGCAATACACCGACATCGCCGATGTACGGTGGGGGCGGTCCTGGGTATGGCAACAGTGGCGCGCCGGCGCACATGATGCCGCCGCCTTCCCCACACCCGCAGCAGCAGCAGCAGATGGGCGGGATGGGCTACAACCCAAACATGCGTGGCTCGGCCCCGCCGCCGCCGCCGCACATGGAGCCGTCACCGAGCTTCATGGGCGGACCGCCGCAGCCTCTGCAGGGGATGATGCGCGACAATAGTTACGGCCTCGACATGGACAATAGCCCGCCCCCGCCCAACAGCGGCTACCGTGGTGGGTCGCAACACAACATGCAGATGCAGTCTCCGCCGGTGCAGCAGCAGCAGCAGCAGCACTACCAAGGCAACAGCAGCTACGGCAGTGGGAATCGTGGTGCGGGAATGCAGGGCCAAAATATGCAGATGCCCCTGCCGCCTCAGCAGCAGCAGCAGCAAATGATGGGTGTTGGGGGTCCGAATAGCGCCAACCGTGGGATGGGTGGTGGTGGCGGTCCGATGGGGGGCGGCAAGCAGTTGCAGCAGCAACAGCAGGGACCTCCGCAGCAGGGTATGCTGCCGCCACCGCAGGGGGGCGGCAACAACAACTGGGGCCCACCGCAGTCGCTGGCCCCCCCGCACATGCAAGCGAACGTCTCACCGAAGCCGCAGGGCCCGCCTCCGATGGGAGGAGGAGGGGGCATGCAGTACGGCGGTGGCGGCGGTGGCGGTGGCACTCCGGGCCCGATGATGGGCCGCGGTCGTGGTGGAAATCGGATGGGCCCTGGCGGCATGGGTCCGGGTCCGATGGGCAACATGGGTGCCCCTCCGCCGCCGCCGATGCAGCAGCGCCAGCCGCCGCAGCCGCAGGGGATGATGGGCGGCGGCGGTCCGCCATCGATGCCGAACAACGGGATGAACCCGAATATGATGATGCTGCCGCCCTCGCCGGGGGTTCCGATGATGGGGCCGGGTGGCGAGAGCCCCGGCATGTACCCGCCGAACCCGGATCCCGGCATGGGTGGCATGGACCCCGGCATGATGGGCGGCATGGCGATGCCACAGATACAGCGCGGCTACATGGACGTTGACCCCCCCGGTGACCTGGCGCCGCAGCAAACCCTTTACGAGTTCCTCATGGAGAAGCGCCTGCTGCGCAAGACGACGCTCAACACCTTCTTCCCTGCCAACTACGACCCCAAGAAGGACGGCCCCTACACCATTGCGGTGGATGGCAACTACATGATCACGAACCTGCGCGCGCAGCTGCAGCGCACCGACCCGCTGTGGTTTCTGCATTCCTGCCTGCCGGACTGCCTGTTGTCGCTGGTGCACAAACACGTGGAGGAGATGCGGGCTCACCACCTGGAGCCGTTTTGGGTGCTCAACGGCATCGGCATCAACGGCGACGTCGAGGCCTTTTTGGCGAGCCCGGACGAACTGTGTGCCCGCGACGCCGTGTGGGAGAAGTTGAACGAGGGCATCGAGACGCTGACGCAGGAGGAGATCACCGAGGCCTTTGAGACGTCGTCCTCGATTGGCGAGGACGTGATGCGCGCCATCCAGCGCTTCCTGCGCACCGAGGAGAACGTGGTCTGCGTGACCGCGCCCTTCCTGAACTGGTGCCAGATGGTGACTCTGCACAAGGAGGGCGTCGCGCAGTTGCTGATGGGGCCGCCGGAGATGCTCATGGTGCCTTACGACGACATGAAGTGCATTGCTGAGGTGAACCTGCAGACGAGCGAGGTGGCGTACTACGACCGAGACGAGGTGCTGCGGGAGCTGTTTCCGCACTACGTCACCGACACCTCCACCGCCGCGGCGGGGGACCGCTTCATGGACCTCGGTCTGCTAATCGCGTCGCACCCGGCCATCACGACCGCCCACGCGAGCGTGCAGCTGTCCACGCAGAGCATCTACGAGGAGCTCTCCACCTCGCATCCGCACTTCGTGTGCCTGCACGACTTCATCGACCGCTACGAGCTGCAGCCGAACCAGAACGAGCGGCCGAACTTGGAGAAGCTGAAGCACTCCAAGGGCCGCACCTACATCCAGTACAGCCCCGTCTTCTCCAGCCAGGTCACCTCGGAGTCGTCGCTAATGTACTTCATCCGCATTCTGGACCCCACCCTCAAGAACAAGGACATGCCGAACAACCTCTCCGGCGTCTTTGGCTACCACGTCCCCCTCTCCCTCTTCTACTTCCAGTTCACCGGTCTGCTGTCCGTCAGCCTCATGACCGCCATCACGCAGCTGTACATCCGCGACGAGTTCCCTGTCGCTGACACGGAGGAGTATCACAACCTCCTGCACCCGCTGATGGCCCTGCGTGGGCAGATCATCTCCCAGGTCGTCTCGCGCATCAAGGTGGACCCCAACGGGCAGCGCGTAGGCAAAATTTCATGGGTGCGTTGGTTCGACTCTATTCTGATGAACGTGCTGCCACCCGATCGCCTCATCGTGCTGGACGAGTGGAACTTGTCGGAGGCGACGGAGCTGGCCGAGGTGCCGGACGACCAGCTGGAGAACATCGACATGGCCATGGTGCTCTCTCTCAAGTCATCGGCTATGTGCGTGCAGGCGCCGCAGCTGCCGCCGACGATGCCGCCGCGCGACGCGCCGATCCTATACCACGGCCGCAAGGAGACTTTCTTCGCCATTTTGCTCAAGACGTTTGACTTTGTCGGGTACTTCTCGCACTCGATGGACGCGAAGGAGTCGGGCGAGGCGAGCGCGGAGCCGTTGGCGGCGATGGTGCAGGGCCAGATGAACCCCGACGACCAGGGCAGCAGCAACCAGGGCATGGGCCAGGACGACATGGGCGACGACATGAACGGCGAGGACGGCGCCCTGCCGGAGCAAAAGGTGTTCTTCACCGCCTACCTCAGCATCTCTCTCGAGCACTGCCCGCAGGAGTTCCAGTGCGCGCTAGTGCGCTTTACTGAGCTGCTGCGCGTGACCGCCATCAACTCCAACCCCTTCACCTTCGCGGACTCGATGCAAAAGGAAGAGGACGAGGTGGAGGCGGACCCGCCAGAGGTGCTCCTGACCACCCGCATCGCCTGCCTCGTGTCCATCCCCTATCAGGAGCAGGCCGGCGAGGAGGACACCTTCGAGTGGGCGCCGGTGTACAGCCGCCAGCTGTGCGCCTTCACCGTGATGTCGCGTGTCATGAACCGCAGCTTGCGTGTGCTGACGGAGGCGATCGCTGCGGCGCAGTTCCTGACGGGCTTTAGCGACTGCTCGCTGGAGGACTACGAGAGCATGTCGACCCTCCTGCCGTTTGGCGACGTGCCAAGTTCCCTGGGTGGTTTGCTGCTGCACTACGTGCTCGTCTTCCCGCCGGACTACGAGGCAAACTGCCAGACCCCGGAGGAGCGCTGTCGCCTGCTCGAGACGAAGTTCAAGGCCATCCCGAACCTGCAGACACAGCTGCGCCGCGTGATGGAGTTCACGTTCCACGCCTTGTACCTGCTGAACGTGTACATCGTGAAAGACCCGAGCATCGTGCGCTCGCCGGAGCTGGTGGAGACGGACGTGGTGTCCAATGCGCTCAATCTACTGCACGAGAAGTGGGAGCAGCACCTCGACGGACCGGCCCCGGAGGACGTGCATGGCTTCTATCGATTCGAGTAGAGGCGAGTGCCGCTTCAGCTGCGTTCATGCGTTGGAAAAGAGCGCTACGTAACGCAGCGTGCGAAACAGATGCGCTCGGAAAAAGAAAAGAAGAAGAAGAGAAAGCCCCGCCTCAACCACGACGCATCTGCCCTTTCCCTTTCCCTTTTTTTTTCCGCGGGAGTGTATTCGTCTTGACAACGTCTCCATCAGCAGATGCAAGGAAAAGAAAAAGGGACTGCCTCTTGGAGAGAGTCGACCCCTCCAACCAAAGCGACGCGAAAACGTGTGTGTGTTGGTGTACGCGTTTCTTCTTGAGGGCAGCGGAGTTGAGGACGAAGGAAAACATGATTTTGGTGGTGCTTTCGTGTATTTCTCTTTTCCTTTTCCCATTGGTGCCGCGTCAACGTTTACTGTGCAGTTTTTGCTGTTTCCGTTCCTTTGCGTCGGAAGCGTTGGCTTCGCTGCTTCCACCTCCCCCTTCTCTTACTCTCTCGATGGCGCATGTTGTTGTTGTTGTGGTGGTGGGGCGTAGATACAAATAAGGTACCGCGTCTCACACACATGAGAAAGCTCCAAAGCAATGGACGACACAGGGGAAAAAAAGTAGATGACTCTGCTTTCTTTTTTAAATAGCGGATGAGATGGGAACCTGCATCAGTAGGAAAGGGAACGACGAAAAGAAAGAGGAAGCCACAAAGCGACAGCAAACGGCAGCTTCAGGAACGCGCCATGTTCAGCTGAGTTCCCTCCCCCTCTCTCTATGAGAATTCTGTTTTTTTTTTAAGTGTCTCTGCTTTTCAAGTGTCAATGGTTATTAATAGTAACTGTATCGTTCTTTTCTTTTATTACTACTATTATTGTCTTTGGTCTTGTATGGAGGTGCAGGGGTTTGTTTGTTTGGATGGAAGAGCGCCGGCAACACCGTGGCGAGGTGTTAAATGCGAAATCCGCGCTATACTATGATGTTTTTTTCTTTTCTTTTTCTATCTTCCTGTGAGCAGCGGTATGGTATGCCGCATTGCGGCTGTCGTGAGGATTGACAACAACAACAACAAAATATATGTAAGAGCCGCGTTGGTTGTTGCGGTGTCTGGTAACAGGTTTTTTTTTCCTCTTTTCTCTCCTTTCTTTCTTTCCAGTTTCACCACCCGAGGAACAATGGGACACAGCAGATGTCAGCACGTATAACAGAGGTCAAAACGGAAGGAAGAAAGGAAGGAGGACTGTGAGAACAAGAACAACACACACACACACACACGAAAGAAAATGAATCGACTGTGGGTCTGAAAAGGCATAGTGGATACGTGCTGCCTTGTTATCTGACGTTGCGGCCGTATGAAAGCTCGTCATCACGACACGTGGGTTTCTTAATAAAAGTGTCTTTTTTTATTGCTGGCTCTGGTTTTATTATTATGATTGAACCTCTCCAACTGCCCGACGATCAACCACACGTGTGCGCCTTTTTATATTCTGCTCTGCGCTCGGCGCCTTCGTCACTGGTCTTCTTCTTCCTTTTTTTTAGTGTGCTCCTTGGTTTTCTTTCATTTTTTTTTTTGTAAGCGTATAAGATCATCATTTCCCCCTAGAATCATCCTCCAGTTGTCTACGACCGTGCGCAGCGGTCTTTGCGGTTGCTCATTGTCATATATATATATATTCATTTATAAGTTCATTCCTTTGCGTGTTTTCTGTTTTCCTATGTGCGCAAACGCGCATTCACATTGCTGCACACGAGGCTCCGCGTGGTCGAGCGCAACGAGAGACCCGGTGTGCTCACCTGCGCAGCTCACACCAACTTTCATGCAATAGCCGACATACTCTTTGAGTGCAAAGCATGATCCCGCAGCAAAAGGAGGGGAGGAGGGAGGGGGAAAGGGGGAGGGAAGGGGGAGGGGGGAGGGGGGAACCTGCCAGAGTGTTTACACAAACACGACTTTCTACTTTCTCCTTTTCTTTTTTTCTTTGGTGGCAAAAAACAAAAAACCCGTTTTTCTGGAACTCTAACATGTTTGAAACTTTCACCCCCTTGTGTTTTTTTTCTCTTTCCTCTGTGTTGTAGTGCGCAGTTGCGGGTGCTTTTTTTTTCATCTCCTTTTCGGTGCGCTTGTGGCCATCTTTGATTGACATAGCGAAATCGTATTCGCAGCGAATGATCCGCAGGTGTGATTTTTGTGTTTCGGGCGTTTGTTGTACTCCGAGGCGTCTGTTGTGGCTGTCTCGCTCTCGTTTTCTGCAAGACGAATGCACTGTCCCTCTTTTTCTATGTCTTTTTCTTTCTTTCTTTGACTTCTTCTGGTCTGGTTTCTTCTTCTTTTCTTTGTTGGGGCCCGTGATGACTAATTTTTTTTTTTTGTTTGACTCTCTCCGTTGTTGTTTCTCTTGGGATGTGAGTGTTTTTGTGCTCGTGTGGTTTACGTTGATGGGGCGTGTGGCACGCAGAAGAAGAAGGTGAAGCTGTTTTTGGTTGTTTCTCCGTTTTTTTTTCGTTTTGCTTGTTGTTGTTGTTATCGTCGTAAGCGGGGAGGGGCGTGAGAAGAAGCAAAGATTAAAAGAAAGTGAAGAAAAACGCCTTTGGCTGTCTTTGAGTTTTTGGCCGTATTGGAAAGACCTTTTTTTTTAATGTATTTCTATCTTTTTCTTATTTTCTTCTGTGATGGCGTTGGAAAACGCCGTTTTTTTGGAGGAGCTGAGAAGAAAAAAGAATGGCGTACTTGGTATATATATATATATATATATGTTCTATTTCTCCCTTTTTTTTTACTATTATTTGTGGTGTTGTGTGCACGGTGCTCGGAGTCGTTTGTGGCTCTTCATGTTGTACGGCGTTGTGATTTGAGAAAAAAGAGAAAAGGACAACCAAGGCTTTTCTTTGTGTGATGTTCACGTTGATTTCGATTTTGTCTTCATTCTTCTGCCAAGTTCACCATTAATCAAGTTAACAAGAAAAGAAAAAGAAGAAAACAATAGTACTACAAGACGAACTCGTCCTCCATCGCGAATTGAAGACGTGACAAGTGTTTTCTTTAAAGCGAAACACGCGAAGATGACACTTGGGCTTGCGTGGGCACGTTCGATCTCTGCCCAAATGAGACTCACGGAAGTGTTTGGGTAGGTCTGCTGTTCTTGCAGGTCAATTTTTTTAGGGGCTACCTAACGTTGGGAAGGAACCCAAACCACACACACACCGGCTTATGTCCCTATCTCCCGCAACAGTCCCATTAATTGCGATGGACTAGCAAACAACAGCATGTCGTGCAAATTGCAGCTGCGAGCAGTTTTCGCGAGAGTCATCGATGTACCAGAGCCCCTGCACGAGGAGGAACCACTGAACAGCAATATGGAAACTCACTGCCACCGACGGCTTCTAAGCAACAGCTCCGTTTTCCCTTTCCCTTTCTCTTCCTATTTCTCTTCCTATTCTGTGCGGCTTTGCTCGCGTGAAAGCGGCGCCGTTGCACGCACAGACTACCCAATTTCACTGTGCCTCACATTCAAGAGCACCGTGTGCACAAACGCGGCTCGGGCCTGCTTGATCAAACCGCCTTCTCTCTTTTTCTTTCTTTCTATCTGCCTTTTTTTTTGTTGCTGCTGGTTGACGCGCTTCTCTGCGTGCCGCAGGAGCGAACGCCTAAACTCACCGTATTTGACTCTCACTCTTTTCCACTTTGCTTTACCAAAAACCTTCACTCAGTTCGTTTTGTATTCTTCTTCTGATTCCGTCGTTTCAGGCGTGGTGCGGCAAAGACACTTTGCTGTTACTGTTGTTGTGATCTTTACTGCTTCCCCCTCCCCCTTCCCCCCTTTTCCCCTGAATAGCGCACTGCCTTTTTCGTCTTCTATATCCGCGAAGGTGTCCTTCATTTCTCTCTCTACTAAAAAAGGAAGAAGAAAAGAGTGCCGAATCAACATTGGGGTTGCTAGACTGGCTGGCTTCCTTCCTCGCTATAGTTTGACCTTTGTCTTGTCATCTTCGTTTGGACTGCCGCCATGATTACCCCCAGTCACCCACGACGGACGCGCAAGGAGGTCCGGCTCGGCAAAAACCCCGACGTCGTGTACTGCGAGGAGGACCGCATCGGTCAAGGCCAATTTGGTACTGTCTACCGTGGCCGCTGCCCCGCCACGGACACCGTCGTCGCCGTTAAGATGCTCCGCGACATACCCGCCGTCGGCGTCAGCGAGGCCGCCAGCACCTGTCGCCCTGATCGCACGACGGCGCCGGAGGCAGACGGACGCGAAAACTCGACTTCCACACCAAAGCCACGACCGCGGTTCCCCTCCGAGTTGGAGCTGCTGTGGGCACTGCGCGGTGATCACTGCCCGAACATCGTACACGTGCTCTCTGTGTGGAACAAGCCGCGTAAGCACCACTCCACCGGCGGTACAACATCAGCGGAGAGGCGGAGCAGCAGCGGTGGTGGCAATGATGGTTCCCCGCCGCCGTCCTCCACGTCCACGGCCGCCTCCTCCCCCCGCCGGGCCGACACACACGAGCGGCACTCGAACATGTACGTGCTGGTGACGGAGTACTGCGAGGGCGGCGACCTCCAGCACCGCCTGCAGGCCCTCGACTCGAACGTGCCAACCCACGTCGCCCGCTCCTTCACCTACCAGCTGTGCAACGCCCTCTACACCCTCAAGCGGCGCCGCATTGTACACCGCGACATCAAGCCGGCGAACCTGCTCTTAACCTCGCGGGATTGGGAGACGGCGACGCTGAAGGTGGGGGACTTTGGAATGGCCAAGGCAGCCCCGGCCCCCACGGCGGTGCGGAAGGGAGAAGGAGCAGCCGCGGCGGAGGCGAACACGGAAGACAGCGACGCCGCGGCTGGGCTCATGCACGACGTCGACGGGGACGAGTCCAACCCCCTCCCCTCCACGCTCTTCTACTCGGAGGTGGGCACGCCGATGTACATGTCGCCCGAACGCATTGCCGGGCAGCCCTACGACTACAAGGCGGACGTCTACTCGGCTGGCATGGTGCTGCTGGAGATGCTGCTCGGGTCGTGCGTCCGCGTGACACGGGTGTCGCAGCTGCGGACGATGGTGCCAGAGACGATTCAGCGCATTCGCCGACGGTACACCGCCAAGGGCGGAGAAGCCCCGGTGTGGCTCGACTTGGTGCAGAAGATGACGGCGACCGACCCGGCGCAGCGGTACTCCGTTGAGGAGGTCCTGCGGCATCCGTGGTTCGCCGCGGGGGTCGGGCCGGCCCTTCCGCCCCTGACGTTCGAACTGCCGTCCGAGGAAAGGGAGATGGAGAAAGAGCCCGCCGCTGCGGAGGATGCGGGGAGGGACGGGGGAAGGAGTGTTGAGGACGCACGGCTGACCGGACACGACGGTGCTGCCGATCAAGCAGAAGCTGCGGCTCCTTTGAAGTCCGCCGCCACGGATGCCGCTGCCACCGCCTCCGCAAAGCACGCCGTACACGATGCCACGGCGGTCCTGCCGCCCCCCATCCACACCGAGGCGGACCGTCAAGAGGAAAACGACGCCGGCATTTCGACCCCCGCGCGTGGGGAGCATCGGCAGGGGCCACCGTCGTCTTGGTCGCTGCTGGGTGTGTGCACCGGGATCGAGCTGCAGCACAACACGGCCCGCTGCGTCTGCACAGGGCCGACGCCTAAGTCGAAGCACAGCGGACTCGCGTCCGTCAATCATGTGGCGACAGCTACCACAGCGGCGGCGGCGGTGTCGGCTGCTGCCGCGCTCGCCCTGCCGGCGGCGTGTGGGCCACACGTGATCACCCACGCCGTACGCGGCTTCGTCGACAGCGTGTACCTCTACGCCCTGCAAGATGAGCTGGACCCCGTGGGCGGACTGACGCTCATCTCTTTCCTTGTCGAGCTCGTGCAAAACGGGTTTGGTGCCTACCTCGAGTGTTTGGAGTCCCTCGGCAGCGGAGGAGGCGCGGGGACGAGCACAACTGCAACGGCGGGAACTGATGGGCCGTCTGCGCTGGAGAACAGCAGCGGCGTCTGCATCGACGGACACCGCTTTGTTGTGAAGGAGGTCGGGGGACTGCCGGAGGTGTGGCAGCGGCTGATGGTGCGGTTGTCGCACGCGAAGACGGTGTACACGGCGCAGCTGCCGCCGCGCATGCTGCAAAATGCTGCGCTGTGGCGGCGACGTGTGCTGCGAACGACGACAGGAGGAGCCGCAGCTGCAGAAGATGGCGTGAAGGATGCAGACGCCGAGGACAGCAACCTCTACGCCGCGTCGACGTCTTCGTCCGAAGAGGAGGCGGCCATGCCGGGTCTGCCGAACGTCGCTTCCATCACGAATGTCGCCGCAGCTGCACATGGGCCAATGTTGTTGCCTGCAGCGGCTACGACGACGACCACCGCCGCTGCTGCTGCTGCTGGTGGCGCAGGAAGTCCGCCACTCCGTGCCTACACGCTGAGCACCCGGGCAGAGCAGCTCATTTTTGAAAAGGCCGTCGACTACCTTCAATCGGAGGCGCTGGCGGTGCTCATGACGCCACCGACTCTCCCCCCGCCCCCACAGGACTGTAGAGAGGAGGGACAACGACGCATGGGCGAGCCCAGCGGGGACCGTCGTGACCTCGACACCACGGACTGCCTAGAGGAGGAGGAGGAGGCGTCCAAGATTCGACACAGTCGGGTCGCACCGGTACCGCCCTCACCCTCGGCGTCGTCGAGTCGTCGGCTGTCATCGACCACAACGGCAGGAGCCAACACGAGCGCCGCGGCATCCACGGCGCACGCCGCCATGCCGCCGCACCGTGGTATCGCCCTGCTACGTGTGTTGTTGCAGCGCGCGGTGCTGAGCGTGGCGCAGGTGGGGTTGGAGCCGGAGGGACCGTTTGCGGCGCGCAGCCCGCCGCTTGAGCCGTCGGCGGTGTCCCCCGTCGTCGTCGTCACGCCGCGCGGCGATGCGGTAAATAACCCTTTCGCCGCACCGACGCGGACGTCCTCGCCGTCCTCCACCACCGTCACCGCCGCGGTGGCCGCCGTCGCGCCTTCGACGAATTCGTGGGAGGGCGGGGAGACCGAGGCGGGCGGGTACGCGTTTGTGGTGCAGGTGCCGGTGTACGCGACGCTGCAGAGGACGGATGTGGAGGTGGTGGAGAATCTGTTGTGTGCCGCCACACGTGTGTTCACGAACTGCCAGCGCTCTGCCTAAGAAGAGAAAAAGGAGAGGAAATAATAAAAAAGAAAGGAGCGGGCGCACTTGGAATGGCAACTCGCTTGCTTTGCTGATCTTTTTTCCACCTCTCTTTCAGGGTACCAGCGTGTGGACCGTAGCGGGCATTCGAGATTCTATTATTATTATTATTGTTCCTAATTCCCGCGTGTTCTGTGGTGCGCGGGGTGAAGCGTTGGCTGCAAACGTGGAAAGCTACTCGTGCGTGTTGCATATAATTTTCTCTCTCTCTTCCTTGTGCTTCTGTACCTGCGCCCCGTTGCTTGTATCTCATTACCTGCTTTTCAGTCCTTTTCGGGCTGATCACACCGTTTTCTCTTTTTCTTTTTCTTTTCCTGATTCTTTTTCACCATTGACAAAAATAACAACAGCACCAAAGCGCGCACGCCGGACTCGTAGTGGTGGCGAAGAGAAGAAATGCGAAGGTGTTTACTTGAGTTTCAGCTGTTTGTGCCAGTGCCGTTCTCAGCGGAGCAACAACAATAAAACCCTTCATATGTTGTACCATCCGACGCTCATGCATAGATTATCTGATGTTTCCCCGCCGTCTCTTCAACCCGAAAGTTTGCGTGTGCGCATACATGTGCGTTTTAATCATCGTTTCTAAAAGGCGCGTGTGCTCCTTTCGGATGGGAACGACACACTTTGAAACGCGAAAACAAAGCACGGGGCTCGTCATGTATTTGCTTGTGCGACTTGCGCGTCGGCAGACACACGCGTGCACGCCGACTTAAAAAGAAAACATGCACACGGTATCTTTGGATATCCTCCCCTTCCTTTCCCCCTTTTTTTTTTGAACTCACGCAACACGCACCAGCGAGCACAGCTATTGCGACACTCAAAGGGTTGGCGGTACTCCATTCGAGACCACCACCAGGCGAAAGAACGAAAGGGGAAAAGAAGAAAAATCAATTATAAAAAAAGAAGGCGACGGGGAAGATTGATAGAGAGCGAGAGGCGATCAAGAACAACGGCAATAAAAGGACAAAGGCAACTGAAAGAGTGGTCGCGTCTCTTCTTCCGTTTTTGGCGAACTGTTAACCGTGCCCGTGCGCCTTCTCTGCACCTGACGTATCTACCTGGCGTTTTGGGAGGAGTGTGGAAGAGCTGTTTTTGCCGCCTTCCGCACACGCGCATCGTTGCAACGGACGAGCGCCTCTTCGTTTCCGTTTGACTTGGATTTTACTTTCTGTGTGTTTGCTTGCAACTGCAGTTGCGGACTGCACAGCTGCTCTTGTGTGCTTTCTTTCCTCTTTCTCTCTTGGGACAACAGGAAAGCGAAAGAGCTCTTTTTTCTTGGATCTACGTCGGGCAGTCGATTTTGTTTTCTTCCGCGGTTTCGGCGCTGTGCGTGCTGGCTGGCTTTGCTCTCTTTTTCAAGCTCTTCAAGGAATTCAACCTCACGACCGTTGACGCTGAACTCGTCCTTCTCGGTTCTTCTTACCACACACACACACACGCCGAAGGAAGGAAAGAAAGCATTGTGCAGCAACACCACAAGTATGTTGCAGAGTAGTAACAACGATGAGTACGCGAGGCAGAGGGCAGCCGGTGATAATCCGAACCCCACTTCCTCCCCACAAGGCTCACCCGGCCGCATCGGCCTCGCGTACGCGGCTCTTACGCCGGAACGAGAAGCCGCCCTGCAGGCGAAGGGCCGGCAGCTTCTCGAGGAGCATCGCCGCGAAAGCGGGGGCGGCTCAACGTACAGCCCAGAAGAGAAGGAGGCGCTGCAGCAGCGCGGGATGGAGTTGCTGCGCGCTGCACGGGAGGAGGCTGCGGCAAACAAGGGACAGCACGTGCCGGCGCCCCTGCTGAGCGCCGCTGCTCGTGTGGCCGCCGCGACAACGGCCATTCGACGACGTGAAGACGAAAACGCGAAGGACGGCGGTAGCACCCACAGCAGCAGTGATGATGATGTTGACGAAGCGGTGCAGGAACACGGCGCAACCCATCTCGACTCATCGCAGGTGGCCCAGGCCGCACCCGCGTTGGCGCACTCCCCTCCACAGCAGGGTGAAGCGAACCACACGGCTGGGAAAGGAGTGGACACGGGGGCGGCGCCCACGGCAGATGTGCAGGGGCTGATCGCGGAGGTGGGGCGACTGCAGCGACTCGTGGCGGCGCAGCAGGACGAGCTCTCCGCCGCGCAGGCCTCCCCGACCGCATCGCCGGAGGCGTTCACAAAAGCGCAGATGGACGCTGCCCGACAGGAATTGATCCAGCAGTTTAACGAACACATGGCGCAGTGCGAGCAGGCGAATCAGGACTACTGGGCGCAGGTGTCGGCGGATCATCGGCAGGAGGTGGACACACTGCGTCAGGAGGGCGAAGCGCTGAGACGGCAAATGGAAAGCCTACAAACACCGCAAAAGACCGAAGGTGAGATCGAGGCCGAAGCCGCCGCCGTCGCCTCGTTGCAGCAAGCCGTGGCCGTGCTGAAGCAAGAGTTGGATCGTGCGCAGCAGGAGTGCACCGCAGCCCATCTCGCACGCGAGGCGGCAGAGCAAGTGGTTGGATGTTTGACGGAGCGACTGCAGGAACAGGCGAATGAAATGACACAGTTGCAAAGCGAATTGTCAGCGGCCACCGCCGCCGTTCAGGCAGCGCGTGAGGAGGCGGAGAAGGCGGCGCAGGCGGATAGTGCAGAGCTGCAATCCATGCGTGAGCACTTGCTTGAACTGGAGAGAGCCTACCATGACCTGCAATCCATGAATGCGGAGCTGCAGGCTTCGAACGCGAAGCTGGAGGCTGCTCAGACTGCCGCTCCTGCTCCTGCGCCACCCGCACCCGCACACGATGCGGCAAATCCCTTTGCCGATGCGGACGCGGAGGACCCCTTTGGTGCCCCGTCGCATGCCGCTCCTACTTCTGCTGCGACTGCTGACGACAGTGAGCTGCAGGCATCACGCAAGCGCATCGCTGAGCTGGAGGCTGCAAATGCCGAGTTGCAATCCATGAATGCGGAGCTGCAGGCTTCGAACGCGAAGCTGGAGGCTGCTCAGACTGCCGCTCCTGCTCCTGCGCCACCCGCACCCGCACACGATGCGGCAAATCCCTTTGCCGATGCGGACGCGGAGGACCCCTTTGGTGCCCCGTCGCATGCCGCTCCTACTTCTGCTGCGACTGCTGACGACAGTGAGCTGCAGGCATCACGCAAGCGCATCGCTGAGCTGGAAGCTGCACTCGCCGAGGCTGCGGCAGACCAGGAGAGATTGCAGGAGGACATGGAAGACAAGGAACGCTTGATTCAGGCCCTCCGCGCAGGGGAGGCGGCGTTGGGCTCGCTGCCGGCGGACGCACTTGCCACCGACCATGGCTGGGGCATCACCCTCCCGTCAGATTCGGTCGACGGCACGCCCGATGACGGTGCGGGGTCGCTCTGTCGGTCGCCGGACACGCTCTCCGGTCTGCGCGCCCGCGTGGAGGAGCCGACGGGGCAGCTGGAGGAGGAGCGTCGTGCCTGCCGACAGGCTCAGCAGCAGCAGCAAGTAGCGTCGACACAGACCAACCCGCCCGCCCCGTTGTCGCAGATGGTGCCCGGGATGGAGGAGCTGGGCCGTCAGTATGCGGACTTCCAACACCGCCTCGCCATCGCCGAAGATGCGCAAGCAGCGTCGGAGGAGGAGGTGCGGCTCCTACGCGAGAGTAGCGCAGTGCACACCAGCCTGGAGGCCAACGGCAACGACGCACCGGCATCACCTCCGCCAACCTCAGCACGGGTAACGCAAGTTCTACCGGCACAACCGAGTGGCTCCTCCTCTTCCGCTGCCGTTGGGGTCAACCCTTTTGCAGACGCCGTTGCGAGCGACGAGGACGTAGAGGCCCACGGGGTGGCCACGACGGTGCGCGGAGGGCGCGGCACATACGACAGCATCGGCCTCAACCCCGACAGCAACCACCACCAAAATAACCTCTCCCCGCTGCGTCCACCGCTGTCTGAAGATGACGACAACCGCAACACGCCCGAGACACAGGTGTCGTTTCACATGGGCCACGACAGCGGTGCCGCACACGAGACGGGTGGGCTGGTGAGCGACACCGTTTTTGGCGATGCAGCGGATGTGCGGTGTGCGCCGGCGGCGGCGGAGCCCTTTGCCGGTGATCCCTTCTCTACCCACAGCAGGGAGGAGGAGCAGAGTGAGACGCAAACCACCTCCGCTGCCTCACGCGGCGATGAAGTGGTCCGTCGTTCCCCGCGCGAAAGTGGCGAGCTGCTCGACGAGGAGGAGGACACGACGGAGGACGTGGATGCGTCCGTCAGCACACGCGTAACCGCCGCTCGCGGTCGCGTCCCGCCGGTGCCCACCAGCAAGGTGGAGGACAGCGGGGCAGCGATGCAGGAACTGGGGAGGCAATACGCCGAGGCCCAGCACCGTCTTCTGCGCTCAGAGGAAGCTCGTCAGGGTCTCGAGCATGAGGTGGCGGATCTGCGGCAGTCGCTGGAGCAGCTGCAGGCCCAGGTGCACGCACAGGCGGCCGTAGCAGACGCTGACGCAGCACCAAGCGATCACTCCCATGTACACTTTCATCGTGATAACGACGACGATGATGATCCGCATCCTACTTCGCACTCCGACAGTACACACGAGGGGCACATCGGCAACGGGTTGGCGGGGGATGGGGGCGACTCGGAGGACGAGGAGGAGGCGACGCGTACCGTGACGACGTCCTTCGCCTCGTCGGTGCCCACGGCGGCACAAGAGCAGTCATCCAACCCGTTTGCACCGTCGTCCCTGCCGCCGCCGCCGCCGCACCACGCGGACGCGGACGACGATGCGTTGCTCGGCCCTCCCGTGGCCACCGATGCCGTGTTTGTGGAGCGCGACGGGGCGGAACGCGATCATGAAGGAGCCGAGGTGATTGTGGCGGACCAGGAGGCGGATAGGGCGGTCAAGGAAGAAGACGCTGCTGGTGTGACAGTCTCCCTCTGCAATCGTATTGCAGAGCTGGAGGCGGAGTTGAAGACTGTGTCGGCGAATCACGAAGAGGAGCTGCAAGCCTTGGCGGATGCCGCGGCGGATCGCATTGCGGCTTTAGAGCAAGCGTACGCAGCTGCTGCTACGCCCATGAGAGAAGCAGATAAGGAAGACGATGAAGTCTTTGGCAATGACGGCGATGTCACAGAATCGCAGCAGCAGTCACAACACCGCCAGAACGACCCCGCTGCCGCTGCCACATCCTCCTTGTCGATGTCCGCTGACCCGTCACCTTTCTCCATCGCACAAGCTGTGGCTGCAGCCCGTGCGGAATGGGAGAAAAGTCTGGAAGAAGAGCGCCAAGAGCATGCGCAGCTGCTGCACGAGGTAGACGCGCTGAAGGTGGAACTGGAGGAGCTGAAGGTCGCCCACGAGGCGGAGTTGGCGGCGCTGTCGGCCGAATGCAACCGCGAAATCGAGACGCACGACGAGTTGCTGCGGCAGCGCCTGGAGGAGCAGGAGGAGTCCTTTGAAGCTGCCATTCAGCAGCTCGATCAACAACATCAAGACCAGCTGCGCGTACTGGTGGCATCAGCTGAAACTGCCTTGCCCACCGTGCGAGAGGACGACGCTGCCGATGCGGAGGATAACAAAAACAACAATGATGCCGGCCATCATCAGCAGGCTGAAACGGCGGAGTACTGGAAAGAACAGCATGACACTCTGCAGAGGCGCTTTGATCAGCTGCAGCGCGACTACGACGACTTTGTGCAAGACACCGCCGCCCTGCAACGCCGTTTGGGCGAACAGCAAGCGGCGCAGCAGGAGCAGGCGCAGAGCCGCACTACACGCGATGCTGCGGCGCAGCAACTCGCGACCCTGCATGAACGATTGGCAGATATGACGCACCTCGTCGAGGCAGCGCAGGCGGACGCGCAGGCCCGCTCGACGGAGCTGCGTGAAGCCACTGCACAACACACGGCGACGGTGACGGCGCTGAAGGAGGAGCTGACGCGTCTGCGCACGCAGGCGCAGTCCTCGCACGATGAAATTGCCAAGCTGCACGGCTTGAATGAGGAGCTGTCGGAGCTGCTGCAGCAGGGTGCGACAGGCGTCGAGGCGGCCCTGCGTGACCGGGATGCGCAACTCAGCTCTCTTGAGACGCAGGTGCGGGATCTGAAGCAGCAGCTGGCCGCGTCAGGCGATCGCCTGGCGGAGCGGCAGGTGTTCGCGCAGGAGCAGCGTGACGCCTGCGATAAGCTCCAGCAGGAGGTGGAGGAGTTGAAGGCGTCGAATCGCACGCTGGGGGCGCAGCTGCGGGAGATCAAGCGCATGTCTGAGGAACAGTGTCGCGTGGCCGCGCAGGAGGCAGAGCGTGCTGCACGGGACGCAGCGGAGACCCGCGCTGCTGCCCAACAAGCCCTGACCGAGCAGCACACCACCCATCAACACGACATCGCTGCTCTCCAGACACAGCTGGACGATCTGCGCGGTGAGTTGGAGGCGGCGCAGACCGTCGCGGCCACTGTGCCTCTCGAGGCGCAAAAGCACCAGCGGGACTTGGAGGCGGTGCGGGCGCGGCTGACGGAGGCGCTGCGCAGCCAGCAGGAGCTGCAGCAACAGCTGAAGAGCAGCCGGACAGAGGTGGAGCGGCAGCGGCGGTTGCTGCGCGGCGTCAACGCGGACGGCAGCGAGGTGAGCGCCTCATCAGCCGACGGCGGCGGCGGCGGCGTGCCAGCGGGTGTGTCGGACGCGCGTGTGAACGTGCTGCTGCGGAACGTGGAGGAGCTGGAGGCGAAGCTGCAGGATGCGTCAGCGGAGCGGGACGGCCTCCAGCAGGAGTGCGACCGCGTCGCGATGCAGCTGAAGAGCGCCGCACGCGTGGCGGAAGTAAAGGAGCAGGCGATGCGACGGCAGGAGACGGAGCTGCGCAGCCTACGTGGACAGCTCGCCACGATGCGGGATGACTTAGGTCAGCGTGTGCAGTCGAACCACGCCTTGCAGCTGGAGATGGACCACCTGCAGGAGCGTGTGGAGGACTTGGCAGTGGCGAACGCGGAGCTGCAGGAGCAGCACAGCGCTAACGTGGAGAGCCACACGACACAGGAGCACGCCGAGGCCCTTCTCTTTGCCAAGGCGATGACGATTCCGCGCGCATTGGAGGACCACGTCAGCGAGCTCTACGCCGCCTACCACGCCCTGCTGCAGCTGACCAGCAAAGACCGCGCGTATGTCTACGGCCGCTGCGACACGATCGAGAAGGCGGCCGGCGAGGCCATGGCGGAGGCCGAGGCACAAAACAACGCCTACGAAGTCGCCCTGACGGACGCGCAGGAGGAACAGCAGCAGCTGAAGGAGATCATCGAGCACGTGGAGGAGGCGCTGCACAAGACCGAGGACGCGGCGGCGACGGCGGTGGCGGAGGCGAAGGCGGCGAAGGAGGAGTTGGAGGCTGTGCAGCGTCAAGCACGCGAGGACGTCTTCCAGGCGCAGCGCGACCTGCAGGTGGCGGAGCTGCAGCACGCCGACACGCTGCACTCGCTGTCCCTCCTGCAAGACGAGGTGACGAACACCGCCGCGCTCATCAAGAATCAAAAGGCGACCTATGAGCGGCGGGAGGCGGAGCTGGCGGCGCAGGTGAGTCAGCTGCAGGCGGAGACCGAGGCCCGCAAGACGTCTGCACGTCTGCTGCAGCAAAGCACCGATGAGGCGCTCAATGAGCTGCAGGACTTTGCCGAGCAGGCAGGACAGGAGCGTGACCAGGCGGTGCGGGAGACACAGGCCCTTCGTGCGCAGCTGGAGCGCGCACTGCCGCGTCTCGCACAGCTCGAGGATGAGCAGGCGCAGCGCACCGCAGACCTCATGGACACCGCCCAGCAGCTCTCTGCCCTGCACAAGAAGTCCTCGTCGACCGAGGAGGTGTCGCGTAAGCACATCGAGGAGCTGAACCAGACACTAGCGGAGCTGCTGCACGCACACGCAGTGTTGCAACGCACGCACACCACGACCGAGGCCACCGCGGATCGTCTTAAGACGCAGCTAGAGACGGCGACGCAGGAGCTGACGCGGACCTCGGCGAAGGCGCGCCAACAGGAGGAGGAGGCGACGCTCCTGCGTGACCGGCTGCAGGAGGTCGAGACGCGCACGAGCCAAATCATCTTGGATGACCAAGCACGTCTGCACGACGCGGAGCGCCGCATTCAGGGCTTCGAGCAGCGCAACGCCGCCCTCCAGAAGGAGTGCAAGTCCCTGCAAGAGGCACAGCAGTCCCTGCGCGTGGAGTTGGAGAGCACCGCCGACGCCCTGCAGCGCACGACCGAAACGTCGAAGGCGCAGGAGCAGCAGCAGAATCATCAACTCCGCCTCTTGCGCGAGCGCGCCGACACGTTAGAAGCGGAGCGGCAGGAGCTGATGACATCGGAGCAGGCCATCACGAAGGAGCGCGACGCCTGCCAGCGAGAGATACTGCAGCTGCAGCACAGGATGGAACTCCTGCAGCACCACCTGGGCGACGCCAACGAGCACAACGACACGCTGAATCATGAATTGGTGGAACTCAAGACGGAGCACGCCACCGAGTTGGACCGGCTGCGCGTGGCGATCACCGACGCCCAGAAGGAGCTGGCGAAGTGCCGACAGCTGCTGGCGGAGGCGGAGTCCCGCCAGGTAGAGCAGGATGGCGCCCACTACAGCCTCACGACGGAGATGAACGTGCTGCGGGAGGAGCTCAAGTCCGCACGGGTGCAGGCAGAGAAGGCGATGCAGCAGTATCAGAAGGAAAAGGCGGAGCGAGCGGAGTTGGCGGCGCTGCTGCAGGCGCAGATCGCACAACTCCACGAGGAGCTGCGCAGCAAGCAGGAGCAGCTGCGGGGCGTGGAGAGCACCGCGGCGAGTCAGGCCGAAACGATCAGCGTGCTGCGGCAGGACGTCGCGGAGGCGAGCGAGCGGCTGCGGCACACCCGGAAAGAGCTGCTGGATGTGCAGGAGGCCGCCAACGCCGCTAAGGAGCATCACCGCCGCGACCGCTACGAGCTGCAGTCGAAGCTGAACAACGCTGAAGACACGCTGGCGGAGCTGCAGCGGCAGCACGAGCAGTACCGCGGCCGCATGACGACGAAGGCGGAGCTGTACGAGGTGGCCGAGCAGGCTCTGCGGGCGGAGGTGACGGACCTGCGCGCGGATGTCGCTCGGCTGGAGGAGGCCCTCACGGTGTCCACGCAGGGCAAGGCGGCTGTCGAGGACGAGAAGTCCCGCCAGGCGCACTCCATCAAGGCGGTGGAGTCGGAGGTGCAGACGCTGCGGGCACAGACGGCGGCGGACATGACGGAGCTGACGGCGCTGAGGGTGCAGCTACAGCAGCGCACCGCCGAGGTGGACCGCACCCGCCGTGAGGGCGCTGCGCAGCTGGCCGGTGAGAAGCTGAAGTGGGAGGCCGAGCATGCTGCCGCCTGCGACGCGCTGGAGGAGGCGCTGCGGAAGGCGCAGCAGGCGGCGAAGGATTCCCGGGAGGCCCGGGAGCACGCGTTGGCCACGCTGGACCGCAAGCAGAAGGAGGTGACGGCGGTGGAGGAGGAGTGTCGTGCGCTGCGAGTGCGCGTGCGACAGCTGCAGCGGCGCGTGGAGGCGGCGGGGTATCAGCTGGCGGCGCTGGAGGGCATGGCGAAGGACTCCGCCGCCGATCTGGGTGTGTCCTTGGGGGAGTTGGTGGGCGGCACCATCACGGATGACAGCAACCTAACGGCGCCGGAGATTGCGCTCGACGCCAGCAGCATCACCAGTGGTGGCGCTTCTTCCTCTCCGGGTGCTGGTGCTGGTGCTGGTGCTGGTGCTGCTGCGGCTGCCGCGGTGCAGGCAGTTCTCGATGAGCTCGTGCGTCGGCTGAACGTGTACACATTTGCGGCGAACACGCTGGACATCGAGGATGCCCAGCTGGCTGCGCTGTTGCACGCGTTGGAGCAGCATCAAAACTCCGTGGACGTGCTGACCGAGGTGAGCAGCGGCGAGGACGGCGGTGGTGGTGTCGCAGCGAGCTACAGCAGCGGCGTCACACCGATGCGTGACGGCGGTGCAGCGCTCGGCCTCAACACCACACCGGCGGCGCGCGGGGGCCCCGTGAACAGCCACGGCGGCAAAGCCAGCGGTCACGGTCTGCCTGCGCGTTCGCTGACCGCAGCGCAGCAGATTGCGGTTCAGCAGATCAGCCAAGCCAGCTCCACCTTTGTACACCGAGTTGAGGACCACGTGCGCACCGCCCAGCAGATGCTGCGCGCGGTCGTCATGGCCGTCGGCGCACAGGAGGTGGTGGCCGGCAGTGCCGCTGCGCCAGACTCGAGCCTCAACACGCGCCCGTCGACGGTGGCCCTCTCTACACGACACAAATTGCAGGTGGCGGCGACCATCGCAGAGCTGCACCGCCGTACCGCTACGCTGACTCGCGCGGTGGATCGCGTGACGGAGAGCATCGTGGGGTCGCCCACGTCGACGAACTCCGCCAGTGCCGGCGCTCCTGCTGCTGCCGCGAATCTGCAAGCCGCGCTGCAAGAGCTTCGGCGGCTGTTCGCAGAGGCAGAGCGTCATGCGCTGCTGCCCTTCAACGAGCTTCTGTGCTCCTCCTCCGCTGCTGCTGCCGCCGCTGGTGAGGCGGGCAGTGCACCTGCGGGGACGGGGACGGCGTCGGCCGCGGGAGAAGCCTCGTACGGTGCACGTGGACGGCAGGGCAAGGGGAAGCGCACGCCTCCGAGGACACAGCCCCAGCCGCCGCTGCCGGCGACAGGGCGCCGCTCGCCTGTTCCTGTATGGGACGCACGACGCGCACCAGTGGAGGCTTCTCCGACACCGATGCGCGATGAGACACAGCAAGCTCCTCCGTCGATGGGTGACGTCGCCATCGTTTCCGCGCCGTCGCCGATACCCCCGGATGAGGGAGTAAAGTGGCTCTAAGCTTTCTGCCCTCCTTTTCAAATTCGCGAGCCACCCAACCGCCCGCGCCATCATCGCATGCCGCTTCTCTTCTTTTCTGAGACAGCCGGAAACGAATATGTGCCTGAGCGATGCTGCTGCTGCTGCAGTTGCGCGGATCCCGACTCACCGCAACCGCGCATTTCTTTTTGTTTTTCTTCTTGGCGGTATTCAATCGTGTTTTCGTTTGCTCCTTAGCGATTACGTTGTATGGACTCTGTACATTAGCGACGGTGCGCCAGCAAATCGGCGCCTCAATGGGAAGGAGAGGAAACGTTGATTGCATGCATGCTAATGCTGCATTCCTCGTTGTGCGCCTGTGTGGTGCTATGGCCATGTGTGGGACTATTCCAACGTGTGTGAGCTATTTTGACAGAGCGATGCTCGCAGCACCGTCACTTGTGCCATTTTTTTTTCTGGCTGTTGATGTCCTTTTGTTTTGCGGATCGAATCGCTTGAAGCGCGTCTCGGCTTTGAAGTGCGCTTTTGAAAGCCTTTCCTCCTCCCTGTGTGGACGTCGCACACACACATGTGAAGAAATCCAGACGGAATGCGGAAGAAGAGGAGAGGATGCGCAGTTGCTGTTTGCTGTTTAAACAACAACAAAAATCTAAGTATCACACCCACAGGCTCACATTACAAGAAACGATGCTAGTGACCACAAAGCGCGAGTTTGTGTCGGTGACGAGTACCTTTGGCAGCTTCACCTTCGCGAGTGTTCCTGTCTCGATAGCTTTCCCGCCACTTGACGGCCGCTTCGTCCATTCTCTTGGACGACAAAGGATGTGTGTGCGGTGCGCCTTCATCATCTGTTGAGTTCAGGCGACGTGGCCGACACCTGCTGCTTTGTCTCTTTCTTCATGTTCCTCTCGCATCGCATGTACACTTTTGTGTGTGTATGTGTCTCTGCAGCGAAGTGTGCTCTTCGTGGAACGGAGAAGAGGGGCGAGTATCGTCGCAGCTGTTGAATGCGCCTACGCCTATGTCGTTCTATGTGTGGCTCGACAACCTCCACTTAGCTTTATCACTAGTTGGTTTCTTTTTCCTTTTCTTTCTTGAGCATTCTTGTGGCGCTTTTCATTGCACACGCTTTTGAAGAAGCCTCGTCGCAACCGTCTTCCTCTCTGTGTGTGTGTGTGCGTGCGCAGCTTCACATCGCAGCAGCCCCTCACCGCGGACAGACAGCTCGTGCGGGGTATTCGGCTCCGTTAGCAAGAGCAGCGAGCAACGGCTGACCATTATCGTTGGATAAGCCCGAGGAAGGAGACTTACATACTTATTGTCGCACGCTGCCCTGCATCTACGGGACGAAGAAAGAAGAAAAACAACAACAGCAACACCATCAGGTAAAACGGAAATGAAGTCGTCGGATATCTTTCACGCGTGCAAGTACACGCCGATTCTGCTGAAGAGCCGCACGAACGACAGCGGCGTGAATCAATACGGATTGAAGCCCGTGAACTCGTATGATTTTCTCAACCCGACCAACCTGGTGAACTTCGGTCGGGGCACCTCCTTCGACAACTTAGGTGTGCGCCGCTCCGACCGAGGACAGATTGACTCAGCGCCGTCGCTCGGCGGCTCCTCTGTGTTTACGCAGGCGAAGATGTTGGGCCTCAGCGGCGATGATCAGATGCGCTTGTGCGAGTCGGAGACGACACAGCTGCGCGTTTGCATGGCAAAAGGCGGCAACACCTGCGAGCGGGAAAGCTTGATACTCGACGCCTGTCTCGGTAAGGTTGGCCATCTGCGCCGTGCCATCCGAAGAGCTGGGGAGGAGTTCAACGACTGGTTTATCCAGAACGTATCGGACAACCACACGAAGCCCTTCCAGCACCGTCCGCACGACTGGCGTCACTTCTACGCACAGGAGAAGCTGGTGCGGGAGAAGCAGCAACACGGTCACGCCTATGGCCGCCGCCCGAAGGCGTTCTCGTTTGGTGCTCGCTACGTCAAGACGGAAGGCTACGGCAAGCGTCCCCGTCTGCCGTACAACAAATAACCACGGCGCAGGAGGAAAAGACAACGGTAGGGCTTCTTGTTTTTGTTTGCTAGATAGCCGTGTCTTCGTGTGTGTGTGTGTGTGTGTGTGTGTGTGGCGTGACGGAGCAGCTGAGTGCTCCGTGTGTTTCCGGGGCTGAAATGAATTCGCTACCGTTTACAGAAGGAAAGAAACAAACAAACACGCGCTGCCGCATCGTTGTGTGTGTGCGTGATGCTTGAAACAGCAATGAACTACCGAAGCAGAAATGCACTAGTAGAACGAAGCTACTTTTGTGTTCTCGTTGGCTCACTTCGCCTTCAGCGGCGGTCTCTTTGTCTGTATTTGCTTGTTTCCTCCGTGCTTCCCGGGACGCGTTTTGCATCTTTTTTTTTTCTTGAAGGAGCTCCATCGCGATGCGTCGAGTCCCGCCTCAACTGTTCCGTTTTCCATGGCCGCACGCATGCGCATTGCACCCTCTCTCCTCCTCTCATGCGAGATCTTCATGACGCCATCTTGCACCGTCCTTCACCTCCGTTTTCTCCTCGCTCACCCCTCCACCTCCACCTGCCAAAAAACCCCAAAACAGGTACTACGCATCACACACTTCCATTGCTGGCTTTTCTGTGTGTTTCCTTCGTCTCTGCACGCTGAGGAAGTTCCCTCGCTCGCCCTTCTCTTCTTGTAAAGTTTTATTTTCGCACAACCCTCGCAAATCACTCCAGCGTGCTTCTCAATTTTACTTTAGTTTTCCTTTGTTCTCTTGTTGTTGTTTGGTGCTGACTCGTCTTCGTATCCGTATACACTATCGTTGCGGTTCTTCTTATCAATAGCACACGCGCACCCGTACACGGAGAAGAAGACAAACAACAACCGAAATAAGTGGGAAGGGGTTCGATCAAGTGTCTTCTACCGCAGCTCTCTTCCCTCAGGCGTTGTTCGCTCTCATTCCAGGGTTTATTATTATTGTTATTATTATTCTTAAGCCAACATTGACAGACACGGAGACCCCCAAAAGGAAAGTGCCCATCATGGCGATCCCTTTGTTGGCCAACGCCAAGACAGTGAAGGAGGACAGTGCCCTCTTCTTCGCTGTGACTGAAACCTACGCCGTGCCGACCGCCAGCGCGCGCTACCGCACTCCACGCCAGTTTAATGAGCTCCTCCGCAGCCGCCTCCGCCAGCGCAATCGCTTCAATCGCGATCACCACGACACGTGCATGTACATCGCCCGCTCAAAGAACGCGAACGTGGTCGCCTACACGGCGAATCTGGTGGATGTGAAAACGAATCAAAGCGTGGAGTCCGGCATTGGCCGCCACTGCGCCTTACGCAAGGACGACCCGCTTCATCCGTACTTCGTGAACTTGGAGCCGTCGTACGTGGCGGAGCGGCGCCGCAAGGGCGTGGAGTACGACTGCGATGATTTAAATATTTTGGAACGCACGATGGCGTACGGCGTGTCGGCGGCGCCCGTGAATATGGATGGCATCTCGCAGTACTGGGGGAGGAAGGCACCGGAGGCCTTCGCGGAGCTGCAGCGGAGCTGGGCCACGTCCGGCAGCGCAGCGGCGCCGGAAGGTGCAAGGGAGAAGTCCGGCACAGACGACGACAAGAAGAACGACGGCGACGACAGCAGCAGTGGTGACAGCGATATAGTGAAGAATGCTGACGCCGGGGCGGGGTCGCTGGCTGATGACCTTACAGCCGACTCGCTCGACGCGGCGCTGAAGGCGTGGTGGACGCCGTTTCATCCGTACGTCTCGCACTTCGTCGCGCTGCCCACGTGGCCCGGTCTGGTGTTGTGCCTGCCGCCTTTGAGCACGACCGACGGCAGTCATCGCAGCAGCGCGTGTGATGCGAGTTTGAGCAGAGACGGGACAGCCCCGACGAAGGCGGCGTCTGTGGGGTTGGAGGGGACCGACGCGCCGCCGGAGACGGTGAAAACGTGCATCACCTACGGCACCCACACCGAGCCATCTCCGCTGACGCCGACCACCGGTGTCTTGTCGGACGAGGACACCGTCGTGGTGATTGTTTCGCTCATTGATGGCGAGCTGAGCGTGGTGGAGAGCGTGTACGTGAGCAGCGTGGAGCCGAAGCGCTTCTACCAGCTGCCCAAGGTGGAGTACATCGAGGTGCACGGCACGTCCCTCGCCACCGGCAAGCCGACCTATGAGAAGAAGTCCAGCTAACCGCAGTTAAGCGAGAGAGAACGAATGCGAGCGCCGTTTCGCTGTTCTCCTCTTCTCCGCCTTGTGATAACTCCAGTGGTAGCGGTAGCTGTCCGTCGTCACAGGCGAATGCTTATTATTCTTTATTCCTATTACCACTGGAATGCGGTGTCTTTCAGCCTGCATCTGTGCACGTGTGCAGCGGCAACGCAGCCAACACCACATTCTTCGACACTCTGCTCCACTTGCAAAAGGAGAAGGAAGAGCACTGGTAAAGGGCACCTTCTTCGATGCTTTTATTTATTTATTTATCCGGTTTCAGTAAAACAGAAGTAATATCGCCATGCGGTGACGGCGCTGTTTTGACGCTCTCGTCTATTTCTCGTACCTTCTGTTATGTGAGAGTTTTGGCACAGGTTTTATTCCTGTCGATGCGAGCTTTCAGTTTTTATACACTTCGTCACCAGCACGAACAGCTGTCAGCCGCGGAAATTTAAAAAAGAAAAGGATTATCGCTGTGCTGTTCTTGTGGGTTGTGCGTGTCCCTTTCCATCGATTACGACTAGTATAATAATTAATGCGGACCTTTTCTTCTTCTAGCCTCCTTTTTGTGATCATGAAAGGAAAATCCTCTTCTCGTTTGCTTTCGTTTTCATTCTGCTTTAAAGCTTTTTATTCCTCCTTTCCGGTCCCTCTTGGCTCAGCTCTGCGCCCCCTCGAGCGAGTCTGCGTGAAGTCGTCATGGAAGCGACTGAAGGTGTCTGTGTCTCGCTGCATTCCGTTTTCGCATTCACTGCTGCCACATTTCCATTGCTGCACTGTGCGCTGTTCACACAAACACACACACGGCCGGTTCTTTATTCTCCCTTTTGTTAGTTGCTTAAAATATATATAGGGAAAGAAACACCCCTTTTCGATGGCTTATGTCCCTGCGCTCCCGCACGCCTTTTCAGAAAGTGGGTGACTGACGCAACAACGCTCCTTCGTTTAGTTGGGGAGAGAGGGCGAAAGAAAGGAAGAAAAGGGACGGTGTGTGGTAGGGCGGCATTGGGTTCCGCCGAGTGCGATCTCGCCCCCTCCCCTAAGCCCAACCCAACCAGCTGCTGCGTTTATGATTCTGCTTTTCTTTCTTTTCCGAGACGGCACTTACTCCGTTGTTCTCCTCTTACCATCTTGTCGTTCTTCGTTGCCTTCTCTTTGTGTTCTTGTGTCGTTTCTGCGACCACTTTACCTTCTACACGCTTTCACTGTCCATATCTACAACAACCTTATATATATATTGCTGGCCCAAACCCACAGCTTTGTTCGTTGTTGTTTCAAGTATATATCCATCTATCATCACCATTCAGCGTAAATCTTTTTTCCCCCTTTTTCCCTGTCCCCCCTTCACTCCGTACAGAGAAGAAAACGTTCTTTTTTGAAATATCTCTGTCTCTTGCGTTTGTCTTCTCTGTACTTACTTCCCCTCATTTTTTATGAAAGAAGTGTCTCCTTTTCTATTTCCAAATAAAAGAGCTTATTAGCTTTAGTGTTGTCCTTTGACTTTCCCTCTTCCTCTTCTTCTTCGTTTTTACGATTGACGCCGTTCGTCCTCGGCGAACCTGCCATCGCACGCTTTGTTTTCGTTTCCGTTTTCTGAATCCACATCTTTCACATCAGCTATTCGTGTGAAATACGAAGTTGGTTATACAAAACGAAAATACGCAAGAGAACTGTATACGTCTTTGCATTCTCACTAAAAAAAGGTTTAAAAAAATGGCGTCTTCTGCGGCGACACAGCTCTTCCGCGACTTCGTGTGGCAGCCCATTTCCCCCTCCGCGAAGGGGCCCTCGAATCTTCCCATTCGTCGCCCGAGCAACACGAGTGCGCACAACGAAAATGCAGATGTGCTGGTCACCGCACCGGGCCTCACGGCCGGCGTGCAGCAACTCAACCGATCCATTCGCCGCCGCCTCGTCGCCCGTCGGCGCTTCAAGGACGACCACCACGACACGTGCATGTTCATTGAGCGCTCCAAGAACCAGAACGTGGTCGCCTACACGGCGAACTTGGTGGACGGCAAGACGGGCGCCGCTGTCGCGAGCGGAGCGAAGCGGGCCGATGTCACCTTCAAGGCCAGCGATCCGCTGCGGGCATACTGGGTCAAGATCGAGCCGGAGCACGTCGCCCGCCGCCGCGCCCGCGGCGAGACGGAGGACATCTGCGAGCTGAACATGGTGGAACGCAAGCTGGCCTTCGGCTGCAATGCGAGCCTCCTCACAAAGGAGAAGTTTATGGCGGAGGTGTTGCCAGACAAAGCCGCGCGCAGTGCGGCCACCGCAGCGGAGATGGAGGCGATTGCGCTGCTGTACGACGAGCTGCATCCCTGTCTTTGCAAGTTCGTGGCCATGTCGTCGTGGCCGGTATGGATGGTGCGGCTGCCGCCGCTGACGGAGAGCACGTCGACCGCGACCGCCGCGCTCGACACGGACGACGACGCCTCTCCGGTTTCGATGCGGGCGTCTCGTGAGGGAGAAGACGCGGAGGCGATGGCGTTTAACGCGAACGACACCGTCGTGGCGATGCTCGCCTTGATCAATGGCGAGCTGAGCGTGGTGGAGAGCGTGTACGTGAGCAGCGTGGAGCCGAAGCGCTTCTACCAGCTGCCCAAGGTGGAGTACATCGAGGTGCACGGCACGTCCCTCGCCACCGGCAAGCCGACCTATGAGAAGCGGACGACCTAGGCTCTGTCGTACAGCCAAAGAAAAGTAAATCTGCTGAGAAATACAAAGAATGAGCGTATAAAGGTAGACGCACCGATCTTTATTAGCAGCATCGATTGCTGCGTCCGTGTGCTAGTGCGAGTTTAAGTGTGTGTGTGTATGTGCGTGTGCGTTCGACGGTGTCCAGTTCAGTTTTCCTTTTCCATGTGGGCAGGAAGCTGTCGGAAAGCGCTGCGGCTCCTCTTTCTTTCTTTTTTCCCTTTTCTCTTCTTTATGGTGTCTCGCCACTTCTTATAGTTCTTGGTGCACTGGATGTGTACAGACGGATAATGCAAAATTGCAGTCTATCCTTTTTTTTTTTTGAAAAGATAGCCATAAAAGGAGAGCAGGGACTGAAGGCTGGTGGTGCGAAGAACGGTAAGCTGCTTCTTATAAACACGTTCTCTCCTTTGATTATACCTATATGTACGTATGGTCTGGCAGCTTATATGTTTCTCTGTCTCTCTTTGTTTTAGTCAGTAGCCGTTTCGTTGTCCTTCTGTCTAGCCGCCTTCAGCTTCTCTCTCTCTCCTAATAATGATAATAGTAAGCAAAGGGCCTCTCGTTTTTTCCCCCTTTGTTCTCTCTTTCGTGTTTCCTAGACTTCGTTGACCTCCCCCTCTCTCTTGAGCCCACTCGATTCAACCGAGTTCGTGCAAAAAGGGGGGACAGGCGACAGAGGCAGCATTGAAATGCCGACGGTGGGCGTTGATATCTCTCACCGGCTCCTGCGTTGGAAGTTTGCTCACGCCTTCTCCTTCTTCTCCGTTCTGCGAAACACCCTAAAATAATAAAAACAGAAATTGGAAGGACGACAGTTGAGAAGCAGAAGAGCATGGGTATCAGTTCGTGTTGGCGGATGCACCGAGGCGCAGTTAAGGATTCTCAAAGAGCGCTTTTCTTTAGCAGTTTCTTTCGTGCCTTTTTTTGAAAGAGAGATTTGTTGCTTTCGTGATCGTTGTCTGAAACCTCTTTTTCCCCCTCCCCTTTCCTCTCCTTCTTTCGTATCCTTTGTATGTGGCGCTCGATTTTTCGCGGTAACGGAAGGAGGAGGAGCAGACGGACGAAACAGATAAAGAAAGGCTGGTCGTTTTCGTTTTGCTTGAGTTTTTTCTTTTTTTTCTTTTTGTTCTAACTAACGTGCGTAACTCTTTCTCCTTTGCGTTTTGGGTTTGCCTTTTCTCTTTCTTTCTTTTCACTGCGTGCGACGTAGAGGTGTTCTCGCTTTCTTTTTTCTTTTAAATGTATTGTGGCGGAGGGGATTCTCCTCTCCTCACGTCTTTGTGCTGTCTGCTCCGTATCCCTCCTTCGCACGATGATGATTTTGAATTTTGGATTTTTGTTGCTTTGCTGCGCGCATGCACACACACACACACACACACACACACACCGACACATATATGTGTTTGTGTTTTCTTGTTTTCAGATGTCCTCTTTCTCCTCTTCTTTTGCTTTCCGTCGTTTTCCTTTATCTTTCTTCCGCTGCCGTACGCAACGCGGCTTTTTTTTCTTCTTTCTTTGGACTCTTCCGTGCAGGAGGCACTCGGTGTGTTCTGCGCGTTCCATGCAAAAGGGAGATAAAATAGGTAGAGAAGGTGTGCGCGCCGAGGAAGAGAGGGGGAGAAGAGAGAAGAACAAGCCGAGAAGGCGAGCAACACATAGAGGCGTTTACTTGAAAAAGAATAATTAACGCAGCAAATCTGGTGTCTCACCGCTTTCGACTTTTTTTTTTCTTTGCTCTTCGCATGTTGCCCCCTCTTCGGTGCTCTCGACCCGCCAGCTGGGTCGATTTTCGGAGGTGCAAGTTGAATGCCTCGAGGAAAAGAAAACGAAGTAACAACAACCACAAATAAAGAGAAAAGGAAAACAAAACTCGAAGAAAAAAAAAATGAAGCGCATCGCGCCGAATGACGTCCACGCGCACACCTCTTCTTCATCGAAGGTGCGACTACCAATCTACCCTGCCCAGCAGCTCCTCCAATGAAGGTAACAACGGAGGAAGTCTTGCCTGTTTTTCTCCTCAGCTTACCTTTTTTCCCTTTTCAAGTGCTCTTTTTTTTTCTTCTCTTTTTCGCTGTCTTGTTCTCCTTTGCTGTTAAGCGATTCTGATGACATTTGGTGTACATACAAATATGTCTCTATTTCCTCTTCCCCCCCAAAAAAAAACACAAAAACTTGCAACAACAGACGAACACCCTTTTTCTTCTCTTTTATCTTTTGCTTGTGGTTTTAGTGGATCGCGAAGTGCTTCTCTGTCTCAGTCCTTGTTCTTCTTCTTCTCACCGGTACGCGTGCATTCGACTGTACCCTGGAAAGAGAAAAAGAGGGGCGGCGGACGAATTTTAAAAGGAAAAAGGGATAATTGAAATGCTACATTCGATGGACCCCCCCCTCCCTTCGCATATCCCGCGTGCTGGTGAACGTCGTTCTATGTGCGCACGCACGAGTTCCTTCATTTCTAATCGTTAGTTAGTTGTTTTTATTTCAGAATTTGATGTTTGTAGTATCTTAGTTATCCAGACAAAGGGAAAACTGCCTTCTCGCTGATCAAACCTCTCTTTTCAAGAAGCAAATAAAAAAAAATGAAACGAAAAGAAGCTGTCTCATCACGGTCAAACGGTTTCTGACGATTCGTAATTCAGCAGGCATGCGCTTTGTTTTCTTCTTCTTTTTTTTCTGTTCGTTTTTTTTTTTTAAGAGCCTCTTGGACACGTTCTTGCGACCATCGATGCTTCATATCCCTCTCTAGTATTATTGCTGCTGCTGCTGCTCTTGTTGACCACTCTCATTTGTTTAACATAATTAGGGAAGATGTATCTCCACACAACAACACCGACAGCAGCATCACGCACCCTTTACCTCCCCCCAAAAACACACACACCTACCACGACAGAAACGGCGTGAGTTGCCGCGTCAACGGAACGTTAAAGTCGTCCATCTGCTGCTATCATCTCTTCTTTCCCTTTTGTTTCTGCGACAATCGGTAATGAACGTAACAGAATAAAAGATCTAAACATATATATTTGACCTTTCATTTATATATTCTTATATTGTTTCAATGACAGGTATCACGCCGCGACGCGAGACCCGCCAACGAAAAACACGCTTAAGAAAATAAAGAAGAAAATGAATGGAAAAGGAAAGGCGATGCGCCAGATGCGCTGACGCACTGTGGGAAGGAAACCGGAAAGACAAAAAGCCAGAACTACAGAATCTTAAACGTGCTGTTTTCCTTCTCGGACGCCGTGGGTGTTCGAAATCGACTAGAGCTTTTGGAGTTGCACGAGGGCAGCGTGCAACGCGCCAACGCTGTCGTCTACGCTCGCGCCTGCTGCTCGCAAGAAAAAGTGTAGCGACGATGAAGGGTGTGGATTGGGCTCCTCTGCGTTTCAAATCGCCAGACCTCGCTGCTTCTCCTTCTCACCTATCAAAAACATGCTCTTTTTTTTTTGATATTTACCTCCCTTTGCTTCACTACGTTCACCACCACCACCGCACAGGTATTTGCAGCTCTTGCGACAGAAAACAACACTGCGGCGATCGAGGAGGACGTGCTGTGCCTCCCGCCCTCTCGCTTCCTATTCTATTCTGTTTTCATTTTTTATTTTGCATCCTTCACCCGCCTGGACGTTTCCCAGACGAAGCAAAGCAGTCCACTTCGCGAGGTTTATAGTAACGCCGCCTTATTTGGTTCCGCTAAATAAACTTAAAGGAAAACCTACCCACCTATATAAACACCTAGTAATAATACTATATATATATATATATATATATATTGACCACAAGGAGTATTCAGCGTCGCGCCAATGCCACCGAAGAACGCATCCGCCAAGAACAAGCAGCAGCAGCAGCAGCACGGCGGCAACGGCAGTAACAACACCAAGAAAGGCAAGGGAAGCAAGAATGACAGTGAAGAGGACTTCGACGCGCTGCTCGCGGCTGCCGTGAAGGCCACCAAGAACGACGCGTCAAAGAACCACAGCGGCAACAGCAACGGTAGCAAACACGGAGGTGCGGGCGGCAGCGGCGGTGTCCCGAGCAACAAGAGCCTGGCGGCAGATGAGCCCGTTGTGCCGAGCTCCGCGGACCACCCGGAGAACCCGTACCGTGCCGCCGTGGCGGGCTATCCTCGGCAGACCTGGCCGGAGCCGACGGTGCCGGTGGCGCAGCAGTTCCCCGCTGGCCAGTTCCCGCCAGGCGAGATCGTCGACCACCCGGGCGAGATGAATAACTTCCGTCACAGCAGCGAAGAAAAGCGAGCACTGGCGCGGGCGAGTGAGCAGCAGGTGCAGGAGATGCGCGAGGCTGCGGAGGTGCACCGGCAGGTGCGTACGTGGGCCCAGAGCTGGATCAAGCCCGGCCTCTCCCTCATGCTCATGACTGACCGGATTGAGAAGAAGCTAAATGAATTGATTGGAAAGGACGGCATCCTGCGGGGGCAGGCGTTCCCAACCGGCTGCTCGCTTAACCACGTCGCGGCGCACTACACGCCCAACACGGGGGATGAGAAGGTTGTGGTGGCGTACGACGATGTGATGAAGGTGGACTTCGGCACGCAGATTAATGGCCGCATTATTGACTGTGCGTGGACGGTGGCCTTCAACCCCATGTACGACCCCCTCCTGCACGCCGTGAAGGAGGCGACGTACGAGGGGATTAAGCAGGCCGGCATCGACGTGCGACTGTGCGATATCGGGGCTGCGATTGAGGAGGTGATGGAGTCGCACGAGGTAGAGATCAACGGCAAGGTGTACCCCGTGAAGAGCGTCCGCAACCTGTGCGGGCACAACATCGGCCCCTACCAAATCCACAGCGGAAAGAGCGTGCCGATTGTGAAGGGTGGAGAGCAGACGAAGATGGAGGAGGGCGAGGTCTTCGCGATTGAGACCTTCGGCTCGACGGGTCGGGGCCTGGTGAGTGAGGACTTGGAGTGCTCGCATTACATGATGGCCCCTGGCGCGGAGACGATGCAGCTGCGCTCCGACAAGGCGCAGCAGCTGCTGAGGCACATTCATAAGTCGTACAGCACGCTCGCCTTCTGCCGCAAGTGGCTCGACCGCGACGGCTTCGATCGCCACTTGATGAACTTGAACCAGCTGGTGAATGAGGGGGCCGTGAACAAGTACCCGCCCCTGTGTGATGTGAAGGGCAGCTACACCGCGCAGTTTGAGCACACCATCTTCCTCGGTCCGACCGCGAAGGAGATTTTGTCGAAGGGGTCGGACTATTAAATGGCGAGGAGTAGAGGAAAAGGGGGGAAAAACTCTGCCGCTGTTGTTCTTTCATCGTCTTACCGGCGTGCTTGTGCGCGCGCATTTTTGGCTCTTCGCAACACGTGCGTGTGCGTGTGCGTGTGCGTCGTTGTTGACGTCAACGCAGCTTTATCTTTCATTTTTAAAATATTTTTTTTTTTCATGCTTTACGAAAGAAAAGGAAAGGAATACTGTTGCTTGGTTGCGCACGACGAATGGCTGCTGTCGTGTCTCAGCTGTCACAGGAGCGGGGAGGCTCGTTGATCCCGGCGTGGGCGGCGTCTCTCTCTCTCTCTCGCCGGACAACTCTTTTATCCCCTCTTTTTTTTTCTTTCTCCTCCGCAGAAGAGACGAAAGGGAAGCGTGAGGGGGCTCTTGCTTTCATATTAGCTAAATACAAACGGCCACAACAACAACTCATTTGATTTCTCGTAGTTTCGGCGAAATGGAAGGAACCATTCTAACGTTAACGCGAAGCGGAACGTGAACGCTAAGCCAACCCAGAGGAATACGAAGATAAGAAGAAGGAAAAGAAGGGAGCGCTTCTTGGCCCTCCTACGTGCTATGACCCGCTCAGGAGCTGATAACAAAGGAGAGGAACGTGACCTTTCTTTTTATTATATATTTTTTCTCCTGCTCCTTTCTTCTCCTTTAGAAGAAGATCGTTGTGCGCTTCAAGGATAAAGCAAAGCTGCTTTCGATATGTGTTTTCCTAAAGAAAAGAACCCTTGCTTCTCTTTCTTTCTATGTTCACTCTGAGCATTTTTTTTCTTTAAATTCCGCCATCTCTCCTAGCGTACCGTCGTGCCATTTGACAGTTGTCGCTGCGGCATTCCGCAGGCATCACCGCCGTATCCCGCCTCTGCGGAGAAGCAAGCCTCGTATTTCTTCTTTTTTTTCTTTTTGATAAAGCCGAATTGTTGATGCTTCGATACTCACTGCGCCGTGCCGTGGCTGCCATCACCGGCGGCTTCTCCTCTGCCGCCTTCACGGGCGACGACGGTGATGCCTTTAACAGCCTCAAGAGCGAGCAGGAGCGGCTGCAGCGGCAGCATCAAAGCGGCCAAGACGCGGAGGAGGCGACCGCGCGTGACAACTTCTCATCCGACCGTAGTAGGAGCAGCGGTGATGAAAGTCAGAACGCGTCTACTGCTTCTTCATCCTCCTCCTCGTTCACCGGGTTTGATTTCTCCTCAGCGGCCCACGCCAACGACGGTGCCGACGCGTCCACATCGACGTTGGAGCGGCCCACTATCGACACCTACCGAGCCATGACCGATGAGCGGCTCGTTGACACGCTGCGCCTGCGCGATGAGCAAATCGCCCAGCTGCGCCTCATCTACGAGAGCTTCCACTACGACGCCGACAAGCACCTCCGCAAGATGATCTTCGACTACCACGACAAAACAATGCAGCTCTCGCAGGTGCATGGGAAGATGCAGCAGGCTTCGCTGCAAATCAACCGCGAGGCGCTGGCACGCATGCGGGATGAGCAGGAACGCATGACCCGCGACAAGCGCCTCATCTTTACCCTCTGCACGCTCTGGTCGATCATCTTCTGGGTGTGGGTGCGTCGTCACTACGTGAAGAGGCGCGAGCTGGAGTCGGCGTGGGTGTCGGTCGTCGACCGAGCCCAGATGAGTCCCGCCGTCACGGGTATCGGAAGCTACGGTGACAACTTTTTTGGCAGCAACAAGCGCAACGCTCGCTTTGCGGAGACGTCGTGGGAGCGCGAGGTGCGGGAGCGGCGGGAGGCGCAGGACGTGCGGAATCGGCAGCTGGCACTGCTGCGACATCAGGGCGAAGTGGCGAAGGCGGTTGCCGCCCGTGATGCGGGAGGAGCAGCGGTTGACACTCCAACGAAGCAGACGCCTTAAACCCCCCCAAATGAAGAAGGAGAGAAATCAATCGGTGGCCACCCCCGCTACTTTCCTTTTTTTTCTCTACTGCACGCACGTGTCGTTCGTTAGCGAGGTAGCACATCATCGCCGTTTTTGTTTTCTTTCCTTTTCCCCCTCTTCTGCAGAGAGAGGGAGATGGTATATCGATGGCGGTTAAGACTGACTTATGAAGCACGTGCTTGGTACTGCGGAAGACGCGTTGTCTCCCTCTCCGCTAGAGACATCGCACTCGAAGCTAAGAGAAGTCACAAGAAGCACGCAAGGTTGCAGCAAACGGCGAATTATACTCGTCTTTCCTTTTCCGTCATGCAGAAAGTCGAAAGCCGCCTACTTTTTTCACCCGCACGGCCCCCTCAAACACATGCGTGTGTTCACGAACGGCGAGAAACCTGTCAAGGTGAGGGCTGCTGGCCATGCCACCACGTCTCTCTGCTTCCGTGTCTCTTTACCGTACACACACACACAGAGAGAGACACACAACCACGTTCCTCATTTGTCTTCCCCCCTTTCGCCTCTGCCTTGCTCACCGTGCCATCCTCTACGCTTGAATTGCTTTTACCTTGACGGTAGTAGTTTGATTTTTTTTCCCCTTTGGCTAGCTAGCCTGGCTTTTTGCTCTCTACTTCGACTTTTCCCCTATTTGTTTCGTCTTTTGCCCTACAGCCATGAGCGACGCCGCCACGCCCACCGCTGCCGCACCGCCGGTGCGCAACTACGCGATGTCGTGTAAGACTCTCGTCACGCAGGAACAAATCTGGGCGGCCACGGCGAAGTGTGCAAAGCAGATCGCGGCGGACTACAGACAATACAACTTAACCGAGAGCAACCCGCTCTATTTGCTGTGTGTGCTGAAGGGCAGCTTTATCTTCACCGCGGACTTGGCGCGATTCCTGTGCGATGAGGGGGTGCCCGTGAAGCTGGAGTTCATCTGTGCCAGCTCGTACGGCTCGGATGTTAAAACCTCCGGCGAGGTGCGGCTGCTGCTGGACGTGCGAGACCCCGTGGAGGACCGCCACTTAATGATTGTGGAGGACATCGTGGATAGCGCCATCACGCTGCAGTACCTGAAGCGGTTTTTGCAGGCGAAGAAGCCCGCCTCACTCAAGACGGTCGTCCTGCTGGACAAGCCGTCTGGCCGCAAGGTGTCGCTCGAAGTCGACTACCCGGTCATTACGATCCCACACGCGTTCGTCATCGGCTACGGCATGGACTTTGCCGAGTCGTACCGCGAGCTGCGCGACGTGTGCGTGCTGAAGAAGGAGTACTACGAGAAGCCCGCCAGTAAGCTGTAGCGAGGGCAAGCGCGTTTGTTGCCCGCCTCCTCTACCCGTTTCATTGCACCTCGCTGGTCGTCTTCTTCAAACCAAAAGAAGAGGGGTGTCTTTTGACTTCTGTTTGGCCGCGCTCACCGTTCCGGTTATACGCACAACGACGAGGCAAAAGCGAAGCGTTAACTACATGAATTTTTCTTCTTTGCCTTACGGTTGTACTGCTCGGGAGGCTGCGGCGGGGAAAGGGCAGAGGAGGGGGCGGGGTGTCTCCGCCTTTTGTTCCCATCTCCTCTCGCTATTCACGGGGTTTTCTTCCTTTTCCTTTCTCCTAATCTTTTCCTTCGGTTCTTCTCTTTCACGCCAGTTGACTCGGCGTCTGCTCTTTATTATTATTATTATTACTGTTATTATTAATTTTTCAACCGTGCGTGTGTGTGTGTTATCTCGAAGGAACTTTTCCCCATCGTTGTTTTGGTAAGAGTTAATAATAATAAGAGTGAAGTGAGAACGAACTCGTTGAACATATAAATATTTTTTTCTGTGTTTCTTCGCACGTCCTTTTGCTCCTCCGTGTGGAATAACCTTCACCTCAAATTGGTGTCTTCGCCGGAGGGACGGTGGCGGAGTTGGCAAAAGGTGGGCTCCCGGTTGACCTCACCAGTCTGGCGTGCTTGAGAAGCACTCGAATAATGGATTCATCATAGCACCGCAAAGGAATAATCGCATACCTCGCTAATGCCTAGTCGTTTTTCTCTTTCCCTTTTAATAATCATTAATGGTGTGTTTCACATGGCTGGCCGCTGCCGTCGCAGGCAGCAAAAAAGGGAAATCAGGGGAGACTGGTAGAAGGCGCCTTCTGAAAAGGAAAGACGAGAAGAAACATCATTACTCATAAACTTATGCGCTTTTGCACAATCCGCTGTTGATCTGCGTGTTCTCGATTTGTTGGTCGTACAGTGACCGGACATGTTTTCTCCCGCAAAAAAAGAAGAAAGAAGATTGCTTTAATGAAGCCAAGTACCCGCCGATTTAGAGGTCCTTTTTTTTTTGGCATTTTCGATCAGCACGACCGCATGGCTGCCCACACTGCGCGGCGGTGTGGTGCGTGCAACGATAGGCCCCTCCACCACGTTTTTCATCCCTCTACATCGCCGCCTCGCTTCTCTTCACGATTTTTTTTTTGGAGAAAACAGAAAATATCAAGGCAAATCATTTCCTGTTTCGGTCTGTGCTCCCCGACATTGACTCAACTACCTCTATCAAAAAAGCTGAAAAGGAAAAAAAGCAAGACGCACGAACATCCGCCACACGCACACTACACAAATACTTTGGTGTTTGCTGAACTGCTAAGAACAAACAAACCCGCACGATCGCTCCAAATTCTTCTCCTCCCTGCCCTATAAGAAATCTCTATCTAAGAAAGGACCTCCTCACTTTAAACTAACTCGTAAGATATATATGTGTTTAAACGCTTAACCTTTAAAAAAAAGAATACCTTCTCTAATCATCGAAATTCCGTTGACACAGCATTGCATTCAACCGCAACCAAAACAAACAAACAACGAAAGGAAATGATGCCAGGCCGCCGCTGCACCAGCTCCGTTGAAGGCGACAAGGTAACCGTGGACGGCCGCGTCTACCCCATGGCGTCGAGCATCGTGGCCACCGAAGACGTCATCCAGGCCAGTATCAGGGCAGCCGCGCAGAAGATCGCGGAAGCCTACCGCCCCCTGACTCACCGGAACACCCACCCGACCCCTGGCGCTGCCCCGGACGCCGCTGCTGTCAACCCACACGAGGCCCCCATCAGCCTGGAGAACCCCCTCATCCTCATCTCTGTCTTGAAAGGGAGCTACATCTTTACCGCGGACTTGGTGCGGTACCTGGGCGACGCGGGCCTACCGCACGTGGTAGACTTCGTGCGCCTCGCGTCGTACAACTCCGGCACCACGAGCACGGGAACCATCTCCGTGATGCTGAAGCCGAAGTTTACGAACCTGCAGGGGAAGCACGTGTTGATCGTGGAGGACGTGTGTGACTCCGGCCGCACGCTGAAGTTTCTGCGCGAGCGTCTGATCAAGAAGTACCAGCCGAAGTCCGTCAAGACAATCGTGATGGTGAACAAGGACTCCTCGGCGCGCAAGGTGGACTTCGAGCCGGAGTTCGAGTGCCTGAAGGCGCCGAATGCGTACATTGTCGGGTACGGGTTTGAGGTCAACGATCGCTACCGCGATGTGCGCCACATCTTTACGCTGAAGGACGGCTTTGCGACGCGGTACCCCGCAAAGCTGTAGGCGAAGCGGTGGGAGGCGAAAAACGTGCTGACGCAGCACCGTCAACGGCGACGACACCGATAGCAGCCGCAACAAGCACCAAACACGAGTCACACCTCTTCTGCGGGGACATTCTATTACGCTGCGCGGGGATTTCGATGTCCGCTCTCATTGGCTTTTTTTTTCTTCTTCTCGCAGATGAGCGTGTTGAAACGCTCATTTTCGAACTACCTTCTCTTCTTCCTTTCGGCCACTCGAAGGACGTCGTTGATTCGCGGACCTTTTTTTTTTGCTTGTCCGTTTGTTGGCGCGTTGACACGTTGAATCGTCATCGCCTCCGTCAGGCACGTTCTCTCTTTTCGCGGTCGTCTTCTCCAGATGAGAGGACAGTAGGAGGAGACCGCCTGCGCTGTTTTTGAGTATGACGTGTATATCTATATCTATATCTATTTAGTTGGGTGTGTATCTCTGCCGGCACGGCGGTCGTGAGGGAGGGAGGAGGGAGATGAAAGGAAGTATGCGTTGACGTCGTATTTCTTTTTTTTTTGGCTCCAAGTCACCAACTTCTAACTTAAGCTATGTCGCTGGGTACGTACGTAATAACAATAGGCGTCGCTCTGCGCTTTCTGACAGATGAGGTGCGTCCGTCCCGGTATTTTGTTTTCCTTTTTGCGTGTGAATCTTCGACGCACATCGAGATACCGAGACATGCTTCACCTCAAGTAAAAAGAAAAAAGGCATCAACAGCAACAAATGGAATGAGTGAAGAAGCAGTACGCTGCTATTTATGAGAAAACGTTTTCTGAGAAAGGAGATGTTGATTTGCGCAGGGTAAACCTCCCTTGTCTTGAAGGTTTGTTTTCTGCTCGTTGCCTTCGTCTAGAAATGCGATAGGTAGCTCACAGCAAGGTTTGTTGCGGGACTCTCTGCAGAGGAATAGTTTTGTTTTTCTCCCCAACACGGAGAACATCTTGAACTGAGGAAAAGAGAGAGACCCCCGAAATGAAATGCTCGCGCTTTAGTGCGCCTTTTTCTTTTCCCTGTGTGCATACAACAACCCGTTCTCTTCCGCTTCAAACTTCTACTCTCTCTTCCTTTCTATTTTTTAACATGCATTCTTCCAGTTCAAGAACCGCTTCTAAGGGAAGGCAGTTGTGTGACGTTAAGTGCTTCGCGTTTGATCAGGCGACTCTGCTCTCTTTTGATCGGGGATTTCGTTTTCTGTTTCTTCGTCATTCTTGCTTTTTTTTTTCTTTGCTTTCCAGAAGGAAAAGAGCTCAATTGCACGTACTGCGTTTCGCGCGGAGAGGTAGGTGAACGCGTGTGCGTCTCGTTTGCCGTAGCTGTACTTCCGGCGTCCTTCACTTCCTCCGCTGTGACTGTTGCTGCAACAGCTGTTAATGTTGATTTCTGTGCTGCGATAGCACCGCGTACTTCACCCACAAAAGTTGCGTCTTCGTGTGTTTCTCTTTATTAAAAGAACTCTTTGCGACAGCTCCCTCCTATTTTCGTATTCTACGGCGGTATTTTTGTTGTTTTGTCCGCGGGGGACCTCACCCCCCTCCCCCCTCTTCCTCCTCCTCCTGTCTTCGCTGCCACGCTCCCAGCATAAGCTTTTGTATACACGCACGGACTCTTAAGAGGGGCGAGTGCCTCAGCACGCTCCTTGAGACATCCTTTGGCCGATTGTTGCTCTTACTGAAATATATTTTCTCTTTTATCCGTAGTTTTCTTCTTTCCGTTTTCCCAACGTTTAGCTTTTTTCCTTTAAATCAAAAACAGAAAACAAATAAACCGAAAGAAAAGGAAATAATAATCAACACACTCAAGTAAGACGCCTGCGGGAGGGAGGGGACGAGCCGTTAAAGGCGTAGCCGCCGCTTCTGTGCTTTATATATAACCTGAAGAAGAAAGTGTTTTTGCTTATCCTTCTAACGTCGTATACAAAGCGTGTTAGGCGTGTGTATTATTACGTGTGCTTTGCTTTTTCATTTTTCTTGCCTTTTCCTCTCCGGCATCTTTCGCGGCTCTTGTGAAAGAGAAAGGCGAAGGCGGACGCTGAATCGTGGAACGTTGTTGCTTACTATTGCTTTGATTTCTCCTCCGTCGCTTGCAAAGGCTTTCGGTTGGAGTGTCCGTGTGCACAGCTGTTTTTATTCCTTTTTTTCTTTCTTCTTGGGGCTTTTGTTTTCCACTTCAGTGTTTTATTATTATTATTATTATTATGTTTCTTTAGCTGTATGTACTGTCAGTTTTTGTGAGTTTGCCTTTGTGGTGCTGCTTCTCCTCTTCCCCCGGCTGTGTGCAATCACCACTTTTTGCTGCCTTCTCTTCCGCTGTCTTGTGTTTATCATTATTATTATTATTTTATCCCCCTTTTGGCTGCGCTGATTATAGCTGCTGTGGCGGCTGCTACTCGCGTGTCCTTTTTTCGCGCACACCTGCACCCGCGCTCTTCGGCGGCATTTCTTTTCCTTTGTTATTCATTGTTTTATATATTTATTTTGCTTTAACTGGAAATTTTTTGAGTTAGTACTGCACTACACCCTGTAGTGGAAGAAAGACGGGAGGGTTCGTAATCTTTTGCTACTTGATACTATTTCCTTTATATATATCTATTGTTTGCCGCTGCTGAAGGTGCGTCTTTAATTCTGGAAGAAGCATACATACACCCATATATATATATATTTAACAGCCAAAAACACCCTTCGCATTCGTTGTCATGTTTACGTCTGGCCTGCCTCAGTGGCCTCGCTACCGCGCTCTCCGCGTCATCGGACAAGGCGGCTTTGGTACCGTGTACCTCTGCGAGGACACGGAGCCAACCAGCGCCATGTATGCGCAGTACGTGGCTGTCAAGGCTATCTCGCTAAGTGCGTTGTCGGACGAAGAGGCGCTGATGGTGATGTCGGAGGTGTCCCTGCTGAAGAACATCGACCACCCGAATATAATAAAATACCTCGACTCTTTTATCTACGATGAAGAGGAGGAGTATGAAGGGGCGGGTGAGCGCGTCGCCGCAGCGTGGCGCTCGCCGCCGTCGCGCAACGGCGCAGAAGTCGAAGAGAGGCGAGAGAAGAGACAGGCGGCATCACTGGCTGCTACTGCGCAATGGTTGTGCTTGGTGACGGAGTACATGGACGGCGGCGACCTCTCGTCCCTGCTGCGGCAGTACACAATGCCGGAGAGGCACCGCATCAAGGACGGCAAGCCCGCACCGTCGCTGTCGGCGTCAGCGGAGGTGAAGAAAGCAGATCCTTCGCCTTCTTCGCCGCCCTCCTCCCCTTTGTTGGAGGGACCTTATAGCGCGGAGGTGTTACCGTGGGACCGCGCGAGTAGTAGTAGTGGTGGTGGTGGTAGTGACACGGCGGCGACGGATATATCCTTGAAGCCTCTCCATAAAAAACCCCCTGCCCTCACACCCGCGAAGGAAGCTGCGCCGGCGGCGGCGACAGCAGTAGCAGCGGCAGGGGTGACCGCTGAGGTGGCTCGGGCTCGACAGCACAAACGTCATCGATCCACAGACGTAAACGAGGCGGGCAGCAAGGCTACCAAGAAGGGGGAATCGATCGACGGAAGATGGACGGGTGGTGGCGAAGGGGGCACGTATGACTGGGAGCGGCTGAGCAGCCAGCATCGCCGCCGACTCGCGTCAACACTGCGCGTAGCGGAGCACTCATTTTCGTTGCAGTTTGGAGGGTCTTCCGCGTACGGCGACTCGTCCCCTGTGCCCACAGCCGCGAAGACAAATGCAATGATGATGGACGAGAGCAGCGACGATGTAGGAAGAAAGGCTGCGCTAGAAACCTGGATCTCGGACACCTCTGCCGCAGAGATGCCCTCCACTCCGCTTGGCGCTACGGCAGTTGAGGAACTCACACCATTCAGCAAAGCAGATCCTTTGCAGACCTCACCCATCACCACGCTGATGGAGGAACAGGAAGCTGCTGCTGTTCTGCATGACACGTCACCTTCGTCTCGACTGGACGCTCAGCTGCCGTCGGACCCGAATCAGCTGTGGGTCGAGTCTTTCCTCATCACCGACATCGCAAAGCAGTGCCTCGACGCACTGGCCTACCTCCACGCCCTGGGCATCATCCACCGCGACATCAAGCCCTCCAACATCTACCTCTCCAAGCGGGACGGCACGGTGAAGGTTGGCGACTTCGGCGTGTCGAAGCTGCTGCAGCCGTCTGCTCCATTTACGACTACCTTCGTCGGGACGCCGTTCTACCTGTGCCCGGAGCTGTGCATGGGCGACCCGTACTCCTTCGGGGCGGATGTGTGGGCCCTCGGCGTGCTGCTCTACGAACTCTACTGCCTGAAGCTGCCCTTCGCCGCGGACAACGTCCTCGGTCAGATTTACGTGATCACCGAAGGCCGGTACGACACGGCGGCCCTGCGCTGCCCGCACGCCTTCGCCGCGACGCAGCGGGCCGTGTTGGAGGACCTCTACGGGCCGTCGTTTGCGCAGTCCGAGGTGCTCCTGCACGGGCTTGTGGTGGAGATGGTGGAGAAGATGCTGTCCGTCGACCCGGCGCAGCGGCCGTCTGCGGAGACCCTTCTAACGCAGATGTTCGGCGGCGCGCCGCTGCGTCTCGGCTCCAGCGCCGGCACCTCCGCCGCCCCCACCCCCATTCATCGTCCGCCATCCGCCGGCCTGCTTCCTTTCTACGATGCACCGAACGCAGAGGGCGCGGAGACGGCGTCGATGGCGGCAAACGGACATCATCACAGCAGCAGCAGCGGCAAAGCTGCCGGTGCGGCTCCCGCAGTTGCACAAGCGGGCCGCCTTGGTCCGCTGGCGACGGCCCAGCACGCACGATGGGCCGGCAGTCTTTTCCAAGCCGCCTCTGCCGCTCTCCCGCACGGCACTCCGGCACTGGAGGTGAGCTTCTCAAAGGAGTCCAGCCCCGCCCCGCCGTCACGACTGTGGAGTCCTCCTCAGTCTACATCACCCCACAGCAACAACACGAACAGGAACGGCGCGGATGACGCGTCAAAGGAGCCGCTGGCCATGAAGGTGAAGCTGAACATGCTCGACCTTCTGCAGGAGATGCCGAACGCGCAGCGGGAGCGGCTGGAGAGCTGCGCTGCCGAGGAAGACGCCTACGACGCCCAGCGGCTGCGGAATGTGACGGCCCTTTCGCCGCTTGCGGCAGCGAAGCCTTCGACCGCTCCTACGAAAGCGCAGGCGACGAGGGCAGCAGAGCAGCGGCGGTTGTCTGCCTGCGGCAGCTTTGCAGACTTCACCCAGTTGCAGCTGCTGCCCCCGCTGTTCCTGCCCTCCGACCAGCTCTACGGCAGCGACAGCGCAAACGAAACACAGCAGCAGCAGCAGACAGACAACGGCAACGCCGATGTCATGATGCGAACAGCTTCTGCACTGGAGAGTGAGGACGGCGTTGCGGCAGCCACCGCGCTTGCCCTCGCGTCGTTGTCGAGCGCAGGGGCGGCGGACTCGCTGGATCGCCTGATCGGGGCCGACACCCGCGAGGCGTTGAACGCCTTCCTCGACGAGGTACCATGGCTGCAAAACGCAGATGTGTTCTCTGCCATTCCTCTCTCCGCCGGCTCGGACGATGTGATGCTCGTGGCCCGCGGTGGCCATCATCGCGACAGTAACACCAGCAATGTGTTGGATGCGATGAAGCTGAATGAAAGGAAAGGGGAGGCGAAGGTGTTTGGTGGCAGTATGCGCTCGACAAGCTTTTCCTCAAACGACAGACAGCAGGAGCAGCAGCAGCAACAGCAGCAAGGCTCGGAGCCGCAGCACGTGGATGGAGGGGTCACACGCTCGCCTGCGCCCGCCATACGCTACGCCGGCAGCGTTTCGCGCAGTAACTCCAACATCGCGGTCGTGGCCATGCCGCAGAGCAGTCCGCAGCGGCAGCGCACGAGCATCACCCGGGCACTACACGCGGATACGTCTCCGAATGAGCAGCAGAGGCAGCCCACGCCGGACAAGAACAACGCCGCCGACGATGAAAGGCGCGCAGAAGAGCAGCGTCGAATCTCGCACGGCTTTACCGCCGTCGGCTCTGATGCCGTTGGATCGCCGGTGACCACCTCCACTGGGCACGCAGTCCCCATCGTGTCTCCAGGACTGAGCAGCCCACTTCACGATGAAGCCGCTTCTCGGCGTCAGCGTGTGTCCACGACAGCCGTGGCGGCCACAACGAAGGACAGCGCGGGCGTGAGCAGCAGCAAAGACGATAACAACAGCAGCGGCAGCATCGGCAATCAAACCAATGGTGCGGGTAACCACCACGAACGAGCAAGGGAGGACGGGGAGGAGGAGGAGACACCGGCGGTGGTGACGGTGGTCACCACACACGGCGGCAGCGGAGTGCTGCGGTCTCGTCTATCGTCGACGCAGCTGCATCGCGAGGGCGGCGCTGCGGAGTCTCGTATTCGCCCTGTCAGCGCTGCGAAGCGCGACAGCGAGCATGACGTGGCCACGGGGACCAGCGACTTGAGGAACAGGGCTTCCTTCGTGCAGGAGGTAACGAAGAAGGAGCGTGACGGATCTGCGGAAGCGGATGACGGACTCGCACGCGGCGACCTCCGCAAACAAGGAGGACGGCAGGACGTTCCCGTGGCGCCGCTGTCGGCCGGCCTCACCGCTTCTCCCACTCTGGCGGGAAAGCCGCCGCCGCCAACGCCCAAGGCAAACACGGCGGGCCGGTGCGAGGGATACTCCACCAATGAGTTGGAGCGTCTGCTTCGGGCTAAGTTGCAGGCGCACTACAAAAAGAGACAGCAGGAGCTGCGCGCACGGCGGGCGGAGCTGGCGGCGCAGGAGGCCGCACGAGCCAGGATGCGTGAAAAGCTCGACGCGCTCTTCACCTCCGCTTTTCTCGCGCGGACGGAGAGCTCCTCGCCTGATACCGTCCGCGACACCGCCAGCTATCACTCGACGCGCACCAACGACACGATGCTGAGTGCGGGGGAGGGGGAGGAGACCACGGCGAGTGAGAGGCCGCTGACACTAGCCCGTAAAGCGACACTCCCCCCGGTACCCAGCACGTCGTCCACTTCGTCTTCCAATGCACAGCTTTCAGCTTCTCCCGCGTCCCCGGAACCAACCTCCGCCCGGCGGCCTTCGCCCACAGCAACGGCGACTGAAGCCAACTCGTCACCGTTAGCTCCTAGCAGTCCAGATGTGTTCCTGTTAGACCAAACAGCGCGGCAGGCCACGAAGGAGGAGGAGGTGCTACGTGCACTGTCTGCGCGTCACTTCTCGGAGAATGCGATGACGTCTACCACAGCACCAGGGCCCCGCCTGCACACGAGCAGCGGACCGGCAGCAGATGCAGCGTCCACGAGTGCGCTGACAGATGACGCACCGGCGGCCAATGAGTCGAAGTCATCTATCAACGCCACAAACAGCAAGGATGACACGCACGCTAGCAGCAACCACCACATCCACCACCAAGGCACAGCGGCGCCGGATTTTCTGATGGAGACACCCGCGGTGCGGCAGCTGCGGCAAGCGGCCACGCTAGCGGCGGCGGTGGAGCGGCAGAAGACGGACTTCCGCAAAGGCAACGAGCCACCAGCGCGCATCCAGGTCGCGCCGGTGTGGCGCCCCCCGCACAAGTCGAAAGACGTACCGGGTCTGTGGGAGACGTCGTCTGCCGAGGCGGAGGAGGCGGAGCCGGACGCGCGCGGGCGACCGGGGCGGCCAGCACCGGCGCATGTGCGGACGGAGCTGCGGTGGCGCTGGAGTGCACCACCCAGTGCTGCGGAAAGTGAAGGAGATGACGAAGAAGAGGAGGAGGAAGCACCGGAGACGGCCACCTCACCGGAGCCGTCATCGTCGGCGTCATCGTCGGCGTCATCGTCGCCGCCCGCGTCGCAGAAGATGTTGTTGAGCGCCAGTGCGGGAGGCAAAGACAGCGCGTTGCTTGCGCGACGAATAAAGGCATCTGTTAGTCCTCCCCGCGCGGAGAAGGATGCCGATGCTGTGGAGCGTGCGGGAGACTGGAAGGAGACGAGTGAAGACAGCGAGGCGAAGACGATGTACCGCGAGGAACACGAAACGAAATCGAACGACAGCGGGGAGGAAGAGTCAGAGGACACCGACTCGCAGCAGCAGTCGTCTCTCCTCGGCTCCCCTGCAGAACTGCACGTTGATGACGGCGTGCAGGACGACTTCCCCTCGCGGCCGACACTTAAAGGCAGTGTACATCGCAGCAGCACGACCGGCGAGGGCATTCCTGTTTCACAAGGCAGCAGCAGCAGCAGCAGCAGTAGTAGTAGCACCAGTAGCAGCAGTCGGAGTATCAGCGTGGGTCCGCCACACGCGCAACACCCCTCCAAGTCACAGCAGCATCAACGACGTGCAGCGCGCACAAGGAACGGCCAAAAGAAGAGAAGGGAAAGCAGCACCGCTCCTTCCTCCGAAACGTCGAGCTCCTCCTCTCCCAGAAGCTCCAGTAGCAGCAGCAGCAGCGACAGCAGTGAAGAGGGGGAAGAGGAGGAAGAGGAGGACTTGTCGTACGCCTACACCGTGCAGATAGACGCCGAGACGGGCTGTCGCTTCTTCGAGTACGTCTGCCCCATCACCGTCGAGCTCGTCGGTGAGTTGCCGGCAGCGTGTCGGGTGGCGACGCCGACGCAGATGATGGTGGCGACGGAGCAGCTGCTGTTGCTGCCACCACCGCCTTGTTCTTCATCGCCGAGCGGGGCGAAGTACACGCCGGCCGTCCACCCGACAGGCGTCTCGGATTTCACGCTGACGTCGCCATCGCCACCGCCTCGCGAGGTGGCTGTAGCCGCTCCCTCACCGAAGTTGGAAGACGAGCGCGTCCCGCTCAAGGTCGAGGAGAAACAATTGCAGCCGTGTTCTTCACCTTCGGTCGTAACGGTAGCTGCGATCGCCGCGGTCACCGCCGCCTCCGCACCAGCAGGAGCAGAAGGAGGAGCCGCTCACCTCAACATCAGGAACAACGGCGAGGATGGCTCCAGCGGTAGTCTCGAAAGCAGCGGCAGGTCGTCGTGGTTTGAGGAGTCCTCGCTGTTGTTGCCGAGTAAGCCGGCAATACCGACTCTGCACGTTACACAGACAACGGATGCGGTGGCGATGCTGACTACTGATACACCAACGGCGGTGGCCAACGCATCACAGATGAAGAGGGAAGTGGACAGGTCTGCTGCTGCTGCGGCGGCGACAACGACAGAAAACAGAAGAGAGAAGAACAAGCCCGCGTCATCACCGCCTTCCTTCTCTGCGCGGGTGGCCCCGCCGCCTTTGTCGGTTATTCGTGCTCCTGCCGCACCTCCGAAACGCGCCTCTTTCGACGCTGGTGAGGCCGCGCGTGAAGCACAGAAAACAGAGGAGAAAGAAAGGTTTGTTGAAGAGGAGAACGGCGGCAACGGCGACCCGCCGTCGTCGTCGCAGCGTCGACCGAATTCGCTGATCGTTGTCGGCACAAAAGTCCCTCCGACGGCGCAGCAGCCGGCGCCGCCTGCACGACAACGAACCGCCTCCGTAGGCGAGGCCCAGAAATCAACGACGCCGCTCAGTAAGGCGGAGGCGGGGTTGAAGGGGTCGCGCCGGTCTTACCGCAAATCTACCGTGAAGCCGCCTACGGGCAAAACGGGTCTCAGCGCAACGCTGGACGGCGCCGCATGGCGTATTCGCGTGCCGCCACTTCCATCTCTGGCTTCTACATCGAACGACAAGGGTGTGTCTTCGACTGCTGCCGCAGCTTCTGCGTCTTGTCAGTACATACACCTTCCTCTTTCACTCGCCCTGCGGCCCGTACGTGCCCGCACGCGTTTTGTGGGCCTTCTGTGGCGTCTATGGATGGCCACGCAGCTGGTCGACCCCGCGCTGCGGCGCGTCGTCCTGGGCGGTGACCGCTGCAGCGGCGCGAGCAGCAGCTGCACCTTTGCCGAAGCCTTTGGGGACTGGGCGAAGCCGGTCCGCGCGGAAGACCGCACATCTGCGACGGCGTCGTTCTCCGGCACCACTAACGCATCGGTCACCGTCAGTGCGGAAGTGTCGGGCTTGACAAGCGGGTCCGTGACAGCGGCTGCCTCTACACTGCAGATGAACGCTACGCAGCACGGCGGCAGCGACACGCTGGGGCTGCTACCGCCCTCCGCCGCTGCGTCTCCGAGCATGTCGGTGGACGTGGCAGGCGTGGCAGAGGCACAACGTTTGACGGCCGCCGCTCCCTCTTCACCGCGGAGGGGTAGGTGGAGCTTGTACTACGTGGAGCCACACCTCAGTGTGGCGATGCGACTGCAGACGGACGATGACTGGGCGGTGGTGCGGCACAAGGTGCAGGAGATGGGTCAGCTCTTGCCTTTTATTCGCCTGTATTTGGTGCTGCACGACGCGGAGTTTACTTCCGCCAAATAAGCTGAGGCAGAGGAGGAAGGAGAGCGTGAAGGTAACGAGTACTATCAGCGGTGGGCCTCGGAGGCTGATCAACACAGAAGTAAAAGTACACAATGAAACACCGTCAACACACGCACGGGAGATCAACTTGTTCCTCTGGCAGATTCCTCTTCATGCGGGGACTGCACCTCTGTATGCAGCGGAGGATTCTACTTAAAAAAAAATAAAAAGGCGATAGTTCTTTATTCCTACGAGCCACGTAGCGCACGAGTCAGACGCGATTGTAGTCGCAGCGCAATACACCCACGCCCATCCAAATACCTTTGTACGGCTGCGGCGCTGGTCCCCTCCTCTTTCGTCGCACGCTCCATCTTCGCCGCCTTTTTTTAATGTGTTCACTGTGCCTTCCTCCTTCCTGCAAATATGACAAGGAGAAGTAGAATCCACGACAGCAGCACGAGGTTTCGCGCCAAGCGCATCAACCGCACACGTACATACTCGCATACACACTCGCAGCAGCAACCACGAGAGCAGAAGCATGTGGGCGGCGTGGACGTCATCTTCGATGACCACACCCACCAGCTCAGCTGGTGCTGCTGAGTCCACACCGTCCGTCGCCGCTGCCTTGGCGTCTTCGCCATCCCCCGTCGCATCTCAAATCCCGCAGTGGCGGCTGCTCACTGCCGTCTCGCAGCGGGTAGCACAGAAGTGGCCTCGCACTTTGCCTCAGCTCACACGTCTCACCGTTGCCGTCGCTGCCGTGGCCGCTCTTGTTGGGACGGTGGTGTTTGCTCGTGGTGCTCATCAGCGCTGTCGCCGTCGCCGTCTCCCGACATCCACTGGCGAGGATGAGGAAGACGTACCACACGCCTCCTCTCACACCGGCGCTGGTGCGAGCGCAGACACGTCGAAGCAACAGGACGACTCTGATGCTGATGCTATTCAATTTGCAGACCCGGCCGAGAGCGCCTTCAACGCGTACGTGCAGCGCCTTCGGCGGCAAAAGGAGCCGGTGCTGCTGAGCGCCATTGCGCAGCTCGAGTCCGCCGCCGCTGAATTGAAAGCCGCGCAACACGCTGCGGAGCACCCCAACGCGGAAGGAGATCAAAACGAAATGGAGAGGGAAGGCGGCGACGGCGACGATGGCGTTGCGCAGGTTGCGGCGAAGGTGCATCGTGCTGCGGTGGTGGCCGATGAGTTGCTGACGCAGTGGATCTGCAGTCTCGACGGTGTGCCGGTGCGGCAGAGTAAGCACTTAAAACAGCGTCGTAAAGAGCTGGTGCAGCGCGCTGCTCTTCTCAGTCAGCGCATTGCGCCTTACCTGCACCCTGCCGCTTCAGCGACGCTACGAGAGGTGACGTGAAGAAGGAAATCAAAAATCGTTCCATCAAAACTCCAAAACGAGTGCACAAGAACGCATGGCGGGCGTCTACGCGACTTTCCTGAAGTATTAAATCGCCGGTAACTTCGTTGCCAAACGTTATTGGTTCTTTTAAATATATATATATTGTCGTCACATATTGTTAGCCAAGTTATGAAACGACGTTAATCAGGAAAGTGCGGTGTGCTCACGACTTCATATGTCGAAGCACTAGACTTTCTCACGCAGGAGTTGGCCATTGCGCCGCTTGTACAGGAAGGGGCACACCTGCTTTCCGCACGGAGCACATCGGACCGGCGACAGCAACACCAGCGACGGCTTCAATAGATACGGCAATGGACAGCTGCAACGCCATCGCTTCTCCATTTCACCTTGGGACTTAATCCATCTCTGTTCTTTTCTTGTGATTTTTTTTTTTGTGGTTCATCATTAAAATACGAGAAGGAGATTCTTTTTTCCTCGATCGTTCTATCTCTTCCCCTCCTCTCTCTCCCTCTCGCCTTGTCGTCGACTTCGGTGTGGGTTTGCGGCACGAGGTGATACCGGAAGAGCGCTCCACGCAGCTGCAGAAGAAAGCCACCGTGAAAACTCAAACGATCTATCGCATTCTACCACTTCCAGAAAAACAAAAAGTGCTTGGAGGCAACGCCATCCGCACCCTTCACCACAACCACATAGTTTTTATTTCTTCATTTACACGTGTGTACGTGCATGTGTGTGTGTGTGTGTGCATAGTCGTTTTGACTACTCCTTTCTGCTGGGGCACGTGCATTGGTTCGGTAATGCTGCTGCGAACTCGCTGTAGCTGAAGAGACATACATACCTATATATATTTTCCATTGAACACGGTGAGCGGTGTTTTGTGTTTTCCCTTTCCCAAAAGTTTGCATTCGCTTGCTTGAGTTACCTGCTGAGCCTCGCGTATCGCGCGGCATATTCTTCTTCTTTCCTTTTCTCCTGCTTTTTTTTACTCATTTTACAAAATGATTCTCTTTTGACCTAAACACATTTAACCCACACAGACATAGCTACAGTTACACATTGAGCACCACACACACACACACACAGACACAGAAGCCTGGTAGGCCAATGGGCAATCAGAATTCTAGTAGCGGTCACCGCACCGACAGCGCTCCACAACGCGCGCGCGACGGCGTTCTTCGTGACACTCTCCCACCAACCCACCTCGACCGCAGTGCGCCGCCATCCGCGACCGCACGACGAGGGCGAAGTGTCTCGTCGGCCCGGGATTCGCGCTCACGGCAGCGGCGCACTGCGAGTCCGTCCGTATCACCGACCCCGCACTTCTCTGAGACGGCCAGCGGGGCTACGGCGGGGGCGGCGACGACGACGACGGCTGCCCCGCCAGGCCGCTTTGGCTCCCACTATCCTTCCGTGTCGTCCTTGACGGCTGCCGCGGCGCTGAATGCGCAGCTTACCAACTCGACGCCTGAGCACCAGGCGCTGCAGCGTCAGAATGAGGGGGATTATGAGGGCAACGATGAGGCCAGCCTCCGCGCAAGTCGCTCGGCGCACAGCATGAGTCAGGTATCGTCATCCAAGCAGATGCCAAACGCACCATGTATGCACGCGGACGAGGCGCCGTCCGGTCTTACTGCGGAAACAGGGGCCGTAACTATGCCGGCGGACTCTGACGCCGCCGCGCAGCACGTGCTCGATCCTGTCCCGACAACTACGCAAGGTGCAGCGGCAGGTGGTAATGCCGAACAGAGTGCCGGCTCCTTGAACTACTCCTCACAAAGGGCAAACACAGCTGCTGCAGCGGAGACATCGCCGTCGTCGCGCATTGCGCGATCGAGTCCGCAGGCGGGCATCCCAGCCCCACGGACCGCCGCGACGGAGGCCAAGCGCACGAGGTCGCGGCCGCACAGCCCTTCACCGGAGGCTCGCCCCCCTACGCCGGGTAACGCAGAGGGCAAGTCGAGGAGCAAAACGACAAAGACAACCAAGAACGAAGGGAGCGGGAGGACGATCGAGGCGGACAGCACGTCGCCGCCGCTGCCGCGACTGCCGAAGCGCTCCGGCGGAATTCTCGGTGGCGTGTTCAACCCGCGCTCCAGCAAGTTTCTGTTTCGCAAGTCGCCATCGACGTCGCCTGCGGCACGTGAAGGTGCCCCGAAGAGGGCGAAGACCGATGCCGCCCCTTCTCCTGTGCCCACCGGCGACAGCGACACGCATCCTGCTGCTGCTGCTGCTGCTGAACAGAGCAGGGACGGAGATATTGGGGCGGGGCAGCAGCGCGGCGCGCACCGCGAAAAAGATGGAGAGAAGACCAACGGCAGCGAAGTCTCGTGTCCGGTCCACGCACCCGTTGTCGCTGCGACTCTCGAAGGGAGGCCAGCGGCCGTCGACATGCCGCAGCGGTCGTCGGCATTGAAAAGGTTTGCACAGGATAAAGAGAGTGCTGCCCCCGTGGGAGCAGCGAGTCCTGCATCGCGTTCGACGGACGGCAATAGCAACGTAGCAGCAGCAGCTTCTTCAGACACCACACCGGATAATCACCCACGTGGCGGCGGCCTCCTCGGCGGGGCGGTGGTATCGTTGCTGCTGCCCGCCGAGACGAGCGTCACGCACAGCTTTGACGCATCCCAGTTGATGACGGCCGATACACGACGTCACTACGCCAACGTAGTGCGGCAACAGGGGAGTGCGGCGGCGGCCACGGCACCGGTGCAGACTCTCGAAGACGCCGAGGAGACGGAGGAAACGGAAGCTAGGTGTGTAGAGGTGCTGTTGACGATGCATTCCCTGAATGAAGAGGGAGCGGCAGCGGCGGTGGGAGCGGTGAACCCCCACGACGCCCTGACCTCCCCAACGGTCGACCACACACGCGACGGCACAGGCAGCCCGCGGTGGGGGCGGGCAGCTTTCATCAACGATGACGAAGAGGGCGAGGAGCAGGCGGGGACCACGGCTCCAACGGTCGTGGAGCCATCGCGTGGAGCGCAGCAACCTCCGCAGGACCCGGAGAAGCACAGGGGTTGCCCAGATCGCGAGGAACGCAGCCGCAGCTGCGGCAGCAGCGACGATGAGGACAGTCACTCCACGACGTCGACCGACACCAACTCCGCCCCGATCCTGCCGCCGCCGCCGACAGCGTCCTTCGCAGAGGCGATGTGGGGCATCAGAGCCGCCGCCGCCAACGCCGAACACAGCCGCAACGGCGGTGCAGACCAGCCGACAGCAGCAGCAGCAGCAGCGGCGGCGGCGTTGTCCGCGTCCGGCTCGAGCACAGGTTGCAACTCGAGTCCCATCTACTCCCCTCGAACCTATGTGCCCCGCCGTGGCCGCAACGGTGCCCTGTCAGGTGCGACGACAGTGATCACCGACACCACCACCCGTGTGGTATCGCCGCGCTCGCCGTACGCGTCATCGCCGCCTTACTTCACAGGACCCACGGGCGGCAGCAAAAGCCCATCGCCCGCCCATCTGACGACGGCGACGACGGAGGCCGATGCGCGAACACCGCGACGCAAGTCCGTGAGTCAGTCTGCTATCATCGCAGCGTGGAACCGCCTCGGCGCTCGATCAGGCTCGCTCGCCGCCCTACCCGCGTCATCGATGTCTACGTGGAACGGAAAGCCGAACGGCAATACGAAGATCCAAGTGCACAACAACGGCCCAGTGGAGGCGTCAACGGGCGCAGCCGCATCAGCTTCAGCTGCAGCAATGACCGACGGTGCTCGCGGGGCGGTGACGGCGCCGGAGGAGTTGGCAGACGCCTCCAATGAGTTTGCCCAGGGTAGTCCATCGAATCGCCGCGTTCTCGCAGAGTCGCCACCGCTGCAACCAACGGAGAAGGCCAGTAACAAAGAGGCAGCGCCACCTGAGTCCACTGGCGGAGGCGCAGGTACGAGAGGAAACACGGCTTCTTTGCCCCATACACACACCTCTACCAGCACGGACCACGAGGCCCCCGTGCGGCCGGTCCGTCGCCGCTCCGTACTGACCCGTCAGCGCGGTCATCCTCTGCTATTTCCACCGCCACCGTCACCACCCTTATCGCCGACGGACAGGGAAGGGGCGCAGCACCAGGCAGAGCGGCCGCCGTCATTCGAAGGCGCAGACCTTCACGCAGCTGTGTTGCCGGAGGTGATGGAGGCCGCTCCGCCTGCTGCTGCCCCCCCTTCTTCTTTGCCTGAGCGCGGTGAGTTACCCTCCATCAAAGGCGGGGCGGCGAGGAACGCTGCGGGCGGCTTAGGGAACGGCGAACAGGCTGAAAGCAGCGGTGATGCGGTGGGGCAGGAGGATGCTTGTGTAGCCGTAGCGGAAGAAGCGAAGTCTGGTGCTGCTGCCGGGGCGAAGACCGCTTCTACGCAGACGACAGCGAGGGCAGACAACACAAAGCCGGCGGGAAGGAGAGAGGTGGCGGAAGAGACGCGCCACGAAAACCACGCAGCGCACGAGGCGTGGCCCAGCCGCGCATTCACAGTGCCGTGCGTGCACGTCGATCGTGAAGCCGCCACGCCGCACTCACGCGGACTTTCTGGGATCGCCGAGTTCTCGGAGGAGAGCGAGTCCAGCACGTCCGCCACCATCCACATCCCACCGACCGCCGCAGGGGGAGCAACCGTGGACGATCGCCTTTACCGCACAGAGATCCGCACTGGCACCGCGCGGGCGCAGGGCGTTGGGGAAGAAGGAGAGGGAGAAGGCGAGTGGTTCGCTCAACGACCCAGTGAGGCCGCCTCGCGGCAATCGTCGCGGCTGCCGAGTCGTCGGCCGTCCGCAGCGGGCGAGCTCTCGTTGGCGCAGCCGACCAAAGCTGCCTCCTCTGCGTCGGCGGTCCCGTTGAAGCCGCCATCGCCACAGGCCCGGCGTTCGCTTTCTGGTGTGCTTCCTCGCGCGGAGGCGGCGTCGAGCTCACAGCGTCATCATCGTCATCAGCAGCGTAATCGTCTGCTGCACAATCAAATCACCACGGATCTGGGGCTTGTATGGAGCGGTCCTTCCTCGCCGCGGTCGCCTGAAGTGGCAGCGCCGTTTAGTGATCCACAGCATCGATACGCTAGGCAGAGAACTGCAGACGCAGAAGATGGAGGCAAAGATGAGGAGGGGGGCGGGGAGAGCGACAAGAATGCTCGTGGCCCGGAGGAGAACCAATGTGATGCTGATGCTGCGGCTGCTGCGACGGCGGCAGCCCTGGCAGCAGCATCGACGCCGTTGCTTTCAGAGGATCAGCAGCGACCACAAGACTTCAGCACCACTGCCGTCGCCACTGCTGCGAGTCACGCGGAGAGCAACAACAAAATCAACTATAACAATAGCAGCACGAGCTACCCGTATCAACGCCTAGCGTCCCCACCAACACTTGCTGGTGCGTCTCTCAGCGGATCAATCGGGTCAACGGGACCTGTGGTTGCTGCTGCCGCTGCTGCAGGCGTTTTCCCTAGCAGCGCCGTGCAGTCCACACAAGCGTACACACGTCAGCGGCAGACACCACCACCACCCCAACAACAGCAGCCGCTGTCGCTGTCGTCCATTTTATCCGCACGAGCGACGCCCTACTGGCGCGAGCAGCTCACCCCTGCTCACACACAACCCATCTCCCCACGCTCCTTCAGCGCTACGCGCGACGACGACGGCGACGGCGGAGGCGGCGGCGACCAGCACTCAACGAATCACAACAACACAAGCGCGAATACGATCAGTGGCGGGGGTGGTGAGAGCGGCGACTACGACCTCCCAGCCGGTGCGCGGCGACGACGGCTAAACACCGCCTCGCAGGCGACGCCGCCGCTCGCGCAGCATCCCTCATCGCCGCAGCAGCTGTACCGCGCACTGTCGGGGTCTGGTGTACAGTGGCGGGAGGTGAGTCCACTGGCCAGCGCCGCCGTGACACCGAATGTGGGAACGGCCGGACCGGGCTGCGGAGGGCAGGAGGAAGACGAGGAAGAGGAGGAGGAGGAAGCGGAGTTGCAAGACTACCGCCCACGGCACCGTTACAGCTACAGACACCACGGTGCTCGTCAGGCGACGGGGAACGCTGGTGGTGACGACAAAGTGCAAGATGAGGCAGGACGTACGGAAGCAGGGGAGCTGCAAAGAGCACGGCAGCACCAAGACAATCGTGGTGGTGATGATCCGCTCCGGCCGCGGAGCGATGCACGCTCCCCCGTATCGTGGATCGAGGAGCTGCCCCAACCGTGGCAACGCGACGACGACGAGGACAAAGACAACGAGGAGGATGGGAGGAAAGAAGAAGGCAATTACCGCGGCGCAGTTCGCGGCAATGATGATAATGGTGAGCAGCCCCGTGCAACGCGCCAGCATCTACATGACGAAGTACCACACGAGACGTTTCGCGGAGAGGAGGACGCTAACGGTGCACACGGAGTGGATGGAGGTGGTCACGGACCCTACCGCTGTTTCTCACCCCGAGGCATTCCCCGGCCTCGTCGCAGAAGCGCGGCGCCGGAGTCGAACTGCCTCTGCACCCCACCTGAAGAGAAAAGCCCCCACGACGGTGCACGACATCCGTTTCAAGCCAGCCCCAGCAGCGGTGGTCCCGACAGCGCGAGCCGCCTGCCGCTGCCCCTGCCCCGGTACGAGCCGCCGATGCCGTCGAACAAGAACACCTTCACCGCCTTTGTATCGCTGTCGGACATCCCGTCCGCGCACTTGCTCACCTCTGCCACCGCCGTCTTCCACGGCAGACATCCACACGGCGACAGCGGGGAGAGCAGCAGCGGTCGCAGCAGCAGCAGAAGCAGCGGCAACCGACCGAGTTGCGCTGCCGCCGCCGACGGCAGTGGAGAGATGTCCACCAGCGTTACGACCCCTACGAACGGGAACGGCTTCTCGACCGTCGACACGCCCGTGACGGCGGACACGCTGCTGACGAACGGCCACAGCCCCCTCGCCGTGCACCAACCGATCGGTGCTCCGTCTGGTGGTGGTGGCGGGATGGAGGCAGCACCGAGCAGCGCCCCGCGCAACAGTTCCCTCTTCTCCTCTTCCTCCGCCAGCACAGCGCTGACGGAGAGTATTTCTGGCGGGGACACCCCGGTGCAACACTCGCCGGCGCGTGTGACGCGGTCCACCTCGCCGCACAGGAGTGGGGCGGGGAAAGGAAGAGGTGGCGACAGCGATCGGGAAGGAGACCCCACGGCGGCCCAACAGGCGGGTAACGGCGACGACAAACCTGTGCTACCGCCGCGGCAGCAGCAGAGTGGAATGGGAGCAGGAGGCGTGCTGTCGAACACCGCACTGCCTCAAAATCGCAAAAGCAGTGCGGCTGCTGCTGTCGCTGCTGCTGCGGCACCCATCATCGCACGGCCGCACCAACAGACGTCACCGCGGCGTGGCAAGTATACTCCTGCCGACGAAGCAGCGAGCACATTGCCCACGAACTGCACCCAGGCCCTCTCCCCCACCGACGCAATCGTGCGGCAGATGGCGAAGACCCACGGCGTCGTGCCGACCCCCACCACTACCGCAGCGACGACCACCACTTCGGCCACGATCACCACGTCAGCGTCTGTCATCACGTCTTCTGGAAGCGCCCTTGTGTCAGCTGTGGCGGCAGATCGGCACAGGCGAAGCTCCTGCTTTCAAAGCAGCATGAACGAGGCGGCCGATGCGAGCAATGGCGATATCAGGGACGGCATGGCGGTGTTTGTGGAGCGTGAAGACACGACGCAGCACAGCAGCGAGAGCGACACCGACGTCGGTGTCCGCCGTCACGCCTCCGCCACCGTGCTCACCGCGCAGCTGCTCACCCCTCTATCCACGGCGATGGTGCGGACGAACAGTGAACCGATTCTCGCCTTCCAGCTTCACCGGAGCAGCGTGTTGAACCCCAGTCGGTCACCGGAGCAGCCGTGGTGGAATCGCTCGCGGCTGGCGCGGTCAGAGGGCAGTGGATTGCCGGCGGAGCTGGGGGCGACACCGCGCGGGACCGGAGATGGGACTCGCAGCCACAGCATTCATATGCGGAATTCCTCCTCCCGATCGCTGTCCGACTCCCCGCTGAGGCTGTTCCCCACATGGGCGCAGCCAGATGAGGTGGAAGAAGGCGATGATGGCGCGATGGGGCGCGACGCTGAGCTGCCCTTCGCCATGACGCCGGACGGCAAATCGGAAGGGTACAGCGCGCTGCGCGACGACGGCGAGGACGAACATTCCTTTTATCGCAAAGACGAAGAAGAAGACGCTGAGGACGCTGACAGCCACCATGAGGGCGGACGGCGCAGAGAGGGCAGAGCAAGTACAGACGCTGCGGTGGACCCGCTGCTGCACATACGGCGTGCGGAGTCCTTGGACATCGGAGAGGAACACGGAAGCGCCGACGAGGACGAAGCGCAGCTTGTTGGTACGGGCTTGTTCACCGCTACGTGGCACCCGTACAGTCCACTTTCGTCCTCTTTCTCGCACGAGACCGAGCTCACATCGCCGCCTGCTGCTGCTGCTGCTGCTGTGACGGCGACGGCGACGGGGCGTGTATCCAGGTTCACGCCAATAGCGAAGGAGTTGGCGTCGAGGCGAGGGTCGAGGCCTGCGTTTACGGTCGTGGTGCCGCCTACATCATCTTTTCTCGAAGAGGCAATCCTTGATGCAAGCAAACGCAGCGAGGACGAGAACGAAAGCGAAGAGAAGACTCCAGCTGATGCACTGGGCGCGGAGGAACAGGCTGAAGGGGATCGTCGCAGCAGCGGCAACAGCAGCAGCGCCGCTACCGCCTCAGCCTTCGTCGCACGCCTCGACAACCTCATCGACACAGAGACGTACACGCGTGCCTGCGTCCAGGAGAGCGCCGAGGACGTGCTGGGCACATGGCAGTCTGTCTGGTCCGCGGTGCAGCAGCAGACGGCCTCGTCAACCGCGCTGATTCCTGCATCCACGACGTCGTCACCCCTGCAGCCGAGCACCACAGGCGAAGGGAGGGAAGGGGAGGAGGATGGACCCCAAGCGCATTACGTAGCGTCGCTCTCGTCACCAACGGCGTCGGACGCCCCGATACGGCGGACCTCTGCGCTGCTGCCGCCCTCCAGCGCGGTGCCGCCGCCGTTGTCGGTGTCGATGCTCATGAGTGTTATTGCACCCGCAATCACAGCTACCACGTCGATGAAGAGTAATGCGAGTGGCAGGACCCTCAACACGACCGTTGTCAGAGACGGCGATGTCGATGATGAAGGTGGTGGCGGCCAGGCGGGTGAGGTCGACGCTGCCGCTGCGGTATTCAGCGAGGGTACTCCGCTCGGGGAAGAATGTGAGGTGTCCGTCCCTGCAGCGGAGGGAAGGCACGACTCGCACCGCCGTCTCATGTCCCCTCCATCGGCCCTTGCTGTGGCGGAAGATGACGCTGCCGCGCACCAGGACAGCGCGGGCGTGGAGAACTGGGAGAGCAGTGAACCCGATGAGGCCGCTTCTCCTTCCACACTGGTCCCTGCTGCTGAGGCGGCGGCAGAGGGCCCTCGGCGGCACGCCAAAGTGGTGGTGCCGTCGTCGCGGTACGCCAGCACCGTTGCCACGCCCAACGCGCAGCACATCGGGCAGCTCGAGACGCCGAGCTACGTTCTCTTTGGCCCCTCCACCACGAGCGGCGTCACCCTAAACAACACGTTGTCGCCGCACAGCGAGGACGCCGACAAGCAAGTTGAGGAAGAGGAAGATGAGACGTGGGGCAGCGCCGAGGCGGCAGCGACCGACACGGCTGGGACGAAGGGGCACGTAAGCGCCGAGGATACTCCACAAGCAGTCGCACAGTCCGGACAGCAGCAGCAGCAGCAGCAGAGGATTGCAGGTGAAGACGTCGAAGAAGACCAGGCCAATCGACAACTGACGAGCAGCAACGGCGAGGTAAACCGAGAAGAGAAGCAGCAAGGCGGCACCGTCTCTGCGAAGTTTGCGTTACCGCCGGCGCCATCTTCTTCACCCTCAGGGAACACCGACTCCGCCACTCTCCTGCAGCCCACCACGGACGCCTCTCCGCACACGCGACAAGGCTCCCCGGACCCTCTGCCTCCGCAAGTCCTTGCGAAAGCACCCAGAAACGACAAGGGAAGCAGCACCAATGTGAAGGCGCCCCCAGCAGCCCTTGTCCCCCCGCCCTCAAACGAAGAGGAAGGGAAAGACCGTATCAAGAACATCAGCAGCAACTCCAATCATCCCCACCATGCGTCGACAGCACCGCCGACATCGCCTTCTCCGCAAGCACCGCCGCGTCTTCCTTCGTCTCCGGCGCAGCACTCGTACTCCAGCCAACGACGCCCTAGCATGGGGCAGGTGGTGTGTCGCTGGTGCGGGGCACCATACACGAGTGCAGTTGTCTGCCCGGTAGCCGGGCGCGCCCATCAGCTGCTGCGTGAGGAGCGCAAGAGGGAAAAGATGGCGAAGCGGCAGGCGCAGGCGCTACTGTGCGCGGGTCGCATCACGGAGGCTGTGGCGCTGCTGAAGCAGACGGGGCTGTACGTGCCGTAGAGGGTGATGCTGCGAAGCGGTGGTGTGAGCATTGAGCCGCGACTTCACCGTTTTTTTTCCTTTCCTCTTTCTCCTGTCATGTATGCAGCTGCTGCGGTGTTTTCGTGGCTGATGTGGCCAACAAACCCATACAAAGGTATGAATGTGCTGGCGGACCTTCCACACCTACCGCTACGCGGAATACATATCTACTATGAAGTGTAGCGGTGCACAAGCGAAGGCGCACCGAAGAACACCCCTGCACCAGCTCCATACGGAACGTAGAAGGAACAGAGGAAGAGCAAGCTAACCAACAAGCAAACAGCGCATATTTTTTTTTTTGGTGGTATCAGCCTGTCGCAGGAGTGAAGGCTGGCGAACTTCGTCAGCCGCTCGCCGCAGCATCGAAGACGAGAGATGAGGAGGATGCGGCGAATACTTGCGAGAGCTCGCGTCGCGCTTTCTTCCTCTGTCTGCGCGTTTCACATGAACTTTTCCTCCTCTCCCCCCTCCCTCGGCTGCTGCGACTCGACTTTGCAGGTTTTTTTGTCTTCTACCTCATCTTCCCTCGCCTCCCCAACTTGCCATCCCTTCATAAATCAAACGCGTAAGGTGTGCTCTGTCCACGGCTGTTAAAGCCGGTGACTCAGTCTTCAGCGTTGTCGCCCTAGCACAGGTACCCATACACCCACACATATATGTTGATGTGCTGCAGAGGACTCTGCTCTTCCTTCACACACCTTCGCAATGCTGCGTCTTACCCCGCGCCGCGACTGGCACGTCTCTCGAGTCCTAAACGAAAAGAGCGTCTTTCGGCGAGTGATGACGCTGCCCCGCGGCATGCAGCGCTTCGAGCCTTCTTCCCCAGCAACAACAAAGACCTCACACGAACCTGGCAAGGATCGTGCTACGCCACGCAGCTTAACACCTGTCTCCTCCCCCTCTTCCCAATCAGCGACAGACACACCGACGACAGGCGTGGGTCGCACACCGTATCACCCCCACCTACCTCCGTGGCCAGTTGACGCCATCGAGTTCAACGCCTTGTCAGTGGACGGCGGGCAGGGGGCCCGTAGAACCTGGCTACGAAACAACCCCCAAAACGGTGCCGGCCAGCATCCACTCAACATGGTTAATGGCGCCAACGGCAGTCATCTTGGGGACGACGGTGGTGAAGGATGGCCAGATGCCGGCTTCGTGCCAAAGACAGTTCCGCTCACGCCCGAAGTACGAACGCGCGTGGCGACAGAGGAGGAGAGCCCCGCCGCGCAGGCCGCACTCGCCGTGGGTGGGTGGGTCTGCACGGGATGCTGGGCCGTGCAAGGCGTGGATTCAGCCGCCAAGGCGGGGGAGCGCTTAACCGAAGCCAACGAAGCTGTAAGCGAAGGCGGAACGTCAGACGCGATGTGCGCCGCAGGGAAAGCGCTCTTCCCACGTACGATTTGTCCAGCGTGCCGCACCCTCCGCCACGACGCCGAGGCCTGGCCGGTGCTCGCCGCACTTCGCACCGAGGATGCTGACAGGTGTGTGTGCCGACAGTGTGGTGAGGTGAACCGCAACAGCAGCAATCGCAGTGCTGCGTCAACACACGGACATGCAAAGACGGAGCACACGGAAACACCTGTGTGCCGCTGCTGTGGTACAGCTTGTACGAGCGATGCCAGCCGACGCTGCAGTATCCGCCAAACAGTCGAGGACGAGGTGGCCGCTGGGCCTCTCGGCCACATTGTAGTCACCCGCAATCGCACCTCCCGTTGGCGCTGCTGCGGCTGTAATGAGGTCAACTCGCTGAAACAGACGGAGTGTCGCAACTGCGCGCGGGAGCGATTTGCCTTGACGGTGTGCTGCCCGAGCTGCGAGACACCGCGTGTCCTGACCAACGCGCTTGTCTACGGCTACCGAGCAGGCACGAGCACCACGACGCAAGGCGCAACGCTCTCAGCAGACGCACAGCCGTACGTGGCGCCGCCAGTGTTCTCGCTGCTGAATTGCTACCACATGGGATCTACACAGGTAATGTGCCAGCAGTGCGGCAGCTCCCTGCACGGCGGCGTCATTCGCTCCTTCACGCACGGCTCAACACCGTGGTGGTGCGCCTGTGGCGTGATGAACCCAACCCAGGCGTACAGCTGCTGCCGCTGCCGGCTGCCCCGCACCGTGTCGAAGCCGTCGCTGCTGACCGCGCTGCTGCGTGGTGTGGTGACGGCTGATGCCTCCCTCCCCCATTACGACTTCGCGACGTGCACGAGCTGGTTGTGCGACAGCTGCGATGGCGTGAATCACGCTTCCTATCAAGTCATCACGGAGCGAGATGAAGAGGCGTGCACCGCTTCCTCATGTTCTGCCGAACAAGGCTCTTCCTCGCCATGCCCTACCAAACGAAAATCGCGTGCCTGGGTGGATGCCGGGGAGGTGGAGTGCGGGCACTGCGGTGCGCCGTGGCACTATCAGCGGCTGCAAAACGGGGAGTGGTGGCGCTGTGCCTGCCACGCATTGAACAAGCGAGATAACACGCTGTGCACGAGTTGCGGGCTGCCCGCGCTGGGCCGCGTTCAAGCAATTGTACTGTCGTCATGGTCGCGAGGGGACTGGTGGTGCTTTGCCTGTAGCACCCACAACTACCGCGAGCGCATGCGCTGCCGATGCGGTGCGTGCCGTCCTCCGTCGGGATAAGCACCTAATGCAGCAGCGCGAGAACAGAAGCCAAGGAGAGGAGAAGGAGAAGAAGAGAAGGAAGCTTGTGTATCAGCCTTTTTTTTCTTCCTGCCGTTTTTATTCATCTGCACGAACGTTGTTACTCACAGAGTCGAATTGCGTTCCTCAACGAAGACACGTGACGTTTCAACTAACAGGTAAGAAGAAAAAGAACGTACTCGTCCTACTGACAGGAGGTGAGTGTGTGTGTGTGTGGGTCTCATGCTGATGTATGAGTTTTGCGCATACGGTTGCCGACACGTTGCAGCGGGCAGCACGCGGCGCTGCAGCACAAAGAGGACAAAAAACGCATGAATGGTGTACAGCCTGCTCTTTTTTTACTTGGAACTCTACTTCTTACCTTTGATGTTCCCTTTTCTCTTCTGGTTATCTTCCGATTCGCTCCCTCCTTCCCTTTCCCCCCAAAAAAGAGCTGACCGTGCAGGTGCGTGCGTACTTCCCCACCCGCGTCACAGCGCACAAGGCGCGTAGTAGACGCTTTCCCAAATCTACCTACCGATTTCGCTTTCTTCTTCAAGAAGAATCGCAACGAAACGTGGAAGGCAAAGTCCAACGCTCAACAGAACCAAATACATAAATATATATATGTAAGCAAACGTAGACGATAGATATCAACGTTGCGTTGCGAGAGGGGAAGATTACGTTCAAACTACGCTTGAAACTGCAATATATATATATATATATAAACAAACGTCATTCATATATTTCCTAAGCTCAGGGAGTGCGTCTCTTCTGCACGTCGAGGCGCCTCGTTTTTTTCCCTCTCTTTCTTTCTGCCGAGGCTTTCAGAGTTGTATATCTTATATACATATCCCGATCACGACGCAGACTCTTCTAGGGGTGAACGCTGTCTCTCGCTAGTATCTCCCTCTTGCATTGTTTTCTCCCTTTTGTTTTTCTCCTTCTCCTATCGCTGCTCAACTAACGCTTCAGCCCCCGCAGCTACCGATAGTTGTGTTACACACACACACACCTATATTTCCTTGTTCCTGAGAGAACTAGGTACGACGCTGGACGTTGCAAGAATCACAAGAGCGGCAACCGAACGCCATTGTTTACGTCGTTTTTGGTTTGTCTTCTAAATACTCTATTCTTGGTTGTTTTGCCATAGTCGTTCTCGGCTGACGTAGCTGCAGCTGCAACGGTATCATAGCTGTGGAAGAAGCACAGAGGCAGATTGTTAAGAAGAGGAGATAAACAAATGAATGAAGACAAACACCCCTGCTAGTGATAGAATACGCCTCCTACTCGAGTATCGGTGTGTTCTGATTTTGTTTGTTTTGGCTCCTCTTGATTGCTTCTTCACTTTCCTATAACCGTCATTTTTTATCCTTTCTTTTGGTGGTTTCGCTCTTCTTCTCTTCTGTTGAAGAACGCGCTGGTCCCTTCCGTTGTCATAGAAGTGTATATGTCTTCTTCGCTTCCTTCTTCATTCGGACTCCGTGTCATCTTTCTAGCTTCTCTTCGCCTTTTTTTTTCTGCTTTCTACATTCTCACAAGGCAACAGATCGCATACGTTGTCTTCGTCAACACATGTTGGCGAGTGTGTGCGCGCTTTTCCTTTCTTCTCTTCTTCCCTTCTGTGTGTCTGTGTGGTTGCACCCGCTCTTCTCTCTGTCTCGCAGTTTCATTCCTCTCCAGTTGACCCAGGAAATAGCCGAACGACGTCCTGCTATCTACATTTGGTTATATGTATGTGCATACGTGAGCGTAGAGGAGAACGGAGGAAAGAAGAAGAATAACACGTCTCTTTTTCTGTGTATATCGTCGTTGATTCACTTGGGTTTTTTTTTTAAAGCATATTAATTCCTCCTCGCCGCTTTTGTTTTCTCGACTCTGAAACTGTCGTTTTTCGTTTTTCCTTTCTTTGGGCTGATATTATTGTTTTCGGTTGAAGCTTTTCCCGCTTGCTCTGTTCTCAGATCCTCTCTTTCTCTCATTTTGTTTTCCTTCTACCTAGTGTCTCGTTTTCATTTCATTAATTATTTAGTCCATTACCTTTGACTCTTCTTTATAATTGGAGGCATCGCCCGCTGTTCTCGGGGGTTTTCTGCCACCGTATATATATTAATTTGGTTATGCTTCTGCCGCGTCTCTTTCCTTTGATAGGAAGGCGTTTTCGTTTTTCTCAGTTGCCGTAGGGAGACAACCGTCGTCTCGCTTCTGCGCGGTGCCACGAATCTGTTGTTTCGTTGCTGAAATACTCCTTGCTTTCTTTTTTTGAGCCTTGGAATACGTGCTCTCTCTCTCACAGCTTTTCTTTTCTGCTGAGAGACATGGCTAAGGAGGGCGAACTTCGCCACGCCCTTTCTCATGAGAAGAGGAGTGTGAAGGAGAACGTGGCGAGTCTCCTCACACGCCTACGCTCCCCGTCGTCACCAGAGCGCGACGATGCCCGCAGTCCGAAGTCGCGCTTGCACACCGCACCTTTTTTTTCGAGTCCGTCGGCAAGCGACATCGCCCCGCTCTCGGCGTACGCAGAGGAGCCGTCGTGCCGCTCGCCGCCGTCGTCGCGGTCGCCGTTCAACTCGCCGTCCTCCCTCCACAGCGCCACCCCCAACTCGTGCGCGCGTCGAGCCCGCACTGCCACCAAGATCGGCGTCTCCTTCTCACCATCGGTGCGGTTTGCCTCGTGCCGGCAGCGCGGCAACCTCGCCATTCCCCGCGGCGACTACGCCAATGAAGAGGATTCGGTGGTGGCCGCAGCCGCTGGCGCAGACGCAGGACCCTATCCCATCTCCTTCTTCCACTTCCCCACCAAGCCGGTGTCGCAGGCGTCGAGCGACACGGCCGGCCCTTCGCCGACTCGCTCAAGGGAGTTGAAAGTCTATTGGTCGCCAAAGAGGCAGGCGGTCGATGACGATGACACGGATAGCGCAGGCAGTCGCACCTTCTCTCTCCCTCGCTCATCCACACGTTCTCTCTCACCGGTGAAGTCGCCTGTGTCGCTTGACGGCAGTTCCACCTACGACATAGGCTTCTCGATGCCGTCGCCGCTGGAAGTGACGCTGCTGGAAGAGGAGGGGACACCACGACCTCATCAGCAGGCCCCCCGCGCCGCCCCAAGTCCGACCTGGCGGAGGACCCGATCCCCCGATGTGGATCTCCTGGCGTTGGGTCCGCCGGTGCCGAAGGGGCAGCGACGCGCGGAGGCAGCGTGCCTGGGAGCGACCGTCCCGTCCGCCGAGCACACCGCTCTCGCCTCCCGCCTTGTCTATTCGCAACGGCTGAGCAGTCTCGATCTGCGTCTGCGGTCGAGGCCGACCGGGGAAGCAAACGACGTCAACGTCCGCTACACGGTTGCGCAGGACGGTGATGCTCGCGGTGCCGCCGCGCTCGACGACGGGGAGCCGCCGCTGCTGCGGGACCGGTGGTACAACGTCGACGTTTCCGCCAAGAACCTCGCAGCCGTGGCCGCTACCACGTCTGGTAAGAGGAAAGTCAGCACTCCCAAGACGTCAAAAGCCTTTGCCGCTCCGCTGTCGCCACCACCTCTTCCTGTGTCCACACGGAGGACCTGTAGCCAGTTGTCGTGGGCAGAGTCGGGAGGTGAAGCGAGTACGTGGAGTCTGCTGTCTGCTCTCTCTCCCACCCCCCACGACGACCACGACCACTACCTCAACCTCGAGGAGTCGCTTCAAGCTCTCCCACACGCTGCGAGTGCTGCTGCTGTTGGAGCGAACACCACGAACAACAAAGCGCACCATGGCGGGATGACGGTGGAGCTTCTGACGGACGACAACGTCTCCTCGGTAACGCTGCGCCGGCGCCGTACTAGCTCTGCCGCCATCACGAAGTTCATGGCAGACGTAGCGGCGTCAGATGCAGCAGCATCACCGCACGGCCATCAATCACGACAGCCGTCCATGGCCAGTGCGACGGCGTCCGCCAAATGCTCTTGCAGCTCGTATTCGTACTCCCTGCCGTCTATTCCCTTACCGGTATACGACCGCGCGATCCCGGCACCCCCTGCCAATCCCAAGGGACCAACGCCAGTAAAGGCAACGACCACGCCAGCGGCGGCACACATGAGTACAAAGGCAGCCGTCAAAGATATCGGGAACTTGAGCTATTCCGATGTCCACGACGTGGTGGCTGCTGACGCGCATGCCTCCGAGCAGAGTGCCTTTCCCCACACGCTCCTGCGCAATTCAAAAACGATCTCATCGTCGGTTACGGATGCGGAGCTGATCCCCACCAAAGCCGCCCATCACGGTCTTCCACCACCGCCGAAGCCACGTTCTCTCCCCCTGTTGACAACCCCGACGTTGAAACGCATGTCCACCACCACCCCCGTCTCTTCCTCAACGCTGCGACTTGCTGCTGCTGCTGCAGCGGCGGCTGAATGTGGGCTCTCTTCGCTGGTGTTGTCGAACACTTCTTCACCTGCCGCACGATCTAACTCTGCATCTGGCAGCACCCATCTCGCACCCGGTGTATCGGCCGATGCTATCACGCACGCAGCGGCGCACTCCGCGTCGCCAAACGGTGGGACGCCCACGCACTCAACGGTGAGGATCCCTTCGCTTCCTGCACCGTCCAGTCGCTGGTCACCGCGCCGATCGTTGGAGCTCAACCCGCAGCCGGTGGACGGCATCAACACGGGACTTGGAGCAACGGCAAAAAACCTTGCACCCCAAACAGCACTTCAATCTCCGCGTTCCGCAGCCACACCCGTTTCCTCTGGACGCGCCATCTTACCCCAACGCGGCAACGAGGAAGGCGAACACCGCAACGGCGCGACGCCATCGCCGTCGTTGTCGTCCGCATCGCCGCACTCACCGCCAGAGAATGTGGAAACGAAGCTGCACGTGCTGCGCGGACCTGCGGAAGGGAAAGAGGTGCTGGTGATTCAGGCTCCTGTGCATCCAAATCTAAGTTTGCCGCGTGGGAGCGTCGTGAGGGCGCTAGCGCACGGGCACAGCAGCAGCGGCGACGCTACCCATCATTCCTCGCCGCCTCATACCGCTTCGCAGCTGCCACCATAACCGCAGCCGCCGCTGTCATAGAATGGTGAGGGACAGGGGGGGGGGTGGTAGTTGCGACGTTGAAGCGTTGTGTGGGGCTTTACGCAGCATTCTTTTTTCCCCCTTGCCTCCTTGCCGGATGTACAGCCGCGCTCCTGCGTGCTTTCCCTCTTCTGCCTTTTTTTTTGTTGGAGATGTTTTTTGCAGTCGTTTGCGTGGCGTATTTGCCGTTTCCGCGTTGGTCAGGAGTGTGTGTGTGTGTGTGTGTGCCACGGGCGTGTGGCGACGCGACGTGCACGACGGCGACGGACATCGCGTAGGTGCAGCGAGGCGGAAACGACAGCGTTGAAATTTTCTCATGTGAACACATATGCGTTAGAACTGTTTTTTTCTGTCTGTGTTTCTTTGAAAGAGGGAGATAGAGAGAGAGCGCCGTAGAACACTTTTACCTTCGATGGCAGCGCAGCCGTAACCCACAAGGTAACATAATAGCCCTGGTAAACACCCCTCTAAAATTGAAAAGGAAAAGAAGAAAACGTGTTTCACGCGCCCACGATGTCCTCCTCCGACATGCACAGGAGAGGCTTCGTGCGTAGACGACGCCTTCGCCTGGGCTTTTTTTTTTCTTTGCTGTCCAGTGAGCGTAACCAAATCGAATGCAAACCCGATTTACGGCAAAGGAGCTTTTTAAAATTCGGTGGTTTTTCCACTCTTGAAGAAAGCAGAGCTGAAAGTGAAGGCTGTGTTCTTTTTTGTTTTAAACCGTACTCATGATGATGATTCTTGTACTTTCCCTCTTCCCCTCTTCCTGTCAATCTTTCCCTCCACAAAACGTTGGTGTGCCGGACTCTCCCTCCCCCCCCGCATAGAAGTCTCTCTGGTAGCATCAAGGGACAGCAAACACCAAAGAAAGGAAAAACCAAAAAAAAAATAGTCTACGGCTGCTAGGGAGCGCCGTAACACTCACACACGTTGGCACACCGCGAGTGAGGCCAACAGCAGTGACCGACTGTTTCTCTTCTTCTCTTCTCTTCCTTCGCTGCGCACGCGGACTTTGTCGTCCTACCAGGTACGCGCACCCAGGCACTTTGCACACCGACATCTGTTCCGTAGCGCGGCGTTGCCTTTCTTAATACAACAATATATACGAAAATACCCAAATTAGAGTAGTTCGAAGGAGGCGAAAGTCTGACGTTGTTTCTCCTTCTATATCTTCTTCTGGGCAATCGATGATATTAATAATAAGAAAAAGCATGAAGAACACTCAACGACACACAGAGCAAAAGGAATGGCCTTCTTTCTCAAAGCCATTGGGCTATCGGATGACATCCCCGGCTTCCCCTTCACTCCGGAGGCGAATGACCCAGGGCATGTTGTGTACACGTCGCCGCTGATGTGCTGGACGGTGCGCTCCGGCACGCCACACGATGACGCACAACGGAAGGTGTCTATCTTCACCTGCTACCTCTCCGCGCCGTCCTCAGCAGGCAACAACGAGCTGGCGAAGCTGCTCGCCCGCAACGCGCTGCGACGCGCCAAGAGTTTGATGATTCCAGGGTTTCTCAAGTGTCTTGGCGCGACCGAGTACCGCGATACCGTGTACATCGCCACCGAGGTGTGTCTACCATTGAAGGAGGTGCTGGAGAGCCGGGAGCTGCGCACGCAGCTGTGCGGCACGACGCCGGCGGAGTACGACGCCTCCGTTGCCTACGGGATCAGCACCGTGGGCGGGGCCCTCAGCTCCTTGCATCAGAACCGACTGGTGCACGGCAACGTGAACTGCCAATCTGTCTTCGTCTTGCCCTCCTCCGGCATGTGGCGGCTGTTTGGATTAGAGCTCGTGTCGTCGCCGGACGACGTGAATGCGAACAACGCTAGCTGCCTCTTCGATAGCGCACGGCGGGCCGGCTTGCTAGAAGGCTATCGCTGCCCACCGGAGTTCTCGTCCGGCAGTGGCAGCGGCGGCACCGGGGCGAGCGCAGATGCCTTCGCGATTGACTCGTGGGGCATGGCTGGTCTTCTGTACGAGACGGTCGGCGTCACGGCAGACGAGGCCCTGGACGGCAAGCTAGACTCCCTCGTCCACACCCTCGCGAGTGCGGAGCTGCGCAACGCGTGTCGGCAGCGGCTGCCGCAGTCACTGCACAGCGGGTGTAGCGGGATCACCGCGGCCAACCCACGCCTGCGCAAGTCCGTCCAGGCGTTCCTCGAGCACTGCGAGTTTGTCCGGAGCAGCGTTTTCGTCCGGTACATGAAGGAGCTGTCCGAGTTGCTGCTGCTGGACGCGGCGCAGCAGGTGCGGTTGGCGGAGTCGCTGACGGACGTGGTGGATTCGTTTCCACTGCGGCCGTGTCTGTGCTACGTGCTGCCGCGGCTCAGCGAGCTCATCCGTGCCGCGGCGAAGTCCGGCGGTGCGAGCGGCGTGGCCGGGGTCTCGATCGGCCCCGTCGTGGACCCCTTTCTGAAGATTGCGGCCCGCACCAGCGCCGGCGCTGACTTCGACAACTACGTGACGCCGACGCTGGTGCACATGTACCAGAGCACCGACGTGCTCGTGCGCTATAAACTTTTGGTCGGCTCGGAGACGTACAGCGGCAAGCTGGCCTCCGCTGCGTTGAACAACACGATTTGGCCGTTGTACGCGAAGGGCTTTCAGTACCCGGCGCCCAGCGTGCGGGAGTACTCGGCCCGCGCGCTGGTGCATCTCGCGCCGCACTTGTCCGAAGCGGTGCTGGGCGATCAAGTCCCGAAAGCGTTGGGGCTGCTGCAGCGAGATCCGGACGGGGCGTTGCGTGCAAATGCCACCATCGCGCTGCACCTCATTGCCGGCTACATCACGCCCCCGACGCAGCGGGCGACAGTTATTCTGCAGTCCTGCCGGCCGATGCTGCGCGACGCGTTTGAGCCGTCCCGCGTCGCGGCGCTGCGTGTGATACGTGGTGCGATGGACTGCCTGTCGGCGAAGCAGCTGGCGGAGATGGTGCTGCCGTGGGTGGCGCCGCTCACGGTGGACTCAACGTCGGAGGAGAGCCGTAGTGCTGCTCTCGCGCTGGTGAAGTCGGCCATGACAAAGCTGGAGGAGAACCACAGAGTCCTCACGGCGCAGCAGTCCGCGACGCTGAGCTCGCCCGCACCCGCACCGGCAGCAGCGGCAGAGGTGTCGACCAGCGGCAGCGGCGGCGCCAGCTCGTGGGTCTGGGGACTCTTCCACACTTCACCGGCCGCGACAGCTTCACCGACCCCGCCGTCGACCGCCCCCACGCGCCACGTTGAAGCTTCCTCCTCCTCTGCCTCCTCTTCACTTGCGATTCACCCTGTAGCGCCCTCTGCGCACGCCACGACGGTTCTGCCGACGCCGGTGGTGGTGGCCGCTGCCGCTTCCGCCGCCGGTGGTGGTGGCTCAGGCTGGGGCAGCGATGAGGATGAGCTAGTCAACGGCGGTGACGCAAAGGACGATGATGGTTGGGGAGACGACGGCGACGATGACGCGGACTTCGCGAAGCCCACCAGCACGACTGCCGCCATGAAAGTGAAGCCGCTGCGGTCGACGTTCGGTGCCGCTGCCGGCGCTGGGAGTGCGCCTGCTCGGGCGACAACAGCATCGTTTCCCGGCGGCGCGTCGCTCTCCTCTGCGAACAGCACGAGCCACACCCCTACCATAAGTTCCGCCACGGCAGCAAAGCCTTCCCCATTGGCGCCGCGTATAAACAGCTCTTCCACCTTCACCGCTTCGCCTCTACCGATGACGTCTAACACGTCGAACGCGAGTGGGTCGTCGACGCCTCTTGGCGGCAACAGTAGCCCAAGGGTTGCGGCAGCAAATCCAATCCCACCAGGTCCCATGAAGCTGCGCAAGAAGGGCGGCCTTGGCGCCGCGAGGCTTGACTGAGGAGGACAGCGCAGCCAGAAAGAGAAAGAGAAAAACAATAAAAAAACGCAAGCTTGCCGCGAACGGTGCCTACGTGTACGTTGATATAGTTTTATCGATTGTGTTGACTGAGCACTACTGTCTTTCATTGTCTCTTCTTGACTCCCAGTGGTGTCATTTTTCTTTCCGCTTTTAAGTCTTACACACACACACACACGTATATATGCATGTATGTCATGGGTGTGTGTTGGTGTGTCGATGTTGCTGCATTGGTGATCTCTAGCTCCAATAAACAGTTCCCCCCCCCCCACAAAGAAATAGCAGCGGGCATCACAACAGGACGACATCCTTTCCCTTTTTTTGGGTTTTCGAATCGGCCCCCTCCTTCACATCCTGCTTGCGTGCGTTCTCGTGTTTTCTTTTTATACTGCGAGGTACTCCCCCTCTTTCCTCCTGAGAGGAGAGTGAAGGGTGGACAAAGAACGGCGTTGCACCGCCGGCCCTGTTGTTGGACGAGTGAAGCAGTTATCTTGCCCTCCCTTCCACCTCTTCGCCAATCGTTCTCGTCTCTTTGCATTTCCCCTGCCTGCCTTCCTTCTATCTTGTCGCTTCATCCGCGTACGCGCGGCAAAGCTGTAGTTGTTCGTCTGACCAAATACGTACGCCAAACGGAGGTACTCTCATTTGGCTATTTTTTCTGTTTGCTGGTTCTCGTCGTCCCGCAAGTCGTCGTTAAAAAATAATTATGAGCTCTTCAAAGGCTTCGTCGCGGCAGCGCAGCAGCGCGGACAGTCCCAAGAAGGGCGGTAACCGTAGGCCGGCCGCACAAGGCTCGATGAAGGCTACGGAGGCTGTCACCACCGACGCTGGCATGAGCAGCGGATCCGGTGTGGCCAGCCGTGTACTTCTCACGCACTACCCGGTGCACTCACTGCCGTTCTTAGAGGAGTTGCTCCGTCCTTCCGCCGCCAGTCGCATCGCCGCTGTGGCGCTTACGGTGCACATGGAAGAAAAAGAAGCCGCCTCTGCTCCTCTTACGGCTTCTACGACCGGCAACAGCGGATCGGACTCGGCATCCGCTGCTCTCCTCCCTCCTCCCCCTTCTCCTCTCCGGTCGTACGCAGCAGCAGCGACGGCACCCACCTCCGCCGCCTCGACCAAAATCGAAGCCGAAGCCGGCAATGAAGGCAGTGGTGGCGGTGGCCCTCAGGTGTCACGGGACAGTCCGCCAAGCACCACCACAACCACCACCATCACCTCTGCATCTCACCAACCCACCGTTCCTTCTCTCGCGTTGTTGCTTGAGTGCGCAACGCAGCTGAGCGGACTGTTGGCGCAGTGGCGGGCATGCAGTGCGGCGGAGCGTCGTGATGCGTGGGGCCGGCCCCCACAGGCACCGCCGCCGTTGACTCCGTCTCCCCTCTCAGCTGCAGCAAACATGAAGGGAGCGGCGGGCAGTGGACCTGTACAGCAGCAGCAACCGACCCGACCATCGTCGGAGCGCCTGCTTCAGCTGATGGATGTCATTCTGTGGTACTGCCTTGCCACCGCTGATGAGGTGAGCTTGGCGTACGGCGGGCGCTCGCACGGCACGAGCGGACGGGCCACACCGGCCCTCCCTGGCACTGCCGCTGCTGCCAATCGGAGTGTCGGTGATCAACCAACCTCGATGGGGGGCAGCAGCACTCCCTTCGGCGTCCGCGGCGGTGGCGGTGGTCGTGGTGGTCGTGGTGGTTCCGTCTGCCGCAGCAGCGGCATCAGCAGCGCCGATCCAATGGGTGCGAACGACTGGCTAGGAAGTCGCATGTCATCTACTGCCGCCTCCTCGGCTGCTATTGGCGTACCGACGGTGACGATGTCTGATGATCAGCTGGCGGAGCACCTGCTGCGACCGGCGGTGGACGCCGTGGTGTTGCTGCAGGACCGAGCGCCGTCGTCCCCACCACCCCCGGCAAGCACGACGACGCCGGCCCCGTCCGGTGGTGCGAACGCGAAGCACAGGGACAGCGGTGGGAAGGGGCGTAAGGCGACGGAGTCGGCGGACGTGGGCAAGGAGCTGCAGACGGTGGCGCTGTGGATGCTGGCGTCGGTGCTGGTGCGGTTTACCGGTGCCCCCTTCAACGCCACGGTGTTCTTGCCGGTGCTTTTCCCGCAGGTCGACATCCGCGGTGAGAGTGGGGTGGCGGCGCGACATCCGATTCTGCAGCCGCTGCTGCGCGGCGACACCCCGCACACACGGCAGCCGCAGACAAAAGATAGCAACAGCGGCATCAGTGGGAACATGGCCATGCGATGCGGTGCTGCAGCCGCCTTAACGGCGCTCCTGCACAAGCTGCAGCCCACCCTGCTGTACGCTGAGGAGCCGCACCCGAACCGGCAAGCGTTCGTTTCCTTGGCGACGCAGTGTGGCACGATGCTGCTGTCGCTGCACGAGAGTCTTTGTTGGGGCCTGGAGAACGAAGGCGGAGGGAGTGCTGCTACGCCGCTGCTGGGCACGTTCGCGACGGTGGTCGGGGCGACACCGTACAATCGCTGCCCTCGCTCCCGCGCTGTCATCCTTCAGGCGTTACAGCTGCCGGTGATTCGGACCTACTTGGCGCAGGAGGGGTGCGCCGAGTTCGTGCCGACGACGACGCTGGCGTCGAGCGTGTTTCGCAACGAATCGATGCGTGGCGCGGCGACACAGCTTCTCTACGATAGCATCAGCAGCAGCAGCAGCAGCAGCAGCCATCCTAGTAGCAATGACGAAAGAGTGAAGAGGAAGGGCGGGTTGCAGGCGGCAGCTGGGCACGCGGCTGCGATTAGTGCGGATGGGACCGTTGAGACGACGGCGACGGCGACGGCAGCCTCCAGTGAGTCGTTCCTCTCCGCCCTTCTGCAGCACGCCGACACACGTGTGGAGGTGTGGCGCTGCATGGTGCCCCTGTCTCGCCTGTATCCCCGCATGGTGCACAGCGAGTTTGACTTGCTCATGTCCGCCTCGGTCCGCGTTGTGACGGCGCTCACGAACTGGGAGGCAGGCGAAGCAGCTGCGGAGAAGGCCGCGTTGGAGGCGAAGACTGCTGAAGAAAAGGTAACGGGCGAGGAGCACGGTAACGGGACACCGCGTGGTGATCAACAGCAGCAGCAGCAGTGCGCAGGCCTGCCTCTCTCCGCCAATCCCGCCCGCGTCGCTTCTGAGTGCGCTATTCATCAAGACCCAAACAACAAGAGCAGCAGTGGGAACGGCCAAGACGATGCCAACATCACGCCGGCTGAACATGCGGTGACCTCCACCACCACCGCAACTATCAACGCGTCTTCTTCGTCCCTTCTGTCACGTCTCCGCCCTCCTCCAACGACTTCTCCTGAGACGCTCGCGGAGTGTCTGCGGACGTGGCTGCACTTCATGGGCTACATCTGGAAGTCCTTCGACGACAACGCGTGCGACCCGGCACTCAGCCCAGAGGGTCAGCGAGACCGCGCCACCCTCGCGCAGAAGCGACGCATTCACGCGGAGCTGCTCCGCCCAGCAATGCGGCTGCGACGGTGCGGCGAGGACGTGCGAACCATGACGCTGCGCTGCACGGCGCAGATCGGCGACGACTACCTGTCCACCATCACCGACCGCACCCTCGGCGAGGAGCTCGTGCGCTACGTGCAGACCTGCATCGCCGACCCGCAGCCACGCGTGCGCGGGGAGGCGCTCACGACACTCGGCATGTGGCTGTGGCAGTACCCGTCGATGGATGCCTTTGCGTGTGAGGCGATCGACAACGCGGTGCACTCCGTCACGGTGGACCCGAACGCGCTGGTGCGCACCAAGGCCGCGTTTGCGCTGTCAAACATCACAGGACGGCTGCCCGAGGGCACCTGCCCTGCCGTGCGGGACTCCGCCGACTACATTGCGACGCTCTGCGCGACCGCCATGCACGCGGCTGTGATTGACAGCGAGGGCGGTGTGCAAGGCCACGGGATCCGCATGATGAACCACCTGCTGCAGGTGCTCAATTTTGAAGAGCTCATCAGCGAGGTCGTGGGCTTTGACGAAGGCGTCGCGGAGGGCTTCCTGCGAGTGCTGCTGCAGTGCCTGCGTGCAGCAACGCGGGGTGCGAACCCGAATAGCAGCAGACAGCAACATCGCCCGAGTGCAGACGGCGGTGGCGGTGGCGGTGGTGCGAGCTGGTACGCTGCCCCGCGAGAGGCGAAACATCGCTGGAATGCAGCGTGCGCACTAGGCATGGGTTTGGCTCGCGAGGAAGTCTTTGAGGCGGAGCCGAAGTACGCCGTGGAGGCCGTTGACGCCCTCTGCACCGCCGTCGTGCGGGATCAGATCTTTAAAGTGCGCACGCAGGCCGCCGTGGCGCTCGGGCGTATCCCTGGCAACTGCCTCTGCGGTGCCTACAGCGCAGAGGATCTGACCCCCAAGGTCGTGCGCTCGCTGTGTGAAGCGCTCGAGACCGCCACGTCGACGGAGAACTTCAGGCAGTACAAGGAGCAGGGTTCGCTGCACGACGCCCTGCACGGTGCGCTGGCGACGATGTTCACCACCGCGAAGCCGAGCGTTGCTCTGGACAAGGTCTTCACGAGCTACCAGAAGCTGTTGCAGAAGGAGCTGCTGCTGTAGCGGTGATCGGGGAGGTTTGAATGCTTTTACCTTTCCACTGGATTCTCTCTTGTTTTCTTCTCTTCACTTTTGTGTTTGGGCTTGGGGAAGTGACTTAATTGTCTGCTGTTGCGTGTGTGTGTATGGGTACTGCACAAGTTTTTAAGTTTCGTTTCCAGTCCCGAAGAGGCGTGTGCAGCAAGTGACGTGGACCATCGGCGTAGCACGCCGCGCGCGGCATTGTTCGGTCTGTGAGGTAAAGTGCCGTTGGAACGCGGATTTTTGGAGACGACGCAGCGTCTTAGCCGCTTAATTTTTATTATTGCAAGTTGAACCGGTATACTATTAAAAAGAGTTTTACTAGTAAATCTTCATGGACACTACCCACACACACACACACACACACACACATTTGAGAGCACACGTGTAAAGCACGAAGTGAAGATGATGCTTAGCTGCACGCGGGCATCGCTGCTGCTTTTTATTATTATTATGAAACTCCTATTCACGTTGGTGCTGCGTGTCAGGATATATATATATTTGCACCAGCTCTCATGCTGCGTTCTCACATCCTCGGCATGCTGGCTTCTCCCTCCTCACAACTTCCTTCGCGGCGCCTGTGCTTCATCTGCTTGTTTCTCTTCTCCTAAATCCTTCCTAGTTTCCTTCCCCGACTTCAACAAGGCGGCGCAGCTACACGTGATTACATGCGCCTCCATCGTCACACAGATACACAAACAAATGCATTCGCCAACACCAAGTTTGTCAAGTCCGCTTGCTGATCTCTTTCTCTCTCCTTCTCCACCTTTTTTTTTTCTTCGAATCGTGCTTTCAGCACTTATTTTTTCCTTCCTTCCTCCGCTGCTTATCCTTCGCTCTTGTTCTTCTGTGGACGACTGACTTGGCTGCTTTGGCTCGCAGGTCTCATTTTGAGGCTCTTCGCAATAGCCCCCCCCCTCCCCCGTCTCATCTCAATCGTTGTTCCTCCCCCCACCCCCTGTCACCGGTATACCCTGAAGCTTAAAACAAAGCGCCACCGCTTAACGAAAAGAGAAGAGCGACGCAAACCACACAAGAACACCAGAGCAGCAGCCGCAGCAGAAATACATGAGCAGCTCCATTCCCCTCACGAAGGCGTCAGCGGACAGAGAGGAAGAGTCCCTCTCGCAGCCTTCCCTCTCACCGACGACCACAACACCGCGTCACCACCGTCACCGCCACCACCACCATACTCCGCTCGCATCCGCTGACACCAACTTGAACAACGATGCAAACCAATCTAATGCTAATAACGCAGATCAGAACCCACTCATCGGCGACAACGACGGCAGCCCCGCCGCCTCTAGTCGCTCGCGCACACGACGCAGTCGTCGTCCGCACGCGGCGAGTCGTGTCGACGCGGCATTTGGTCTTCTCGGCGATGACGCCCGCGACGGGCTCGCCATTTGCTGCGACGGCGTCAGCGTGCAGCGGAGCCACCGCGACGTCATCGACGAGGCGTTCTGCCTCTTCCGCGGTGGCCGGGTGACGGCGCTGGTAAACTGCTGCGGCACGCACAGCGCACTGGCGTTGCTCACCGCCGTGGCCGGCCGGGTAGACTGCGCGGCGGGCAACATCGTGATGAACGGCGTACCAGTCTCCGCGTCGGCCTACCAGGCGCAGATGAGCTTTGTAGAAGGGAAGAACGCGGTGGCAGACGACGACGACTACGGTGGAGGGGGAGGCGGGGCCACCGGCGACGTATTAGTAGAGCTCACCGTGCGCGAAAACTTGGAGTACGCGAGCGCGTTGCGTGTGGCAAACTCTGCCCAGGCGTACTCTGTAGAGGAGGTGATGCAGCAGCTGCTGCTCGAGCCCCACGCGCCGGCACGCGTTCGGGACTGCTCCTTATACGTCCGCCGCCGTGTCGCGCTGGGCAAGGAGCTGCTGCTCAACCCCTCGGTGCTGCTACTGGATGAGCCGATGGACGGCCTGGCGACGCACGAGGCCCAGCAGTTTCTGACCATTCTGTCGAAGCTCGCCGCACCGTCGGCAGCAGACGCAGAGGCGCGCCACGCCATCCGGCAGGCCATGGCGGCTTCTGCTTCAGCATCCTCCTCTTTGGGAGGCGTCGACGTCAATGCCGCCGCGAGCATCACCGAGCCGTCGACGTCCTCTGCACGCGCCTCCGTATACACACCGCGCCACAGCCGCGTGCACCGGCGCGACAGCAATGGCGTTGCATCATCGTCGTCACCGCCCAGCTCATTTGTGCCTTTGTCCACGGCCGGCGCGCAGCCCAACCATACCGCCACAGCAGACGTCAACAGTGCCGCGGAGCATGAGCTTGGCGCGCCGCTGATGGAGTCGACGCAGCGGGTGGTGATCTTGTCGATGGTGCAGCCACGCTGGGCGCTGCTGCAGTACGTGCATGACGTGGTGCTGTTAGAGCGCAGTCGGTGCGTCTTTTCGGGGACGGTGCAAGATATGCTTTCCGTGAGGCTTCCCAAGGCGGTCTTGCGGCCCCGCATGTCCGACAATGTCGATGACATCGTGGCGGCTGCAGGGGCGAGGGAGGACAACGACAACGGCGACAACGACGAGAGAAGCGGCGACAATCGGAAGGTGCGCTCGGCCAGACAAGTTGGTGCTTCGCAGCTGACGGAGGACGCTCCGGCGGACTCGTACGACGCCGTGGCCGCCTCCATTCACAAAACGCGTCTCAACGAGGAGTTGGTGCACGGGCTTTATCGACTGGCGGCGACGGCACCCCCCGGCGGGGTGGTGGCCGGCACAGAGTTTCCGTTCTTTGCTGCTTCCTTCACGGACAACCCCGATGCGCCAGAGCCGCAGGGGAGCAGCCCAACGAGCGGCGGCCGCCATTCGACCTCCTCCTCCTTCATCGCCGTGCGTGCAGATGGAAACGGTACCGCCTCTCTCAGTCAGCTCTACGCCGTGCTGTTTGGCCACGCCCGCGCGCAGGTGACGGCGTACATGGAGGTGTGCGCGGCGGGACTGCTGTCCCTGCCCGACGCCTCACACCAAGCCCCCTCCGGTGCGATTCAGCTCCTTCAACTCTTTCGCTTTGGCTTTATTGAACTTCGCCACAGGCTTCTCGGCGACCTTGTTGCGCTGGCTTTTATGCTGGCCGCCGCGGCCGCCCTGGCTGCGCTGTACGGCGTTCAGGTCGGTGACCGCGGCATCCAGAACTGCGCCGGCATCCTCTTCTTCTTGGTGTGCTGCGTAGTGCTGCAGGCGGTGCTGTCCCTCGACGCCCAGCGACGCGAGTACGCGGCCTTCTGTCGCTACGCCCGCAGCGGCTACTACGCCGCGTGGACGTTTCTCGTCTTCCGCGCCGTGACGGCGGCGCTGTGGCGCTTTGGTCTAGCGTCGTTTGTGGCCCTCGTCGTCTTCGTCTTGTCGAACTTCGGCGAGCCCTGGCGGGAGTACCGCGGCGTCTTCGAGCTTGGCGTCATCATGGCGGTGCTGTCGTACTGCTGTTACTTCTTGATTTGGTTCCTCTGCGCGTGGTGGCCGTCGGACCGTGTTAGCCGCGTGCTGGTGTTTGCGTTTTACACCTTCAACATCGTGCTGGGGGGTCTTGTGCTGAACTTGACGACGCTGCCGCCAGCAGTGCAGGGCGTGTCTTTCCTGTCGGTGGTGCGGCTGGCCTACGAGTCATCGATGCTGACGCACTTTGCGGGGAGGACGTTCGGATGCAACAAGACCGCCCCCGACGGCAGCAGCAGCAGCGCCGCGGAGGACTTCAAAGAGGCGACCTGGCGCACCCCTCCGCATCCCGCCGGCGCAGCGGCACGACGGAGGAGCGATGCGCACCTTTTGGACAAGGGCCGTCATGGCGCACACTCCGCAGCAGCGCAGGCGGCGCGGCAGGGTGTGCGGTGCTACACCGGCGCCGAGTACGCCGCGTACATGGGATTTGAGCCGTCGCACCGGTGGTCGAACGTCGGCATCCTCGCCGGCCTCTCCGCGGCGCTGCTCCTTGCGAGCTGGATCTTGATGGTTCTCTACCGTCCTCGCAGGCGACTGAGGGTAATTACTTGAGGAAGCTTCACGCACACACACGCAAAAACCGTGTTATTCTTCTGCTTCTTCTCTCCCGTCCGTATCGTTATTATTCAATGTGAACACACGACTGTTGCGTCTCGCAGGAATCAACAACAGCCACTAGAGCAGCGACTTCTGTGGGCGTGTGCTTTTGCGTTTATTTGTTCTAGGCATCGCCCACCCTTTTTTTAAAGAATGACGGTGCAGATTCCACCGAGTCCAATGGAACACACACACACACACACAACTAGAAAAATAGTCGCTCGTTGTGTGCCTCACGCCGATGCAGATTGTTACATCTCTGTTAGACCGTGCAGACACACGCACTGTGTCGAACCGAAATGAAGTCGCCTCTACTCCTTTCCCCACCCATCATCCTCCATTTATTCCTCGAAACAAGCGGATAGGTACGCCTTTCCTCACGGTATTCGAAAGCTGAGGGAGCCATCAGAAGAGGGAGGGCGAGGAAATACTCAAAAAAAGCTAGTAGTCGAACCGCACTCGCTGGCGGACGGCGAAGGCAGCCCGAGTAGCCCAGCAAGTAGATTCGCGGAACGCGGCACGGCCATAAATCGACACACATACATTTTTAAAGTTATCGGGAACCACAAAAGAAAACAACAGAGATCAGCGTCAGCAGCTGCGCATATCTTCTCTCGCTGCATAGGCCCTCCCCCCTCCCAACCAGCTTACACACACACACACGCACACCCACCCGCTCACACACATGAACAGCGTCACGCAGTGGTGCACCAGCACCGCGGCCGGGGTGTGGAACAAAACCCGCAGCACCGTCCAGCTCGTCTACCACGTCGGTGATCAGCTGCGGCTGGTTTACAACACCGCGAACAGCCGCGAGGAGCGGAAGCGCGACCTTGACGCTACCGTGCTGCGTGTCGGTGGCTTTGTCGGAACTGCCGTGCTGCTGATTATCGTAGATGCACACGGGGGTGTGCCCAACACGCTGCGGCGGCTGCGTGCGTTGCTGACGCCGGAGGAGTCGTCAGAAGCCCCTGTAGCCGTCGCGGGAAATTCATGATGATGTGATCAAGTTAGAAGAACGAAGGAGAGAGTTTTGACAGGTATGCTTACGCCACGAACGCGCATGTGCGTGTGTGTGTGCGTCACGGACGACGGCCGATGGCTCGAAATATTAATAATATATCACAGCAACAACAATAAAAGAAGCCACACCGTACGTGTGTGGCAGTCGCCAACGCTTTGGAAAGCGAAAAACAGCAGAGACGGTCCCAACGGCGCGCCAAAAACGGAGTTGGACGGTGCTGGTGAACTTGGAATTCATGAAATCCCGACAGGTCCTTCTCGAAATGAAAAAAAAGGTACACAATGGAGAAGAGAACACAAATGTGGCCTCCCCTTTTGTTTCTTCTGACTTTCTCTCCCACGCAACAAAAACTTCGTTCCTTTCTTCTTCACGGGGCATTCTCTTCCTCGCAAACCGATGGCTGCGCGTCAACGGACGAGAAGGAAGAAAGGAACAGCAGCAGCTTCAACATCGTTTCGACTTGATCGAGCCTTGCACTTTCCAAAGAACATCTCCTTAAACCTCAACACCATTCGCTATGCCCGCCAAAAGCAGCAAGAGAAACGTTGCTGTTGCGTCGGAGGAGGGGGAGGGGGAGACGAACAGGGCGGTGGCACCACGCCACCGTCTTGAGTACAGGCGTCCGTGGAACATCTTCTACCCCGTTGCCGCAATGTTTTTGTTGCTCAATTACCTCGCGTTTGGTACAACGACCGACGAGTCAGGTACAACGCGTCTGTTGCCGGAGTACGTCGCCGCTGGAAAGGCGTCGTCGCGGTCCGCCATCTTCACCGCGCTGCTGTTCTTTGAGGAACGCGTGATGGGCTTCTTGTTCCAGCTTGGTCTGCGATGGTTCCAGAGTTTGTTCGGTATCCAAGTCGTCTGCATCGTTGGCTGGTTGATCCACTTCTTTGAGCTGGGCATGTGCACTCGTATATGTATCTCCTGCAACGCAACGCCTGGTACGACGGCCTTGTACATGCTGTGCACGACCATGGCTGGCTTTGCGCAGCTCGTGCCGCTGACCGCGGCGCGGAATGCCTGGGTATCGAAGACGAAGAGCGCAGGGGAGGCGGCGAGTGGCCCCGCCGCGCAGGGGTCAAAGAAGAAAAAGTGAATGGCGGTCTGTGATGCCGTCTTAACGGAAGGAAGAGGCGACAGTGCGACACGGGACAGGGGGAGGAAAAGAAACGTACTCCTCTGGTCACCGTGGGCCTCTCCTCTCAGCAGCGCACCATCGCGCGTTATTTCATGTCGTTCACTTTCTTACCCTGTTTTTCCCTTCTAAAAATAGATGGTGTCCTCATGTGTACTCTCTGTCAGTGTTATCCAATACTGTTGCCCTTCATATCAGGCAAAAGAAAAGAAAAGGAAATGATTGTGATAATACAACTATATGATGAAGCGTGGGGAGTCGATGGCGAAGCACTCACAGCAGAAGTCGCGCGCGTGTATGGTTGTGCATGTGTGTGGGACGAGATGCTGATCGCTTTGTCCTCTTTGCGTTACCATTTAGCCGCACCTTCCCTGGCCGGTCACTCGCTGCCACGTGAGGCTCTTCGGATTTCTTCGCTATTCCTTTTTCCCCCTGCCCTTCTTCTCGTCTCCTTCCACGCGGTGCGTTGTACTCAGACACACACACACATACAAAAGCCAAGGTCGTTTTTCGACAGCCGGTTCGGCTCGCGTCGTGTGTTCCGCGACATGTCCCTCTACCTTTCCGCTCTTGTCTGCCAGCGCTCGTGAAGGAAACCCAGCACACACACACACACACACACAGTTGGCATCTCTATTTTAAAAGCGCAAGAGCGCATCGCTGGCGGAACACGCGTTCCTCTCAAGCTCACACGTATGCGTTTTGTTTATGTTTGCGTGTGTTTTCCGCTTGCAACCGTCTTCGGAGTAACTAGCGACCACAACGCCAAGACAGCTGCGTACGTTGGGTAGCCACGGAGGCGACCACTTCAGAAGATAGCTGACAACACCCACAACGAAGCAGCCACTGCAACATCATCCCACAGAGAAGACGAAGTGCACAGAGGTGTTCGTGCGTCATGTTCACGTCTCCTACCGCCTGGGAGGATTTGTACGGACACCACCCAAACAGCACCGACCGAGCTACGCATGGCCCCCCTCCCCCGCGGCATTCCACACAGCAGCTGGCAGACGAACAGGCAGATCCACGACAACGAATAGAGGAGAACAACAGTTGCACGATAGGTCGTCACTCCAACGCAGGAGCTTTCCTCTACGGGCGGCCGAGCAGCGCAACCGAGTTCGGTGGAGCTTCCGGGTGTGGACAGAGGCGCGACGCAGAGCCGACGCGCGGGCAGGAGCGGTTTCTTTGTCCTTCGTTCTCTTCCTTTGTTACGCCACGCACCGTCACGTCGCAGCCGGTGCGTGTGTTCCCTCCCCCTCCCACTCTCCCAGTCGCGACACCCGTGCCTCTTTGGAATGAAGCCGCGCCCCCTCGCTTCCCACCTGCGTCGAACGACCCCGTCTTCTCGAACCGTGGTGGGTGGCTGTCCCCGACGGCGGACGTTCCGCATGCGAGGACAATGGAACCGCAAGGAGGTGGTCCGTGGTTCTACGGCGTACCGGCTTGTAACGCTCCGCCTTACAGTGGGCAGCAGGAATCAATCGAAGGACACGCGGCGGCAACGTACGCGGATAATTCAAACCTGCACGACACCCGCAGCGGAGACCTTTCGATGCACAACGCACCGCCTGCACCATGGGGCACGGCGGGAGCGGGGCACTCTCGCAACGTAGTGCCTGCCGCGTACCCGGGGAGCGTGTACCCTTCAACACAGAGGCGACAACTGGACGGTGGAGCGTGCTATCAGCCTCCAGTTTCGACAGACAACTTCTATTATCACGATGCTACCAACCACCACCGCAACGCTGCCTACGCAGGAGAAGACGTCAATGCAAATTTGCATGAAGGAGACTCCTCTTACTCAAAGGCTTCTCGTACCGCTCCTGCTCCTGTGAGCAACGCGTATTCGTATTACGCAGTCCCTTTGGACGGGTGCAACAACGGTGCCACACCGACTCCACACGAGCGCCTTGATCTTTCCCCAGAGACGCTGCAGTGCCTCTCTATTTCTGACGGTGCTCGCCAGCTCAACTCCGTGCGTCACCGCTCCGCTGCCGCCGCGGCCGGTGCGTTTCATTTGAACTCCTCCGGCCCATCGCCTGCGTCGGCACGTGGGAGTGCGACCGGAGTCTCACGCTCCGCGCACGCCCGGCTAGAACGGAGAGGCCCACTTGACAGCACGCCGCATCCAGCTGGTGCGGACCCTTCTCCTCCACATTCCCCGTTATCCAGCGCCGCTGCAACGAGTGCATCGATGACCGCTGCGGCTGCCGCTGCCTCAGGTGGCGGTGGGATCGTTCAGACAGAGCCGTGCTGTGTTGCTGCCATCATCTTCAACAACGCGAAGGAGGTCGGTGTGGCCCTGTGCGAGCTGCCCTCCCTCACCATTTCACTCCTGCAGTTCGCCGACACGGCCGTCTTCTTCAAAACGACCTCCCTCCTGCACTCGCGCAACCCGGTGGAGGTGCTCGTGCCGTCGACGGTGGTGGACACCGAGTTGGTGCAGACGCTGCTGCGGCAGCACGGCGCGCACATGACCTTCACAAGCGTGCAGCGCTGCTTCTACCACACCGAGGCCGGCGTGCAGCGACTCTCGCAGCTCAAATCCAGCGAGGAGGCGGCCCTGTGCATCGAGGATACCGATCGCTACCTGTGTGTGGCGGCGGCGAATGCGCTGGTGCTCTACATGGAACACGTGAACGATATGCAGCTGCTGCCGGGGTCGGTGCGGGTGCGCGCTGAGGCGCTGGAGCACTTCATGGAGGTCACACGCACCACGGCGCGCGCGCTGCAGATCATTGCGGACGGCAGCGGCACTGTCGGTGTGCTGTCGAGTAGCGCCTCTTCATCACATGTGCTTACGAACGACGACGCCCAAGATGTCAGCCAAAGTGGACAGAGGATGGACGCACCGTCCACATCGCGGCGGCGACCGCGGAGCGCCCGTGCCGCGGCGGCAACCCCCTCTTTAAGGTCTGGGGCTGTGGAGGGGACTTCCACCACGTTGCGGGCGGCGGCGCTCGTCGATGTCGTTCCGCGTGCCTGCACCATCATGGGTCAGCGCTACCTACGCCGCGCCCTCCTGCAGCCGCTACGCGACCGCATCGCCGTGCAGGGCCGCCACGACACGGTGGAGTGGCTGCTGCGCGACCCGCGTCGGCTGCACGTGCTGCGGGCACTGCTGCGGCGCACCGCCGCGCTCGACCTGGAGCGGTTGACGGCGACGCTGACGTTGCAGCCGCGACGAGAGCGGACCGACGCGCAGAAGCAGTCCTACTTAGAGTCGTTGCTGCTGCTGTGGAGCGCGCTGCCGTACTTGGAGCGTCTGCACACGCAACTCCGTGCCCATCTTGGGCCACCTCCTACCGACGCAACTCCGACCATTCATTTTCCATCGTCCCCGTCCACGCCATCAGACACTAAAGAGCAGCAGCAACCGCAGCAACAGCAGTCGCGGGAAACGGATGAATCCTTGTCAAGGGTAAAAGAACCCGTGACAGTGGCGAGCACGCCGGTGTACCCCTCCGTGCTGCACAGCGTCGCCACGACGCTCCATCAGTGCCGCTTTACGGAATTGGCCGCGTTGATGGGCCGCTACCTGGAGCGCTCCGTCCTTCCTTCCGTTGTGGAGCACAACGAGCGCGGTAGGGCGACAGATCTGCAGAACGCAGGAGCTGAAATGCCCTTCTTCTTTGAACAGGGAAGGCGTCACGGAACGAGTGCGAGCTTGGTCAACGGCGTTGCACAGCGCAGACCGCCACCGACACCGCGAGCGGCCACGACAACGCTCCTGCGCGTGCTGCGCATGTGTTTTCTTGTCCAAGCCCCACCCGGCGGCGAGCTCGACGCACTGCGCACTCGACTAAGTCAGCGCATTACCGGCATCACGGCCTACGCAGAGGAGCTGCGGCGGCGCTATCAGCTCTACTCGCTGCGCCTCGAGCCGGATCCGGTGAAGTTGTACTGTTTCTCGTATCTGTCGACGGAGGAGTCGAAGGCGCAGGCGGTGCCGTTTACGTGGCGCTACGCCGGCGGGTCGCACTTTGCCCTGCTGCTGGCCGCTCTACGACAACAGCAGCAGCAGCAGCAGCGGCTGGAAGCACACGGAGGAGTATTTTCAGAGAATGATGAGGATGACGACGAGGCCACGGAAGAATTTGGCGACACCATCTCTCGCCGAGCACGACAGTCGTCAGCTAGGCAAGCGTCTTCATCCTCCGCGATGACGGGGGTCTCGCTGAGAATGCTGACGGGGCGGCGCGACAACCGCCTTGCCGCGCGGAGAGCTGCAGTCACACCAGCCTATTCGCCAACACGCCCCCCTCCGCTGGCGCCGTCGTGGAGCGCAGAGCCCTCGCTATACCCAACGGAGAGCTGCGGCGAGGGCAGCTGGAATGCTCTTGCGCCGTGCAATTCGCAAAGCGACGGTCGTCGTGGTCGTCGCCACGGTCGCCGTGTGCGGTGCGGCACCGAGGAGCTGGAGTACTACGGGGCCCGCATGCAGGAGTGTGTAGCGGCCATTTTAGTCCAGCAGATGCGTTGCGTGCAGCCGCTCGTGCAGGCACTCCGCCAGAGATTTCTTAGCGCGTTGCAGGCCACAGTGGAGTCCGTGGCGCTGCTGGACACGCTGCTCAGCTTTGCTCTTTACTCGCTCACACACCACTGCACGCGACCGGTGATGGTGGAGCTGAAGACGGGATTGACCACGGCAGCGTCGGACGCGCATGTGTGTGAGACGTCGCTGTCGGACGAAGAGGCGGAGGTGAAGCGAAGGGACAGGGACGAGGACCCGTTCGTGGTCAGCGAGAACCCTGATGGTTCAACCTCCCTCAATGCGACTGCGACTACATCTCCCAGTGCTAGTCCGAAAAGCACTGCATCCTGTTCAGCACGCCTTGCGTCCGCTATGATGAGCGACGATGTCGCAGACACGAAGAGGAAGTCCAGCCAAGGTCTGGCTTTCTTCATCAAAGATGCTTTTCACCCTTCCGCGGGTGTCACCGGTGCCTCTCTGGGCCGATCAAACCAGCAGTCATTGCCGCGTTATCCCGGTGGCGTTGCGACTCACCTGCAAGACGCACCAGTAGCAACGCCGATGTGCGTGGGGGGCGGTCTGAGTCTGTCCTGGGGAACGCACGGAGAGGTGTGCATCATCACCGGCCCTAACGCCTGCGGTAAGACGACGCTGCTCCGCATTCTGGGCCAGCACATTACTCTCGCGCAAGCCGGCTGCTTCGTTCCGGCGCGGCAGGCAAGGATTTTTCTCGCAGACCGCCTTCTGGCACACATGTTGTGCGAGGAGCTGCCCAGCGTTTTGCACTCGTCCTTCAAGCGCGAACTGATGGAATTGAATGAGCTGACGCACGCGGCGACGGAGGAGAGCATGGTGTTAATGGACGAGCTGGGCCGCAGCACCACCACAGCGCAGGGCTTCAGTCTTGCCTGGGCAACGGCGCTCTTTCTCGGTCATCGCCACGTCCACGCGGTGCTCACAACACACTTTGCAGGGTTGCCGAGTTTAACGCGGGTGCGGCCGGGCCGCGTGGTGGCCTTCCATTTTCGCGTCTCGCTCGCGCAGGTAGAAATGCGGACCGGGCGAAAATGGCAGCAGCGGCCGCCGACAGAGGAGGCGAATCACGCGCCGGAACGTGCATCTCGGGCTGCGAGGTGTTCACTAGCGCGTCCACGAGCCACGACAGCGGCTACGACAGCGGCAGCGACGCCGGGTCCGCGTATCACGATTGCGCGCTTTGGTCATGAGCTGTTTCCCGGGCCGTGCCCGCAGCGGTGGTACGGTCTTGCCATGGCGGAGCGGCTGGGCTTTTTTGAACCGGTGCTGACGATGGCGCGACAGACGCGTGCGTGCCACCGCGAAGTCAGCGAAGGCGCGATGGGTGCGCATGACGCAGAGGGCGACAGAGTCAAAGAGTGAGTCGAATGTCTTTTCAATCAAGTTACTGCTCGTGTTTCTAATCCGCTACAGTGCGTAGGCACTCATGAAGAAGAGTAACAATAATAAATAGAAAAAGGACTGTGAGATGGCCGGCTCAGCTTGCTGTTGGGCCGGTATTGTGCGTTTGAACGGCTTTTTCTTTCTTGCCGAAACTGCTGGTAGAGGCAGTCCTGTTAACAGACACCAAGACGCCGTTATCCGTTCAGAAATGGCTCTTTTATGTATATATATATATATGTGTGTGTGTGCGTGTATACTCTTCCTTCTCCTTTCTCATTCCCCAATGAATACTAACAACGTCGCTGTTGAGTTCAACCACAGCAGACATACACGTCAAGAAGAGAAGGCCCACCACCAAACTCTCCCGCCTACGAATCTCGCACTTGCTCTTCATTCTATTTCTCCTTCCCCTGCGCGCAGCGCATTTCGCTGGGGGAAAAAACTATTCTTGTCCTCGCGGAGCCGCATCCACCCGCGTGTAGGGGCCAGCAGTTCTCTTCGGCACGGACATCAAAAAAAGTATTATTAAAAAAAATAAAAAACGTTTGTGTGACCGCATTGTGCATTGCATAACTATTATTTCCTCTCCACTATTTCAGGTAGGTGGAGATTCAATATCCGCCGGAAAGGACGCAGCATTTCGTGTGTTTTTTTCCTTGTATTTTTTTCATTTACGCATAAACGAAATAAAGTGTTCCCGTTTTTTTCTTTCCTTCCTTGTCGTCTTCTGTTTGCTGGAACGGCTGCAAAACCGACGCGTCGCACATATACGTATATTATTATTTATATATATTTCGCGGTGCGCCTTCTATTGTCTTTCTATCTTTTCTCATTTTTGCACTGTGCTAGTTTGGTTTTTGCACGACCATTCTTTTTGTTTCTTATTGTTATTAAGGTCGCAGTATTTTGTACTGTTTTCTCTCCCCCTTCCCGGCTACGTTCGTTGGGCACGACTGCGGAGGCACGCGAAACAAAGCGATTCGCGCTTTACATCGGTGTACTGTTTGTGTTGTGAGAGTGCGTGTGCGCGTGTGTGTGATACGTCCTTTGCCAGAGAAATAGAGGTACAGACGCAATGGTCGCCCCTAGGACATCGTCCCCCAAGGGCCCTGTCCCGAATGTGTACGAGGTGCAAACCGGCTTCCAGGACTTGATCAAATCCGGCGATAAGCTCCAACTGGCGCAGCTCACGGCGGCGCAGGAGCACCTCAGCGACGTCGTACGCGAGCACACGCAGACGCTGCTGTACATGGAGACCCACGGACACCCCGATGGCGAGGTGGACGACGGAACGGAGCAGGCGCCGTGGTGTGTGCTCTCCTTTCGCGCCGTCTACGACAACGCGTGTGCGTCGGTGCAGGGCAGCATTGTCGCTCTCTCCGCCCCGCAGCTCGGCGCACGCGAGGCGGACACCCAACTCACCATCCACTTTCTAGAGGCCGTGGATGTGCTCCTGCAGGCGCTTGGATGGGTGCTGGAACCCGCAAGCCCAACGCTGAATACCGCGGACACAATGTCAAACCTTCAACATCGCCTCCACGAGGTGTCTGCAGAGGCTATCAAAAGCGTCTCCTCCGATGCACTGACGAGCGACGACAATAAGGAGAGGGCGGGCAAAGTGGATGACTGGCTGACTCTGGCGCACGTCGCGCTGTTCGATCTTTCCAGTTTTGCCAGCAAGACCTACCCGAACGGGGCTTGGTTCGCCAACCGCAACCGCCGTGCTGCGGTGCGGAGCCGATGCACGCCGTACCCGACCGACATCGACGAGACGCCCTTCAAGGCGTTGGTGCTGGCCTCCCGCAGCGTCGAGGACGACGATGTGACGCTGTTGTCGGAGGCGTTGCTGCGTGGGGCACAGGCCCACACCCAGTGCCTGGCGGCGGTGCGCTCCACGGAGGAACGACCGACCGACCCGGCGGCCCTCGCACAGCTCTTCGCGCCGCTCAACAACGCGATAAATGATCTCAGCTCCACCTGCGAGGATGTGATCAGTCGGCGCGAGGACGACCGCCCACACGCGCACGCGGTGCTAGAAGCCGGCAACATCTTCACATGGCTCACGACGACGCAGGAACCGTGTGTGGTGGTGGAGGAGGCGTGTGGGAGTGCCAACACCTACCTCGGCAAAATCATCGCGCGCGGCAAAGTGCTCCTGCTGCAGCAAGACATGGGCGCCGCGGCTGACCGGCCCGATTTGACCAAAGCGACGGTGACGTGGGCCTCGATGCTGCGAGACGTACTGCAGCGGGTGATGTTGATGGTGGTGTACCGCTACCCGCGGCGCGTGCCGTGGGGGGAGATGATGGAGGCGTCGATGGCACGCAAGAAACCGCAGCCACCGTCGGAGCCGCGTAACGGGAGTCGAGAAGGGTCACAACATCATCATCAGCCGCTCTGGCGTCGTGGTGCATCGGTGGCTGCGCGTGGGGCCCCTCCCGCGGCCTCGTCTCCTCCATCCTCTGTTCCCCCACCGCCGTCAGCAGCAGCAGAAGAAAACACCGCCTCGGCGCATGCGCCTCCTCCTGCGGCTGACCCCGACGCCACGTCCCCCAGCTGTGTCTTCGACGCGGACAGCAAGACGTGGACGGTGCAGTACTACCACCGGCCCCTCATCTCCGCCGGCTCCGGTGAGGAGGCGGAGCCGCTGTACATCGCGCTGCCCGAGGCGGAGGTGCAGCCGAACCACTCGGTCCACCTTCATCACTGCTTTCACGCATACGTGGTGGTGCCGCAGAAGGTGCGGGGGGTAACGGTGGAGCAGTGTGAGCACACGCGGCTGCAGCTAGCGGGTGTGACGGGTCCGGTGCGCCTGCGGGAGTCGGTTAAGCAGGGGCTCCTCATTCAAGAGTCGGCACCGAGCGTGTACGCGACGCGGGTGCGAGGGCTGACGATTTACCTCGCCGGGTCTCACGCGACGGAGATCATTACGAGGCTGACGACCGATGTGAACGTGAATGTGAGCGTGGAGACGGCAGAGGGCGACCAAGACACGCAAGAGTTGGCCCTGCCAGCGCAGTTCATCACGATAATTGGTGACGCGGACACCCTCCGCACGAAGGAGGTCACCTATTCTGGCTAAAGCGTTGATTTGATTCGCAGCAGCGTGGGGGAGGAGGGAGAGGTTTTAATCGCGCAGGAGAGGTAGCGCAAACAACAGTCATGCGCCCCCCTCCTCTTCCCCCATAAAGAAAGGCACGCGTGCTTATTGAGTTTAATTGTTTATAAATATCTTTGAGGGAGCCGGCATCAACGTATCTTTTCTTCGCTGTTTCATCACGTGCGTCATCACGTGTTTAATCTATTGATTTACCTTGTCGTTTCTCCCTTTCATTCAAATATCTTCTGTCTCTTTTTTTCTTTTCTTTTTCTTATGTTTGAGGCGTGTTAGTGCCGTTGTTTCAGCCGCACTAGAAAGAAAGGCGGCTGGACGTAGAGGTGGTGGCTGACGTTGCTATGATTTGTGTGTCTGCGTGTCTGCGTGTGTGGTGCACGAAGGCGTTTTCTTTTTTTTTCCTTTTCTATTGGAGGGACCTGCGCTCGCTGCGAGGCGCATGAAGGAAGGAGCGGAGATGCAAAGAACGCCATTTCATCATTTGCCTGTTCTCTCTCTTTCGTTCTGCTTCGCACGGTTCTCCCCTTTTTTTTTCCCCCACGTTTTCATTTCCATGTGAGACTTACGTTCGTACGCTGCACGGAGGATTCTCGTGGCCGCGCTCGATGCAGGGAGACGCGGCGCGCGCAACGACACGCGGCACCACACCGTTCTCAGTGAGCAAAAGGAAGAACTCCATGAAAAAAGAAAAGAAGCTGCGCGAGTTCGCAGGACCGGAGCGGAAAGAAAAGTTGCTTCCCGAAGAAGTGCGGCGTGCATTTACGTGCGGACAGACACCGCTGTGTCGAACCAAACGCGGTAAAGAAGAACAGCAGTGAAAAAGACCGTACTAGCGAAACGGAAGGGAGTGTCTCGTGCTGCCGCGGCGAGATATTCCCGAGTGGTGTTGACCCAAATCGTGTGCAGCCGAAGATTTATGCTTGTGGTGACTTCACTTGTACAACGTGGCTTGCCTTTTGTTTTTTCCTTGTTTTCTCCCATTTGTACTTCTTTCTTCTTTGTTTTTTTCCCCCTTCTAACAGCACTTGAAAAGGTATTGGAATAGCAGCAATACGGCTGTTAAAGAGAGAGAGAGAGCGCGCAACAAAGGCAAGGGAAACAAGGTGTGTGTTCCAGCAGCACCAACTACCGCGTTTCGGTTTTCTTTGCCGCTGGGCACGAGCAGAGGGAAGGAGCCAAATAGCACTGTAGCTTCTTTGCACGTCGCTTCCCTCAAGACACACACCCATCATTCCTTGATGTAGTGCTTTTGCAGATCGATCAGCAAGAACCAAACAAAAACAGGAGAACGAACGTATGCCCCGTTCGTGTGCTTCTGCCACCTCGACTATTGCTAGCGCTGCATCATTTCGCATGATGGCGGTTACTGCGGTGTGTCGTACGCTGCAGCGTCTCGCACCCATCTCAGTCATTCGTATTGCCACGCTCCGTCTGACTCGAAGCACAGCAACACCAAGAAGGCTAACGATGGTGTCATCGCCGGTGCTCATCTGTGCTCAGCGTTTCAGCAGCAGCAGCAGCAGCTGTACTTCTCCTCCTTTTGCCAACGGCAAGCGGACTTGTCTCGCTGCCCACGGTGTGTCCATCGCAGCCATTCGCAGTGCGCTGGACAACTCAGAAGCTGACAAGTTAAGCGACACTTCTATCATTGGACGCGAGGTAACTGTTCGTGCCCGAGTAGAGCGTGTCCGCGGACGTGGCAAGCTCGGCTTTCTGCACCTGCGTCAGCCTCCGCTGGAGTCCCTGCAAGCCGTCTGCCTCGGTAAAGGCCTCACCACCCAAGCCAAGGCCATCGCCCCCGAGTCGATCGTCGATGTAACAGGGCTGGTGCAGCGTGCCGCCGCTCCTGTCCAGTCCACCACCTGTGAACACGGGGAGCTGCACGTGACCTCCCTGCGCGTCGTCAGCGCCGCGGCGACCCCGCTGCCGTTTCCGTACCGCGACGCGAATACGAAGTTGGACACGCGGCTGAACCACCGTGTGATGGACCTGCGCACGGAGCGCATGGTGGCCATCACGCGACTCGTGTCTGCGCTGGGGGAAAGCTTCCGCAAGGAGCTGCTGGCGCGTGACTTCATCGAAGTACACACCCCAAAGCTGATCGCCGCGGCCTCGGAGGGCGGCAGCAACGTGTTCACGGTGGACTACTTTGGCAAGCCAGCCTACCTGGCGCAGTCACCGCAGCTTTACAAACAGATGATGCTGATGGGCGATGCAATGCGGGTGTTTGAAATCGGTCCCGTCTTTCGCGCGGAGAACAGCTTGACGCATCGCCACCTGACGGAGTTTGTGGGCCTGGATGGCGAGATGGTGATTGAGAGGAGCTACACGGAGGTGCTGGATGTGCTGGAGCCGGTGATGTGCGCCATGCTGCGAGACCTGGCCACCACGCACGGGAGACTGATGGATGTGCTGTCCAAACAGCAGCAACAACCCCAGAAACCGGAAGACGACGAAGGATGTGTAGCCGCACCTTCACAAGCATCGACAGAGAGAGGAAGCAGCGCTCCTGCCAAACACGATGACACCACCGGCTCCGTGTCAGGACGTCGTGACGAGCCACGACGCCACGCGTTACGTGATGTTTGCTGCGAGGTACCCGAGAGCATCATCGACTCCCTCGGTCTGACCAACGATGCTGGCGCAACCGCAAAGGAAAGCGACGACGGAGATGCCTTGACTCCACGCTCTTCCTCTGCGTCGTCTCCTAAGGTGGATCCCTACCACGCCCGCATTGGTGGTGCTAGCGGATGTCGCGTCCTGCGCATGGCCTTCGCGGATGCAGTGCAGCTTTTAGCCGATCAAGGCGGTGCCGACGTCATGGCCGGTTGTGCGCTGCCGCTGACGGATCTCTCGCTGCCGCAGGAGCGCCGACTGGGCGAGCTTATTAAGTCTCGCTACGGCGTTGATCTCTTCGTTGTCGACCTCTTCCCATCGGAGGCACGTCCCTTCTACACGATGCCCCTCGACACGGCGAGGCCGGACGGGCCGACGCGGAGCTACGACATGTACCTGCGTGGGGAGGAGATCTGCAGTGGCGCCCAGCGCATTGACGCGGTGCTGCTGCTGGAGCAGCGCCTGGCCGCGAAGAAGGTGGACCGGTCCAGTGTGAAGGACTACATCGACGCCTTTCGCTACGGTGCGTGGCCGCATGGCGGCTTTGGCCTCGGCCTGGAGCGCATCGCACTGTTCTTCCTCGGGCTGGATGACATTCGGCGCGTCTCGCTGTTCCCGCGTGACCCGAAGCGGATCGCCCCGTGAGAAAGAAAGGAAAAGAAAACGGCAAAGAAAAAAAGCGGCGATGACGAGTATGGAGTTCTCGCGAGGTCCGACACGCTCTTCTTCTTTATATTGCTTTTCGCAACAGCTATTCACAGGCTTTCTCTCTCTCTCTCTTGACGAATCACCGGGAGCGTTTCAGCAAACATCACGGAAAAGGACTGACGTCCCTTTCATGAGAGGCTGCCCGGCGAGGGAGTTGGACGGAACTCACCGACGGATGCGATGCATCGTTTGCATGCGCCGGCATCTGCTTTTTGGCTCACTGCCGCCGATGTGACGTATCGAAATACCAGCAGTTCAGCCGTTGAAGCGTGTAGCAGCCGCCTTAAATGCCTGAAGGAGGAAAAGAGAAGAGAAAAGAAAAGGAGGGCTATTGAGTACGAAAAGCTCACGTTGTGCCGCCTCACCGTCGTCGATGCCAGTGTCTTCGGTTTTCTCGCCCCCTTCACCTCCACCTCCTCCTCTTGTAATTTGTGTCTTTGGCTTCTGTTTGAAGTTGCATCTGCAGCGAAGCTGCCTTCCGTTGATGTTTTTTCCTGCTCTCCCACTTTCAGCGTTCATTTGGTTCCCCGGTACTGTGAAGCATCAACGGATAGTGCTCCACTGCACGAGAGGCAAACAAGCGAACAAGGCTTTCGTTTCCACTTGATGGAGAGTGCTGTAGGACGGTACTCTTCGGGGTAGGTGCGTCTATGCCGAGCATGTATGGCGCTCTCTGCGTGAAGGGCGTGGGGGCGTCTATGAGAAGGACTTCTCACCTCAGCACCTCAACGACATCTCTTTTACGACGTTCACTTGGGCCGTCGTCAGCGGTCCTTGGTGCGCTCCATGGTCAACGAAGACCGTGCCACGGCACATCGACTCCGCGTAACTTCGAGGTGATAATCGCCAAGGGTGAGCGCTTGACGGGAAAGCCTTCATCGTCGCCAGCACCCAACTTACCCTCCTCCGTTGATGAAAGAAAGAGCTGCCGTCCGTGTCCACACGATGGTGCCTGTCCAACGGCCGCCATTCTCGTGGACACGGACGGCGACGCGAACGTGTCTCTCGCCTACTGCGCCACCTTCGTACACGACACGGTGCAGGCACACCTTCGCGTCCTGCTCGTCGAGCAGCTTTTGGCGCCGCTGCTTACGAACGACTTTCACTTCGAAGTCGACCGATCCGAGGAGCAGAAGAAGATGGGGGAGGAAGAGACGAGCTACGCGGCGGTAGAGGCGCTTGCCATCACCACGCTGGCCGTGCACAACGCGTTGCACAGCTTTCGCCACGTCGCCTTTTCCTCGATGGCGGGACCGCCGCTGCCGCCGCACCGCAGTTGGCACCCGCTCTGGGCGGCTTATCGGTCGCACCTCTTGCGCAGCCCACACACAGCGCCGTCACCTGGCGTACTGGCAGAGACCACTTCAGCCGGGAAAACAGCAGGAGGAGACACCGCTGCTGCGGCCTCCACGGCGCGCCTGATGGACCCTGCGGCTGTGCAGCGGAAGTTTGGCGAAGCAAAACCCCTCTTCGGCGCGGCTGGGCGCGGAACCTTTTTTCTCGTGGCGATACCGCCGACAGAGGAGGACGGCGACGCAGCGGACGCTTCCGCTCCTTCTTCTTACGCTGCCTCAGGGGCGGAGCACGTACATCTGAGCCACCGCCGGCACCATGATAGCCGGGCGGCCGCGGTGGGCCTTGCTGGTGTGCCCTCGTCTTCGTCGAAGACACCGCCGTCTTCTGTCAGCTCGCTTTGGGAGTGTTTCCGCGTGGACGCCTACGTGCCGGCGAGTGTGCAGATGCAGGCGGCGGTGCGGCATTTACTGCGAGAGCGGCGGCCGCGGTCGATGTACCAGCCGGAGACGGTCGACAAGGAAGGCATTCCCATAGACCAACGGAACCCCGTGAAGCTGTCTGCACGTCCGTTGGCGGTCATCGCCCTCGTCGTTCCAGACACCCTCGTGGGGGCGTACACCGCTTTTCTGCAGCGTCTCGAGCACGAGCGTGCCGACGTGCGTGGGAGGACAGGCGGGGGCTCCGTGCAGCTTCTCCTCTTCAACAGTGCCGAGCTTGTGCGTGTCTGCCACGCCGCCTGAGAAGGTGGAGAAAGAGGGGAGGAATAATTCCGTTGCAGCTCCGGCAGCATCCATCGAAAAGGAAGGGAGGAGTGCATCCCTGGTTGTCCTGCTGTAGAACCTACACACCCAATTAACTAAGGTTGGCGTCACGGCGCCGCGAAAAGAACGACCCTCACAGAATTCACAAGGGAATGGAAATAATAGCACTGCTGGGGAAGCTTTGAGAGGGCAAACAGTCCTCAGCGACGTTGGAGATGGATGACGCCTGCGATTTATCCCACGAAGAGGGGGAGAGGCGTAGCTTCGCGTGGTGCATCATCAACGCCTTTGTTGCTGCTGTGCCGCCTCTCTCTCGTTCTCACCCTACATTTCTTTTTTATCTTACCGTTCAACTTTTGTTTTCATCTCTTGGCGCGCGTAGGGAACCCTTCGATGAGCTCCTCGTGCACGCTGCACATCGCGGTCGATGCCGACTTATCGGTCGCCTTTGACGACCTCGTAGCGGCCGCGGCGTCGCCCTCAAACTCCATCCTTTTCTCCCGCCTTCCACCGCGCACGCAGGTGCATGCGGTGCGCTGCGTGAACGCTGTGGCCCAAACCGTCGTGCTGACCCTTGAAGCAACAGCGCATTCGGAAGACGACGCAGGTGCAAAGCTTGCCAAGGCGAGTGCGCCGCAGCTGGACGAGTGCATCTACGCGGTGCTGATGCTTGACGTTCAGCAGGTGCCGCCCTTGATGTCTACCTCGACTGCCCACCGCAGTCCGCCGCACCCCAGCGGTGCCGGCCCCCTTGGCTGGTACCTGGATGCGGTGGTGGACGGCGTGCAACAGGAGAGGAGGAGGAAGAGCGAGGCCAGTGGCCAACACGACGCCTCGTCAGCATCGGAGCTGCACGATGCACGACATCACACTTCGCCGCTGGCATCAACATCGGCAGCGTACGACGTTGCGGTGCATCTGTCGCTCATTGTCGTGCCCAACGCGGTGGCCTCGCTGGACGGGTTGAACAGCACAAACGTTAACATTACTGCAAAGGAGGCGGCAACGCTGGCCAGTGCCGCGGCGGCGTGGAGCGCAGCGCGACGACTCCTGTTAGCTGAGGGAGCATCGATTGAAAAAGGAATTGGGCAGCAAGAAAGAAGAGAGGAAAACGAAGAAGGAGGAAGGGTCGCCGCTGTAAAGGGTGAGAAGACCGTTACGTGTCCGGTGACGCTGGGCTTGTGTGCCACAGCCGGGCAGCCGCAGCACGCGATGCAGATGGTAGCCGCGCTGGGCAACAAAATCTTAAAGAACTGGTGGTCAGCCGCCACGGAAGTAGCAGCAACAGCATCACCCACAAGTGCTGCCGACTCAGAAATGCTGTCCGCCACCGACTTCAAGTCGATTCGCCCTGACACACAGCGCAAATGCATCCCCACCGACTTCCATGCCCTGTACACGAGCATGCTGACGGAGGTGTCCTCCTTCTCTGAGCGAAAGACCATGGCAGCGGTTACGGCGTTTCCCACGATGTGCCACTTGCTGGAGTACGTGGACAGCGTGGCCGCGCCGGATGCGACGAAGCAGCCGAATGCGGCACGGCCGGCCGCGGTGACGGTGCCGGCGCAGGCGGTGTACAGCACGAATTACGGGGAGCAGCGCTCGTGGAATGTGCTGAGCGACTCCATCGTCGAGGCGCTTGCGACGGAGTTCCAACGCTCGTAGGGAATGCCGGCGTGCGTAGCAGGAAACTCGGCTAATGTACTTCAGACGGAAGCTCGCGGCATCGTTGGGAGGCAGGTGCACGAGATTGGGCTAGGTTCTTCTTTTATTGAACGTTTTATCTGCTAAGGCAGCGAAGCTGATGGGGGAGGCGTTCCCAACCATCTCCTCTCGATGTCCCTCAACAAGACGAGAAAATAGAAGAGGAAAACGAAAAAGGCAGCCGGCTCCACGCAGTCACGGAGGGTAGGGCAAGTTGGGCAATGGTGCAGCGCTGATGGGTGCTGGTGGCAGCTCCTTTTTCCTGTTCCTTTGCAGGTGATGCTCAGCGCCTGAGAGGGAGAGGAGGGAAGGACGTCGATGATTTGCCGCGCTTTACTTCTCCTTTCATTTCGCACCGCCCATTCCACACGCTCTTCCTTCCCAATGCCGGGGTTGGGGCCTTCACAGCTTCGTACATCGTATTCCGTCGCGCAAACCAAGAGCTATCCAACCACAAGACCACAGCGAAGGCGTCAATGTCAGCGGCAGCTGCACCTCTCGAGCGGCGTCTGCTCCAACTGGCGAAGCGCTACGACGCTATTGAGGCCGGGCTCGAACAGCTTCAGCAACGAGTGCAGCACGCAAATCACAATCGTCACGTCAGACCCGCCGCGGCGGCAGCGAGCGCGAGCACGCCCGCCAAGCACGCCGCTGATCTCTCGAAGCTGCAGCCCGACCCAAAGGACCCACTGGAGGTGGCGAAGCTAAGAAGGTACTGTTTGGAGCACGGCCTGCACTCTGCTGTCTTCCAGTGGGTGCCGTCGAACTACTACCAAGAGAATCTGCAGTGGCGCCGCGATGCGCTGCACGCGCCGAGCATCCAGCACCTCTGCAAGACCATCCTGATGGAGAATACGCATTGTACCAACACGGACTGCTCCGATCGAACGAACTCCCGCTACTACCTCGTCGTGTATCAGTACGTGGATCGCTTCAACTCGGACATGGTCAGCCGCGCGGTGCACGCGCTGAACCCGGGCGTGGGGAAGAAGAAGTTCAACTTCCGTCTGGCCGACCCGGTGGAGGCGGAGAAGCTGACGGGTGTGCGGAGCGGGGCGGTGGCGCCCTTCGGCTCTGCGACTTCGATCCCCGTGATTCTGAGCTCCGGCATTGCACGGCTCGCCCCGCCGCACCTTTACGTGGGCGGCGGGCACGTGGACTGCAAGTGCCGCATCGACGTGGAGGAGTTCGTGCGGGTGCTGAATCCGATTGTCGCCGCTGTCACGGTGCCGCTGACGGAGGAGGAGTTGCTGCAGATTGCTGATTAACGGTGCACGCACCACGAGCGGGCGAACTGCAAGGCGTAGCATGCCGAATTGTTCTGGAGAAAAGGAGAATTAATGATACGTAGGTGTACCGGGACCTCCCTCAAAAAAAGGTCAAAAACAGCCCTTTGAAAGTGCAGATGAAAGCACGGAGCCAACTTCAGCGGTCGCGTGACACACAACGCTTTCGTTTCCCTTCTGATTGTTTGTTTCGTGTGCCGAATCGCTTGCCACTTGTGCCCCTCTCCCCCCCCTCGCCGGCTTTCAATGTTTCATTGAAGATAGTTACTCTGTTACCGCATCGACGTTATCAAGCCACTTCATGTGTGACGGCATTTTTTTTTCCCTCTGTAACTTCAACTACTCCTCCACGTGTCTTTTCTGAATCTTCCTTTGCTCCTCCCCACGCGACTTTCCACGTGCGTGGCGCCGCTGCACGACTCGTCTTCACCCGGCAGCTTAACCGCTCTCGACGTTTCCTCACCACCCCTTTCCACCTCTCTCAAGTCCCCTCCCTCTTTCAAGATGGCCACTCCCCGCAGCGCTAAGAAGGCTTCCCGCAAGTCTGGCTCGAAGTCCGCCAAGGCCGGTCTGATCTTCCCGGTCGGCCGCGTCGGCTCGATCCTGCGCCGCGGCCAGTACGCGCGCCGCATCGGTGCCGCCGGTGCGGTGTACATGGCGGCGGTGGTGGAGTACCTGACCGCTGAGCTGCTGGAGCTGTCCGTGAAGGCTGCTGCGCAGAGCGGCAAGAAGCCCCGCCGCCTGAGCCCGCGCACCGTGACGATGGCGGTGCGCCACGACGACGACATCGGTTCTCTGCTGAAGAACGTGACGGTGTCGCGCGGTGGCGTTGTGCCGAGCATCAACAAGGCGATCGCGAAGAAGAAGAGCGGCAAGAAGAGCAAGGCCACACCGAGCGCTTAAGCTCCTCGCTTGACGGTTGCGCGTTCTCCGTTCCACGAGCGTGCGCCTCTGACCGGGCGAATGCTTCCATAGATACACTCTTTTTTGTATTTGTTTTCATCTGACAACATCTCTCTCTTTTCGTTCTCTCTCCTCAACTAAAGGGTTTGAGTCAGGGTAGGCCCGGACCCCAAAACTGAACTGCTAAGGCACATGTCCGCAACGGAGGAGCCCGCCTCCGTGCGATTTTCCTGCGTTCGAAGCGTTGTGTGTGTGCGGCTGAGTCGCGTGTGCTCGCAATGCTGCGAGCTGGCGTGACAGAGTACGTGACGAGAGACCACCTGGTCGGTGTGTCTCTCCGCTGGAAGTGCCGGCTCAGCGAGTCGTTCCCCATTGCTTTGTCGCTGCTATTTCGGTAGGACGTACCGCCGCCTCGCCGCAGCTCTACGCTACATTACTGCTTCCTTTATTCTGCACCTCTTCCTTCCGCCCTCCCCCACGTGCTCTGACGCGGGCCTCTCCGTCCGTCGCACCAACACACTCGCTCACACCCACCCACCCGCGCACACTGACCAGTTCTTCGCCACAAGCCACGCTTACCACCCCTCTCCTACTTGTCACCCCTTCTCTTTTCCAAGATGGCCACTCCCCGCAGCGCTAAGAAGGCTTCCCGCAAGTCTGGCTCGAAGTCCGCCAAGGCCGGTCTGATCTTCCCGGTCGGCCGCGTCGGCTCGATCCTGCGCCGCGGCCAGTACGCGCGCCGCATCGGTGCCGCCGGTGCGGTGTACATGGCGGCGGTGGTGGAGTACCTGACCGCTGAGCTGCTGGAGCTGTCCGTGAAGGCTGCTGCGCAGAGCGGCAAGAAGCCCCGCCGCCTGAGCCCGCGCACCGTGACGATGGCGGTGCGCCACGACGACGACATCGGTTCTCTGCTGAAGAACGTGACGGTGTCGCGCGGTGGCGTTGTGCCGAGCATCAACAAGGCGATCGCGAAGAAGAAGAGCGGCAAGAAGAGCAAGGCCACGCCGAGCGCTTAAGCTCCTACAACACGCAGCTGAAGAACGAAAGCGGGTGATGTCAAGTCTGTCCGCTACTTCGACGCGTTGCACCCTTCCTTATTCCAACCGGAACAGGACGAGCACAGTGGGGACGCAGAGGCAAGGAAATGCGGAGAGTGATGCTTGTAAGTGAAACGGTCGTGGGGGAACGAACGCACTCGTCGAGCGCTGCGGTTCCCACGCGGTTTTATGGATGCTTCTACACCTTTTTCCTTTTGTTTCCTGGCCGTTTGTGTCCGCCGTGTGGGAGCTCATCCACCACCATAGATCCACCTTCTCTTGGTTTTTGCTTTGTATGCTTTTTTATTGAATTCTTCTTTTCTCTCTCTCTCTCTTATTGCTTCTCCTTCTAGAAAACAGGGATTCGAGTCTGGGTAGGCTCTGGGACCAGAAAACTACACGTCAAAGCCGCAGGAATAAACTGCGTTGGTGGCGCGCCAAACTGGGCTAGGTAAAAAAAAAGAACAAAAGGAAAGCGTTGAAGCGGATGTGACCGCAAGGGAGGACTTGCGATCGTTCTCCCCTCATTTTGCTTCTCCTTCCCTTTTTTTTTGTTTCTTTAGAAGAAGCCCTTTTCGTGGTGTCGCTGGGGAAATCACGTTCATGCGGGAAGAGGGGGCAATACGCGCCCTAATTGTACGGACTCCTCACCTTTCGGTTGTCGTCGTTGCCCTTTCCACACGTCACCGCCGGAAGGGGGCGTTCGTGATCGCTTGTGGGATGGGCAGTGAAAGAGAAACGTGGGTCGTGGTTGGGGCGGTGGCGGTGGTGGTGCTGAGGCAGCACGTTCAGCATCAACGAAAACCAACGCTCTTGACTCCGCTTCCCACACGAGCGTACAACAGCTTGTGAGATCACACCGGTTTTTGAACCCTGAAGCGGTCCCTTCGCTTCATCGTATTTTTTCCGCTGCCCTTCACCAAAATCATAATAAACACCTCTCTTCTCTTTTCTCTGCTCCACGTACTTCTCTTCCACGTGTCTTTTCTGAATCTTCCTTTGCTCCTCCCCACGCGACTTTCCACGTGCGTGGCGCCGCTGCACGACTCGTCTTCACCCGGCAGCTTAACCGCTCTCGACGTTTCCTCACCACCCCTTTCCACCTCTCTCAAGTCCCCTCCCTCTTTCAAGATGGCCACTCCCCGCAGCGCTAAGAAGGCTTCCCGCAAGTCTGGCTCGAAGTCCGCCAAGGCCGGTCTGATCTTCCCGGTCGGCCGCGTCGGCTCGATCCTGCGCCGCGGCCAGTACGCGCGCCGCATCGGTGCCGCCGGTGCGGTGTACATGGCGGCGGTGGTGGAGTACCTGACCGCTGAGCTGCTGGAGCTGTCCGTGAAGGCTGCTGCGCAGAGCGGCAAGAAGCCCCGCCGCCTGAGCCCGCGCACCGTGACGATGGCGGTGCGCCACGACGACGACATCGGTTCTCTGCTGAAGAACGTGACGGTGTCGCGCGGTGGCGTTGTGCCGAGCATCAACAAGGCGATCGCGAAGAAGAAGAGCGGCAAGAAGAGCAAGGCCACACCGAGCGCTTAAGCGTAGAGGACAAAATACAGATTTCGAATCTCCAAGTCAAATTGCACAGCTTGTATAGATGTTTGTGGACGTTGTCCATTACCCCTTCTCCCCCTTTCCCATCGCGGCTCGTTGTACTCCATACCGATGGCGATGAGCGTACGTGAAACAGCTGATGCGAGGGACAACATGGGGATACGGAGCAGTCAGCAGTGCATGCGCAGGCGGCGGAATCGTCGCGCACACCATCGAGAAAAAACCATCGCCGCTGATGTTCTCTCTCAGAAGAAAAGGAAAGGTAGAAGCAGACGAAGAAGACTGCGTTTTGCTGAAGTTTTTGGTCCTGTCGCAAGCACGCACAGCATTCGTTGCGCTACTATAGACACTATTCTTTTTTCTTGTTTTTCTCTATATACATGGCGAACCCGCCAATTTTTCGATGCAACCCGAACGGAACAGTCGAAAGTACAACTGGATGAATGATTGTGGCGACCAAACTCGTCGCTGGGAGTGAGGCGTGCCTCGTTGGATGAGCTTGCGTCAGCGAAACTGTGTGTGTATATGTAGTCCGGATCTTTGTTGGTTGAGTCTGCTGGCAGCTCTCGTCGTGATCGGTGACCGACGTTGCTCTAGCGGTGCTCTAGCGTTGGCCGTTATATTCCGCCAGGAGTTTCCTCAGTCAAGGCAAGAAAAGGAGCGATAATCCGAAGCTGCGTCGATGATCTTCGCAGGTTTTCTACAACTACTTATTTTTGTTTTTCTCTTTCTTGCTGCGCGTGCGTGTTTGCGATGGTGATGCCCTCGCGTTGCTCTCGAACACGTTCTCTATTGTGCGGTGCGGTGCACCCCGTCACTCGCCCTTCTCCTTCTCTCCCTCCCCCTTCTTCTGTTCTCCGGTGCGAAGATTGTCTGCCGCCTGCCTGTCACACATCGCTAAGCTCATCCTACTCTCTTTCTTTGTTTCTTGTTGTTGCTCTGTTGCGGTGCCGTTTCATTGAAGATCAAAAAAAGGAGAAGAATTCCAATTTCTACTGTGTCTTCCAGTTCTTCTTTCAGAAGAATACTTTTCTTCTGTGCTTCTTCGTTTCGATTATTCTTTCAAAAAGAAACGGAGCAACAACGGCAACAGCAAGAAGACATGCCTTCTTCCTCCTCCTCCTCCCCGGCGTCGCCGCTGCGCAGCGTGTTTGACGCGCTGGAGAAGAAGTACCCGCAGTACCACGCACAGTTCGACCTGGCGCAGAAGGCCGCCTCGCAGGCTGCCGTGGTGCTTGACAAGGCTGCGCCCTACCTGGCCCAGGTCCCCGTGTACGCCGCTGCTGCGAAGGAGCAGGCGAAGAAGTACCGCCTGGAGGAGTTTGTGCCGATGCTGATCGGCCTGGCGCTGTGCTTCTTCGGTGGCGCCTACACAATGCTCATCGCCGTCGTGGAGACGGTGCGCCTGGTCTGCTGGGAGGACCTCCAGAATTCGTTCGCGGTGCTCAAGCGGAACTACGAGATCGCCGCTGAGCAGAATCGCAAGGACAACGCGATCGACGCGGACGGCAACGGCGTGGCAGATGTGCAGGAGATGGATAGGAACGAGCTGTTCACGCGCAAGGCGGCCCTCTTTCTGAAGTCGGTCGACATCGAATCGGTGCAGACGGCCGCCCGCACCATCGCGTCGGCCTTTCTCTCCGTCATGGCCACGTTGCGCGTGAAGTTCGCCCGCTCCCTCGCGCTGGGTGGCTCGCTCACGAACATGGCGAAGGAGTACATCCACCTGGAGCAGTGGCTGAGCGAGGTGCTGCCTCCCGACACGAAGAAGTGGGCGGGCGTGTTGGCGAACGTTGTGGTCGGTGCGGTTACCATGACGTTTGCCACGCTCCTGAGCGGAGTCATCAGCATCGTGCACTGCTGCATCTGTGGGGCGAACATGTGCGTGCAGCACGCCATCCGCATCGCGAGCGAGCGGGGGCTGCTGGAGGAGGACATTTCGATGGAGAGCACGAGGGCGAGGGCACTGGTGGCGATGGTGGCGGCGATGGGCTTCTTCTGGCAGCTCTCCCACTCCGGCTCGCAGCCGTTCCCTTTTAACCTTATCCTGCTGCCGCTGACGATTGCGGAGTTCCTATTGAACCTTTGCGTGGGCGGCTTCCTGTACGCGTTACCCTAACATAAATGTACGAAGTGCCCGTCTCATGAGAGCCTATCAGGAGGAAGTGGTGCGTTAACGAGCGTTTGTGGGCTTAACTCTCCCATGACCGGCTTCAAAAATACTTTTTCTCTTTCCCAAGGTTTGTGTTGCTATGGGATTAGCTAAGGAAGCCTCGAGAGAGCGTTTTTATTGTTATTACTATTTAGGCTATCAAACCAAAGAGGATACGTTTTTTTTTTTTAACAATCTACTTGTTCTTTGATGAAGTAAGGGAAGAGGCGTTGTTTTCCATGTCCTTCTTCTGTCTTTAGTGATTTGTTTCCTTTGCGGCTTGCATCACGTGAGTCAAGTGGGTACACATCGACGCGGCGCACTCACGTCTTGTGTGATGGCAAAACGAAGAGAGGGACAAAGGCGCTCTCTTTGTGACGTGTTAGCTCAACACACCGTTCGTTCGTCGCTCGCCTCCGCTTTTTTTTTTTCTCCTTTCCTTTTCCTCTCTATTTTTTAAATAATAATTCTAATTACCGCAGGCCCGCTTCTTTAACGAGAATTTTTTTGTAGCCTTCTCTCTTTTCTCTTTGTTATTGTTTTCGTGTGCTCGGCTGCCTTGAAGGGGCTTCGTCTACGTCTTGTGGTTTGAAGTGGAGAGGGTGCGTTGGTGTTCTCCGAGTTTAATGCGTCCTTTGACGTTTAAAACCGATCCAGCACACCTATAATATATATTTTTAAAGGAAAGCGGTTTTGATGGGTGGCGTCCACGAGAAAAAAAAAACAGCAAAGAAGATGAGAGGGGTCAGAGGGAGATTTGTCGTGGCAGTCATCCGGTATGGAGAAGAGAGGAGGGGCAGGCAGCCAAGAAAACGAGAGGGGGGGGGGAGGGACGGGAGAGGGGCGGGGAATGTTGCGTACGTTGATGGATGCAACGTGATGAGAGAGTGGTGTGTGTACACGCCACTTCTTTTTTTCAGTAGAGTCTTTTTTCTCTTTCTTTTTAAAAATGCCTTAATTCTTTTTCAGCGTTAATTGAGTGCTGACTTGATCATTCGACGTTTGTTTATTTAATTTCCCCTAAGAAAAAAGAATTATCGGAGGGCAAGTGGGTTTGCCCCCAAATGGATGCGGAGCCCCACAGCGGGAACACGACGGAATGAGTTTTAAAAGACAAAGAAAAATAATCACAATCGAACAACTGCGAGCCTCATCCGGACAGTCCACAGAGCGTTTTGTGGCACTTTAAGAAGCGGAGGCTCTTCGAAAGGAAAAGAAAAAAACCTGTCAATTCTACCTGATGGATTGCAGCGCCAAGGAGGAGAGAATCGGTCACGGCAGGGAGAGCTTCTTAAAAATTCACCTGCTCCTTCTCCTGCTGCGTTGTGCGGAGTCTGTGGTGCAGCACTACCCACGGCGTTTCGGACTATCGCTTTATTTAGACGTTCCTTCGCTTCCTTGTGTTGCCTTTCCCGTCCTCACTGCGCGCTCTCACAACGGACTTCATTCTACGCTATCAACGTTGCCCTTTTGCGCCTGCTGCAAAACCCCCACAAATGGGGTTTTCGTTTTGCTTCAGAGCGGACCCAAGAAGAAGAAAATAAGGAGAAAAGTCCATATCGAGTGGCTCCTTCACCGCGACAGCACGCATAAGAAACGGCGGACGACCACGTCAACACGGGAAGCATGCCCGCCAGTCCCACTACCGCGGCGGTGCAGACCGGCACGACGCACGTCCTGCTGGGTCTCTTCGACGGTTACATGTCCCTGAAACGTGACTCCCTGACCTCGGAAACAAAGATTGGCGGCACCGCCACGTATTTTCCTCCCCTGACAGAAACTGACAAGTCAACGATTCATCGATGGACAACCTGCGGCGTGTGCGGACACGCGATGAGCCTCCTCCTGCAAGCCTACAGCCCGTTGCCAGGAGCACCAACGGATGTGCCGCACCATCGCATGGTGTACGTGTTCGCCTGCAACTCGAGCTACTGCGCTCGGCAGCCGCTGAGCAGCATGGTGGCCTTCAGCGTGCAGGTGGATGCGGAAGACACCCTCGCGCTGGAAGAAGAAGAGGGGGAAGCAGCGGACGAAGACGACGTGGTCGAGACGGGACCGCTGCTGCCATCGGAGCTGCCGGATGCCGTCCTCCCGCCCGGCTACGTCTATATTGATGAAGAACCGCTAAAAGAAACTGTTGTGCCGACAGACCTGGAGCGGGAGCTGATCAAGATGGCGGAGGAGAATGCGAGGAGCACCGTGACCGACGAGGAGCTGCAGCAGCTGGAGCAGCAGGTGGACTTGAAAGACAAGAAGACGGATTACTACTTCGAAAAGTTTCGAGCGCGTATGGCACGGGCGCCAAACCAAGTCCTTCGCTACTACGAGCGACGTGCAGCCACGACAGCATCGACGCCGCCGGCTAGCGGTAACACACGTGTGAAGGAGGCGAAGCCCATTTTTATGAACCCCGACAAGGTGAAGGCGATGGTGACGATCCCCGCCTGTGCGGTCTGCGGGGCAGCGCAGACGGCCGAGCTGCAGGTGATGCCCACCACACTGTACTACTTGCAGGTGGCGCAGTACACCGCATTGGCCCGCCGCGCCGCGGTGCCGAATCGCACGAACGCTGGCGACACAACAACGACAGAGCAGAGCAGCGGCGGCAGCAGTCCGGCAACGGAGAAGAAAGACAAGACAACACCGAAGTCCACACCGGGTAACGCTGATGGTGGCTGCGACTTTGGCACGATTACGGTGTATGTGTGTTCGAAGGACTGCGCGGCGCGGCAACGCGGGGTGGTGCTGCGGAAGGAGACGCTGTGCGTGGAAGAGGCTCCGACGGTGCGGGATGAACTGTTGGCGGAGAAAGAGGCGGAGGCGAGTGGGGCACCGCGTAAGAAGACGCTGCGGGAGCTGCTGCACGGCGACGGCGACGATGCCGATGACGAGGAAGAGGAGGAGAATGCGGAGGTGGCGTAGGCGGGTTGGCTCGTGGACGCTAAGAAGAAACAAGAAGAAAAGAAACAATTGCCCCAGTACAGTGGGAATGTGAGACGCTGTCTCATTAAAACTAAAAGAAAATCGATGCACCCTTTTTTTTTTGCTCGTTCGCTTGGTGCAGCTTTCTTGGAGTTGTGTAGTGAGCAGTTCGCCATCGAACCCCTGCATAAAAGAAAAGCTAAGGGTGCCAAGTAAAGGGTTTTTGTTTTCCTTCAACTGCTATGCGGCCGTCATATCCCCACATCTTTTCTTTCTTTGGTGGTGATGAGTGCTCCAACGACGAGTGAAAGAAGTATCTATGCTGGTGTGATGGCGTGCGCAACGACGCGTAACAAGGGTAATTAATTCCAAAACAGACTCTCAAAGACAAACGAATTCTTAATGTTGAGAACGCGAGAGCGAGAGAGAGAGAGTTGATGCGCACGGTGCTCTCGCCAGGATTGATGTGTCTGGCGCACGTGCTAGCCTCGGTAACCAAGTCAGCAGAGACTACGGTTTGTGTATTGGAGGGTTTTTTTTTCTTGCTTTCCCTCCCAGCTTTTTGTTGAGAGCACGGAGGAGACTGCGTAGAACACGTGACGCCAATCGAATGGACGTGTTTTTGTTTGTTTCTTTTCTACTCTGCATTCGCAGCTGTCTTCATTTTCTTCCTTTTCTTTGCTGGCGTCTACTCCTGCGTCTACCTCAGCAGCTTCTCCAACTCTGCTATTTCGTCGTTCCATCCTTCTTCATCTGGGTGCAAAACAGCATCGCAGCACACACACACACACACACGACAAGGGATCGACGAGGCTTTGGCAAACAGTTCACTTGGAATCAGAAGGTACGACGTGGTACAAATAACATGCGCTGCTCTACTGTATTCGAATCACGACAGGCTTCACACATCTCGCAACCAGTGTAGATCAAAGCCGTAGATCCCCACGAGCCGTTCCCGTATCAAACAAATCCAAGAAGCTCACATCTTCCGCATCGCCGTAGCTTCCTTTCTTGCCTTTTTCCTCCATGTACATAGGCGTAGAAGAAGAACGGAACAGTCCAAACTAGATCGAGGCCTATGCATCATAGGCGGTAACACACACACACACACACAACTCTTTATATATTTTCTTTTCTTTTTTAATGCTTGCTGGGTCCACCGCTTCGTTGCCGCATTCTGAGGCCGTTGTGAACTCCGCTGTCTTCTCTGGCTCTACCTACTCGTCGTGTGCTTCGTCCGTGGAGCCACACGGCACGCGTTACTCGCGTCGTGCCAGCGAATCCCCGCCACTGCGGTCGGTCGACGTCACCGAGGCGCCTCACGACGGCGACGACAAAAGCGAGCTCAACCCTATTGCCCGATCACCGGCAAGCGTGAGGAACGGAAGCGATTGCAATAGCCGCAGCAGAAGCCTTAGCACCACCAGCAGCTGCAGCAACGCGCGTCAAGACGTGACAGAGCCGCTAAAGCTCAACAGCTCTGATAATTGTGACATGCGCCACGGTGTAAAAGATGCGCCTGCGGGTGCAGTGGCTGCTGCTGCCGCGCCCGCGGAGGGAAGGAATGACGGCACCCCTCCTGCGGCCGCACACGCGTCCACGTCGGCCAGCACTTCTCCAGAGACGCTGCTCGCACTTCTTTCGCCGGAGCAGCTAGAGACCGCGCTTCAGCTTTACGTAGACAGAGGTGGCATCCACGCGTACGAGGTAGCCGCCCTGCTCACGCGGCTGCCTTTTATTGACACGTCTGCTGTACACCCCTCGCACGCGCTGTCGTCGGCGTCGTCGTCTCCGGACAAGGGTGAAGACGCAGAGGACGCTACGGAGTCGTCGTCCTCCCTGCTAGACCCAGAGGGGTGGCTATGTGCGGTCGCCGTCGCTGCCACGGCTGATGCTGGTGCTGCTGCTGCTGATACTCCGGATGGTGTGCCCGACAATGACGATGCAACATGCGACGGCACTCCAGAGTCTGCTCGCTCGCCGTCCGTGCACGCCGGTGCGGACACCCAGCAGCCGAAGCATCGCTATCCGCTGATGAACAGTCGGTACGACAGCGCTTCGTCGGGGCGGTCAAGAGGAAGTGTTGCGTCGTCGCAGCCGGCTGCCGTCGCGCCGAGCCCGGAGGAAGGAGCACCTGCAGCGGCGCGTGAAGGACGACTTCCAGGCCGAAGGTCCCCCACGCCGCCGACGCCAGCGATGCGCACGTTAGCCTTCGACCTCGACGACGGCGCGGCGGCGGTGGCGGAGTGGTCGGGGGTGCCGCGGCGGCCGAGTCTGCCCCCGCTGCCGCCGCGTCCCACGTCCTCCTCCCTGCACTCCCTCCTTTCCCCAGCCGCCCTGTCGCTCTCGTCGTCGTCGCAGGCGCTTCAACCCAAGCGACCGGGCGGCCGCCAAGCAAGTACGACGACGGCTAGTAGCATCAGCACCACTACCACCAGCAACGGCCGTCGCCCACCGCGCAGCTCCCCGCCGACCAGCAGCAGCACACCGTCCTTTTCTGTCTCCCCGCCGGCGCAGCGCCCGACGGAGGTGCCTCCGCTGACCGCATCGCTGTCCTCCACGTCAACCCGCCACAGCTCCCTGCCGTCCGCCATCGCCGCCGCGGCGAGGGCCGAAGAGGCGGGGGTGCGCACTGTTTTTCAGCAGTGCCTTCGTTCACCGCGCGCGGCGGCTACCGCGACGCTGTCGGAGAACGATTGGGTGGCGTTGGTGGGGGAGCTTCGGCGTGGTGGGCATCGAAAGTTCCCTCCACAGGCGGTTCTGGACGACGTGGCGAGGACCATCACAGAAGAAATGCAGCGGAGCAAGCGAACAGAAGGGCTGACTGTATTCGACTTTGAACGGGTGGTGCACACGCAGCTAGACGAGGTACGGCGTGATTTGCAGTTGAATCCGGCGACGGCTGCGGCGTCGCCTTCGTCGATGGATGTGGCGGTCAACGTGGTCTTTCCGGCACACCCGAACTACTGCTTCACCCTCCCACCAAAAGCAACAGAGGCATCAGGCGTCCACTGCGGCAGCGGCAGCAGCAGTGTCGCCCGTGCTCGTCGCTCTTCCCTTTCGTCGCACTCCGGAATGAAGCAGCCTTCGACCCCCGCAAGCCAGTGGCGTGTGCTGCCGACGTGGTGCATAACGCTGGCTGCGCTCTTCCCGCTTGAGATGTGTGCGGTGTGTCCCATGCCGGTGGTGCGCTACCTACGCAGTGTGGGGCTTGTCAACGCGGTGCTCGAGGCGCTGGTGCAGCGGCTGGAGGTGGAGGTGGAGGCGATGCCCAACGCAGCTTTTTTTACCCCGGCGGGTGCCACTGCTTCCGCTTCTCTTTCGGAGATGCGTTCGCAGGGCTTGAACGCGGTGCCCGGGTCGTCGCAGCAGCAGCGGCCACGAGGGAAGGAAGGTGATTCCGTCGCGGCTTCCGCGTCCTTTGCGGCGATGAGTGCACCGGGAACTAACGGTGCGAGTAGCTTTATGTGGCCCCCACGCGCCAATTCGCTCATGTCTTTTCTGATGAGCGCTGCTGCCGCTGGTGGCGGTAGTGTCTCCGCTGCACGCCCCACCAGCTCCGTCGTCCTCACAAGCGCGTCGCGAGACAGTGCGCCATGGAAGGAAAGCCCGGAGTGGCGCCCAACAACAACGGAGGACGCGCCCTGCAACGCGCCTTGCTCGCAGGTGCACTCGTTGGAAAGGGGAGGCGATGGACTCTTTGCCGCGAGTTGTTTCGTGGGGGACGCAGGGACTAGAGGACTCGCTGCTTCGTCGAATCGACAGCTTTCCGCCAGCGCACCGGTGGGTCGGCAGGACGACCAGCGCCCCCGCTATTTGACCGAGCGACCACCGGATGAGATCACTACGTCCGTGGTGGCCCGCGCGAAGGCACGGCGCCTGATGGACTCCCTGCGCCGTCACACCGTCCCAATCAATCGCTACGAGTGCTTTGCGCGCGTCGAGCACGAAGATGAGCCGGTGCAGAAGCCGTTGTGCTTTATTTCAAAGGCAGATCTGGAGAGGACGTTTGGCGGGTCGGATGACGGGGCCGCCGCGGACGATGACTCGGACGCGATGTCGGACGTGATCGCCACGCTGACCTACGACCCATCTGCAGCCGCCGATGCCGCTGCTGCGATGGCAGCGGAAACGCAAAACGCCCAGCGCGACGGCGGGGTGAATGGACACCCCTCAGCGGATGGGCATCGCACCGTGTACACCAATCAGCGCCGGCTCTCCGCGCCGTCACCGCAGCTGTCCCGCGCGTCCGCCGCCAATTATTTCCCCAACGTCTTCTCTGGCTTCACACGGGCGTCGACGATGATGCGTCGCCGCGCGTCTTCTCCAACAAGCACGCCCTTCGACGTCGACGCGCCGGCGGCCGGTTCGCGTGCGACGAGCGCGAGTGCCGCACTGGGGCCTTCTGGAGCTCGCCGGCAGCACCGCCGGTCACCGCCGCCGCCGCCACCACCCGTGCCGGGGATGTTTCGCATGGGCGGCGTGCTGCTCGGGGCGCTGCCGAAGAAACAGGAGGCGGCCTTGGTGGAGCGTCTTAGCCACCCGATCTTCGACCCGCACACGATGGGTCTGCGCGCGGCTTCTGTGAATGCGACGCGGCCTCCTTCGGCCCCCATCGCCGGCGTGCCTCCGCACCACAGAACAACATCGCCGCGGGTGCACGGGACGGATCCGGTGTCCACTGCTGCCGCCGCCGTGCTGAAGCGCCAAGCATCGCCTGAGGCTTCCGGGGAGTTGAACACTCCAGCTAGACGGCCCCCCTCATCGCCGCAGCGTCGGGCAGCAGGGGCGCCTTCTCCGTCTCTCTCTCCATCGCAGCTTCACCTCAGATGTCGCAAGTGGAGGTCGAACAACGACTCCGCAGCTGATCCTTTCTCCAAACTGATATTCAAAGTAGCACCGATGCGCGAAGCACGGGAGTCACCCACGGGCCGAATCGCACGCCAACGCAGATCAGGCGCAGCACGACGAAGGCCAGCGTCGACCGCGCAGCAGCAGCGGGGCAACAATAACGTGCACAGACCTCCTCCCCCTCCTGAAAATCGAAAACGCACTGCTTCCGCTGAAGCGGGAAGTGATGCGTCTTCCCCACCCTTCGCGGCGAGCCGAGTGCGCATGCCACGGAATGGGCAGCACAACACCATCGCGTACGCCTCGAAGGTGCCACGACCGCGTCGAAGCAACATTACTCGAGAAAGAGCCAACGACGGCGGAAGAGGAAAGGGAGGGGACACGCGAACGCCGGTGTGGTACACGGCGCACCACGATGACGCTGCGGCGGCACGACGACACGCCGAGTTTATCTTGTCAGAGCGAGAAGAGCGCCCGCCCGATCGAGCGCCACGGCCGGCGCCGATGTCACTGTACGAGCGGCAGCTCCTTCGTCAGCTTCAACGCGCCTACACGGCGGAGCGTGTCCCCGGCAACTGAGTTGCTGCTTTCGAATGCCGGCACAAGTGTAATATATAAGAGTTTTGGAGCGCTGTCTTCAGCAGGTATCTAGCTTCTGTTTTTTTCCTTGAGGCTTTCTTTTTTGAATTACGCACTTCTAAGCGGCTGATACAACCCGCTGAAACACACTCACACACACAGGGAAGTCAAAAGCTGATGTTGCGGCAGCGTTCGTCCATGGAGTGCTGTAGATGCTTCTTCTTTTCTCCGTTAGAAAATTGTCTTCGTTTTGGAATCGTAGGCAAACGGATTCCCAGGCTGCAAAGCAAAATATCTGCACGGTCCCTTATCTTTCACCCCCCTACTACACACACACACACACACACACTTGCGTTGCTTAAAGTACTACTAATGATAATGAATTTTTACCGGGTAGTTCTTCCTTGCTTGGAGCAGCAACGGCGCACATGCACGCACAAGCTCACTATAAAGGCAAGAATGAATGAACGCAGCTTTTCATTCTACCATGGCCGACTGAAAGGGGAAAAAGAGATTCCGCAATTACCCAACTTCCCCCGTTTCTCTGCGTGAGCTCCTTATCTCGTTTCTCTGTTGCTAACTATTTATTTCCTTTATTCGAATTCCTCCTCATCGCTCTTGTTCTACATTTCACATCACAACAGCTGTTCTTTTCTTGATTTTCTCAATACTCCGTCTGCACAGATGTCGACCACGCGCAGACTCGCCTCTCTGCATTGCCTGCGGTGGGTGGAGTCGCACGAGGCACACCGTCGTCTATTGCGTGTCTTTACCACCTCCCCTCCCCATCCCTACGTCCGCCCAGTTCCCTTGCAGACCGGCGAGGTGGTCACCCGCGTCGCGCCCAGTCAGCGCATACCTGGGCTGCGTGGCGTGTATCTGACGAAGGCGGTGAAGAAGTTTCATCCCATTGAGGTGCTGCCCACCGCGGCCGCGGCCACGGCCACTGCCTTGACGTCTTCCGCTTCTGCATCTCAAGGACCGTACGCAAGCAGCTGCTCGTCTTCTAGCTCAACCCGCGCAGCAGCCGTGGAGGACACCACAACGTTGGGGAGTGGCCGCCCTGCTGACGCGGTCACGCTGGCGCCGCCGCTGGTGTTAAACCTCGCCTTTGCACCCCGCCATCACATCTCCCTTCGTCGCTTTCTGGCTCTACGACACATGTTCAGCTCGTCCGCCTACTTACAGGTCGCAACGGAGCGCGGGTGGTACCTCATCGAACCAAGTTCTGCCGCGCCGCTCTGCGCGGACCTCGCGGGACTGCAGAGGTGGGTTCGTGTGCACCATCGCCGCTATCTTGAGCACCGCTCTGCTTCTTCTTCCTCCTCCTGTTTCGTCCACAAAGATAAAATAAAAACCGGTAAAGGAAGTGTTGCGGCCGTCGAACAGGCGCGTGTGTCGTCGCCGAAGGACGCCCGACGTGCGGAGCTGGCCACATGGGAGGCTGCTCTGGATAACGGTGCGGAGCTGACGGCGGCGCAGCTGCGTGCCTTGGCGGACAAGGAAAGGAAGGCCAGTGCGGAACAGGAGAACGAAGACGGTAATGATGATGATGATGACACGGGAGACGATGAGCTTGGCGGCGACGGTTCCGCTAACGTCCACGGCTCTTCTGCCCTCCAGGAAGAGGAATCGCACGCGGCAGCTGGCGATGCCGCTTTCGGAAGCGCGACAGCGACAACAAGGGCAGCGGCCGCCTCCGCACCGCAACTCAAGATCGTCCCCCCTCTCATCACGGAGGCCCACCTTTTTGAGATTAACGACGGCGTCGTGTGGGAGTTGCCGGCGTCCGATGACCTGGCCAACCACGACTACTGGAAAGATCACCGTCAGCGCATGACCCTGTACGAGAGCACCGGCGACGCCGACGCAGCAGAGCAGCGAGAGGCGCTGCTGCGCACCATTCGCAGCGATCCACGAGCGCAGACGTGCACCGAGCAGCAGTTATACGCCGCCGCGGAGGCTCTCTTTCAAACGCTGAAGCAGAAGGCCAACGTGAAGCTCAGCGTCGATGACGAGAGCGGGCTGCTGAGTCTTGTGCCGCTGGTGGACTTGGCGGCAGGCGAGGAGCTGTTCCTCCACTACGGCCGTGAGTGGTGGACGGGCCGCCTTTTATCGTCGTTGCTGCTGGCCGTGTCGGACGAAGAAATGCCACGTATTCGCTGGATTGAGCAGCTCTTTGGGCACTCAACGGACCGAAACGAGCGCTTCCCTTTGTTGATCCCGGCGCATAAGCAGCGCAGGTACACGAAGAACGCGGCGGCGCCACCGCCAAGCGCACGCCGAAGCAAAAGGCACAACCGTGGTGCAAACAAGGATCACACTCGCGATGGTGGGGAAGTTGAAGCCGCTGTCGACGACAACTCTCGTGCCTCGTGCGCCTCCTCCTCCTCCGCTCCTGCAATCCAACACGGCCCTCTCGTGCTGTACAACACCGTTACACGCGGCAAGGCGACGGATGCGGCGGTGCTGGCCTATGCAATTCGCCGCAGCTGTGTGGAGCAGGCCTTCTTTGACCGACTTGTGCTGGGCGACCCTGCGCGAGGCGTACCGCCCGTCTTTCGCGCGTCGGCGCCGGATGCGGAGGTGCCGATGCGGGTGGTACGGAAAGCGCTGCTGGCATCCCTACGTGGGGTGCGGGAGGGAGGAGGAGGAGAGGCGTTGGCGGCGGGGCTGAGCGGTGGTGCGGGGGACTCGGCCGCTGCGAAGCTGCCGGAAAGAGACGCAGTGAGTGGCCAGAGGAGCCGCCTCAGCGAGCACGACGAGGACGATGGCAATGACGTCTTCAGTGTTTGATGCCATCCAATATATATATATAACGTTGGTGTACTCCTCTGATTCTACGCAGCAGCGGGTCCGACCCCCTCCACCCCTCTACACACGTTTTGCCGGTGTGATCTGATTTCTTTCTTCCCCCCTTTTTCTTTTGGGCATCTTCACATCAGCAAGAAGCATTCCAATGCTCCGTCAATAACAACCAAAGTAGCACGAAACATAATTGAACTGATAAAGCGAGTGCAGTGCAAGAAGAAGAAGAAAACCCACGTTGTGAGTAACAAATCAGGTAGGCGTTCAAGGGAGAGACGGACAAACGAATGATGCGTGCTCCACACGTGCCAGCTATGCAGTTCACCAATCTCTGTTTTCAGCCCTCTAAGTCATTTGCCCTGCTCTCCCCGACATTCCTTTTTATCGACCAACTCCGTATCGATCTGAATCCTTTCTACGGCCACTAGGTGGTGTTTTCGTGTCACCAACGTGCGCCTACTCAGCATCGCTCGCCTCGTTTGCTGAAAAAGGAAAGGAAGGAACAGCAACGGAAAAAAAGAGATTATATCGTCAAACATCTTCATTATTATTATTATTCTATATTTTTATTTGACATCCCCGTGAACAGGTCTCGTCGAGCGTGCGAGAACAGCTGCCCACAGAAAGAGGAGAGGACGAGCAAAGGAAGATGCAGGTGCGCTTCTACCACAACATCATCAAAGGCCAGCCGGGCCCGGCGCGGACGCAGGCCATCTGCTTCTCGCCGAACAACAAACGGCTCGCCATCGCCGACGCCACTCGCCACATCCAACTCTTCGATGAGCAGGGCGAGCGTCGCGACAAGTTTCCCACCAAGCCGGCCTCCGACAAAGGGGGGCGCGGCTACGTGGTCACCGGGCTTGCCTTCTCGCCTGACAGCACGCTGCTCGCCGTCGCGCAGTCCGACTCGATCGTCTTCGTCTACCGCCTGGGGGCGGAGTGGGGAGAAAAGAAGGCGATTCGGCACAAGCTCTCGCAGACGGCGCCCGTCACCTGTGTCGCGTGGCCCAACACGTCGTCGCAGGGCATCGAGATCGTCACCTTCGCCACCCTCGACGGGAGTGTGCGGGTCGGGATGCTGAAGGCGAACAAGTCGCACGTGCTGTACTCCCACGAGCACCCAGCCGTGTCCATGTGCACGAGCCGCGACAACAACAAGATCCTCACCGGCCACCTTGATGGCGCGGTGTTCCAGTACGTGTTCGAGGCCTCCGACGACGGGGCGGAGGTGGCGGGGGCGAAGCGGCTTTTCACGCACAGCTGTGTCCCCTACATGCTGGCGTGGGCCGAGAACATTTGCTGTGCCGGTCCCGACTGCACCGTCCGCTTCTACAACCCACGCGGCGGGCAGAAGCCGCAGACGCTGACCTACGATGCCCGAAACATCGGCTCCTTCACGGGTGGGGTGTGCAACCCAAGCGGGCAGGCGGTCGCCATCGCGGGCCGGGGGCACATCCGCGTCTTTGACTTCAACACCCGCGCCCGCAAGTGGGAGGAGGGGGTGGTGCTCGACCTGCCGCACAGCGAGGGCTTCAGCGCGATGCAGTGGAAGCGCGACGGCAGCCGCCTCGTCACCGGGTCCACCACCGGCTCGGTGGATATGTTTGACTGCTGCCTGCGTCGCTACCGCGTGCGCGGGGCCTACGAGTTCACCTACGTAAGCCACAGCCAAGTCATCGTGAAGCGACTGGCGACGGGCACGCGGCTCGTCTTGCAGTCGTACATGGGTTTTGAGGTACAGAAGGTGAACGTGTACCAGGATCGCTACCTCGTCGCCCACACCTCCGCGACGCTGCTGCTGGGCGACTTGGTCTCGCACAAGCTGAGCGAGGTGCCTTGGCAGCTCAGCGGGCGTGAGAAGTTCGTATTTGACAACGAGCAGATTTGCATGGTCTTCAACGTGGGCGAGCTGTGCTTGATTGAGTACGGCAAGAACATGATCCTCGGCACGTGCCGCACGGAGGAGCGCAACGCCCACCGCATCAGCGTCCGCGTGTTTAACCCGCTTGCGTGCGATGCTATTGCGGCTGGCGCTGGTGGTGGGGGCGGCGGCAACGCTGTGGGTGCTGGCAGGAGTGGAGATGGACAGCGGCGTGAGGTGGACACGACGACGAGCCCGCCCACCACGCCGTCTCCCGTGACGATCAGCGGAGGCGGCGGCGGTGTGGTGGCCACCGGCCTCGACGCAGAGAACACCCGCTGCGTCATCGCGTACCTCATCGACCGTCAAACGATCCAGATTGACGACTTGAAGAGCGGCGTCTCCATTGCCCGTGTGGCGCACTCGGCCAAGATTGATTGGCTCGAGCTGGACTTCCGCGCGTCAAGGCTGCTCTTCCGCGACAAGCAGCACCAGCTCTTCCTGTACGAGATCGCCTCCCAGCAGCGCTCGACCTTGCTCAGCTACTGCACCTACGTTCAGTGGGTACCGCGGAGTGATGTGGTGGTCGCGCAGAGCCGGTTGGAGCTCTGCGTGTGGTACAACATCGAGTCGCCGGATCGCGTCACCATCGTGCCGATCCGAGGTGAGGTGGAGGGCATCGAGCGCGGAAATGCGAAGACGGAGGTGATTGTGGACGAGGGCGTCAGCACCGTCGCCTACGCGTTGGATGAGTCCTTGATTGAGTTTCGCGCGGCGATGGAGGAGCACGATTTGGACCGGGCGTGTGACTTGCTGGAGCGCACCGCACAGACCCCCGGCACCGAGGTCATGTGGAGCACGCTGGCGGAGGTCTCGTTGCAGGACATGAAGCTGTTCATCGCGGAGCGCTGCTACGCCGCCCTCGGCAACGTCGCGAAGGTCAATGCGCTGCAGCACATTCATGAGCTCGCCGCGGCGGCCAGTAAGGAGAGCGGCGGGGCGACTACGGGCTACGAGCACTACACCGTGCTGGCGGAGCTGTACGTGATGAACCGCGACTTCAAGCGGGCCGAACAGCTCTACTTAGAGAACGGGCGCGTGGAGGATGCAATCCGCATGTGGGAGGAGATGAACCGCTTCGACGAGAGCCTGGCCATCGCGGAATCGCGCGGCCTGGACGACGTAGCGAACCGCCGCGCGCGCTACTTCGCCTGGCTGATGGAGACGCGGCAGTACGAGATGGCGGGTGAGATGCGGGAGCGCGACGGCAAGTTCATCGACGCGATCAACCTCTACCTGCGTGGTGGCACCCCTGCGCGTGCGGCGCAGGTGGTCTCGGCGAACAACTTGAAGCCGGAGCAGCAGCTGCTCGAGGCAATCGCCGCGGCCCTCTTCAAGGCACAGGTCTTCGAGGCAGCCGGCGACTTCTTCGACAAGCTGCACATGACGGATCGCGCCATTGACGCGTACAAGCGCGGCCACGCCTTCAGCCGGGCGGTGGAGTACACGAAGGTCGCCGCGCCGCAGCAGGTGGTCGCGCTGGAGGAGGCGTGGGGCGACTACTTGGTCTCGCAGAAGCACGTCGACCAGGCAATCAATCACTACAACGAGGCAGGCAAGTACGCCAAGGCGGTGAAGGCGGCGCTCGACTCGCGGCAGTGGAGCAAGGCGGCGTCCATCTTGGATACGCAGAACACCAACCTTGGCACGGCGGCTGAGGGCGCGGACGGGGAGGCCGCCCCGGTGGACGCGGCGACCAAGGCGGCCTATCAGCGCATCGCCCACCACTACGAGGAGATCCACCAGTACGCCGAGGCGGAGAAGTTCTACATCAAGGCCGGTGCGGTGAACGCGGCGGTGGATATGTATAGCCGAGCTGGGATGGCGGACCACATGTACCGCGTCGCGCAGCGCCACCTCCCGCAGGAGAAGCTCGTCGAGCTCTTTGTGAGCCAGGCGAAGCAGCTCGAGACGAAGGGCGACTACGCCGGTGCGGAACGGATTTATCTCAAGGTGAACGACGTCGACGGGGCAATTATGATGTACCGCAAGAACCGCGACTACACGAACATGATGCGCCTGGTGCAGGCCTACCGCGCTGGCTACCTGCTGCAGACCCACCTCGCCCTCGGTGCGCAGTTCCAAAAGGAAGGCAACCTCAAGTCGGCCGAGACGCACTTCATTGCCGGCAAGGATTGGAGCCGGGCGGTGTCCATGTACCGCGATAAAGATCTGTGGGATGACGCGGTGCGTGTGGCGAAGGTGCACGGCGGTGCCAACGCGGCGAAGCAGGTCGTGGTGTCGCGCGCCTTGGTGATGGACGGGGAGGAAGGCGTGCGTCTGTTGTCGAAGTTCAACCTGGTCGAGGCCGGCATCGACGCCGCCATCGACGCGACGAAGTTCGATCTGGCGCTGCAGTGGGCGCAGCTGGCCCAGCCGGCCAAGGTGCCCTACGTCTACCTCAAGTACGCGATGCACTACGAGGACCAGGGCGACTTCCGCATGGCCGAGGACGCCTTCATCAAGGCCGGCAAGCCGCGCGAGGCCATTGACATGTACGTCCACCAGCACGACTTCTCGGCGGCAATGCGGGTGGCGGAGAACTACGACAGCTCCGCGACGGCTGCCATCTGCGCCGCAAACGGACGGGTCTGCTTTCAGCAGGGCAACTACAAGGAGGCGGAGGCGTTGTTCCTGCGCGCCAACGCGCCGGAGACGTTCCTGAAGATGTGCGTCGATGCTCACATGTTCACCGAGGCGCAGCGCGTTGCGCGGGAGTACTGTCCGGAGATGCAGGGCGATGTGGCGAAGCGCATGGCCCTCAACTCGAACGACCCACAGAAGGCTGGCGCGGTGCTGGAGGAGAACAACGAGTACCAGCTCGCCATCGACACCTACCTCGGCGCGACGCCCGACACGGTGCCCGACCCGACCACGCTCGCCAATCTGTGGGTGCGTGCGGTGAAGGTGGCACAGAAACACGCGCGCAACCTTCTGCAGGAGGTGCTGAAGACGGCGGTGGACAAGCTGAAGGCGGCGCAGCGCTTCGTCGAAGCTGGCAAGTGCCTGGAGGACTGCGAGGATTACAAGACGGCGATCAACATGTACGTGCAGGCCCGCAAGTTCGATCTGGCCGAGTCGCTGGCGCGGCGCGTGAGCCCCGAGTTGGAAGACTACGTCAAGCGCGCCATTGTGCAGGATAGCATCGCCGGCGGCAGCATGAAGAACGCGCAGGTGGTGGAGGAGATGGACCCGGAGGCGGCGCTAAAGGCGTACCTCGACAAGGCCGACTTTCCGAACGCGCTGCGCATGGCAGGGCAGAAGTCGCCCGAGGAGCTGAAGTACGTGGCGGGCCTGCAGGTGCAACACTTACTCCGGCAAGGTGACCCGGCGGGGTGCCTCGAGGCACTGTCGAAGAACATGATGGACCCCGACGACTTCCGCTTCTACGACACCTGGGTCACGCTGGCGCAGAAGGTGATCGAGCTGTTGCCCTCCGACACGCTGCCGGTCCAAACCTTGCACGAGGGCCTGGTGAGGGTGCTCGACAGCATGGGGCGCTCTGGCCAGAAGTCAGAGGACATCGCCAAGGCCACCGCCGTCACAAGCGTAATTCACATCTACTACATGGCACACCGAATGGAGACGGAGCTGCACCTGCCGGAGTTTGCCGTGCAGCTCATGCTGGGCTTGCCTCGGTGGATTCCGTATGTGGCGCCGGACAAGGCGTTCTACGACGCCGGCATGTCCGCCAAGCGCGTCGGGCTCGAGGGGATGCAGGACATCGCCTTTCTGTATCTCAACCGTGCGCTGGACATCACGGAGCGGATCGAGGACGGCGACACCGACAGCAGCGGGATCGACAACACCGACTTCGACGCGACCGACTTCCCCAAGAACTACCGCCTGCCGAAGGAACCGACGGTGCCGTCCGCGATGATGGAGGAGGTGAACAACTGGGTGCTGACGGTGTCTATCGACAACACCGCCGCGAATGAGGAGCGAACGCTGCCGATGGTGAAGGACCCTGAGAACGGCGAGCCCATGTTCGCCGGCTGCGTTAAGTCCCCGCATACGGGGAAGGTGTACCCCGCCTGTGCGGTGACCGGCTACGGCGTGACCGGTGGTGGTCTGACGAAGTGTCCGTCGTGCCAGCGGGCGGCGAACCAGGCCGATTGGAACAAGTTCGTCTTGACGGCGAAACAGTGCCCGTGGTGCGGTGCCGCCGCCAGCCCCAACTTCAAGGCCTGAGAAAAGAAATCGCAGTGAGAGAAAAGGGAAATCCAAATGGTGCGTAAAGGATTCCGAAGAAGAAGAACGATGGCGATGGTCGGAGTGGCTCGCTGGGACTGCCTCCCTCCCCTTCTTTTGTGTTCTTTCCCTCCACCTCACAGACAGGTCCCCCCTTCCCCGTTGCGTCTCTGTGCAGAAACTTTCTCTCTTTCTCTCAAGGCACACTTTTCGATGTATTCAATGTAACAAGCAAACCGAGTGAACGTCCTTCCTTATTGTTTTTCTCCTTTTACGGATCACAAGTATCGCGGCTGGCTGATATAGATTCTTTTCCCTTGCTGATCCCGTCACGATGGTGATGTGTGTTGCGCGTGCTCTTGCGTTTTTGGTCTTCCTTCTGTTTAGAGTGTCTTTTCGTGATGCCATGTGCTAACTGAGTGATTTTATTATTATTTTTCTTCTCATGTTGGCTGCGGTGACGATGACGATGATGATGATGCGTTCTTCCTCGTGACGTTGCGGGAGGGACGTGCGTGTTGCTGTGTCGTCCTCTTTCACTTATTTCTCGTCCATCTGTTTGTTTGTTCGCTTCGCATGTTCACATCATCACCGGCTCCCTCCCTCCGCCCTTCAAGAGGTACAAATCTATATCTTTATCGATATCAATATCTATATGGATGCTCTTTACGTGAATGCTCAGGAATGTCGCTGCCGAGCTATGGTCACTAGAGGCCTCCTAGCTTCACCCACCTCCCACCACCACTACCACAAGAAGAGCTTTCTGCATGAAAAGCGCGCTCAACAACCGAGAGAGAAGGGGATACAGAAAGGAAGTGTTACTCGTCATGTGGCGAGAGCTCGGCGTGTTACTTCTTATTATTATTTTCCACTCCGCTCTTTCATTCAGCTGACCCAAGCGTTTCTCGTATTCTCGTCTTTCCCTCTTCTGTTTTTCTGCTTTTCTTTTATTTTGGGCTGAACCCCAACGGTGGCGCACGCGAAGCACGTCGTACACCAGCGTCCTCCGCCTCGGCGATCCGGATAGCACCGCGACCGACTGTAGTACGCCCCCCTTTTCTGGTTAAGCCGAAGTATTCACCGCTGCTGTGATAGTAGTTAGCGTAGTTCACATATCGATATATATATATATATATATATTGCATCTTTCTTAGGCGGCAAATCTGTCGTAACCGACAAACAACACCCCATCATTGAAGCAGGGAAATTATTTGCTTTCAAATCTTCTAGTTAGGTAGCCTCCTGCGCTTTACCGTGTGGGCCTCTTCTCCAATCATCATCTGGCTTCTTGTTTTTTCAAACAAATATATAGTTTTTATCACCGTCCTCGTAAGACTCAGACAAGGCAGGATGGTCCGCTATGTGCAGCGCCCGTGGTACTCGCCACTCGGCCTCATGGCCACCAACACGCCGTCCTACGTCTGGTTCATGTGTGCGTCGGCCGTCATCGCCGTCTTCCCATTTCGCTACCAAATATCGGAGTACTTCGAGCGTCAGCACGCTGGCCCGCACGTGGAGCTGCGCCACAAGGCGGTTAAGTACTACTCGGAGATGGAGCGCATGCACCGTCGTCAGGCGCTGGTGAACTTAGACAACATGCAGGACGACAACGCACCACACCGCCTCAGTGCGTCCATGGCGGTGGACTCGCTGAAGACGGGCGACCTCGATCAGGAGTACAACTACTGGTACGCCCACGCACGGGACGCTGCGCGGGCGGAGAAGTTGATGATTGAGATTCGCGAGTTGAAGGCGAAGATAGCCGCCGAGAGTGCGTAATCAATTGGTGACGAAGGGAGGAGGGAGCGACAAATACCTTCTTCTTTCCTGCTCTGCCTCTTTGGAGAGTGTTAGCGGCGCGGCTTAGCTCGTCTGTTGCACCTCGTGTTCTATAGTGCAATGCAGCCCCTCCCTCCCCCTCTCTTCTCTGCTTTTCTTCGCCCACTTGCTTTGCACCTCTTCTGTTTCGTCTGCGGTGGAGTGGTGGAGGAGAGTTGCTTGCTGATAGTAGCATCAAGAAAAGAAGAGGAACATCATGAATATATGAAAGCACACGAAGTACACCACGACGTTATTGTGAGGAAAACGTTGTCGGCCTGAAGCCGCACTGGCCCTTTCGACTCGTCTCGCAAGCTATGCAGCCGATTGAAGGTGAGTTGCCCTATCCCACCACCAAAAAGAAACACCGATTCAAGCATCAAGTGATGCTGTGGTGCTCACGGTGTTGGCCGCCTTGTCGTGGATGTGTGACGTGCTCCTCTACTCTTCCTCCTCTCGTCACCTTCTTTTCTTTCTTCTTCTTCTCCCACGGTGACGGCTCTACCATCACCATCTATTTCGCCACCGCTCTGCTGCAGCAGCGGGGTGACGTGAAGGCTTCAAAGCGACCTTTACATCACGCTTCACCTCCAGTTTTCTTCTGTCTCCCTTTTTCTTTTCTATCTTGGTGGTTGGCGCTGTCAGGATCGAAGAGCCAAAGAAAAGCACGTAGCTACATTGAGCTGCTGCGCGCGCGTCCGTTTGTCGGAGACGGATGATCTGACGTGTGTGTGCCGTGCAGCCCCGTGAAGTTGCATCCAAGCACACACACACATACACACACGTATACATTACGCATTCATAGAGCCAGTAACCTGTCTTTCATTGCTGCTATTTCTGTTTTTCCTAGATCGTTGTGGCAGTAGCCCATTTTTCATACACTTTTCTGTCCTCCCTTTTAAGGGGCGCTAGAAGCATCGTTATTCATAGATGCACAAGGCACATCCCGCACCACCTTGACCTGGTTCTCTGATTTAAAGCACCCCCCCCCCCTCGATTCTGACGACTCTAACAAGACACATACAAACTGTAAAAGAAAAGAGGAGTCACGCCTAACTTCGATATTTCACAGTCGTGCCTGCACCTTCGAAAATAGAAGGAGGGTAAGGCATATAGCAAAAACCAACAACCAAGCAACACACGTGCTGTGTGCAGCTCCATGCATCACTATGACGCTCCATTTTTGCTGACCTCGACGCCGTCGTCGATCGCCTTCATGTCGCCATCTGCAGCCAACGCGGAATCCGTCCGCTGGACCGGCACACACGTGGACGACGAGGTGACTGTAGCGACAGCAGCACCACCGTCATCGTCGTCATCATCGTCACCGCCTTTTCTTGCTCCGCTGCTCTCTTTTAAGGCTGCGTCGTCACTTTCCCACACCGCTGCTTCGCACCGCTCCGTTGATCCCTACGAGGTGTGCAGGTGCGAACTGGATCAATTTTTGGAACTGCAAGACGAGCAGGTCGAGTTGGTGCGACAGCTGCAAGACGCGCTGCGCGTGGGTGTCAGCCCCTTGGCTTCTGCGTCGTCTGCAGATAGCCACAACGCGGAGAACGTTCCTCCTGGCCCTGCCCAACGACTACTACTACCGTCTCGAAGGAACAGCAAGGCTCGCAAAGGCACCACACCAGGAGGTGGTGATCAACACAGCGACGGTGCAAACGTGGCCCCGCCATCGTCCATTGTCCATCGTCTGCACGTACTACAGCATGAGTCGACGGAGCTCGCCAGCACGCGCTGCTTTCCTGCGCTGAAGCATCTCCTCTCCGCGTTTGAGTCGTACTGGAGTTGGAAGCGCACGCACATGCAGTGCGATAATGACGTGGCGGAAAGCGAAGGAGGAGGAGGCGGTGCGCAGTCGCGGCAAGGAAGATCGAATCAAAGATTGGACGTGAGCATGAAAGAGAGCGATAGTCGCGGAGAGCGTAAGAAGGACAGCTTTCCTCTTTCCGCTGCCGAAGCGTCAGCATCGTCGCTGCGTGCGCGCTACGACCACGTTGTCCGCGTGCGCGATGAATTGGAGAGCTTTCTGCAGCTGCACACCGAGGCCGTGCGCGCCCTGCCGCCGTACCTCCACCAATGGACGCTTCCAGAAATGACCACACCGCAGGAGTCACGACACACGTCCTCCATTCCGCAGTTCTACCTCTACGTAGAGGAGCTGCTGGAGGTGACGCAGACGGCCCGACACGTGGCGCGCCTTTTGCAGACGGCGTTGACTGCGTTGTGTCGCCCATCGCCGCGAAGAGTTCAACGGAGTCCGCGTCCGCCGTATCATCCACGAGCAGGCGAACTCAGCGTTGACGGTGTCAGCAAGGGTGACGGCAGAGACGAAGGAGTCGATTTCTCAACCCGACCGGCGCTGTCTGTCCACACGGGTGGTCAGCCTTTTCAAAGCAAAAGCAGCAGCTGCAGCAACGGTAAGGAGGTCAGCGGTTCCGTGGCGCGTAATCATGGTCGGCCTTCGACGTCTTCACCGGGCACAAAGCAGACGAAAAGTCCAAGTCCGCGTACCCCCTCCAGTCAACGAGCAGCAGCAGCGCAACAAGAGTCCCCTTCTACCGCAGCGGACGATGCTCTTGTCACTCCCAACGACCACAGTTATCTAAAAGACGACAACGCGTGGGTGGGAGTGCTTTCCCCCCTCACACCGCCACCGCCACCGAATTCCAGTGTCCCTGCTCATCTGGCTGTAGGGACCGACGCAACGCCATCGTCACCAGACTCGTCCCCTCCTCTGCCGATGTCGGCGCCTGACCAGCAGGATTCACTGCACCGACAACGGCACCGTCATCATCATCATCGCTGCCGCGCGCAGGACGGAGAGCCCGTATTCCTGTCCGCCACCCCCACGCCAACGGCTGCTCTGTTCGATGCGGCGGCGTCGCCTTCGCCCTCCCCAACCGCCACCGTCTCCGTTTCTCCGATGACGGCGGTGCGTCGCGGCGGTCCGAAGGATACGACGACCGCGGACGTGGAGGGATGCAGGGACGACGGCGACGGCGCTGGTGGTGGTCGCTCTCGTGCAGCCTCCCTCGCCAACGCGTCCTCCTACGCAAAGAGCAGCAGTACGGCGGCCTCGACGCCGTCACCGCCTCTTTCCTGGTCGGCGAGGTTTGTATCGGCGGCTGTATCCCCCGCCCCCGCCGCGCGGACACTCGCGGACGGGAAGCGTAACGCGGAGAGACGCACCACTGCTAACGGCAGCGGCGACACGCGGTCACTTTTGCCTGAGTTGGCATCCGCGCAGGGTGACGAGGTGGAGGTGGAGGTGGTAGTAGAGGAGGGCACTGCGCTTCTTCACGAGCAACGCGAACCGACAAACACCTTCGGGCGAGGAAGCGCAAAGCGTAGCGACATGGAGACTGCTGTTGCGGCTGCTGCCGCTGCGGTGTTCTTTTCATCTGACGGACGGCGCTCCGCCTCTCCCCGCTCACCGTCCATCTCCAACGCCTACACGCGTGCTGCGGAGTGGAGTAGAAGTCGTTCCTCTGTGTCGATGGAACGCAGTATCCCACGAGGAAGGAGCGGCGTGAGAGCAGAGGAGGTAGAGGTGGAAGTGGGAGAGTCTGCTGCGGGCAGCGTCGGCCGTGCGGCGTCGATACCGTCGTTTTTATGGCCGCAATTGGCTGCGACGGCTGCTGCTGCAGAGGGCGGAGGTGGCGCGGGGAGGCAACGGACACCGTCGGAGCAGCGAAGCGAAGCGGAGGAGGTCTCAGGAAACGAGAAGGAGCAAGATGATTTATTCTTCACGAGCAACGGCGAGTCAGGCACCGTGCTCGCTCCCACTTCCGCACCAACGGGCGTCGACAACGGTGATTTCTACACGTCCTCCTCGAAGCTTCAAACGGAAAGGGAGGCGAAGCCGCTTTCACCGTCTCCGGAGAAGGCGGCAACAGCTTTCCCTTCCCGCTCCGCATCGCAGCCAGACATCCACGCTGACACGCCGACCACCGCACCAACAAAAGACACACGTGTTCTTCATAGCGGCAGCAGCAGCGATAGAGTAGAAGTAGCGGCTCTGGAGAAGGAGGCTGCGGAGATCCAAGCAATGCTGCAGCAGCAGCAGCCCGAGAGGACTGTGAAGCTTCACCGGCCGAGTCGTCGGTCAGCGCCGTCACGATCGTCGGGTGTTGATTCACAAACATCGTCGCCATCTGCCTCCTCTTCCTCCTCTTCGCCTTCCTCCGAAAGACGGCCACGTTCACGCAGCGGCCATCGCAGTCGCCGGTGTCAACGTCGTCATCGTCGTCGTCGCGGCAGCAGCGGCAGCAGCACAAGGGAAGAGAACCGTCATCTCGAGTCTGTCCTGCATCGAGAGCTGGCGACCATCCGAGCAGAGCAACGCCACAGCCTGGAAATGATGCAGCGAGACATGCGCAGAACGCTGGACGAGGTTGTGTCACTCGCTACCACGGCAGCGTCGAGCAGTCGGGCAAGTAGTTGCCACAGCACCGATGTGGAGGCGGAGAAAGCGAAGCTGCACCGCGACGAGGAGCGGGACACGCATGGGGACGAGGGGCGAACAAAGCTAGAGAGGTCAAACGGGAAATTGAACATACAGAGCGGCATATACACCCGCACCGCTTCTCCATCTGATCCGCTTCCGAGTTCTGCGGAGGCGGAGACGGAAGCGGCGGTCCTTCGAGAGTCGCTCGCCGCCGCTCAGGCCCGCGCAGAACGGCTGGAGCAGCGCACCATTCAGTTGAAGAAGCGCCTGTGGCTATCGGAGTTTTCAGGCGACGCCTCAGGGATGAACACGGACAAACGGAGCGCTGCTGCACCTTCCCTAGAAGAAGAAGGCGGCAGCCACCGAGGTCATCTCTCGTTGCGTGACGCCTTCGTGTTTGGCAGCTCGCGGACACCGCAAAGGCAGCGCGACGCATCTCGTGAACGAGACGCCGCCGCAGAGGAGCCGCTGGCGGAGGAAAACGCGTTGCTTTACCTGGTGGACCGCGCTCTTGCGGAACGGCGTGGCAAGCGAGAGGGTGCCGTGCACGTTGACGACGTATACAAGAAGATGAGCGCGCTGCAGACGACACCGCTCAAGGCTTTTTCGTCTTCTTCCCCTTCTCTTCTCACTACTACGTCGCAAGGCGTTACAATGACAGCGACGGCGGAGGCAATTAACGAGCGTACCGGCATTCACGCGTCTCCCTCACCGCTGAAGTGCTTCGACGACGTGGACGACGTGCCATGGCATCAGCGACACACGCAAACCGTTCTCCTACCGGCCGGCCGATCGCCTCGCATTCGACAGCAGCGCGCGTCCATCTTTCAGCGCCTACGCCACAGCGATGACGGCGTGAGCACTACCTTGCTTTCCAATGACGGTGCTGCTGCTGGTCCCGTTCCTGCAGTACGAAAGGAGCTGTCCCAGTTAGGCGGCCCGACGTCTGATAGCAACGGTGAAGAGGGAAGGAGAGGAGAGCCGGCGCTGCTGCACCCGCCACCTCCCGTGCGGCCTCTATCTTCTACAAATGTGGATAATGCAAATAATCCGGCGTCCAGTGGAGCGGCAGCGGCCCTCCGTTCAAGCTCCACACACCCGTACAGCCACTCTACCGACGGCGCACCACCTTACCTGCCTCCTCATGATCTTCGCAGAGCACAGCCTCATCCACCTGTCATGGGTGCAGCCAGCGGCTCTTTGTACTACGCATCCATCTCCAACAGCCACCACGCACCAAGTCCGCCCCATCGTCCAGAGGAGATAAGCGGCACCGCACTACGCGCCGAACAGGTGTTGAAAAACGCAAGGCGACTGCTGCAGAGGCGCAGCGATGCACACACACGCAGCCGCATCATAGCCGAGGATGGCAGCAGCTGTCAAGCAACGGGAGGCGCGTATGCTGTGCCATGTCAAAGTGCAGAGGCTGTGGAAGGGGAAGAGGGACGAGCACCTCTGCGACCGACAGCATCTGTTCCTTATCTTGCCAGCCCATCGTGGCCCATCGCCAGCGAGGGCGACTCTCTTCCCTTTCCTCCTCCTCCTCCGTACACCGCTGTTATGAGAGCGTCGTGCGCTGCGCCACAGCCGCCGGTGCCACCTCCAACGGCAGCGCAGAGCCCGCCTCCACACCCGCATGGCGGTGGGACTGAACAGCGCCGCCGTCCCTCACTCGAGCACTCCCCGCAGCACAGCATGACGATGGCCTTCAACATGGGCAAGTTGCAGTCGCCTTCGAGTGGGGCGCAGTACTTCGGCTACGACGCGTCTCCGTGCTCGGCGGTCGCCTACTCCAGCAGCAAAGCGCCACGCGCGCCCCCGCATCCTCATCATCGCCGCAGTGACGAAGGGACTATCAATGAAGGGTGGCCTGCGGTAGCGGAGACGTACCGTGACGGGGCTGCTATCTCTTCCTCCCCTGCGTCGCACCGCGCTCCATCGCCGAGTAGCGAACGCCGTCCTGAAGAGCGCGTGGACAGCGCGACGTCTCCCATCTCCTCCCCCGTAAGCTCTCGCGAACAGCGTCGTTCAGCTGTAAAGGCGAGCAGTGATGCGCGGACCCATGACGGCTCACGGAGGGCGGTATCTCCATCTCCGTCGCCATCGCTGTCAGCAGCCGATGAGCATTTGCGCCAACTGCGCAGTCGAACTTCCTTGTTGCAGCGCGATGCGTCGACAGGCCAGCGGTCCACGCGTGCGGCACCTTATGGAGCTACGCGCGACGATCGACGAGCTCCATCTTCGAGTTATTCTCAATATGCTGAAGAAGAAGAGAAGAGACATAGAGACGTACCACAGAACGACTTTATTCATCCCCGTCGTCGCAGCAACGACCGACAGATTCGGTGGGAAGGCGAGACGACCGCAGCGTCGAGTCGAACGGCAAGCCGCAACTCGTCCCTGTCATCGCGCGGATCGGCACAGGAGGAACTGCTTGACAAACTAAATCGGCAAGAATCGCTGCTCCAACACGCCTTGGCGCATCTGCGCACGCAACAGCACCAGCTGTGTGACAAGCGAAGCGAGGTGACGAGGCTCGCAGCCGCAAAGCGTCGGTCCGCGGGGCACGGTGGAGCGCCAGCTGCACGTGAGAAGGGGGCGGCGAGAGGTACGAAAGCTAGTACGGTTAACGGTGGTAGTGGTGGTGTTTCGCTCTCACCGCAGCTGGAGAAGTTATCAGAGCTGCTGCAACGCCTCGACGCCGCGAAGGACAAGCTGGCGGAGAAGGAGAGCAGAGTGCAGCAGGCGGTGCGGGCTATTCAGCGGCAGAGGGCAGCTCTCGTGAGTGACGACTTTCTTTGAGCAGGAGGGGCATCGAGAGAGAGAGAAAAAGATGGAGAGAGGTGGAGGTTGAAGGGAAAGGGGCCGGTCTCACTTTGGGGTTTTTCTGATTTTTGGGGTTTTCGCTTGGGCTTGACGTGAGTTACGGCAGATCAACGGCAGATCAACGGGACTCGCCCCACACACCAAAGATGTTAGTGAAGGCGACGCCAAACCCATACAAATTCCCCCTTCCCCATCCAACAATAAAAAGAGGTTATGAATTGGTGCCGCGGTGCAGCGAAAGAGAGAGAGAGAGAGAACAGGGAGGAAGCGACGTTGGAGAAGCGAAAGCGTACTGCTGATGGTCACCTCCATTACAGGAGGGAAAAACAACGTCGCCGTTAAGGGTCGGTTTGACCCTGAACTGCAAAGGCTCGCAGCGCACCCCGATCACTAGTCTGCCGTGCCGTTGGAGCGCGGCAGGCCGCAGGCGCCTCCATCGTTTTCCTTCACGGCGGAGGAGCTAAAAGAAGAAGCGGAGCTTCGTTTTTTTCTTCTCTTTTCTTCTTCTTCCGTTTAGAGAATACGATGCTTTAGTTCACTACTACCCTTTCAATTCGGTCTGCTTCTGCCGGCTTTCTTTCCCACTTTCAGCGAAGCGTCGAGAACTAGTAGATAAAAGGAAAGGAGAAGTTCACACTGCCTGAGCAGTCGTGTCACGCAAGGCGGGTGACCTGCAAGGCATTTGCTGGCTCTTCTTTCTCCTCCCCCCTCCCCCCTTCCCTTTACCCGCCCGCTCGCTGGGTCCACCATTACTAGACACGCTTAGATCGACTTTCATACGGATAGAACAATATAGCAGAGCCAATAGAACCCCTTCACTCCATACAAAGGACCTCCAGCACTGTCATCGGCAGCATCCCCCCTTTTTTCTTCTTAAAACTGCTTTGCTTGTAGAAGAGTAGAACGGTCGATCTAGAACGGCGGTTGTGTGTCTCGTGTGCCGATACGTGTTTCGAAATACGTATATATATATATTTACGCGATGCCTCGAGAGATCGTCACGGTGCAGGTGGGCCAGTGCGGCAACCAGCTCGGCCTCCGCTGGTTCGATGTGATGCTGCAGGAGCACAAGGCCTACCCGCAGTACCCCGAAGCCCGCGACGCTGTGTTTCTGCAAGACCGCCAAAACAAAAATGCACTCAAGGCTCGCTGCGTTGCGGTCGACATGGAGGAAGGCGTCCTGCAGTCGATGCTGCGCGGCCCGCTGAAGGACATTTTTGACTCGAACTTCTTCGTCTCGGACGTTAGCGGGGCGGGCAACAACTGGGCCGTTGGCCACATGGAGTACGGCGACCGCTACGTCGACTCCATCGCGGAGTCGGTGCGGAATCAAGTGGAGCAGTGCGACTGCATTCAGTCCTTCTTTGTGATGCATTCGTTGAGTGGCGGCACGGGCTCTGGGTTGGGGACGCGGGTGCTTGGCATGCTAGAGGACGAGTTCCCCCACGTCTTTCGCATCTGTCCGGTGGTGTGGCCGTCTGAGGTGGACGACGTAGTGACCGCCCCCTACAACAGCTGTTTCGCGCTGAAGGAGCTGGTGGAGCACGCGGACTGCGTGCTGCCCATCGACAACGACGCGCTAGCCCGCATGGCGGATCGTGCGCTGGGTGGTCGCAGAGGCCAAGGCGTCATTGCGAACGGCGTCCCCCAACCGCACGCCTTCTCCGCCGCCCAGCCGACCACCACCCGCGGGCTCCCCTTCGACTCCATGAACGGGCTGGTTGCCCAGCTGCTGAGCAACCTCACCTGTGCGATGCGCTTTCCCGGGCCGCTGAACATGGACATGAACGAGATCACCACGAACCTCGTCCCCTATCCCCGGCTTCACCTCTTGACCGCGGCGATTGCGCCGCTGAGTGTGTCGAGCAAGCACGCAGCAGTCGGGCCGCGCTCGGTGGATGCGATGATCACGGCGTGCCTCGAGCCGGCGCACCAGTTCGTTGATGTCCGCCACGGCGAGGGGAGCGCGGTGACGCGGGAGGCCGGGATGACGCTGGCGACTGCGTTGATCGCACGCGGGCCGCAGACCACCATCGGCGACCTTACGCGAGGCGTCGTCAAGTTGCATGAGCAGATGGAGATGCCGTACTGGAATGAGGATGGCTTCAAGACGGCGCTGTGCGGGGTGAGTCCGCTCGGGCACAAGGACTCCATGCTGCTCCTGGCGAACAACTGCGCGATTCGTGGCAAGGTGGAGAGCATGCTCTCGAAGTTCGAGCGGCTGTATTCGGTTCGTTCGCACGTGCATCACTACGATCAGTACTTGTCCCCCGCTACTTTGCGAACACGATGGAGACGCTGCACACGCTGGTGGACGACTACGCGTACCTGGACACGGCCCCGCCGCCGAAGGATGCTCCGCGCTCCATGAAGGACTTGGTGTATCTGTGAGGAGGACGCACTTTGCAGCATGGATGGTGTTGTGACTCCCATCTCCCTTATATTTTTCTTTAGGGGTGAGTGGGTGGGTGGGGCGTTGTTTTCTTGCTTCACGCACGTTACCGCGTAGAGTTCAATGAAGTGTAATACGAAGAGAAGTTGGGCCGGCAGTCGGCTGCGAGTTTGCTTCCTTCGCAGTTCCATCAACAACGACAACAGTCAGTGAACGATACTGTTTGCGCGCTCGAGTGTTTTTTCCTGTACCCCCGTTGACGAGCGCGTCGTTGTCCTTTGCTTGTGCGACGTTGCTTCTCATTGCTGCTCTTCCTCTCACTGTTGTCTCACTGTTGTCTCACCGTTGTCTCGCACCGGGGTTTTTTTTTTGGCTTATCGTTTGAGTTGAACTCCGCCTTTCTCCACCATTTCCTCGTATTATACTAATAATGGCTACTAGTTCGATCCGTGTACATCCGCAGCCAAGGAAAGGAAATCGAAGGAGAACAGCTACGGCGAGTTCCTCTCCAGAGAACTCCTTTATTCATCCCCCAACTTCTCCGCATAGTATTTGTAAGTTAACAAAGGAGGAAAGACACAGAAGGTTTTGAAGCTAGGGAAGCGCGAACCATGACTACCTCCTACGCCTCGTCATCGGCTGGCGTGGGAGCTCCTCTTGCCGGAGGCCAACGCCCGACCACCGAAACGCACGTCGATGTGAAAGACCTGCAGGAGGCGATACTTCAACTCCTCCCCACACACCACACCGGTGAGGGCCCCTTCTACGTGGAGGTAAGCGGCCCGGCGGACCCTTCCGAGACGTTAATTCGCTACGACATCCCGTACGCACCGGGCGACCCAAAGCGTTCGCTGAAGCTGCGCCGCAGTCACGGCCTCGGCGCAGAGGAGCGCGTCGTCGACCCGAATGTGCGCGTTGTCATCGACAGCTTCATCACGCCCCGTCGCTGGGTGGACGCCGAAACCGGTGTGATGTGGGTCCAGCACGCGAGCGCGTTTGTATCGTCGCGGATTGAGGCGGCGGAGACGCAGGCGCGACTGCACGAGCAGCTCGCGGCCCATCAAGCCCGCACCACCGGCACGAGTCCCATCCGCTCCCTCCTCGTGGCGGAGTGCATCTTGGAGGTGCTGCGACAGGTGACGGCGGAGTGCTGGGAGCGCGGGCTGCTGCTGCTGCACGTGCACTCGGAGCGAGTGGCAGCGCAGGCGGCGCATCGTCGCTTGTTTGAGAGCCGCGTGGGGCACGCCTTTCGTCTGGCGCTGAAGGGCGAGAAGGACGTGGCGAAGGTCGAGGAGGACATGACGCAGCTGCGGCAGCGCGTGGAGCTGCTCGAGCGGGAGGAGGCGGAACTGCGACAGAAGTGCAACGAGTTTGAGGCGTACGCGGAGGAGCAGTTGCTGATTGCGAATAAGAAGCACAGCGACGCGCTCGTGAAGCTGAAGAAGGAGGGGGCACTGAAGCGGGCGCAGCTGGAGCAGCAGCTTGTCATTCCAGCAAACCTTCAGTAACTCTCTCTCTTTCTTAAGATACTCGCTACTCCTCCGTTTTTCCCTGTTTGCGCCACCGGTGATTTGCAGGGGACCTTTTGCCCTACGAGCGACGGCGTTGATGTACACTAGTGTTCTTATTGTTGTTACTACGCTCCTTTTGAGCCGCCCCCTTCATCAACAGAAGAGAACGAGAAACATAAAAAAGATCTAAAGGGAAAAACAAAAATGCAGTGTGACAGCCGTGTTGTTGCTGATGTAACGTGGATGCCTTCGGTGCCTTGCTTACACATGAGAGAGCTGCAACAGGATGATGTTATTAGCTCTGCCGCTTCACGGCTTCCCTAAGACAGGCCGTATGAAGCGCTTCTGTACATCAATCGAGGGTCCCGAAAAGTAGATCTTTGAGGCACATACGCCTGCCTCGAAGAAGAGAAAAGAAGAACAGCGTGCTCGTTTATACGGCGTGCTATTCAACCTTCTTGACGTCGACTCGGAAGAGAAAGAAAAATGCCTTCAAACCCTTCCTGCTCTTTCGTTCTCAATACCTGACGTGCACGCGTGCTTTCCCTCCGGTGCATCGCACCCCCCAAAAAATAAATAAAATAAAATACACATCGGTAGCAGCAGCAGAAAATTGGCATCCGAAAACGAAACGCCACTAAAACGGGAACCTGCTATCCTTACCTAAGCCTGAGCTCTCCTTTTTTCGTTGTTCATTTCTCTCTCTCCTCGTGCCTGCTGTGCACCGCCGACTGCGTTGCTTTCCGCGAGCTATTATTATTACTATTATTGCTGTTGTTATTAGTACTATTTTTTCCTCTTTGCTGCTTGTGTGTGTTTGTGTGGTAGACACACAACATAGATTAGAGCGGTCTTATTCGTCTGTCTTTGTATCCTGTTGTTTGCATGCATGTATGTGTACGTGTGGGGGGTGAATGAATCGGCATGTAGATAGAACTCTGCTGATTTGTTGTTTAATACTCTTCTTCCTCTCTTTTTCCCATTGCCCCATCCACCGTATCTGGGCCACACCGAGAAGGGCAGCGATACATTAGAGCGGATATATATACACATAGAGACGATGTTGCGTGAGCTTCGCCGCCGCAAGCAGCAGGTCGCGGACAAGATCGGCCACGAGGAGTACATCTACCGACTCAACGGTGACCCTTTTAGCGGCCAGCAGGAAATACACGTACGCCCGCAAGGCAACTTCGACCCTCGCAGGGGTGCCGGCGCAGGCGGTGGTGGTGGTGGTGGCGGCGGCGTTCGACCGCCCTTTGCGGTGGACGGCGACGACGACGGTGGCGGTAACCGCGGCAACGGTCGCCGTGCTGCTCCGCTGAACCCCATCACAGGGGCTCCCGCGGCCGGGGCCGGAGGAGGGGGCTGCAACAACGCCGATAATAATGCCGGTGCAGCCCTGGTCCCACTCCGCCGTGACAACAACAACCCAAATCAAAATTACGTTTCCCCGTACGGGGCGCCAGCGGTGGGCAACCATTATAACGGAGGCGGCGGGTACCCCGCAGCGCTGCAGCCCGTCGTGAGCGCCTTCGCGCCTGTCATGCCACCGATCGCACCGGTCGGGGAGTTGCCAGGCCCGCTGCCCCCCGTCTTCCGACCGAAGCCGCCCCTCACGTTCCACACCAACGGCCTTGGCCCATCCTTTCCTGTTCCACCGCCGGTGTACTACGCTGGAGGTGGGGGCGACAACAACGGCTGCCCTGCTGCTCCGATGCCGAACTACGGACCCTATAATAATAACAACGGCGGCGGTGGTGGCCGCGGGGACGGCGCGCGGCCGAATACAAGCCCCACGGTGCTGCCCCCCATCGCGCCGAACCGTGCCGGGGGAGCTGGAGGGGGGATGGACCACGACGGCAACAATATGAACCCCAGAGGTGGTCGTAGCCCACGCCCCAGCACCAGCGGTGCCCCCGCCCCCGCCGGCAACCTCATCGTCGGCAGCAGCGGCCTCTCTGAGGTGGAGGAGCGCTACCGTGAGAAGATGGCGGCGCGTCAGCGAGCAATCGAGCTGCAGCAGGAGAATGCACGTCAGATGCTGGAGCAGCAGCAGCGTAAGCAAGCGGAGCGGGAGCGGGAGATCAAAGAAGATCGTGAGGCGGAGAACCGGCTGCGGCGGGAGCGCGATGAAGTGGCGCGCCGGGAGCAGGCCGAGGTCGACCGCGAAAGGCGCGAGCGGGAGGTGAAGATGATGGGGCCCGACGCGGCGGCGGCGGCGCTGGAGAGGGAGCGGGAAGAGACGGCGGCCCGGCGGGAGGCGGAGGCGGCGGCACGGCGCAACAAGGGCAAGTCGTCTCCCACATCACCGCAGCCGAAGGGGGACGAACCCTCTGTGAATGCAGCACCGTCTGAGGCGAATAAAGCGTCGGACACACCACCGAGGTCCAAGAGCAGCGACGCGGAGGCTACGCCAGCGCCGCCTCAACCAACTCCCATCGATCAGCGCAACCCCATCAGCTTCAGCTCCGCCTTCCGCCCTGCTCCACCACCGGTTCTGCCAACGCAGCCGGAGATGCACGCCGCGCAGCAGTACTTCGCAGGCATCGGCCTGGGCGGTGCGGGCTTCGCTCTCCCACCCCCTGCCCCTCCCCCGTCGCCCACGCCCCTCTCCTACGCCACGAACCCGTACGTCCTGCAGCAACGACAGCAGAGCATTCACTTAGAGAGCAATGTGATTCACGAGGAGCTGCGGCACATCGCCCTGCTGCTAGAGGCCCAGCAGCTGAACAGCGCCATCGCACACAACACCCCACCACCGCCGCAGCTGTGGGGGGCGGGATCGCTGCCGTCGAGCGCGGCAGGGGCGGGGACGTACCTCACGACCGGTCTGCCCTCCCCCGTGTACAATGTTACCCATAACAACAGTAAAGGAGGAGGTGCTGCTGCGGGCCTTCATCAGCCGGGCAGCGGCGGGCTTCGAAGTTCTCCGGCGACTCCAGGCTCCTCACCGTCTTACGCGTCCAACGGTGGTACTCCCTACCGTTCCTTTATGGCGGGTGGGTCGCTGCCGCCGCCGCCGCTGGCCACCGCCGTCCCCCCACTTCTAGCCTCCTCGTTGCCATCCGCGCAGTACGCCGCAGCCCGCTCATCGGCCACCGCCTTCACGCCGGGCGGTCAGGGTGGGGCTCCGTGGCAGGGTCTCTTCTCCGCCTCGGCGGCCTACCCCAGCAACGGCAACTATGCCAATAACAGTTTTCTTGGCAGTTACCGCGGCGACGGTGGCGACTCGGAGCTCGGGATTGAGCCGTCGCACTTCGTCATGCCAGCCGCCGCGCCGCCAGCGTCTTTTATCCCTGCTGTTGCTCTTGCGGCTCCTCTTCCAGAAGCGGCAGCGGCAGCCGCTGCTGCTCCGAATGCTGCGGCGAATGGGCCGTCCGCCTCGTCTTCGATGGGAGACCTCACCTCCCCCACCCAGGCAGGCTCAAAGGAACGGCCAGGGACGGGGAAACCGGCCAGCTCCCCCTCTCCTGTTCTTCCTGTCCCTCTGCCTCTCTCTTCGGCTGCTGCTGCTGACCCGCCGGCTGAAAAGGCAGAGAAATCCGATGCGACGTCCACGACGATCTTCATCAGCGCCCCCGCGGCGGCGGCGCCTGTTGCTGCTGACTCGTTGGACATGGAGCTGGGACCAGGCCCTGCGCCGGCGATGGCGAGTGAGGAGTCCTCGGTGCGCGGCGCCACTCCGCTGGCGGCAGCAGCGACGGAGGCGACGGAGATGTTGAAAGCGGGCAAGCAGACGAGGTCGGAGGCTGCTGGACGGCCCCCTGCACCATCATCGCGGCCTCCACGCGCAGCCGTTATGGAACCGCCGGTGGTGATCTTGACGCCACGGTCGAAGGAAGAGGAGGCGAAGGAGGAAGATGAACTGTGAGATGGTTAGGTCACTACTACTACTACTACTACTATTGTTTATTTACTGTGTTCTCATATGGATCCTTCTTCCAAGTTCAATTCACCTTCGGATGTCGCAGGCTCTTCTCTGTGTGAAGTTTGTTTTTAGGCAGTGAAGTCTATTTGTTTTGCTATGCTGTTCTCTTGTTGTTCTCTTACTGTTCATGTACTTGTATTACACTTACCATTGCCGAATATTATCTTCCTCTCTCTCTCTTTTCGTTTTTCTTTTAAAGATTTAGAGTACACTCCTCATCGACACGTGTGCTGCCGCTTACATTACAATTTCGCTGCCCTTTCAAAATGGAAGGTTATCTCGTTTCATTTGTCTGCCGCGTCGCCGTCCGTCGCCTGCTTTTACGCCGTCAATCTTCAATGCATTTTGATATTTATTACTTCAAAACGCGTACCTTCGGCATCTCGTTTGCCGTTTCAATTCTTTCCAAAAGAAAAAACGAAGAAATCCCTCTTCTTCTCTTCCCCCCCTTTTTTTTTGCCTTGCCTACAACAGTAGTGAAGACATCTACTGGGGAGATGCCGCGTAGCGGTCATCACCGACGATGAAGGTAAATCAAAGAGAGCGCGGGAGAGAGGGAGAGAGAGAGGAGGGGGAACAGAAACTGTGTGAGGAGAAGGAAGTAATTGCCGCAAGATAGCTGGTCCGCGTAGCGCCAAGGCTCTTGCAATACGCGTCCTTTCAATTGACACACACTTCTCTCAGGCTGGCGCATGTTGCCCTTCGATGATGATGGTGCTTTGCAGTTAAAAAGAAAGAAAAATGAATGGATGAATGATCTCCCACTTATACCATTTTTACGTCTCCGCTTCTCCCCTCTTCTTTTGGTTTTGTTCTTCAAACTCCTTTGCTTTTGCACGTTGTGCCCTCCTACGGACGCCGCTGTTTGCCACTCACTCGTAGCCCAATAATCGTCGCGGAGGTGCTGCTTGCGGATCTCGCTCCTACAGACACTTCTACTCCTTTTCCCCCATTTGCATCTCCCTGCCCGAATAGCGGCGAAGAGACGTCAAGAAAGATTAAGAAAAAGAAGAAGAGTTGCGGAACAACAGCACGCGAAACAACTCAAGCTTTTCTCTTCCTCCTCCTTATCGTGTTTAGGGGATTCGGACGAAGAAGCAAGACACAAGAGCAAGTGGACGTGATACACCCAGCGCATTTTGGTTATATATATTTCTTTGTTTTACTTAGACGCACATGAAACTCGCGAAAGAAAAGTCTGTCGCCATTTTTGTTTCATATATTTAGCTTCCTCCACGCTTTCTCTCCCCCTTTTTTTAAAATTTTGTATCCCCTCACACAGTCTTCCTCGTTGGTGTGTGTTTTAACTTCTTCTGCCTTTGCTGTCACTTGTATTAGATTTCGTTGATTTTTGAGAAGGAGGAGGAAACCGCGGCCGCCGCGCGCACGTACGTCCACACACGCCTGCAGCTCATTGCTTCTCGTGTTCACGCCGTCTCTCCATCGCGTTCTTTCTTTCGGCTCTTTTTTGTTTGTAAAGGATAACTTCTCTAGATACCTTTTTTTATTTGATTTTCTTCTGTCTTTCCATTGTGTATAGACAAGACGCAAACTGTCTCGCAACCATGACACACAACAACACGGCTTCTCACGGCGCCGAGGAGTACCCGGACGATGGCCACATCTTTGTCTGCGTGCGCGTCCGCGACGTGCCTCACAACACTGCCTGCCTGACCAACAGCAGCAGCAACGTGAACAGCGGCACCCGCACCTCCACCGTCGTCCGCAAGTCGATGGTGCGCGATGCGCAAAAGATCTGCGTGTCTGTGGTGGAGAACGTTGTCGTGATGCACGACCCGAAGGCACTCGACGACGCCGCGACGGTCGCGAAGGACGGCAACAACGTCGTGCAGCTGCTCACGGACCGCGCGAATCGCATGAACGCCGTCGGGCGTCCGTCACGCAAGACGAACGGCGGCGGCGCTGCGGCTGGTTCGGCGATGACGCGCACGAACTCGCGCCGCACCTCAACCCTCGGTGGTGGAGGCGGCGGACGTGCCTACGGCCCAGGCAACTCTCTCGTGCCCACCGGCACAGCGAACTACTACGAGTGTGATCGCTGCATTGCGTCGATGGAGCAGCCGCAGCTGCTGCAAATGCCGCTGATCCGCACGAGCGATTTCCTCCAGCCCCCTCCGTACGGCACGCAGGAGGACGTGTACCGGCACACCGCGATGCACGCGGTGAAGGCAGCGGTGGAGGGCATCAACTCGTGTGTGTTCGCCTATGGCCAGACCGGCAGCGGGAAAACCTACACGCTGTTCGGTGACACGACAAACATCCGCCGCGACCCCGGCGTCGTGCCGCGTGCGGTGGACGACCTCTTTCGTCAGCTGGAGGCAGTGAAAGAGTCGTACCGCGGCAACGAGGAGACGGACTACTCCTACAACGTTCAGCTGTCCTTCTTTGAAATCTACCAGAACGAGGTGTACTGCCTCTTCTCCCGCCAGGGCCCGCTGCACGTCCAGTTCCTGCGGGACCCGGCTGGCAAGAAAGAGACGATGACTATCAACGACCTGCAGCAGCAGACCGTCGCCTCGGCCGACAAGGCCTACCCGCTGATCGAGATGGGACTGCGTCGCCGGCAGACGGCCGAGACTGGCATGAACGCGCGCAGCAGCCGCAGTCACGCCATTTTGCAAATCCGTGTGGCGCAGTACCGCACCAACCGCGACACCCGCGAGACTGTCGAGCATCAAGCCACGATCAACCTGGTGGATCTCGCCGGCAGCGAGCGTCAGAAGACGGCGAACACGGACGGCAAGAGCCGCGACGAGGGCATCCACATCAACCAGTCACTCGCCACGCTGGCACGTGTCATCAACGACATCGCCGGTGGGGCGAAGTTCGTGAACTATCGTGACTCGCTGCTCACGATGGTGCTGAAGGACAACCTCGGCGGCAACAGCAAGACGTTCATGATCGCCAACATCTCGCCCATCTCCTTCAGCTTCTCCGAGTCATGCGCCACGCTGACCTACGCGAAGGACGTCCGGAAGATCCGCAACCGCCCCATGGTGAACAAGACCTTCCAGACCCGCACGAACCTGCTCGAGCAGAACTCCCGGCTCAAGCAGGAAAATGAAAAGCTGAAGGAGCAGATGGAGGCGTGGGTCCGAAATCTGCAAGGCGGCGGTGCCGCAGATGTGAACTGGGCGCAGGTGCCAATGTTCCGCACGATCCAACAACGCATTGCCTCGGCAGCGACGATGGGGAATGGCGGTTCGTCTCCCCCACCTCAGGATCAGCAGCATCCGCAAGGAAGAGCGATGATGCCCTTCTCCGTGTCGCAGCTGGCTGCCGGGGGCAACGACGCCTTCCTGTCCGCCACCAGCGCCGGGCTGACGGCACCGCTGCTCATCTCCTCGCACCGCCGCTACACCAGCGTGGCGGGCATCGGCGGCTCCTGCGTGGAGGGCGGCGTCGTGCGGGTCTCCGCGTTGGTGAAGGAGACGATGCAGTTCCCGCTGCGCTGCGTGCTCGATCCTGCCGGGGGCGGCGGCGTCGGCGGGACGAAGATCGTGGAGGTGAAGGACAGCGAAAAAGAGCCGGCGTCGCCCAATGGAGAGGACGAGCGGCACACGACCATTCTCATGGAAACCGACAACGACGATGATGGCGATGATGGTGAGGAGCACGCCGGTGGACATGGAAAGCGCCGTGCGAGCGCCTCTCCCGACGCAGTTCCTACCGACTTTCCGCACGACGGCGCTGCTGCTGCTGCTGTTGCGCCGAGCAACATGGCGGACCTCGGTGTGCTGCAGCTGGACCGCGTCGCGCTGCGCTCCTGTGAGCAGCGCTACTACGTCCACTTCGTACCCCCGACAACGGAGGACGGCATCGCCCGGCTGATTGACGTGCAGGTGAACGGCAAAAGCATCGGGGCGAAGAACCGGCGCGAGCTGCACCACGGCGACGTCGTGTGCGCCTATTTGGAGGACAGCAAGGACACGGCCGTGGGTCTGCGTGCTCAGAGCCTCGTCTCCTTCCACTACGTCGACCTCAACTCCCTGGCGCGCAACATGAACGGGGCTGCCCTCGGGTCGGCCACCACCTTGGGTCAGATCGCCGTCTCGGTGGACATCCCAGAGGACTTGGAGAACCTGACGCTGGAGGGCATCAAGCAGCTGCAGCGCGACAATGCGAAGCTGCTCGACATGGTACGCCAGCAGGCGGAGACGATCGACTTCCAGTGCGCCCGTGCGAGCGTGTCGCAGGCAAGTCGTGCAAATCTGATCGAGGGCATTTCCTCCATCGGCAGCCCGGAGAGCGTATCGCCCGATCCGCGGTCGGTGGAGCCGAGTCCGTCGGCCGTCATGCCACTCGAGCAGCGCACCGCCGTGGCCGTTGCGGAGGCCTTCCGTCGTCTGTCGGAGCCGCACGGTCTGCGCGGCGGGTCCGTCATGCCGGCTGACATCGCCGCGGACGAGCTGCTCCGTCGTGCTGCGGCGCAGAGTGCGTCGCAGCAGCGCCTGGACAGCGCGGTGAAGGAGAATGAGAAGCTGCACCGCACGGTGGTGTCGCGCAACGCGACGCTGGATGCGCTGGCGAAGCGGTTGGCGGAGCTGGAGGCGGGCGGTGATGACTATCAGCGGGACGTGTGCTCCTCCTCTTCGCGCTCATCATCGTCGTCTGCTGCTGATGCGGCGTCGCACAGGACCACCTCCTCCTCCCCCTCCTCCGTGAGTCTCAGCCCCTCGGCGGATTACGATGACAAGGTTGCGACGGTGGTCTGCCCACACGACAAGGAGGAGGTGGGTGTCAGCATGACGCGCGTCTCCTCGCCGTCCGCGACCCGCGATGCTTCAGAAAGTCCTCAGAAACACAAGAAGAAGCAGAAGGCTGTGCGAGTGTTGGCGGACGACGACGAAGACGACGAGGACGAGGAGGAGCCCATCGGCGATGGCAAGCGACGTGTCGTGTACGACAACACGGAGGGGGCGCGGGAGCGCTACGCGGCTGTGGTGCGCGAGCGAGAGCAGTTCGACCACATCGTGGAGCTGGAGGAGGTCATTCGTGATCTGCGCGAGCGCCTGGCGGAGTTGGAGAGCCGGCTGCGCTTTGCGAAGGACGAGACCCTCGAGCAGCAGATGTTCCATGAGCAGGCGGAGGCGGAGCGGATGGCGCTGCTCGAGGAACTCGACGACGCCCGCCGCGAGAACAACGAACTGCGCGGCGACAACGCCAGCCTCGAGGCCTTCCTCGCCAAGGATGAGCAGGCGCTTGCGGATGCAGCGCGGTTGACGGAGGAGGAGGTGCACCGCCAGACGTCGCTGCTGGTCGACCGCATTACCGCGCTGAAGGCGCTGGCGCGGATGTGGAAGCAGCGAACAATGAAGTACATCGCCATGTGCTACGGCGCGGGCGACGGCAGCGACGCGATGTCTGCAGCGGCGCACTTGGACGCCATTCCGTGGGACGACCTGCGCGCAGCAGAGACGGTGGCCATCGCGAAGAAGCGTCTCGGCGGCACCTCCAGCGGCAGCAGCTCCCCCGTCCATCACGGCGCCCGCAGCAGCGGTGGTGGTGGTGGTGTTTGCACGGCTGAGATGGCGCAGACGATCGAGGACTTCGAAAAGGACACTGCCGAGGAGAACCTGCGGGCGCTGGAGTACGCGCTGCTCGACTTTGAGCAGGAGAATCAGCGGCTGCAGGACGAGATTCGCCGCATTCAGGCTGAGTTGCAGCGCTTCAAGGATCTCATTGATCGCCTGCGGTCCGAGAAGACGGACATGGAGCGTCAGCTGGCCGACGCAACCGACGCGACGGACGAGGAGCGCCGCCGCATGCAACGCCTGCTCGACGACACGAACCGTCAGCTGGACGAGGCGGAGGGCAACTGGAAGGAGACGCAGGGCCGACTGGACGAGGCTGTGGCGCTGTGCGACAACAACAAGCGCAAGGCGGCGAAGAACAACGAGCTGCTCTTTGCTCAGCAGAAGCGCACCATCGAGGGCCAGGAGGCGCAGATCGCACGTCTGCGCAGCGACGTAGCCTCGAAGGACGAGGAACTGCGGAACCTGACGCAGTACATGGAGGACCACGACGCGCTGGGCGGCGATGGCGTGGCGAAGAGCTACGAGTTGCGCTCCCGCATTGAGGAGATGGTGGCGGACACGGCGGACGACTTCGACGCCCCGACCGGCTACTCCGTCTTCCCGGCTGGCTACGAGTTCTCCGACGAGATGGTGGCGCTCATTCGGATTTGTCTGCGCATCCTGCTCGATCGGCTGAAGATGGAGCTGTACGTGCTGAACTCGCAGAGCGTGCACAAGTTCAGCTTGCTGATCCACGCCGTGAAGGCCCGCACCGAGGCGCACTTCCACACTTTCATGCATCAGCTGCGCGACGCCGTGTCGCAGATGACCGGCCGCGTGGTGCGCCCGGGCGGGAAGTGGGGCCTGTCGGAGGCGGACGTCCTCGCCAACCTGGTCGACCACCGCCGGCGGCAGGTCGGCGACGCGCTGAACGGGCTGCTCATCTGGTACGATCATTGGGACAGCGCGCCCAAGATGGAGCACGTCGCGTACATGGAGCTGATCCGCAACGCAGACCGCATTCTCCAGATGGCCCGCCTCGTGCGCCGCGAGAGCCTACTCAACACAAACGCGACGTCAACGTCGTTGATGCCGGTGCCGGGCAAGAACATCTCCAGCGAGATGTCGCTCGTGGCGGAGGGGCCGAAGAGGAAGGATAGGTCCGTGAAAGACAGCTGCAAGATCCTGTCGCGGATGAACTCCTCAACGCGGCAGAGCAATTTGGCGCGTGCGGTGACGCAGTTCTCGGCCACGCCCTCGCGAGCCACCATCGCTGCGCGCGAGGACGCCAACCTCGGTGGGGTGGAGAGCACGCCCTTCAGCCGCAGTGCGACAGCCACGGCCCTGGTGCTGTCGCAGAGCATGATCCCCTTCAGTCGCTCCGCCACAGCGACCCGTGGCAGCGTGCAGCCGCCGTCGCAGCAACAGCAGCAGCACGCAAACGCCTCGACGCTGTCGCACCAGACCGGCGGTGTGTCACCGGCGCATGGTGAGAATGGTCCGACCTTCACCCGCTGCCTCTCCGGCCTGCCGCGGCCGTCCGCCACGGCGACGCCGTCGAGCTTTGCGGCGGTGTCGACGCCGATGCGACCGACCAAGTCGAACGCGGGCGAGGCAACCGTCACGAGCCACGCCATCGCCGCTGGCGCCCCCTCCCCTGCCGCCGCTGCGGCGCGTGCGAATTACACCCGGATGGCCTCGGCCGGGGTGCTGCCGGTGTCCGAGGCGGATGTAGCCTATGTGGCCACCACCGACGTCGCTGAGGCGGTGTCGATCAACTCGTACAACTTCTCGCGTCGCATGTCGGCCACGCCGGCGGAGATGGCGGAGCGCGGCGAGCCCGCTGCCTCCGCGGCGCGGCAGCCGAACCACCCATTTTCACGCTGCCACACCTCCATTCCTCAGTCTCAGCGACCGCCGCAACAGCACCAGCCGCAGCAGCGGCAGCAACGGGACTCCACGCAGGCGCTGCGCCGACTGTCCTCCGCCGTACCGCTGCGAACACGCGTGAGCGGGACGGGTGGCCCCCGCACGAGCCAACGACGCCCAAGCGACGCGAAAGCCACGGAGGCGTTTGCGCGCTCCAAGACGCAGTACCATCCCCAGCCCGCGCACGGTCGGCTGGCCCGTAGAGGCTCCGACTTGGCGTGTCGCGACAGCGTTGGCAGCGGGGCGGCCTCGCCGAGCGTGCGCGGGTCGTTGCAGCACTCTACGAATCTGTCCGGGTTTTGCTTCCCGTCGTCTGGCCGCCGGCAACAGGGGTCGGGGTCCGACTCGCGGACAAGCCAGCGGCGGTCCAGCATGCTGCACAACTCCCTCACGAAGCCGCCCGCTGCGGCACCCTTCTACAGCCCCGCTGTCCTCCGGTCGTTGCGGGAGCGGAGCACGAGTGACGCAAACCGCGCAAGTTCCGCGGCCGCTGGCGGCGGCAAGCTGATGGGGAGCAAGAAGAAGGCGGCGAGCCCGACTGCGACTGGGGCATCGAAGCCGTTCAGCCGTACGAGCAGCGATGTGCCGAGTAAGAAGAAGGTCGGCGGGAACTCGGCGGCCTTTCAGAAGACGCAGAGCGCACCGCGAGTGAGTGGCGTCGTGAAGGGACGGCTGTCTTCGGAGAACGTGCCTGGCGCGTCCTCGGGTGCGCCTCAGGTGCCGCGGCTCAACTTCACGGGAGTGGCGGGCAACGCGTGAGGGACGTGAACATTTTTGCACCTTCTTGCTCTACTCCCTCTTGAAGCCGAGTTGCCTCCTCTCCTTTCATTAGATAAATGCACCCGTGATCTGTCTCTCTCCCCTTTTTATTTCTCTTTTTCAGTTGTAGGTGTGCGGGATTGTTGACTGAAGTACTCGTTCTTTCTTATGTTTGTCTGCTTCGTAGTAACGGAGGGGAAATTGCCCTGTGTGTAGCGTCGTTCTCGCTCTTTCTCTCTCTTCGTGGAAGCTTGTATGGTATGAGGGGCGCTTAGTCGGTTTCTCCAACGCTTCACTTTCTTATACGTATAGATGTACTCTTTGTGTTCCAGACCGATGTGCGGAGGCTGCCCTCCTTCCTTCTCTTTTACCTTCTCCCTTCCTCGTCCTCTTTCTGTGTTCTCCGTGAACTCCGCATTAAACGGTCCGCTCAAGAAGGCACGAGCGGCCAAAGCAGATTCACACAGACGCACAGAGCCAAAATCAAATAGCGTTCTTTTTTTGTTTTGTTTTCCCTCCTTCCTCTGTTTCTTATATATATTATTCCTATTTCCCCTCGACTAGAATTCTTTTTTCCCCTTTCTTTTCGTCTTCTCTTCTCTTCGTCTTCGTCTTTGGTGAGGGTAGCGTTATTGAATGTTCACTGTACGTGCGGCACCGACGTTGGTGTTGTTGTTGTGGCGCACTGAGGCGGTGATTCTTTCTCTCGTGTACACTTAGAGCTGTATTTCGCCGTATTTAGATGGTTTCTCGTTTTCGAATTTTGATATTTGCTTTACTGGTTTTCTTTTATTTCCTCTCTTTGTCTACATACATATATACATACGAAGAAGAATGCAGCAGCGTCACATGCTCTATAGAGCCTCTGTGCAGGTTTAGCTGTGGCCACGGGGTGCCACTCCTTCTTGTTTTTTCCCCCTTTTCTCTTCGCTTCTCCCCATTCCGACTTGACCTCGTGTGTTTTCTTTTCGCCTCTTCCGCGCGCAATATCTTTCTTCGTCTTAGCGTGTAGTGCTGGTCACACTAGCGTTGTAAGCTGATACTGCGAGAATCAGGTCAAGTTTGGTGGGAAGCGCTTGTTTTATTTGTTTTTCTCTTCCTGCGAACTGATGATGCGAGCAGCACGCCGTCACATACGGCTCTCTTTCCTTTTTTTCCTCGCTGCCCCCCGCCCTCCCCCCCCCTCCAACGTTCGTTCGCAGCTTTTTCTGGTTTCTTCTTGTATTACGTTGCGATCGTCTTTAGTCTGCGTGCTGGCGTGCCCACAAGTCCACACACACACACACACACACACGTACACAGCGGACGACGCATCCACTATCCTCTCACTCTTTTCTTTCCTTGACGGTGTGTGCTTGGCCCTTTTTCCATGCGTGTTTCTCCCCCTTCCTCCTTCAGCACCTGTTATTTTCTTGTTCTTCCGTTTTCGCTTTGCTTTCCATTACGATGTTGTCGCCTTCACGGCTTGTACTTCCTTTTCTTTTCTCTAAAGAGCTAACAAAAAATGTTTGTGTGTGTGCGCGTGTACGGTGGTTTTGTACCTCTGCCCGAAGGAGCAACAACGGAGGAGAAATACAGCCAGAAAGGTTGCAGAAGGCGGCACGTCTGCTCCTTTGGATCATGGATGAACAGTCGTTGCCGCAGGTGGGCAACGGGAGAGCGCGCGAAAGGCACGCTACGTTGGCCACAAGCGGTAAACGCAACGGGACTGCAGAGGAGGGGTGGGTGGGGGTTGAAGCGACACGAAAAAAGAGCGCTCTCTACCCCCCCCCCCCTTTCCTTTTCCTGTGCTCTACCGAGAGAGCTTCAACATTGCTGCGGATGCACCCATGTACATACGTGGACGTCCTCATCGCACTTCGAAGGGGAGAGCGAGCGCACGCCCTTTCCTTCGAATACGATTTATACCAACTAGAAACGCTAATCCAGCACAGCCGGCCCCACTCTTTTCATTGCTGGTTCGTTACATGCGCCGTTGACATTTTCGATACATTCTCTCCCCCCTTCTGCCCTCTTCTTCCTTCCTTTTTTTTCCTTTTCACCGTGCATCTCGGTCCCCTCCACATCCCCACAGCTGCATCGTATCACGACTCCGCCTCTTTTTCCAGGCTACCACAAGAGAAAGATGGTCAAGGTCAAGAGTCACTCCACCCTGCACATCCCGGAGGGCGTCACCGTGGAGGTGAAGGGCCGCAAGGTCACCGTCACCGGCAAGCGCGGCACCCTCACGAAGGACCTGACGCACCTGCAGCTGGACTTCCGTGTCGACAAGAAGAACCGCACCCTCACGGCGATCCGCTGGTTCGGCTCTAAGATCCCGATCGCGTGCCTGAACACCGCCAAGGCGCACATCAGCAACATGATCACCGGCGTGACGCGCGGCTACCGCTTCAAGGTCCGCTGCGCCTACGCGCACTTCCCCATCAACGTCTCCGTCGATGGCCAGAACATCGAGGTCCGCAACTTCCTCGGTGAGAAGCGCGTGCGCCGCCAGCTGGTGCCGAGCAGCGTGTCGGTGTCCCAGACCGACCCGGCCCAGGTCAAGGATGAGATCATCTTCGACGGCAACGACATCGAGCAGGTGTCCCGCGAGGCCGCCCTGCTGCATCAGATGTGCCTGGTCAAGAACAAGGATATCCGTAAGTTCCTGGACGGTATCTACGTGCAGACCAAGACGAACATCGTGGTCGAGGAATAAGCGCGTGCGAGGGTCGGACGGAAAGATCGAAAAGACAGAAGAGAGAGGGGGAAGGGAGCGATGAAATCGGAGAAGGCGGGCGACGAAGCAGACCTTTTTTCCCTCTGTTTTCTCACTCTGCGGCATCCGCATTTCCGCGCATTTCTTCTTCTTCTTTTTTTCTCCTTTGGAGGTTTTTGGTACGTGTGCGTGCTTCTCGTAGTTCATTTATTTCTTCTCATTTTTCTTGTTTGCGCGTGTGTGTGTGTCTTCAACCTGCCCGCGTATGTGCGTGCGTGCTCGACGTCCTCGTGATTACCCGGCTTTTCTTTGTAGGTTGCTTTCAACGGTTCGCTTTGTTTCCCTTTCCCGACTTCGTACACGTTTCTGTAGCAAGGAGGTGTTGAGGAGGAAGGAAGGCGGAAAAGGGTGACGGGAGGGGGGAGGGGAAGGCAGTCGGCGACACAACGGACGACGCCGGTGCGTGCGAGGTACACACATGCAGCGCAAACAAAGCAAACAAATCAAACAACAACAAAAATGCAGTAAGGAACGGAGGAGTCCGCCAAAGGAGATTTTATTCTACGCCTGCACGGTGGGATTCGATTTTTGCCGTGTGCAGCGCTTGTCATGGCACCGTCGTTCGTTGCCGCTGTGGCCGACGATGTCTGTGTCTGTGTGTTCGCGGCGACGTCGGAAGTCATGCACGGCGAAAACGGCGGTGCAGACGTACCCGCAAGCCGGTTTGCGGAGAGAACAGCCTTTTTTTCTTCCTTAGAGGAAGAGAAGGGAAGGAGATGGGGAGTTGTCTTTGTAAAAGGCGACGAAAACAAATGCACACGTGTGCGTATGAGTGTTTAAGGGAACGTCTATGGGTGCTGCTCCACCACCGCGCTTTGCAACTATGGTGGCCTCTCTCTCTCTCTTCCTTTCTTTTTTTCTTACTCGCTTTACATGGACAAACCCAAACATCTGTTTCTGCATTATTTCAGTAGAAGAGTCGCATCACCATGACGAACGCCAACGGACAGAACGCCGCCCGTAAGCTTGTGCGCCTGCGCCGCAAGAACCGCTGGGCGGACAAGGGGTGGAAGCGCGCGCACACCTTCGCGGCCAAGAAGGCGAACCCCTTCGGCGGCTCGTCGCACGCCAAGGGAATCGTGCTGGAGAAGATCGGCGTCGGTGCCAAGCAGCCTAACTCCGCTATCCGTAAGTGTGTGCGCGTGCAGCTGATCAAGAACGACAAGAAGATCATCGCCTTCGTGCCGAACGATGGTTGCCTCCACTTCATCGAGGAGAACGACGAGGTGCTGGTGTCCGGTTTCGGCCGTTCTGGCCACGCCGTCGGTGATATCCCCGGAGTTCGTTTCAAGATCGTGAAGGTGTCCAGCGTCGGCCTGTACGCGCTGTACCGCCAGAAGAAGGAGAAGCCGCGCAGCTAAATTCCACACACGCGCTCTCTCTTTTCGCCGTCTCTTACGCATTCGCTGTGCGCGGAAGTGCAGGAGCGTGCCTCGATCTACTTTACAGCGAGACGTGAGTGGGTGTGGTTGCTGCGTCGCGCCCGTTGCTCGTACTCCCCCGGTGTAGGGGCCGGCGCACACGCGCGCTGATGCACACACATGCTCCTCCTGCTGTTGAGGAGGGCCTTTCCACTGTCGCTCTGATGCTTCACTTTTATTTCTTTTTTTATTTACTGTTTTTCTCGTTGATAATCTTATACAGCAAAAGACTGCCCGAATGGAGGACGATCCCTTCAATCCAAACCGGCGGGATAGAGCGAACCGCTTTCCCTCGCAAAGGGCGAAGGACACGACTGCCACTCATTGCGGTGGGCTTTCCAAGCGTCAGCGGCTGATCGGAATGAAAGCACACAAGCCAAAGAAAAAAATGACGACGCCCTTTTGGGTAGGTGTGCGTATGCGTTCTCTGTCGAGAGTTCAAGAGAAAAGCAAACGAACCAAAGACAGGCGCGGGAACGCCAAGTGCGTAGTTTTTTGATCGCGCCACCTTACACCTCTTTGGCTTTTTTTTTTCCTTGCTCCGCGCGTGCAATTCCTCTTCTGCTTTTTTTTTCCTTCCTCCTCCGCCTCCTTCTTCTCCTCCTCCTCCTTTCTACTGCAACTGCACTATCCCTCATTCCGCGTTGATCGATTTCTATTTCTGCATATTTTACTTCTTCTTATCAAGTCAGTGTCAGTCGTGCATCACCATGACGAACGCCAACGGACAGAACGCCGCCCGTAAGCTTGTGCGCCTGCGCCGCAAGAACCGCTGGGCGGACAAGGGGTGGAAGCGCGCGCACACCTTCGCGGCCAAGAAGGCGAACCCCTTCGGCGGCTCGTCGCACGCCAAGGGAATCGTGCTGGAGAAGATCGGCGTCGGTGCCAAGCAGCCTAACTCCGCTATCCGTAAGTGTGTGCGCGTGCAGCTGATCAAGAACGACAAGAAGATCATCGCCTTCGTGCCGAACGATGGTTGCCTCCACTTCATCGAGGAGAACGACGAGGTGCTGGTGTCCGGTTTCGGCCGTTCTGGCCACGCCGTCGGTGATATCCCCGGAGTTCGTTTCAAGATCGTGAAGGTGTCCAGCGTCGGCCTGTACGCGCTGTACCGCCAGAAGAAGGAGAAGCCGCGCAGCTAAGTTTGTGTTGCGTGTGCGGTGTTTCTGTTTTCTCTTCCTTCTGCTGTTTTCGCGTGTGCTTCATCCGGCCTCGTCGGTCCTTCTGCGCGCGTTTCTTCCTCGCGAATTGGAACGTGGAGGTTCCAAACAAAAGAAACGAGGGAAGAAAAAAAAAGCGGAGGAGGGCTTTTCCGCAGGTGGAAGAGGGAGCGCGCCGGAATCGCGTGAGCTGGGCGTCATTTGCTGACGCACTGATGTCGTAACTGTTTTTTCTTTCCATTTTACATCATTTCATCCAAAAAAAGCAACCACAACAAACAAAAACAACAACGTAGGAAGAGGTGAAGCCGTGCTCACTGCGCGGCACGGTGCTCGACTCTTGCAGTGTTCGACGAACACCCCCTCGGAAGAGAAAAGAAAAAAAAAAGAGAGGCGTAAGCGGCAGTGTTGCCTCAGCATCTCGTTTTCTTGAACTGCGGACACTCTGGTGGTATTCGGGATGCGCGTTTCCAGTGCAAATAGTGGTTGACCTCCAGCACTGTTTCATGGTTGTCTGAGCAGCGGTTTTTGCGTATCGCGCCTTCCCTGCTCCTTTTCCTTCTTATCGAGCACCTCTCTCACTCCCTCCCTTTTGTATGTTTTTCTTCTCGTCCTCCGCGCGCACTTCTGCGCCGACCAGGATCGCAGTGTGGCGTCGTTGTCTCTCTCGCCCTCACACACACACACACACACACAGGTGCCTCTCTACTCTGTTCTACACGGCTCACATCTTCTAACACCTCTGTGCATTTAAAAAAAAGAAAGGGGGGTTTTCAGAAACGACGAACACGCCTTCTTTTCGAGTTCGTTTTCATCTTCGCCTTCTTGTTTTCTGCTTTTGCGATTATTCTTGCTCCTCTCCTTCTTTTTGTTGTTGGGGGAGAGTTTTTTTTTTCCTTCTTCTCTGCTTTCGTACCCCGAAGGGAAACTCGAAGGGCTACCGTGAAGTAGAGTTTCGCGGAAAGGCTGACGGCCACTTCTTCTTCTTCCTTTTCTCGTTCTTCACCGTTCTGGTGAGGTGGGGACGCACAGCGAAAGAAGTAAGCCGCTACAGCAACAACTTCCAGTTATAGGGAGGCTATTAAGAAAGGTCTTGTCTCAGCTTAGTCGTGGTCTGCCTCTGTCGAGTCGCACCCAACTTACCTCGAGCACAGAAAAACCAGGTACACCCGCGCACGTATATAAATCATCTTGTTACCTTGTCGAATCCTTTCCCTTCTGCTGTTCTTTTGTCGTTGTTCCTCCTCCCCCCCCTTCCTTCCTTTATTACTATTATTATTTCAGATTGTTCAGACAACACTTACGCTGCTGCATCTTCGCTTCTCCTCTGCGGCGCAACTACCGTTGACATCCATTAGCTTTTTTTTCTTCTTCCCTCTTCGTTTCGCATTTAATTTAGAGTCGAGGGACTCAGCAGTTGCCACGAGAAGCGGTGGGTAGACGAAGAAAGCCGAGCCGAAGAAGTAGATAAAATAAAGAGAAGCACTTCAGCAGCGTAAACCAACAAAACAGCGTTGTCGTTGCAGCTCAGACGCCGAATAATATATCGCTTTCTGACAGGAGGAGAATCCAGCTGACGTACCACTAATAAGGAGAGAATAGAAAGATACATAATAACATAACGTAGGAGCGCAGTTTTTTCTAATCGCAACCGTAGCAATGGCGAGCCGTTACGAGCGTCAGGAGAAGATCGGCGAGGGTACCTACGGCGTGGTGTACAAAGCTCGCGACACCTCCACCGCGGCCACGGTCGCCCTGAAGCGCATCCGTCTAGACTCCGAGGAGGAGGGCGTCCCTTGCACGGCAATTCGTGAGATTTCTCTGCTGAAGGAGTTGCGGCATGAGAACATTGTGAAGCTGCTGGACGTGTGCCACAGTGAGCACCGGTTGACGATCGTGTTTGAATACTTGGACCTGGATCTGAAGAAGTACCTCGACCGCGAGAACGGCAACTTGGATGCGGCAACGATCCAGCACTTTATGCGAGATCTGCTGCGCGGTGTCGCCTTTTGCCACCAACGCAGCGTCCTGCATCGTGACTTGAAGCCGCAGAACTTGTTGATCTCACGTGAAAAGGAGCTGAAGCTCGGCGACTTCGGCCTCGGCCGCTCCTTCGCCATTCCTGTCCGGAAGTTCACGAACGAGGTGGTCACCCTGTGGTACCGCCCTCCCGATGTGCTGCTCGGTTCCATGCAGTACGGTCCGCCAGTGGACGTCTGGTCTGTCGGGTGCATCTTCTCCGAAATGGCCACGGGAACGCCGCTCTTCGCTGGCAAGAACGACGCCGACCAGCTCATGCGCATCTTCCGGTTCTTGGGCACGCCGAGCAATCAGGTCTGGCCCTCGATGAACCAGTACCCCAACTCGAACAACATGCTCTCGCAGCCGGAGTTTTTGCAGAACTTCGAGCCGGAGTGGAGCAACGTGCTCGGCACCGTTCGCGGCTACGAGAAGCTCGGGCCTGCGGGTGTAGACTTGCTGGAGAAGCTGCTGCGCTACGAGCCGTCGGAGCGCATCACCGCCGCAGATGCGCTGAACCACCCGTACTTCAATCTTCAGTTTTAAGACAAGCAGCGTTGAGGAGAACGAAAGAGAAAAAAGTACATATATATATATATATATATATGTGCTCGAGTGCGGAATGGAGGAGGAGCGGAAAGAGTCCTAGGTGCCAGAGGCGAGGATTCTGGCCCTCTTCTTCTCCTTCACAGCATGTATTCTGGTGTCGGGTGTTCTCTTTTTATGAGGCGTAGTGCCGAGGAAGAAGAGGAGGAGGCTCCTATCAACGCAAGAAGAGGTGGTGAAGAACGGGAAAGATAAATGTTTTTTTTTTTTCTTTTCTTCTACTATATATGTTTAATTTGCTGAAGGGGATACTCACGTATATGAAGTGATAAAGGTGCGAATGCTGCTCTATTCGGTTTCTTTCATCAGCATTATTATTATTATTGTGTTGCTGGTGGGGTCGGTCTCAGTGGAGGGATGTCGTTGTCCGTTTTGCCGTTTGTTTCTCTCTCCTCCCCCCCCTTCCCCTTTCTGGTTTCTTTTGAATGCACGTAGCGCCACTCCTCTCACTTCCGGAACATCCGCAAGGTGTCTCTTCATTTTTTGTTTCTTTCTCTTTTCCCTTCCTTAGTTTCTCGCTCTACGCTCATTTGCGCTGCTTTGAGTCTTTCTTTTTTCTCGTCTCACTTCGTTGTAGATTGCGTTCAAACAACGACTTTGTGTGTCTGTGGTGGGTGGTGGTGATGGTGGTTGTCGTGGTGGGGGTGTTTCTGGATGTAATGCCACAGCGGATTTGCTTGCGGGGTCTACACCGTGTGTCCTCCACCTTTCTTTCTTTTCATTTTCTTCTTCTTTTGAACTTCTTTTCGTTCTTCTCTTTCCCTGTTTGCACCGCACACCTCCGCGCTTTCCACCCTTTCTTCCTTTCCTTGTCTTGCTTGGCGTCTCTCTGCGTTGGTTGGGCTTGTGGGTGAGCCGGTGCAGTTTGTTGTGTGTGTGTGTGTGTGTGTGCCCTTTCATAAGGGGTGAAATCAGTGTCTGTGCGGATGGAAGACGACGGCGATGCGGTGAGTGGACCTCCGCGGCGACTCAGCGTCTAGATATACTTAGTTATTATTTTTGTTTTCTCTCTCTCTTGTGGTTCTAACCATCTTTGTGTCGTTCCTTTGACCTCAAAATCCCCAAAAGCAGGAAAGACGTGCCCTATCTGCAACACGCACGCATACAACGTCAGAAAATAAAAGAGTACAACAAAATAGAGAAGAAAAGAAACATATACACACACTTTGAATGCAGCAGAATAGTAATAGGCGGTGCCGTCAGAGTGGAGGAGCCAATGGCGACGTCTTCTCTTTCTACCGTCGCCTCACCCGAGCAACGTTGCACCCGAGCGCTTTTCTCTTTCTCTGCTCGCTTCCCCTCTCCGCCCACCTCCTCTGTGTTGGATCGCCTGTGCTCGCTTTTGGGCCCTTCCGTAGCAGCATTCCAAAAGTCATACCGCCTGGGCTAAAGGAGGACAGTCGTTGTTTTCTCGGTGAGGCGTGTAGGTTCGTGTGACACGCCGTGCTTCCACAAATGCTTTCCTTTCCCGTGCTTCCCTCTTCTCTTTGCCTTCTTCTACAATTGGCACACCTCTGCCAAACTGCCACTTAGTTCTTTCCAACCGCTATTACCACGAAGAGTGTTCCGACGAATCGACTTCCGCCAAAGTATCAAGAGCTTCTCCTCCTTGTTAATTATTATTAGTAAATTGTTTGCTGTGCTTTTGTTGTTGTCGCGTTGACTTGATCGTCTCTACTTCTTCATAACTTGTCCTCCCCCCTTCCTCTTCCCTTTCTTTGCAAAGAAGGATGTCTTCTGCCGTAGTGAAGCGTCCTACCCCGGCCCTCCCGCGCCGGGGCAACGAGAGCAAGAAGGACAGCAACACGCAGACGGATGTGCGCCTGAGCAACATCACCTCTGCCAAGGCCGTGGCGGACTGCGTTCGCACCTCCCTCGGCCCCCGTGGCATGGACAAGATGATTATTGACCCGAAGGGCGAGACGATCATCAGCAACGACGGCGCAACGATCCTCTCCCGCCTGCAGGTGACGCACCCGTGTGCGAAGATGCTGGTCGACCTGTCCAAGGCCCAGGATATCGAGGCCGGCGATGGCACCACCTCCGTCGTCGTGCTGTGCGGTGCGCTGCTGCGTGCCGTGGAGGATCTGCTGAACAAAGGCATCCACCCCACCCAGATCTCAGAGAGCTTCAAAGCGTGCGCCAAGATGGCGGAGAAGGTGATGGAGGACATGAGCATTAAGATCGACATCGAGGACCGCGACACGCTGATCAAGGCAGCCATTACCTCGCTGAACTCGAAGGTGATCTCGCAGAACAGCGACCTACTGGCGCCCATGGCGGTGGATGCGGTGCGCAAGATCATCCGTGCCAACGGGGACGTCGACCTGCGCGATATCCGCATCACCTCCGCGCTGGGCGGCACGATTGACGAGACGGAGCTGATCCAGGAAGGCATGGTGTTCAAGCAGAAGGCCTCGCGCGTCGCCGGCGGACCGGTGCGCATCCAGGACGCCACGATCGCCCTCATTCAGTTTCAGCTCTCCCCGCCGAAGACGGACATGGAGAGCACCGTGACGATCACCGACTACACGCAGATGGACCGCGCTCTGAAGGAGGAGCGGAAGTACCTGCTGGGCCTCTGCAAGGCGATCAAGGACGCCGGTGTGAATGTGCTGCTCGTGCAGAAGTCCGTGCTGCGCGACGCCGTGACGGCGCAGTCGCTGGACTTCTTGGCCAAGATGAAGATCATGGTGGTGACGGACATCGAGCGCAGCGACATCGACTTCATCACCAAGACCCTCGGTTGCATGCCGGTGGCGAACCTGGAGAACCTGACGAAGGACAAGTTCGGCCACGCGAAGTCGGTGGTGGAGGAGGGCACGTCGAGCGGGAAGGTGATCAAGATCCTCGGCGTGCAGCCGCCGCCGCCGTCGACGCTGAACCACGAGTTCTTCGGCAAGACGGTCTGCTTCTTTCTGCGCGGCAGCAACACGCTGATGCTGGAGGAGGCGGAGCGCGCCCTGCACGACTCGCTGTGCGTCATCCGCTCCATCGTGAAGAAGCGCGCCATCATGCCGGGCGGCGCGGCGGGCGAGATTGAGGTGTGCATGCAGTTGGGCAAGTACGCGCGTGAGCGGGCGGAGGGCATCCAGACCTTCTGCATGCGCTCCTACGCGGATGCGTTCGAGATTATCCCGTACACGCTGGCCGAGAACGCCGGCTTGCAGCCCATCTCGATCGTCACGGAGCTGCGCAACGCCCACGCCTCGGGCAGCGTGAACAGCGGCGTGAATGTGCGCAAGGGCTGCGTGACGGACATGGTAGAGGAGAACGTGGTGCAGCCGCTGCTCGTGGGCACCTCGGCTGTCCGCCTTGCCTCGGAGGCCGTCATGATGATCCTGAAGATCGACGACATCATCATGACCCGCATTTAAGGCGGAGAGGAGGAGGTGCGAAGGGAGGGAGCAGCGGAATATGTGGTTGCTGTTGTGTTTCCCCCGCGCAGACGACAACGCGCGGTGGGCAGGGGGAGCACGCGAGCGGTGCGTTGCCCTACGTTTTTTTTTCCTTTCCTCTCTAATGTTGGTGGAGGTGTCTTGGCTTTTGGTTCGTTGAAAACGGGAAAAGGAAAAAGGTGGTTGAGGTGGGTGTTTTCTGGGCTGTGGTTGTGGATCATACATTCCTTTGGTTTTTTTTTATTGGTAAGGAGCTGATGTTATGGGTGGTATGTAATCTAACGCACGACATGGTGTGTGTGTAACTGAACTGAACGAGCAGGAAGGAAAAGGACGCAAGTAATGCTTGCTGCGCCAATTTGTGTTGTGGAGGTCGTGCAACCCACGCGTGGAGCCACACAAGCGCCGCCAATCAAGAGCAAAATGGTTTGAGGCGCGCAAAGAGCGACAGCAACAACTATGACTAAATGCTTCGATGCAACCCGTTGACGTCGCTTCCCAGCGGGTTTGGTCCGCAAACGCTCGTGCTGGCCCTTGACGTCGTCGGATCGAAGCTGCAACTGTCGCTCTCTTTTCCTCTTCTTCGTCTTCTTCTGTCTTCCGCCTCGGTGCTTTCCCGCAGGGGCTGGTTTGCGGGTGCTCGCCCCTCCCCACCGGGAAAGCTAGCGGCCCCAACCCAAAGCCCGAAAAAGCCAAGCAGTGTTCATCCCAGGTGTGTTTTGCGTCGGTCCAGTGGTCTAGTGGCATGATTCTCCCTTAGGGTGGGAGAGGTCCCGGGTTCAATTCCCGGCTGGACCCTTTTCGTGTTTCGCTCCCGAGGAAGAAGCCACCGGCGATTTGTTGGCTAACGCGCACCGTCGAGCGCGGTTGGTCTAGGTGGTTATGACGTCGCTTTAACACGGCGAAGGTCTCGGGTTCGAGTCCCGAACTGCGTACTTTTTGGATCCGAGAACCAGCCGTTTATGAGACAGAGATAGATAAACCAGCAGCGTGTAGCATTCCTAGCTCAGTCGGTAGAGCGCACGGCTCTTAACCGTGTGGTCGTGGGTTCGATCCCCACGGAGTGCGCTTTTCCCCCTTTTCGGGGGCACGAGGCGCCGAAAAGCGGCGGGGAAAAAAAAGGGGGAAACAGCAAGGGAAAGAGGACAACTGAAGGGAAAATGAGGTCCAAACGTACGGCACAAAGAGAAGAGCCATCAGCGGCTCAAACGGCGGGCGGTGCCGCTATTGCGCGTAGAGCTGTCGCACTGGCAAAACCGCAGCACTTTTGATTCGCTGTACTTCATCTTTGCTTCTTTAAATTGGGTTTCCGTCAGCGTGGATGTGTATGTATGTGTATGCTCTTCTATGTCATCGTTACTCGTCGTCGTCGTCGCTGGACAGGTCCCCCGCGGTGGCCGACGACATCGCGGAGAAGGAGGAGTTGTCCTCCTCGTCGTCGCGGCTTGTGGTTTGCTGCGACGCGGAGGTTGTGCTGTTGACGTTTGGGCCGCTCTTCTTCATCTTCGCGTGCGCTGCCTCGTCCTCGCCGTTAAACTTACGCAGCAGCGGCTCCACCTCCTGCTCCAACAGCAGCACCAACGAGTCAGTGAAGTGCGTCATGGCACGCGTGTAGGCCGCCTCGCTCAGCCAACCGCGACGCTGACCACGTTGACTGCGCTCCATCGGCTCATCGACCACCACCACATTGCGCACTACGTCGGCAATCACTGCGTCATCCATCGCGTCGATGGGCTGGTAGGGCAGCACCAGTAGGCCTTCCCGAATGGCGCGGCATTGCAGCTCTAACAGGGTCGACCGACGCTCGTGGCCGGGCTCGGCCTTGTACGCCACCCGCCGCGCTCGATCGCGCTCGAGCAGCAGGCGCAGCACGTTCTCGATCAACGGCGAGCGCGACACATCGCGCAGGCGCACCCCAATGTCGGAGCGTCGATGCAGGCGGACGGCAATGCGCTCGTACGGGGCGCTGCTCGAGTTCGCGTACGGGTCGTAGCCAAGCCGCAGCCGCAGACGGTTGAACGGCCCATTCCGGATCACATACGTGAAGCAGTTCATCACCTGCTTGTTGCGGTGCGTCCGCGGACACACGCCGGACTGCAGCATCGCGTTCGTCAAGTCGTGCACGATCCACGCCGGCCGCTCCGCGAGGAGGCGCACCATCATTCGCACCTCCGGCGGGTCATCGTCGCGGCTGCCGTCGAGGGAGCTCGGCAGATGGTGCAGGAAGTCGTCGTGCGCGTGCAGCCGCGTTGGCAGCGCCGTTGTTTCTTCCGGACCGACGCTGATCGTCGGCAGCGCACCAAACTCAAACTGGGAGGAGACGCCAGTTGGAGGCAGCGCAGCACTTGGGGTGCCACCGCTAACGCGCAGCTCCGCGTTCGTTCCGCTTTCTGCACTGGCGCCCGCCGGATCGCCACGAAGTGCGGCGAGCGAGGCAGCACCATCAACGTGGTTGCCGGATGTCACGGATGTGTTCGCGTCCTTGCCCGGCTCGTAGCGCACCTCAAACGGCGCTTTGGCCGACAAGTAGTGCGCTGGTGGAAAGAAGTCAGCCCCGCACAGCGACGGGGACTCGCGCAGCTGCTCCGGCGTGAAGAGGGAAAACGTGAAATCCGCAGGGCGCGCCAGCTCCAGCTCACGCGACACAACACCGAGCACCGCCGTGGCTAGCGTTGGCTCACCGACGCGACCGCCTTCCCTTCCGCCGCTCCCGTTGTCTGCGCCGTTTGGGATGAGTTCCTCGCGCAGCACGGCGTTCGTCGCCGGATCGCGGAAGCGCCGTACGCGTCGGGTGCGCCGCACCTGCACCAGCAGATCGTTGCGGTAGTACCCGTTGAGGAGCACCTGCGGCTCAATCGACGGAAACACCTCCTGCCGTCGGCGCTTTTGGCTTTGCGTGCCATCCGCCGCGTCGTCGACGTCCTCTTGCCGATCGCCCGTGTAGTTTTCCATGCGATCGCGCCTCTCCTCGTCTGTGTCCGATGGCTTCGCCACCACCGCCTCCCAGTTGGTACTCCGCCAGTTGCTGAAAATCGGGTCGGTGCAGTAGTCGCGGCGGTGACGTGTCAGCAGGCGCACCTCCGATTTCTGAGTGCTGATCTTCTTCGTCGCGCCTTCTCGGTTCGCTGCCACACCAGCGGTCGCCACGTCGTCGTCGCCATCGCTGCCACCACTGCTGCTGCCACTGCTGCTGCTCCGACTCTCGTCATCGGCGGAGTCTGCGTGGAGGTCGGCGTCGTCTGTGTTTGCGGACGGCGCAGGTGCCGCACCGCCGCCACCATCACCGCGTCTTTTAACGGTGTCGTCAGGCCGCACACTGGTGCGCTGCGGGACGGCACGCTGCAGGCACTCCGCCACAAAAGACGCAGGGAGGAACGCCTCGACGTCGTTCGCCGCGCCCACCGGACAGACGCAGGGGGCAGCGCTGGCAGGAAGGTCCGGCTGCGTGGCGCAGGTAACGGTTGGGGCCAGCGTAAAAGGCAGTTCGACAGAGACAAAGCTGCGGAAGCGCGGCATTGCCGTCGGCCGCGGCGGCTGCGGCTGCGATGACGCAGGAGCAGACGGCGGGTCCATGACGCAGAGAAACACTTGAACGGCAGCAATAACAATATATAGCAACAATCCAATGAACGTCAGGCTCTGCGTGTGCGTGTGTGCGCGCACGGTACCACACGTTTTGGCGTGGATGGGTTGTTTCGTTAAGGAGAGAGGGAGAAAGGGCGAAATGGAAGGGAAAAGAGGCAAATAAGGAGAGAGAGCCCACCGCAAAAAAAAAAAACCCGACTCAGGAGGGGCGCGGAGAATGGCACTGGCCGGCACGAGCCGTTGCGCAGCGAAGTCAAACAGAAAGTCCACCGGCTCGCCAACTGCGCCCTCTGCGAAAGCGCACTGGTGCGCACACACAGAAGCCCCACGCCGCGCAGGTTCGCAAACTCTTTGAAACAAGTAATTTCACTGCGTTGTAGTATCATGCCCGGAGAGGCGTGGCTATGTACGAAGGCTCTGGAAGAGGGGGAAACAGGAGGAGGGGCTGGGAGAAATCGGGGGCAACACGCACCCGCACACCCATCCCCTCAAAACAACAAGACAGAAGAGAAAAGAAAAGAAAAATGGTAATAGAATAAACGCTGCCGACATACATGTTCAACGAAGAAACAAAGAAGGAGAGAAAGACAACAACAAGATCGCAACTTACATGCGGTACACCAAGCCAGTGTAGCGATTTGGAATACATCATAGGAAGTATAAAGACAATGGAAAAACACTCTGCACAAAACCATCACGGCAACGCACGAGCAGAGGCGTACTTTAAATATATACATATACATTACCCCACGGAAAGGTCAAATTACAAGGAGAACAATCTTCTTTCGACGCTGATAGCGGCGGAAGGCTTCCTGGATCACCGTCGCCGCCTCCTGCCGCGCACGCGTGTCGTGCTCCGCCTGCCGCTGCGACCGCCGCCGCGCCGCCGTGCGCTGCGCCTCGACACGGCGCCAGAAACACTGCAGCACAATCGCGGCGCGGTCCAGCACGTCTTGCACCAACACCCGCTCCTGCCGCTCCGCCTCAATCGCGGAGCGGTAGAGCGGCCAGCTGCGTCGCACCATCCACCCGCGTATGTGGCTCTGCAGCAGCGTCGCCGCCGCCTGCCGCCGCTGGTGCTCCTTGATGCGACGTATATCGCGGTGGTGACGCCAGTAATCCTGCAGCAGCCGGGCCGCGCGCTCTTGCTGGTGGAAGTCGAGCGCCGTGGCCACCACGCGACGGGCACGATGACGGCGGTACGAGCGCTGAATGCGCGCCGCCGCATCGCGACGCTTCGCCGCCTCCTTCTTCCGTTGCAGCGCCGCCTCGCGTTGCTGATAGGTGGAGTTGAGCCAGAAAAGCTCCCGCACCACCTCGCTCGGGTCGGCGCTTTCAAGGTAATCGGTGTGGCTCGCCTGCACGCGGTCGAACTCGGCTTGCTTCAGCTCCGCCAGCGCATGGCGGGCCTGGGCAGAGCGGTAGGCGCATTGAATTGTCGTGGCCGCACGCTGCTGGCGGGCGAGCAACTCCGCCGCACGGCGTTGCTCTTCGCGGACCTGCGCACGCAGCCCCCGCACGTAGTAGCGCTCGTAGTGACCGCGAAAGAGTGCCTGTATCTTCGTCGCCGCCTCGTGCCGGGAGAGAAAGCGACGACGCTTCTCCTCGCTCAGCTGACTGATGAGGTAGTGCCGGTGCTGGTGCAGCGCCACCTCCTGCGAGTAGCGCTGGCGCAAAATCGCGTTGACGAGGGTGGCGTGCTTCTCCCACTGGATGGCGTAGTAGACTTCCAGTGCCGCCTCCTCGCGACGCCGCCTGCGCACCCGGGCAAACTCGTGCTGGGCCATCTGCATACGCCACCAGGACTGCAGCACCGAAACAGCCGCCAGCCGTCGTCGCGTCTCCTGTCGCACGTGCGCCACACGACGAGCGGCGAGCTCCTTGCGCCAGAAGCACTGCAGCGTCAAGGCGGCACGGCTGTCCTGGTTGCGCTCGATGATGCGCTCCGCCAGCAACTTGTGGAGCTGCTGGCGTGCGATGCGCGACTTCCACGCGCGCTGAATCGCCGTGGCGGCCGCCGAGAGCGCCTGCCAGATTGCCCGGTCCTCCTGCACCGCCCTCCGCGTCACGTACCCGCGCCACTGTGACTGGATCATCACGGCCGCCTCGGCGCGACGCAGGCGGCGCATCTTCTTGAGATGCTCTGCGCGGTAGTACGAGTCCATCTCCTTGGCTCGGCGACCGTAGAGGAATCCGCGCACCGCCTGCTGAATGCGCCGCGCCGCGGCGTCTGCGCGCTGTTGCTCGTGTGACGCACGCCGCTCCGCCAGCAGCGCCCGCGCACGGTACACCCGATACGCCCGTGCCACCACACTCGCCGCCGCCGCCTCGCGCCGCATCGTCGCGACCTTTTCCTTCGCCGCGGCACCGCGCCACGTCCGCTGCAACACCCGCACTGCCGCCGTCCGCCGCGCCGTCTCCCGCTCCTTCAGCGCCACCTCGTAGGCCGCACGCCGCTCCAACGCCATCTCACGACGCGCCGCAAAGCCGCGACCGACGCGCTGCCAGCGGCGCCCAATCGCGTCGTCGCGCTCGTAGGTGTTCCGCACGCTCTCTACCAGTTGGCTGCTCAGACACGCGTGCGCACACGCCTGCATGACGGTGATGGCACGGGCCTGCAGTCGCTGCAGCTGCTGCTGGCGCAGCAACTCGGCGTGGTAGGCGGCGAACTCGCGTGCCTTCGCGACCTGCCAGCACCCGCGTACCCACCGCTGCAGCCGTGTCGCGGCCCGCACCCGCCGCTGCTCCGCCCGCCACACCAGGAAGGCGCGACGCTGCGTGCACATGCGGTACCATTGCTGAATGCGCGTGGCGTGACGGACGTCGCGGTCGTGCTCTGCCTGCAATCGCGCCCGCCGGATCACCGCGACGTGGCAGCGCCACATGCACTGCATCTTCGTCGCCGCGTTGTCCCGCTGGACGGCGCGCATGTGGAGAAGCGCCCGCAGCGCCCGCTGCTGGCCGTAATAAGCGGAGCAGATCGACCGGCACGCGCTCTGGATCACGACCAGCTTCGCCTGCATCGCGGCAGAGCGCACCTCCTGCTCGCGGCGATACACACGGTAGTACGCGTACCACGCCCGGGTCATGTAACCGCGCACGACCGCCTGAATGCGCACAACGGACCGGACACGGCGCTGCTGCACCTGGTAGGCGTCCAGCTCCGCTCGCTTTGCTTTGTAGTTCGAGTAGGCGTGTTGGATGCGACGGGCCGCGACCTTTTCGCGGAAGCGGCGCTGCTCGTCTTCGCGGCGGTGCGCCTCGGCCTGCGCGGCGAGCTGTGCCGCCCGCTGCGCACAGAAGACCCGGTAGCCGCGCTGGATGGTGCGCGCTGCGTAGAAGAGCCGTGCGTGGCTCGCGCGGTACTCCCGGCGGATCTGCAGACGGCGCAGAAACTGTCGGACGCGGGCCTGCAAGACACGGGAGGCGGCCTCCTGCCGCGCGGACTCCTCGGCGCGAATACGCAGCTGCTCCGCCGCCACCCGTGCATGCTCCGCCCGCGCCTTCACCAGGAAGTGGCGAACAGCACCCTGCAGACACACCGCCGCGCGGATCAGCGTCGCGACCCACGTGCGCGCCAGCACCCCTCGCCAAATACGCTGGATCTGCACAGCGGCCCGGCGGCACCGCTCCACCTCCGTCTTTTCCTTCTCGCTGACGAGCTGCTGATACATCTTCTCAGCGAGCGCGGCGTCTGCAGCGGCGGCCTCACGCTGTAGACGGCGGTCGATGATCTTCTGCCGCTTTGAGCGTTCCACCTCATTCAAGGATGCCGCGGCGGCGCTGGTGGCGGCTGCGAGGCGGTTGCGTGGCCCACGTGCGGAAGCACTCAGCACCCCACCACCTCTCTGCGACCGCGCGGAGGACTCCATGGCGCCTCCTGGAGTGGGCGAGGATGCTCTACCCGCCGACACCGACATGCTGCTGCTACCAAAGACGCGGCGACCAAAGGGATTCGCCGACGAGCTGGACGCGCCCATCGTGGCTGCAGCCGCGATGGACCGTTCCGCTGCTCGCCGCCCGCTTCCGGCGCTCGCCAAGTCAGATCGCGGAAGGGGCGGCGGTGGGGAGGGCCGGGTAAACGCTGGAGGGGCTGTCGCGGCGAAATTCGTACCGGCCGCGCCGGGCTGCGCGAAGGTGGCAGACGGCGGCGCCGGTGGCAGCGTCGACAGTGCGGTGCGTGCGGATGCGGCTCCCCCTCCACCACCAGGTGGTATGAGAGGGGCGAGAACAGCGGGGAAGTGAGGCGTCGGTGGGGCTGCGGCGAAAGGTGAGTTCCACGCGTTACTCGTGGTGAAGAACGAGGTCGGTGGCTGCTGCTGCTGCTGCTGGGGTGGTGGTGGCAGTGGAGGACTTTGCTTCGTTGGTGCCGGGTACGTGCTGCCGTTGATACCGGGCCGCGCGTTGCTGCTACTCACGTGTGTGTCGGTGCTGGGCGGACGAAGGATAGACAACGGTGTGCTGCTAGGATTACTCGTGCAGGACGTCACGGGGCCGCTGGCCGGTCGGGTAGGCGATGCAGCACGGCGCGACTGTGGCGGCGGCGGCGGAGAGGGCGGAAGAGTTGAGGCGGGCTGCCGCGGGAGGCGTCGGGTAGCGCTTGTGGTCGTCGTGGTGGCGAGAGGCGCCCCGATACGCGGCAAGGGATGGGCGGATGGGTGTGTCGAGAGGTTTTGAGAGGGAGGACGCGACGACTGTGCTACTGTTGCTGCCGCCGCCGCCACTTTTTCTGGGTTTTGCTGCCTGGAGCGACCGTCGTCTGCGGTTTTACGTTGCTGCGGCTGGCCAAGCGTCTGCATCACCGCTTCGATGCTGCGACAGGACGCTGGGACAAGGTGGTACGCTTGGCTCACCTGCACCGCCTGCTGGAAGGCGCGCTGAGGGCCGTCGTCGTCGTTGTCGTGGCTTTCGTTTCCGCGATCGGCAGCACCTTGCCGCTCGAGGGACACTCCAAGATTGTAGTACGCTACCACCAGCATCGTGGCGACGCGCGCCTGTTCTAAGTCCTGCGTCGAGGTCGGCTCGAGAACTCCGTCGTCCGCCTTTTGTTTTCGCGAGGTCGATGCAGTCGTCGCAACCGCCGCAGCAGCGGTGGTGGTGGAGGCCGTGACGACCGTCTCCCGCATCGTTTGCTGGAGCAGCGACACCACCCGCTCACACGCCTGCACGGCCTCGGCGTGGCGGCCCGTCGCATTCAACACGGTACAAAGGTTGAGGTAAGTAGAGGCGACGCTCGCCTTGGCCACGGCGACCTCTTCGTCGCTGGACGCGCTGCCCGCTGCGTTGGCCTCCCACTGCGTCGCCGTGCGGATCGCCATACGGAAGAAGATGACGGCGGCGCCGAGGCGGCCGCGACGCTGCTCGAGGCAGCCGAGGTGGTTCAACGTGGAGGCGCGAAGCGTTAAGCGAAGTTGCTGATCATGTGGCGTGTCGCTAAAGCACGCACGCAGCGCCGTTGCCGTGGCGGCAGCTGCCTCGCTCGACGCGCCAGTGTTGACGTCCTCATGTGCGAGATCCAACGCGTCCTCCACATCGCTCTTCTTGTGTGATGTAGACGCGTGCATGGATGACGCCGGTTGCTGCTGCTGCGGCTGTAGCACGCGACGCCACCACCACTGATCGGAGCTGCCCGGTGCCGGGTCCCAGCTCTCGCCCTTCGGCAGACCGCGGCGGAGGTCGCGGATGTCGTCGTCATCGCCGTCGGTGAGGAACATTGCGCGGTTTAAGAAGAACGCAGCGCTGTCGAGCTGGTCGTGCTGCAGCGCCTCCACAGCGTAACCATTACAGCGCTGTACGACGTCCTGCGCCTGACGACTTATCTCGAGGGGCAGCAGCACATCGCCGCTATCGGTGAGCGCTACCAACGCGACGTTATCGTGGGAGCTACGTGGTGCGGCTGCCGCGGTCGCCGCACCGCGAGCGTTCAACAACGCGGCGGCAGCAGCGGCGTTCACTTTCTTTTGGCTCTGCTGCTGCTGACGCGCAGTAAGGGCGGCGACCACCGTTGCGGCGTTCGCCTGTCGTAGCAGCAGCGCTGACTCTGCGCTGCGCACGCACTCCGCGTAGTTGCCTTGCTCCTCGAAGACGTCCACCATGCGCTGCAGGAAGGAAAGGTTCGAGAGGATGGCCTCCGTGGTGTTGTTGGGCGAGATCGACGTGGGCGGTGGCACCTTCCAGTGCGTGACGGCACTGTTGCCAGTACGAGAAACGGATTGCATGATGAACCACACCTGAACTCGAAACAACCCAAGGGTGGAATGAAATCCATACGTTACGGTAAACGAGATGGGAAAAGAGAAAAGAAAAAAAAGAAATCAACAACGAAGTTGATAGAGGAAAGAAGAGAGGGGAAGAGTGCGCATGGGGATACGCCGCATCACACGGGGGATTTGGGAAGCGATCTCGCATGAAACGAAAAAGGAGAAATACCCTCCACGGGCACGCGTCTGTTTTCTACTCGGACGTGGAAATCGTCGAGTTCTCATCGAAGGAATTAAATAATAACAATAGTAGGACACCCAGGATGCTTTTTTAGGAGCCACGACGACACCAGGGCGTCTGAGGTCCCGCTATGACAGGAAGAAATCAGATTGAAGTAGTTCGTTGCTTCCCTCCCACGAGGTTTGCCGTGGCAACACCAATCCGCGCACCACACACACACACACACACACACATGAAGAAAGAAGTTAATCCAGCGGCTAAGATCATACTCTGCACGTAAACGCATCGAGAGAGGGAGGGGCTTCACTTCCTCTTCAGCGCCTCCATCTCATCCTCGCTACTCTCCTCCTCCTCTTCGTCAGCCGACGCACTCGGCTGCACCCCTGCGCGACGGGTGCCAGCTGCCGCAGGGGAAGGTGTGGCCGTTTTTCCCTTCTTCGTCTTCATTAGTGCCACCATCTCATCTTCCTCCTCGCTGCTGCTGCCGCTGCTGCTTTCCTCATTCTTGTCGATGCTCCTCTTACCCGCCGTCGCCGTCGCCCTCTGCCCTGCCGCTGCAGCGGACACCACAGAGAGCTTCATGCCTCCAGTCGCACCGTGCGCCGAGGCGACAATGTCATTCTCCATCACCTCAACGTCGTCTCCACCGTGCGTTGGAGAGAGCTCGGACAAAGCTTCCGCGCTCTCGAGCACCTGGCCGCGTAGGCCCACGTCGTACTGCAGCCAGCGCTTGCCGTGGCCCACGGCCACCACAGCCGAGGAGACCGTAAACCGATCCGATAAGGGCGGTAGCGCTGGGCGGCAATGACCGTATAATGGCATGCCGGCGTCCAGCGTTCGCACGCACACGCCCGTGTCGGCGTCCCACACCCGCATCGTGTGATCCAGAGAGGTTGTCACCACACCAAGCGGCAGCACCGACGCGTCGTCGCAGTCCGAGACGAACGGGTTGGCGTAGAAACTGATGGAGGTGACGGCGTCGTCGTGCCCGAGAAGTTGAAAGGGCGCCGCCGCGGTCGCCCCGTCGTTGTGCGGGCCCACGCCGGCTTTGCTCAGCTGACGCGCGTCGTAGAGATGCACCACGCCGTCCGCGCCACCGGAGGCGAAGCGCACCCCGCACGGTGACCACGACACACATTGCGCCGCGCGCAGGTGACCACCGAGGCGGCCGCCGGTGTGGAAGGCTAGCTGGCCACTGCGAGTGTCCCACCCCACGACGCGCCCACCCGCATCGGTGGTGGTCAGCAGCGACCCATCGGGGTGGAACGCGATCCCGAGCGTGGCACCCGCTGTCTCGTAGCCGTCCTGCGCGTAGAGCAGCGGCAGAGGCGAGGCGGTGGCGGTGGTTGCTGCTGTTGCTGCCTTGTCCCTTGCCCCACCTTCCAGAACGGTGCGGACGTCCCACAGGTGCACGAGACCGCTGTCGTGGGTGGCTGCGAGTAGCGCCCCCGTCGGGTCCACGGCTACCTGTTGAAGGCCACCGAGGCGAGAAGCGGAAGAGGTGGAAGTGGTCGCATCGGCGGCTGCGTCGATGCTCGCGGTGGTGAGGGGCTGCAGGGACACCGCAGATGCCACAACAGCGGAGGCGTGGACCTGTTCTTCCTCCTCCTTGTCCTCGAACCTCTCCGAATGCTCCGCCTGCGCTGCCGTTGTAACTCGCCACACGCGCACCTCACGTTGGAACATGCTCGTCGTGAAGACAAAAGAGTTTTGCGTGGTGGCGGTGGTGTTCGGGACGGTGGAAGGATACACGGCGATCGACTTCACCCTTCCCCACCCACGACCCTGCGGATAAGTGGACTGGCTGCAGAGCGGGGTGCACTGCTCTGCGTCCCAGAGCGTGAGCAGACCATCGACCGACCCCGTCAACACGCACGACAGCGGCACCGTGGCACTCCCTGCAGAAGGGGAAAAAGAGGAAGTCGAAGCCGTCAGCGGGGGAAGGGCGGCGCAGGCGCTAAAGGGAAGACAGAGGGCCGCCGACACGCCACCCCCCTCCGCGCTGCCGCCTTGAACTTTGATATTGCGCACAGACTTGACGAGATGTAGGCGTTGCAGCGTCTCGCCAAGCGCGGCGGCGTGATCACGCAGCAGCACCTGCGCAGGAACGGTGAAGAGCTTCTTGAGTTTGCCGACGCGTGCTTTTGCCCGCTGCGTCGTCTGCGGCAACAGATGCCGTACCCGGAGTTGCACCAGCTCTGCCGGGGCACTCGTTGTGGTCTCTTTGAGACGCGGCGACGGCGCCACACGCACGTAGGTGCTCGGCGAGGACATCAGCGCACGTACCCGAACGCCTTCGTTGCTCTCTTGCTCTCGCTCTCTGATATGAAACGGCCACGATGGAATCCAGCGGTTTTCTTTAAATACGAATCGATGAAGCGGCTTCTTTTCTTTCCTTGAACAAGTCTATACGCGTGCACTTCACGGCAATAACGATAAGGATAAAGATAGAGGGAGAGGGAGTCAGAAGGACAAGCAAGCAGCTGTGGTGGAGGACCGGACTGTACGCGGTGGTCCGCCCGTTTCATGGAAACGAAAACACCGTATCGGCATGCAAATCACAAAATAGAAGTAAAAATGGAATAAACTCGAGAGGTGCCCATGCATCAGCACACGGCAGCTCACTCACTTCGTATTTCTCTCCTTTGCAATAGAATTCCACTTTTTTGGGACTGGATAACGGAGAAGAACAGAACACACAACAGTACTCCCCCACTTAAAAGGCCGATCGATGAAGGGCATCACGCCGACTCGCTCTGTACACGTCTTCATCACGAAAGAAAGCAGATCATCACACACACACACACACACACACACACCATCAGAGACGCGGTAGTTTCACGTGAAACCTGGAACACGTGTCGTCGGTTCAGTTTGGGAGATGGACCTTCGCTCTCTCTCTTCGCTGATCATGTTCGCTAGAACGAGCAGCAACACCCACAGCTGCAACAGCGCAATGTACCCCATCAACAAGACGCGCGACATCCATCGAGAGTGTGTCAGCGTCCGACCAAGACGGAGCGCGGCGTCATCGACGGCGGACAGCACGGACACCGCCACACGACCTGCAGCGCCGTGGTGTCGGACGAGTCGCACCATCGCCGGGCTGCGCTTCAGTGCATCCTGCGAGCTATTGCTGCCACGCCCACTGCCAGCACCACCGGCTTCATCGATAGCCGCGGAGAGAGCACCCCCGGCGACGACGCCGCGAGCCCGATGAGAACCACCCCCATCACCACCAGCGGCAACCAAACCATATTCGCTCGGGGGCAAACCAGGCGGGCGAAACCCGGCTGCCACCTCCACCTGCGCATCATCGAACTGCCGGGCCAGTTCGTTGTACCGCGCCTTCACATCCGCCGCCTCGCGCTCTGCGGAGTCGAGCACGGTTTGCTTGTTGCTCAGCTGCAGCAGCAGCAGCTGGTGTCGCTGCTTCGCCTCTCGCAGTTCGCGCTGCAGCTGTGCGACATCTGCGTGGTGTGCACCCCCTTCCCCACTCTCGTCCGCCTCCGCCGCATCGCTTGCGAGACCACCCTGGCTACTCTGCCGTAGTGGCTGCTGCTGCTGCTCACGCTGCGCCTGAAGCGCACGCAGCGCATTTTTTGTATCTGCGTGGGCGGCCACCTCGCCCTCCAGCGACTCGTGCGCTGCCTGAACCGCCAGCCGCAGCTCGTCCGCTTGCGTCTCCGACTGGCGACACGTGTCCTGCACCCGCTGCAGCTCCGCCGCCGCCTTGGCGGTCTCTTCGTGACAGCGGTCCACCTCGGAGAGAAGGGCCGTGTGCTCCGCCTGCAGCAGCTCCAGTCGTTGGTGCACCTCATGCGCATGCGCCAGCTCTTCCCGTTGCGCGGCAGACAAACAAGAAGAGGAGGACGTGGCGGCGTCCGCCGTACCAGCAGCGGCTACCTCGTGGGCGCGCCGCACCTCCTGCTGCGCCTCGTCCAGCAGTCGCTGCGCGGTTTCCTTGTAGGCGGCGAGGGCGCGCTCGGCATCCCGCTGCGCCGTGCGACACGAGCGCGCTTCCTGCTCTGCCTTCCACAGAGAGTCGCGCGCCGCACTGCACTGTGCCTTGTGCGTGGCGGCTTCCTGCTGCCACCGCGCCTTTTCCGCATCCAGCGATGCGCAGCGGGACTGCAGACGCGCCAGCGATGACGACGTTGCCGCCGGATCAGCGGAGAGGAGATACGCGTGGGCGGCCGCCTCATCACTACCATTACCACCACCGTCACCTGCAGCGGAGCTCAACCCTACCTCAAACCTTTCGGCGTGGTCGTCCATCTCTGCCAGAGAGGGGCGGAACGAAGGAAGCTTTGTGGGCAAGGATAGGGGCACGAGGTGAACACCCGCGTACGCGTCTGCAGCACCAGCAGCAACGGTGGTAGCTTTATTATTAGTAGTAGTAGTGGTAGTAGAGCCCTGTGACTGCGCAGACGTCCGCAGCGAGGCGGACGTGGAAGGCGTTGGTGGTGGGACAGCACCGGCGGATGAGGAGGAGCCGCTGTTGAGCCCCGCTCCTCTGTTGCCTGTGGGGGTCGTCGCAGATGGATTGCGGGGAGGAAGAGACGCGCTCGCCGCACTCACGCCACCACCACCGGCACTAGCAGTGCTACTGGTGCTTCGCACGTCCGTGACGATGGGATGAGGTGCGCTACTGCCATTATGATGGGAGGACGTGGCGGTGCTGTGCAGGCGGTACTGCTGCTGCTGCTGTTGCTGTCGTTGCTGTTCAATGGCGCGTGCGATGTCGCTTTCCTCAGCCGCATCGGCCATCTCCTCCGTCTTCTTGTCGATCGCCTCGAGGAAGGCATTCACACGATTCAGCATCGTGATGAGGGGCACGGGAAGCACGGATACGCAGCAGTGAAGCAGCAAAACAAAATCAAAAGCGGAGAAAAGAAATACTAATAAATACCAGTTGAAATGAAAGAGGAGACGGAAGCAGAGAAGGGAGCTACGCTTTCTTATCCCGTTCTTTTTGATTTAGGTAGCGGCGCCTTTGCTGCTGAACAGAGAAATATCACTGTTGGCGTGCCTAGTGTTTATAGTGCGCTGTGTATGTACACAAGGACCTGCCCTCGCGCTCACGGAATTGGGTTTATAGAGAGGTGAGAAGGGTTGAGGGTGATGAGAGGCAGCGGAAGAAGGCAGCGCCAGTTGTCAGCATAGTGGGAGAAGAGCACAGACACCGGAGAGTATTAATGATAATAAAAGAAGTCCCGGGCAAGAGAGAGCGGTGATGTCTGGCAGTGCGCTATGAGGACAGAAGAGATCACATTGAAGTGAAAAGCGAAGGTAAGACCAACAACGACAGAAAGAAGCTGAAGAAATGAGAATTGCTGCAAGTAACAACAATACGACAGTACAGACAGAGGAATCGCAGTCCTTGAAAAGAAGAAGAAAACACGCACACACACAGAGATATTAGTTATTATCATTATTACAGTGAAACACAAGAAATGAGAAGAAGAAAAGACGACGACGACGAAGGGAGCAGTATTTATACCGAACGTGCGTTCCATCGTTCCAGAGCCTTTTGGGTGCGTCTCGGCGGGTCCGATCTCGTCCGCTCGCTCGTTGGTCGCCCGCCTTTTCCTTCTTTCTTCTTCTGCTGCCCTCTCTGTGGTACGAGGGGAAAGGGATGGACGCGACTTCGAATTGTGCGCTGTAGCAGAGCGAGCGAGACATGCAGCCCTTTCTTCTCTACCAAAACGAAGGCGATCTCAAGAGAGAAAGAAAAGAGAAGAAAAACGTACATAAGACGAAGAAAGAGAAGGACCCACGGATGAGCGGCGCAGGCGTGACCCACCCCCCGCCTCTCCGTGCCGTTCCTCCTCTTCTTCTCGCCGACAACACAACACAATCACAGCACAACCACATGCGTGCACATAACCAAAGAAAAAAAAAAAGCTGGCACTCCTTGAAGCCTCATTACGCGCAGCAGACCGCAACAACAACAGCAATATCAACACGAATCGCCCAACGAGAACAAGGAAGAGATATGCTGCAGGCGATGTTAACGTGGAGGAGAGAAAAAAAGAAACATGCGGGGACGCGCGGGAAGATCAAGAGCAGCAGCAGCAACAAGAACGGTGAGGAGCGACGATAAGTTTGAGAAAAGAAGAAGAGAACTGAACGCACCCCTGATAGAGAGGGAGAGGGAGAGAGAACTAAAACGAAAAGACGTCGAGGAACAGGCGTATATCAGCCAGTAGTACTAAAAGTGACGTTGAGCAGACACACTCGCAAGCAAGAAAGCGAGCGAGCGAGAGAACTACTGCGACAGCCGGAGAGGGGCGCCGTCATCCGATTAGTGAAGGGCAACAACTGCTCCTTTAATTCCCCCAAGAAGCAGCACCGCCGTCCTCACCTGTGATGAAGTATCAAGGTAACGAGGGAGGGGAAAAAAGAAGAAGAACAGACGCGAGTGTGTCACGAATACGCAGGGGGTGTCTTCAACGACCAGCCCTACCGCACCTCTTTCTACTACGTCCCCTTCTACAAGAGGGTGTACCCGGCCCTCAGGTAACGCTCGTGCAGTGCCTCCTCATCTAGGTCGTCGTCATCGTCGTGCTCATCCTCGTTCGAAGTTTCCTGTCCACGCTGCGACACATCCTCCTCCTCGTCCTCCGCCAACAACCCACGCCGCAGCTCCGCGTCCACGCCGTCCTCGTGGTCCACGTGCGACACGCCGTGCCGGCCAACACCGGTGGTGTTGCCGCTGTCTGTGTTGCCGTCCTTGTGGCTGCGGGCGCGCTCCTGCGCTAGCATGTTCGTCTCCTGACGCAGCTGTTCGCTGTCATGTAGAACCGCCGCTTCGCTTACGACGTCGCGACGCCGGCCGCACAGCATCTGCTCCACGATTCGGCGGGCGGCGCTGAGGCGATGCGTGGCATCTGCGTACCGCGCCGAGGCCGGGTCTGCCGTCGAGGTGTCTATGTTGTTGTTGGGGTCAGGGAAGGCGCTGCCGCTGCCGCTGCCGCTGCTGTTGTCCAGCGAAGGGCGACCGCCAGCCTCGTTCGGTGCATCGGAGGAGAAGCGACGGATGGAGTTGGGGGAGGCGGATGCCGCGCTTTGCAGCTGCTGCTGCTCCTGTTCGGTGTCAGCGTTGCAAGCGCGTTGCCCTGCACCCGCAAACAGTTCAGCACCACACAGCACCTCCTGCACGAGGTACGCCTGTGCGAGCAAGTCTTCATACGCCTTCTGAATTGCCTCAATGCAGACACCCAGTCGCTGCAGGTCGATGTCGGCTTCGCAGTAGTGCGGTGGTGCGTCGCCGCGCCGAGTGGCCATGGGGGGCGGGGCGAGCTGCTGCTGCCCGTTTGGTCTCGACTGTGGCCCCCGTTCGCGGCCGCCGCTCGGGCTGAGGCGGACGTCGATGCTGTCGAAGTAGCCGAGCCTCTCGATCACGGCGATGCGCACCGCCTCCTTCACGATCTCCTGCTCCAGCATTGGATCGCCCAGGTCGGAGAGCAGGCCGAAGTTGAGGGGCACGTCGAGGGAGCCCTTCACCTCGACGTGGACGCTGACCGGGGAGGAGGGCGTTGAGTGACGCGGGACCTTATGCATCCGTTTTAAAAGAGAGGAGGGGGTGCCAAATGTGTTCAAAAACAAAAGGAAGAGAGAAAGAGAGGAGAATGCCACCGAGTTAAGAAACCGAGAGTGTCGGTGCGCTTTTCGTTCTCGTGTGCCGCTGCAGCATCACAAAGCCAATGAAAATTCCAACAACGGCAAGTAAAAAGGGAGCACACGAAGTAATAATAACAAAGAAATAAGGAAAGAAAGAGACGTGAGAAGTATTGCCGGATACGCAAGCAAACACGATTGCGTATGCTCAACGAATACGAGACAAAATGAATGTGTGCGTGTGTGTGTCGGTCGGTGTGTCTATGCGTGTTGGGGTGGGGCGCGTCGCGTCGCGCGCGTGGAGGACCCGCGCTGGAAGCAGAGGGAGGGGAAGAGGCCTCCTTCCTAGAACCGTTGGCGCCTTCTCTTTTCCTTCTTCCTTCACAAACACAGCAAGTGAAGGCGATTCCACAAGGAAGAAAGAAGAAAGACGGTACTATTACTGTGAAAGGTATGCTGTTGTTCAGGGGATTGAATGAAGATGTTAAAAGAAGAAGAAAAAGAAAACCGAGGCACTGCAGAACCTGGTTGAGGAACAACCTAAAAAAAGGGGCGAGTGAGGAGAGTGAGAAAGAAGGAAAAAAAAGGTGACGAAACCACCGCAGCAACAACAGCGGGGCACGCGTATTGTGACAGAGGAGTCGAGTATTCCAAAGGCGGTGCTCCTGCCTCTCCATGCACCCCCCCGCGTCTCTTCTTTTTTCTTTTCGTGCAAAGGACGCTTTAGGCCAAGGCGCCGTTTCCTCTCGCTCTGGCTGCTCGCGTGACACATAAAACAAACATATATGAAAAGGGAGCTATCTTCGTGTTTCGCTGTGTTTTCTATGTCGGTGGCACAAATCTCCAGCACCCCTTTCTTTGATAAACAAAAAGTAGGTGACGCAAAGCAGAATCATTTTCCAATCACCTCCATCACGCGCCTGCCGTTGTAGCGGAACACCTGACCGTACAGCGTTTCATGCGCCGTCACGTCGTGCCGCAGCTGCTCCGTCAGCCGCGCCAGCTCCGCCGCTAGCCGCTCGTACACCGGCGGCGGCAGGTCTTCGCCCTCCGCTTTTCTTCCTGATGATTTCTTTTTTCTCTCCTCCTGCTGCAGCTGCTGTTGTTTTCGCCCAGCGGACTTGTTCACGGCCACTGAGGCCAGCGGCGGTGTGCTGCGCAGAGCGCGCAGTTGTCGCGCCACGTAGTCGCGTCGCGTCAGCGCTTCCAGCAGTGGCAGTTGCGCCTCTAACCGCTGCAGTTCTGCCGTCCACGCGCGTTGCCGCGGCTCGTGTAGTGTGCCCTCTTCGGCGCCGCCGCCTTCCAGTGAGTGTACGTAATCGAGAAAGGCGTGTCGCTCGTCTGGCGGGACTTCCAAGACGTCCCACAGTTGCTGCAGACGCTGCTGATCCTTCTCTCGCTGCTGCGGTGATGAAGGTGCCGATGGAGTTGGCGGGTGTGGTGAAGGGGGAAGACGAGACGCGGCCGCCTCCGCAGACTCAACTGGCCCAGCCGGTGAGAGCGGAGGCGGGGTCGTGCGCCAACGAAGAGTGGGGGAGGCCGGGGGCGGGGTGACGTCTCGGCTCACGTACGGCGGCAACGGCGTTGGGGTGGAGGTAGATGGCGTAAAGGACACGGTGCGCTGCTGCTGCTGCTGCTGCTCATCATTGTCATCGCCCGGGTGGCGCACCAGAGGCAACAGCTCTGACATAAAATGCCGCTCTGCCTCCTCCAGCGACCGCCGCGCCACCGCCTCGCGTTCCTCCTGCAGCTGCCCCACCGCCTGGTCAAGCAAATGCCGGTATTCGTGATCCAACGCGCGGTAGGCCGCGGCTTGTTGCTGCTCTTGGGTCACCTGCAGCTGGGCTATCTGCACAGTCAGCGCTTCCACTGTGCTCTCCGCTGCCGCACGTTGTGCTCGCTCTGCCTCGAGCAGCTTCTTCCATTCCGCCTGCTGCGCATCGAAGGCGGCTTTCAGCCTCGCGCATGCGTTGTTGTGCTCGTCTCGAATCTTCGTTGTTTGAGCCGTCAGCGCCGCCTCGTGCTGCTGCTGCAGACGTGCCAGCTGTTCCTGCTGACTTCGCTGCTGCTCCATCTGCGCAGTTTCCTGCGCCGCCAGTCGATCAGCGAGTTGCGTTCGCTGTTCCTCTGTGAACTTCCCATACGCCTTCTCCATCGCCGCGCTGATGCGCGTGGCTTCCGTGTGCACTTGCTCGTAGAAGGAAGCCTGTAGGGAGGCGTACGACTTATTCCGCGCCTCTAGCGCCTCGCGCAGACTCGCCAGACTCCGCTCGTACTCCTGCCGTAGCGCCGCCTGCTGCTCCTCACGGATGCGCTGCGCCTGAGCGTGGACGTCTGCCTCCTTGCGGATCAGCTGTGCCGCCTGGGCATCACATTGCTGCTGCAGTGCGTGCAGCTGTCGACGATGTTCCTCGTCTGCCTCACGCCGAGCGGCTTCCGTCACCGCCTCCCGTGCGCGTTGTGCGTCGCTCGCTTGCTGGTGGGCGTGCAGGAGCGCCTCTTGCGCGGCGGTGCGCTGCGCTGCCAGCTGCTCCGCCTGCTCAGCGCGAAGGACTGCCATCGCCGCTTCATGCGACGCCACGACCTTCTTGAGATGTTCCTCCTGCTGGGCGGATCGCTGTTTGAACTCCTCCCGCAGCTGCGTCGCCTGTCGCTGCGAACGTTCCTCGCCGTCCTGCCGCAGCTTCGCTAGGTCCTTTTCATGATCCGCGTGCAGCTCGGCCAGATGCTGCGCCGTCTTCCTTTCCTGATCTTGAAGCACGGTGAGGTACACCTCCCGCAGCTCCTGCTCCACGCGCCGCCGATCGGTTTCTGTCGCCGCCAGCGCACTCACGGCACCCTGCGCCACGCTGTCAAGGCTTGCACCGGCGACCTGGATCCTTTGCTGCTGTGCGGCGTCCCACTCACGCTTTTCGCGCTCCAGCACGTCTCGCAGGCGATCCGCCGCCGCCGTCTCGTAGGCGTCCAGCGAGGCGGCTCGTGCGGCGGCCCACGCCGTCTCTCGCGCGAGCATTTCCTGGCGAAGCACCTCGCCGTGGTGCTCGTGGCAGCTGCGCAGGCTCTGCAGTTGCGCTGTGTAGTAGCCGCGGAGAAGAGCCACTTCGCTTTGGTGGAGAGCCTTCATCGACTCCATCTCCGCCGTCCGTGCCTCCTGCCACGTTGCGTAGCGCTGCCGCGCTTCTGCTTCCATGAGCTGCATCCAGCGCTCCTGCGCGTCGTGCAGCTGCGCATCGAACTTCGTCTTCTCTTCCTGTTGCACCGCAACACGAATTTCGTGCGCACGACGGAGTTGCTGCTTCGCCAGCGCGTCTTGCTCTTCGCGCAGCCGTGCCTCGCCTTCCTGCAGCAGGCACTGCTGCTCGGCGCACTCGGCCGCCACGTGCTGCCGGAGTGTTTCTAAGAGGTCATGACGCTCGTCGGCGCGACGGCGCTGCCAGTCGGCCTCTGCCTCGGCCAGCTTCTCCTCCCGCGCCGCAACGGCGTCTTCACGACGCTGCGCATGAGCGGTCAGATCGGCCTCCGTTTGACTCCTGCGCTCGTCGTGCTCACGCTGCAGCTGCTGCAAGGCCCGCTTTGCCTCTTCCTTTTCAAGAACAACGGCTTCCTGCAGTTCCCGTTGATGCGCCTCTCGCTGAGCGGCACAGCGAGACTCCACCGCCTCCTCGCGCCTTCGCACCTCCTCCAGAAGTGTCTGTCGCAGACGCCCGTACTGGGCTTCCAGCGCGTCCCGCTCGTCCGTCTGTCGCTGCTGCGCGTCCTTCAGTCGTGCGGACCACAGTGACGTTGTTGCGTCCACGGCCTGGCTCAGCTCCGCGGCGTGCTGGCGCTGTGTTTGCTGCAATTCCTCCTCCAACTCCACGATGCGGTGTAACGCGTGTGCGCAGGTGGTGGTGGTAGTGGCAGCGGCTGCAGCGTTGTTGCACGTTGACCCCGATGTGGCTCCGCTGCCGTCTTCTCCTTCTTCCACTGCTATTGCTGTTGTGGTCGTCCGTGCTTTGTACTTCTGCAACGCGGCTTCGTAGCGCGCGTCGAGGTCACGCAGCTGCGCCGCAAAGCGCTCTTCCTGTTCGCGCCCTACTTCCAGCTTCGCCGCCTCATGCAGACACTTCTCCTCACAGAGCTGGTCCTTCAGCGATATCACTTCCTTGAAAAGCGATTCTTTTTCGTCTTCGAGGCGATGCACCGCCGCTTTAAGCCGATCCTGCACCGCATCCGCACGCCCATGCTGCTCCTCGCGCTGCTGCGCAAGTTCGTCGCGCAGCGTGGAGAGCTCGGCGTCGTACTGCACCATCAACGTTGCTTCCTTGCTGTTGTACGCGACTTGCAGCTCGTGAAGACGCTCTTCGTGTTGGAGTGTGAGATGGGCCAATGCCGCACGGTGGCTCTCTCGCTCCTCTGCCAACCGCGTCTGCCAGCGCGCCTCCGCGTGCGTCTCTATGGTGCTTTGTTGTGCCGCTATGGCCTCCTGCGCGTGCATGGCCGCCTGTCGCCCTTCGCGCTCCACCGCCTGCTTCTCCGCTACCACACGACTCACTTCGCCATGGAGGCGTTTGATGACGTCGGCGTACTCCTGCTGCACCCGCTGCACGTACTCGGCCGTCTCCTGCGCCGCGGCCGCGTATTCCTCCGCGAGCTGTTCGTATGAGTCCACGTATTCCCGGCCGACCGCCGCCTGCCGCTGGGCATGTTCTTTTAATAGGTTTTCACGCAGCTCCGTGATGTCGCGCATCGCCACGTGCAGGGTCTCCAGTTGGCGGCGGCTGGACTCCCGCGCTGCTACCTCCCCGGTTGCGATCATGCGGGCGTGCTCCTCTTTGAGAAACTGCAACCACTGCTGCTCACGCCGTGCCGCCTGCGCATCCATCAGCCGTGTGCGCTCCTCCATGTCCTGCTCGATGATGGCGCGGTATTCAGCCTTGAAAGACCCCACCTGGTCCTGCACTGCCGTGGCAATGGCCTGAAACTGCGCCGCCTCTGTCTCGACGTTGTGCTGCGCCGTGGTGACTAAGTGCCGCTGCAGCGCGTGCTTCAGCGTCTCCTGATGCGCCGCGCACGACGCTTGCAGACGACCCAGCAAGGAGGTGGCACAGTCGTCGCGCGTCTTCTCCAGCTCCGCGGCGCAGCGCCGCCACTCCTGCGAGACACGTTGCATGGCCGCCTCCAGGTGCTCTGCGCTCGCCACATCGCGAAAACGGATCAGCTCTTCATAATCGGTGAGCAGCTGCGCGGTTTGCGCCACGACGTCGTCGTCGGTGCGGCGCTGCTCGGCCTCCGCACGCAACTGCCGCGTGCGCTGCTGCAAGTGGGTCTTCTTCTCGTAGCTGTAGAGGCGCTGCACCTCCTCCAGCTGTCGGCGCGTGCGGTTTAGTTCGTCCTCGAGGCTCTTGTGATGGTCGATGGCCGGACGAGGCATGACTGTCGTTGCTGGGCCACTCTCTTCTGATAGAAAGCGCACAACATCGGGTGAGCTCGCCTCCATTCGTGGTGCTGCAGGCCGTGCGTCCGGTGGGGACATGTCGATATGCACCGCCACGTCGCGATGCTGAGAAGCAGGACGAGGAAGGAGAAGAGGCGGGCGTGCATGCGTGCTGGACGGCGAGGTCGATTCCCGCGGCGAGGCCGTCGTGGAGCCGGCGAAGGAGGGAGCGGCCGTCGTCATACTCGCTGGTGGAGACGTCGATGAGCGAGGCGCCACTTGACGGTCCGCCTGCGGTGGCGACGGAACACGCGGACTCGGTGACGAGCCGGCGAGGATCGAAAGTTCGTCACCTTGTTTCCGCCGCGGTGCCGCAGCGTCGCGACTGCGTGAACGCGCGGCGGCGGCGGCGGCGGCGGCGATGAGGCGGGCGTTGGCCTGGTGAATACTTGAGACAACATTCAAGTCGGCAGACGCGACGGCTGGCGACGGCCGCGGTCTTCGCAGCGGGGGAGGCTGCGCGTACGACATGTAAGCCGTGTGCGGCTCACTATTCCAAAGGAACAAACGACGGCACACCTAAAGAGGGGTAATATATATGTATAAATATTACAAAAAGAAACCAGGCTTCAATCCGTTTTCAGGTGTGCCACTCAAGGCGATTAGAAATGTATCGGGGTGTATCTATGGTATGGTATGATGGATCCACCCACACATGGGGATCCTATGGGTGTGCTTGTATTTGTCTATTTGATTGGAACGGAGAAGAGGTCGGGTTTTTTTTTCGGTACCTTTACGATTTGCCTTGCGAGAGATGATGTCAGCAGAAACGCGACTGTCTCTTTTTTTGTGGTGAGAAGAGTCTTGAAAAGGAAGGGAGAGAACAACAAGAGCAACAGAGAAAGAAGATGATGAAGCGAGAGCCGGTTTTCTTGTATTTTCTTTTTGATATCTCAAACCACATCTGGATTCCTGACATTCACCAAATGAAACAGCAGCAAGAGCAACAGAAGAGAACGGGATCATTGAAAAACAAACAAACAAACCCACAACGCCTCATTGTTCTCTCCCTTCTCTTTTGTTGTTGAGATTGGCTGCAAGGGCAACCACATCTACCTTGTGCTTCGGCTTTTGAATGGCTCTTGCTCGTGAAAAAGAAAAGGAAAAGGCGGTCGAACTACGCATGCACACACACACACAGCCGTAGACGTCATTTGCATATCTATATTGTCTGTACTGTTTCTTTTATTGCGCCTTCTGCTCAGCTTTTCGGATTCACCTTTCCGCTGCTTCAGCACCGCAGCACACACACAGACACACACACAGACAAACACACTCCACATCTTTCCGCTGACGCCGTCGCACGTATGAGTATAGAGAAGACAACAACAACAACAAAAAAATACAAATAGAAAGATCGTGGAGTGAGGAGGGAGAGGAGGAAGAACACACACATATATATATATTTATGACGAAGGTATTGTTGAAGGCGTACACAACAGGGGTAGAAACTAATGAAAGAGAAAACAATTAAGAAAAAAAGTCGGTATCTTAAATTCGTCTTCAGAAAACGCTTCGTTCGAAGCAAACAAACAAACAGCAACTGATCGAGAAAATAAAAGGAAAGCGTTACAGATACAAAGTACACACACACCAAAGGTCACGGCCAGCGTGTATCGGATTGCTGGGTGGGGTCACCATCGTCGTGCGTCACGGTTCCGCCTTTCTCTCTCCCTTTATTATTATTATTACTTTTCATTCCCTCTCGGCCCTCCGCGGGGATTATTCGGAAAGAAGCTGACGCGTTATCCAGCTCGGTAACTAGCCCGACAGTGTATCTCGTCAGAATATCGAAGGAGCCGCATGGGTGGGTGGGTCAACAATGCACTTTGAGAGAAAAAAGTAAACCCACACAAATATGGTCGAGACCGAGAGGAAATCAAAAAGAGAACGAGCTGTGAGGCGAACCCGTCAACGAAGAATACTAATAATAAAAAAGAGGACCATTGCGGCTGACAAAGAAGAAGAACAGTATTCATGAAGATCCATATACGCAGAAACGCACAGAACGGAATAAGGAAAAAGAAAAAAGAAAAGCAAGCAACCTCAGATTAATCTACCCTGTTGACTGTATTAATGATGAGACCTGTTCCTGGCTGATGCACCCGAGAGGCGCACACACACACTGTCATCACAACCAAAGATCGCAAAAAATGGTTTGAGTTCGTCAGAAGTCTTGAGTGCAGTCAGAAAGTTCGGTAATCTACGGAATATCTACAATGAATCCTGGTAGGTGAAGAACTGCTGTCCATTTGGCCTCTTCTTTAGAGAAAAAAAAACCCTGCAGTCAGAAGTACCGCTCTTCTTCGTTGTTTTTTTTTTTAAAGTAAAGAGAGAAAGAGTGCTTGATGTGAGCCTTTGCATTTCCAATCGACCCTCAGCGCGTATGAGCACTGCCGTCGTCATTTCCTCAGCATTCGGAGATGCGCTCCCTGGACTGTCAACCGTCCTTACCCCCCCCCCCACCCCCACCACACACACATGGACACATGGACATACGTGCTCACTAAACCCAGCATCAAAGAAACACTACGAATAGTACTGCAGCCCGAAAAATGTAGGCACCCAAGGGCCAACACACGCACAGGCACAGGAGAAGGGCGGGTGACGTCGATCAATGAAGGACGGGAAAAAGAAAAGAAGATTACACCACACAAACAAACAAACAAAAATATTACTTAAAACACTATAGAGGGAGGAGTGGCATTACGGAACCTGACAGGCGAGCTACTGAGGATGGTAAGAGTCCAGAATAGCTGCACACATGTTAATTAACGAAACAGAAGAACGAAAGGAACCGAAAAATAATAACAATAGCAAAGAAAAACAGAACACAAAAGAAAGAAAGAAAGAAGCTGAACGGTATTTTCTTTTTTTTGCCCAAAACATAGAAGTTGAGAATAGCAAAAAAAAGAGATATCGTTCTGCTGATCAAAAGAAGAAGAAGAACAGAAAGAGGGGAAGAGTTCTCATATACAAGTATATTTTATATAGTATATACTCTTATATATATCACCAGTCAAAGAGATGAATCAGAACAACAAACCCAAAAGTAAAAAAAAGAAAACGTACTCGCTCCACTTCTCCTTGTGCACACTCGAAGTACGAATACACAATAGTAGCAATACATAATTGTCGGGACGTCGTTTCACTGCCCCCCCGTCTTTCTTCTTTCTTTATTTTCTTTGGCGGTCTAGTGATCTTCACGCAGCGGCTCCGACGCAGCGGGGTGGTTCTCCCTCGCGTGTCCCTCCTCCTCTTCCTCCTCCTCTGCGGCTGCCTGCACCTTCTTGCGAATCACCTTCCCGTCGATGTCGATATCGTCCGATATCTTCGCCGCCGGCAGCATCAGCGTCAGCGGGAAGATGAGCAGCGGGCACGCGAAGTGGCCCACCAGAATCAAGTAGGGCACGTTCTTGAAGTCGCAGACGTTGTTCGCCACGTCCGCCACCACCGGCCACCCAAGCTCCATCACCAAGGCACCGACGGAGTTCGACAGCGCGGCACCGAAGTTGCCGAGGCTAGACATGACAGCCATCACCATGCACTCCGTGCCGCGTGGCAGCAGCCGCGACAGCAGCAGCACAATCGGCATGTACGAGAGGTAGTAGCAGGTTTGGTAGACGATCTGGTCGCCCAGGATGTACATGGCGTGGTCCGGGATGCCAATCGCCACGTTCCAGCGCTTGACGATGATGAGGTCGAAGATGGAGGCGATGATCTGCACTATCGTCGCAACCACCATCGTCACGCGGTAGCTCATCTTGGAGAAGACGTAGGTGAAGAGCGCGACCCCGATCAAACCGCCCACGTTGCCGATGATACTGCCGACGGTGGTGTAGAAGGTGTAGGTGAAGTGCGGCCCCTCGGGCAGGCACGATGCCGGCGCCATGTAGAAGCTGTCCAGCGCCCCCGGCAGCTGCAGGTAGAACAGCTGCTGCAAAAAGATATACACATTCGCCTTGGCAATCGCGAGCGGCAGGGAGTAGAACGCGAGCAGGATGCACACGACGGAGACAGCAATCGAGCAGTAGAGGAGGTCGTAGCTGTTCCCGAGAACCGTGACGACCGTCATGGCAATCACACCAGCGGTCATGACAACACAGTACAACACGATCTTCCAGTTGTCGGTCACCACGGTGTGGTTCACTTCGATGATGCCGAGAAGAACGCGGGTGATGCGGGGCTCCTCGCGCACGACCTGATCAACGCGGCGCGGCGGGGCTCCGTCGGGGTGGGCGGCTGCGGTTGGCGGAGGGTTGTTGTTGTCCAGCTCGTCCTCCAGCGCTGCCGCCACCACCGGCGCACGCGGCGAGTCATTCTCCTCGTCGTCCGCGTCTAGCCTCTTCACCACGACACCGCCGCTGTCGTCGCCCTCTTCGTTCTCCGTGGAGGAGGACAGACCGTGCTCCTCGTCCCAGCGCCGTGCCTCGATCAAGGCCTGCTGGTAGTTGTTCTCGCAGTCCTCCAGTCGCTCCTTCTCGTTCGTCTTCTCCTGCAGCCAGTTCATGGCGAAGAAGGCGGCGGGCACGAGCTGCGCCACGGCGGCGATGTACATCCCCACCTGCTGCAGGTTGCGGTCGGACAGCGGGCCCTGCACCCCGGCCGAGATAATTCCTCCAATCATAATGCAGCTGTAGACGACGCCGACCAGCGGCGGGCCGGCGCGGGGGGACTTACGGAGCAGACGGCTGTACTGACCGGCTACCAGGATGATCACATTCGCAATACTCCACACCGTCAGGAACATGAAGGCGGCTCCGGTGTTCGCAGAGGACTGCTGCGCCGGCAGCAGCGCGAAGCCGAGGGCAAAGGCGAAGCCGAGCAGGCAGGAAATCACCAGGTACCACCGCTTCGTGTGGAAAACGAAGGCGAAAGTGTCTGTGAAGACGGCGGTGAAGGCCATCAGCGACCAGCCCAGACCTGCGATGCCGGCCAGGCGCTGATAGCGCTCAGCGGAGATGCCGAAGCGGGAGCGGAACATGGCGAACTTGGAGTAGTTGATCAAGTTGTTTGCCAGCCCTCGCTGCATGAAGTTGCAAATGGCGAGCATGCTGGGCACCTTCGGTCCGAGGTACTGCACACTGCGACCGTAGAACGGGATGCGGAGGATCACCGGGGCGCAGTTGGCGATGCCCATCGACTCCGGATGCACGTAGTCCTGCTCGTTCGTCACCAATGCCTTCTGGTGGTAGTCGCCGCCGCCGGAGGGAGCGCTGTCGTTGGGCGTGGAGGAGCTGCTCTCGTCCATGATTACCTCCGCCGCCGGGGAGGTGCCGCGGTTATTGGAACGCATCGTTTACTCTCCCTTCCTTCCTTTGATTCGCCTCTTCTTTTATCGTGTGTCGATGTGTATGTGGGAGTATCTTCAGCGTGACGTTTGGGAAGGACTTCTACGGAGGCCCAACGGTCGGGAAAAGAGAAAGGAGAGGAGGAGGGGGGAGGGGGAATTGGTGCCGCAAACACACAGATTTCTAACAAGTGCAAGGACGCATCGCGTTAGATGCTTTCATAAAAAGGCTACGTAGGAGGAGGAGGAGTTGTCAGCGTAACGCTGGCACTCACACACTCGTGATAGCGCGCTTCCTGTCACACACAGACATACGCCTACTCATAGTAAAAGCACGTATGCAAGTGGTGTGCAGCGGTGCCGCAGAGGACGCCTGTTTCCTCTTGTCCGGAAAACGAGAAAAGGGAGAGGAAAGAGCAGCAACGACAAGAAACACCATCGTATTGAAGACGCACTCCTTGTCGTGGCTTTTTTTTTCGCCTGATACACTGAAATGCATGCACTTCAGGGAGACGCCCGTCTTCGCTGTCTCCTCTTGTTTCTTCATTGTTATTATTATTTGCTTGGGAGGGGAGTGGTCTCACGTGCTAAAGGCACCTGCACCCCCCGAACGCAACCCCCGCACAATCGCGCCATCCAGCATCGTGAATGAGCTCGCCGCGTCGATGAACGACAAAAGGGGGAGGAAAAACAAAAGTTACAACACAGCGCAATAATGATGAAGACACGAAGGAAACGAATTACAAAGAGAAAGGCATATATATCTATATATATATATATAAATAGATAAATAGATAGATTGAAAATGAAGGAGAGAGAGACACAAAAGGAAAAAAACGATGTTTCCTACATCTCCCCCCTGTGAAGAGCTTCTTTTTCATTTCCTTTTCAGCTTCACAGGACCGCAGATGCAGATATATAGATATATACGAAACGATGATCGGAAGATGAATGAAATGAAAGGCAAACAAACTAACCAACAGCAGCAACAGCGCACAAGGTGATTCCTTTTCTTGCTTTCAAAAAAAAAAAACTTACTGCTTTTATGTTGCAGTACGTTTTGCGCAGTACACACACACACACACACGCACGAATAAGGACAGTAGCGTAGCGTTGAGAGGCAGAGAAAGACCCCCCGAGCAGAGGAGAAGCGGCCATCAAACAAAGAATCAGCGTCTGAACAAAAAGGAAAATAAAACAAAACAAGTAAATGAATGTACAAAGGTAAAACTAAAAAAAAAATAAACACAGGAGAATCGATACCGCATGTAAAGAAGAAGAGGAAGGTAAACGGCGCTTCACAATGCGCTCTTCTTCTGCGAGTGGCCGAATTCGTTTTCGCGTGTGTGTTCACCGGTGCCTGGATGCGGTGAAGGCGACACGCCAACAACAGCAAAAGAAAGCAGTGCGTGGCACCATCGAGTGCAACAACACTAATAATAACAAGTAAACAAACCCAAAGCACGCGCCAGCATCACACCCAGCATAACCACCACCTCCACCACCACAACTGCAGCAACAAGGAAGAAGTGTAAAACATAAGATCTGACGGCATGTGCACTCCTCGTACACGAGAAACTAGAAAGACAAACGTACTGTGGCAGTTTTCTCTTTGTTTTTACTTTGCTTTGCTTTTGTGTTGTGTCTTGCGCTCTCGAGTCCGTGTACAATCGAGGAATGAGGGCGAGGAAGAGCAACAACACGAGAAAGAAACAGAAGAAGACGAAGAAGAATTCACACGGAGGAACTAAGAAGAAAAATAGTAATGCAGAAGAGGAAAAACGGAGGATTGGCGGCAGCCGTTCGCCTCTACGCGCAGGGATGAACGGCTGCCGCGGAGCTCGACAGAAAGTCCCTACGCGATGTGCAAGAGGGTAACACGTCTCTGCTTTCATTATTATTATTATTTTTTTTGCTTCGGTGGGAGTACGCGTGGAGAACAGCAAAAGAGAATAAAGAACGACGAAGAGAGAAAACCAGGAAAACACGCACGCACGAAATCAATGGCGGAGAAAAAAAAGAAGAAAATTCAGTAAAGAGAAAAGGAAAGGGAAAAAGGCGAAGTGTGTGCGTGTGTGTGTCGCTGCGTACACCGATGCGGCTACGCCGAGAGTCGTCGTGACGACGCCCGAGGATGGGTCCATGACGTACACCACGCAACGAGTGATATTCCATATAAAACAGTTCCAACAAGGCACCCAAGCGCGGAACGGCAACAGGTCAAAAAAGAGAAAGGAAAGGGTTGCGCACGTTTCGAACAAGCTGGGGCGGCCAGTGATGCGCCGAGCTCGTCCGCATCGACAACGCCGGAGCGGAAGAAAGGAACTAGAAGCGAAAGGAAAGAACAGAATCATCGCTTGCGCACCAAGGCACACACACACATACATACAAAGGATCAATGTTTTATTTTTTAGAGGTACCACTGGCTAGGCGGAAAACCTAAAAATACGCACCAATACATATAGAAAAACGGGAATGCGAATGCTGAAAAGGATAAAGAACAACGAGGACAGATATGCGGGGGCGAAACGCATTCCTTTGCTCGTCAAGACTTGAAGAGGGGCGCCGCAGCTGAATAGGAGTCGCCGAATCATTTCTTGCATTTTCCACTGCTTCCCATTTGGAAGTGTCGATGGAACACAACTACCGGACCCACAATGTGAAGAGAGACAGGAAGAAAAAAAAGCCTGCATCCCCCCCTCACCCCTCACCCATCACTGCCCACACACGCACACGCACACGCACACGGATATACGAGCAAAGTACAGCTGGGACAACCAAACCCGCGGTGGTGAGCCCATCGAACGTTTGTCTATGGTGGTGAGGAGGCGGAGAAGATAGGAAAAGGAGAAGGGGGAGGGGGAAAGCCAAACCTGAAAATAACATCAATCGCAGAAAAAGCAGAGGTTTAGTGCTTGTATACGCATCTCAGAGGCATCTTTTGTATTTCCTTTGGTTACGTACCCCTGAGTGTCTACGTATGTGTGTGTATGTGTGTGTGTGTGTGTGTTGCAGCACGAGGGAGCTGTAAAAGGTCTAAAAGCGGCGTAGCTTCCGAATATCAACGGTGTATATCGGGTGGATACATCGGCAGCAGTGATAGTGGCCGTGACGGCGAGAGAAACCAAGCGAAGGAAATATCTTCAACAACCACAAAAGCACAGACACACACACACGCTCAGAAACAAAACAAAAATCAAACAAACAAGGAGCTTTGAGAGATATCCGTAGAGGAAAGATAACGAGGAAAGAAAAAGCAACGGCTAGCAGGGTAGACCACAGGCATCTGCGTGTATTTATCAAAGGACCTATCCAGCAGCGTCTGACTTTCGAGGCCGCGGGGTCGGAAAAGAAAAAAAAAACAAAAAATGTCCAAGTAAGGGACACACTGCCGAGAATGAGGTGCGGAGGCCACAAACAACAAATAATAACAATAATAATAATAAAGAAGGGTGATACATCATGTGTGTCAATAATAATAATGATAATAACCAAAAAAAACAACAACACACACAGTGAAAATGAGAGAGGTGGGCGCAAATTCCGCCGCCCCGCCTTACCCCCCCCCCCACCCCACCACACTTCCTCTTCCGTTCTTGCTGCAATACAGAGTGGCGAAAGCGTGACGGCGACGGTACGAAGGAAGAAGAAAAAACACACAAAAAAACGCGCATAGAGGAAAAAACAGAAGGTACTTTAAAACCAAAGCAAGACAACGGAAAAAGAAAGAGAAAAAACCATGATCGTTCTAAGTACATCGGTGATACTAACAAGGGAGGTAGCCACGCATTACGTATGCCACGTTGGGTGCGCGGCGGGTGCGTTCACGACTTTGCCGGACGCCAACGCCGACTCCTCCTTCCACGACGCCGTCGCAGAAGGCCCGCGCGGCAACGCGCCGTCCCGCAGACTTGACAGACAGAAGTTACCCGGGCTCACACTAAAGCCGCGGTCCGCCACTGTCGACACCGCCCGCACAAGCCGCGCAAAGTCCTCCAGGTGACACTCACACGCACGTTGATCTTCCGGCGCGGTGGGCAGACCGGCACTGTGCACCCCGCGTTGGACTTCGCTCGCCGTGGCGTCCACCATGCCGAGTCGGGCGTAGAGGCCCTCCGCGATGCACCGCAGCAGCGGCACCGTGCAGGAGGGGATGTTGGCGTCGTGCAACGCCGTCAGGGTGACGCTCCCGCCGGCGGGCTCGGACGGGGTGAGAGAGTTGGAAAAGAAGGGGTCGTACACGCCACGAGAACCTTGGGCGGTGGTCGCTGCCGCAAAGCTGCTCGTTCCCTCTGCGAGTGCGGGGGTGTTCACCTGCGAGGCCACCGCTGTGGCAGTCGCGTTGTCCTCGCCGTCCTCGCCGTCCTCGTTGTCGTCCACCACCATGCCGTAGAACGCAATCCGAATGGCCTCGGCGGAGTAGCGGCCTTGAATCTTAAACGCCATTCGCGCCAGAAATGTTTCGAAGGGCACGGTGGGCATTGCTGCTGCTGCTGCTGCTGCTGTGTCATTATCTGCCAGGCTCCGTTTGGCGAGGGGAGGGGGTGGAATCGAGGTCGAAGCGAAGTAGCCGTCTGCTGTCGTGGGCCGCCCAGGGACGAGCATCTTTGGCAGAGATTCCCGCACTGGATGGGCGCTGAAAGTCGTGATGTTCGGGTCCGCCATCTCTGTTGTGTTGCTCTGGTGGCTGACGCCGTCGCCTTCCACAGTGGACTCCGTTTGTCGGGCGTCAAACGACGTGGTCCCCGGCAGGGCCTCTTCCATGCCACAGTGTCGGGCAACGGCCACATCCATCGAGTCCTCCGTGCCCACGCTGCCCACGCGGCGGTCCAACGGACTCGCTAAGGCGGAGACCGACTCCGCATCCGCACGTCGCGGGCTGTGCCTCTTCGTCGCCGCGCCGCTGTCGGACGCACCACACGGCAGAACCGATTCGTCATACAGACTGCCATGCGTTGCGGTAACGGCCGTAGCAGCGGTGCCAGTTGCGCCTGAGTTCCCCACGTGAAACTTCCCTGCTCCATCGACTCCAGCAGCGGCGGCGCCTCCGTTGTTGTGGTTGCTGATGATGTTGATGTTGCCGTCCGTGCTGCTTCCCCGCAGTGGCCCATTCACCGTTGCGGCGCTGGAGGCCTCACGCGGCGGACGCCGGCTCTGATTGCTGCCGGGCGCCCGCGTCGACGTCGTTGACGACGATGGTGGTGGTTGTAATGTTGCCGCTGCCGCTGATGCCGGACCTTCTAAAGCGATCGCAGTGGCAGGTGAAGACGCAGAAGGTGCCTTTGCCCAATACCGTGCGCACGGTTGCAGCTCCTCAAACAAGTCGAGCAGCGCAGCCCCGTCCGGAAAAGGAAAGGCCACCGTCTCCATAATCGTGGCCAGGTCATCCAAGGTGATCAGCGGACACTCAATACCGCCGCCGCAGCTCTCCTCCTTCGCGAGGCGAAACTCAGCCATAAACTCCTGCAAGTCGACAGAGTTCACGCTGAAGAGGGAGCTGACGTCGCTGGGCGTCGCCTCGCCGCGTTCCAGCCCCGACACGCTGCCCGTAAATGATGTATGTAGCCCCATGGCGCGAGACAAGGGGAGGTAGCTGGACGGGCCGCCTGCTGCGCTGCCGAAGCTGTGCTGGGGTAGTCCCCCGCCCATGTGGAAGCTCGAGCGTTGGAGGTAAAAAGGGGAGCTGAGTTTGCTGCCGGAGCCGTGGGTGCCGCGGAAGTTCGCCGTGTGGCCGAGACTTCCAGCGCTGGCGAGTCGAGTGTGGAGCGACGTCGTCGGCGCTGACGGCGGTGGGGCGCGCAGTGCCCGACTGTTGTTATTGCTGCTGTTTGTACTGCCGATGCTGCCCGTGTCAATGGTGAGCGCCGGGGCCGGCGAGGCGAACGAGCTCGTCGTAGTGATACCATTGTTATTGGTACTGTTGTCCTGCGTGTTGCTGCCGCTGCTCGGTATGGTGGTGGTGGTTGCTGTGGACTGCGAACTCGCGTTTGCCCTGTTCGCGTTGCCCAGCTCGCTGACGAGGTGGCTGCGTCCGCTCTGCCGCGGCTGCACAGGGCTGGAGCGGCCACGCGCAGGCACGTCCGCGGCAGCGACGGCGCCGCCACCATTGTCGTTGCTGTGCGGGTGGGTGGGGAGAGGCGTAACGAGCCGCCCCGGACGACTCCGCGGTGGCCGCTGTGGTTGCTGGTCTTGTGGGGGAGCAGCCTCAGCAGATGGTGGCGCAGGAGCACTCGCCTCAACGCCGTCGCTGCTGAGTCGAGTGTCGGTGATTGTCGTAGTGGCGGGTGTGGCTGCGACGGCCGATTCCTCTTCCGGACTACGTGTTCTGGGTGGATACGTGCCTCCGTGACTGTTCGAGCCCGGCACAACATCGCCGGCATCCGAAGGCAGCGGCGCGGGCCGCGACGACGTCCTCCTGCACTCCACGGAGTCTTTTTCTTCCCTGTTGACGTTGTTGACGGATTCGGACGGCGCTTCCTGCTGAGCCGTTGCGCACGGGGCCACGCTCGGCGGCTGCGGCACGGCGTGCGGGTTGAGGTGGGCTAGGTAGTGCAACGGATCCTCTGGTTGAACCGTCAAGACGTGCTGGTAGAGGTTGTTCACCAATGCCCGCACACGCGGGTTCTCGCGCACGAAGGCCTCGCCGCTCCCGTTGCCCATCGCCTCCATCTCCGACGAGAGGGTGCGGTGACGAGGAAGATTACCGCCGTTGTCGTGTGTAACGCGTCGCGATGTCGTCGTCGTCGTTGCAGCGACAGCAGCGGCGATGTCACCCGACGACGGTGGCGGCGGCGATTGAATGGGCAGGGGTTCCTGCCGGGCCTCTTGCGCGCTGCGGTCACCGCCTCCCCTCTGCACATTTGCGCTGCGACTCCGCAGTGCGCTGGTAGTGGTAGTGGCGGTGGTGGCCGCAGCGGACGGCTTCCAATCGATGCTGTCACCGCCGTTGCTGCCACCACCGTTGCTGCTTGGACTGCTGTGCCTTTCATCCCGCGCGACCCCACCCGTCAAACAGCACCGACGGGCTGGCGAGGTGATGGGGAGAGCGGTGACGTCCGGCTGGGAGGCCATCCGCGCTGGCGAGGTCAGCACGCACACCGACGATGCCGACGTCGCCGGGAAGGTGGCGGGCGCCATCGCACCCAGTTTACTCGGCTGCAGCGTCGGCGGAAGACGACTCGTCGATCCGCTGCTGTGACGACGTGGACGTTGTTGCCGCGGCGACTGCTGCGACGAGGCGTCTCCGGCACATTCCCCGGCTCCGTCGCCATCTCCCTTGTCCCAGACGGTGGTGGGGTCACTCAAGCTGCGTAGACGGGCTGGCGGGGCAGACGGGCTCGTTGTCGCGGTGACGGCGGCGGTGGTGGCTGTGTTGGCCTGTGACGCCAACCGGCCAGGGGAGAGCGCGGTGCTGCTCTCCGTGCGTGTCGGCAGCGACTGCGAGGGCGAGTTGGCCGACGGCCGTGCCGTGGGCGTGTTGGTCGTAGACGAAAGCGCCGGCATGTGAGGCACGTAGGACGTGGCGCGGTTCGACGGCGGGGACGGGTGGTGGCTGCTGTGGCCGGTGGAGAGGTCCGGGGTGTGGAGGGAGCTGACGCCGGGTGCGGCCGGCAGCGAGCTGGCGAACACGTCCTCAGTGAGCGGTGCGACGGTGCGGGATGGCCGGTGACGCGCCGCAGAGGGAGAAGGCAGTGCTGAGGAGGACAACGGACGCGTGGGGGCCGTTGTTGGTGCCGTCGTCGTTGTTGTGGTGGTGGTGGACAGAGTCGCCGGAAGCGGCCGCTGACTGCCTGCTCGCGTGCGAGTCTGCATGGATTAGTGTTGTAAGAGAGCAAGGAGCCGGCTTAAATGAAGTAGTTTTTAAATCCAACCAGACAACGCTTCTCGTAAATGAACACACGAAGCTCTCACCACAAAGAAGAAAGATACAATGCGAACACACACGCACACGCGCGAGAGAAACGGCCGACACAGAATCTTCCACTCCCCTTGAACGAAGTGCAGCGCCACACGCAGCAATGACCAATACTAACAATAATAGGAATAACAAAGCGAACAGTAAATACAGAAGGAGAAAACACACGAGCCTTTTTTTTTCTTCTTCTTCTTTTGTGCGATTGATGCAGAGTGTACGAAACGCGGAAGTACAACGAGACAGAATTTTGACGGCCAACGTATATACAGCCCAAGACGGCGATAGCAGAGGGAGAGAGAACGAGAGAGAACGAGTTGGAAGTTCGAAAAACAACAAAAAAGAAGTGTAATCAACACGAGCAACAACACCACAGAGAAGGAGAAAACGAGAGAGAAAAAAAAAAAGAAACAGCTTGAGTGCTGGAGGCAGGCGAAACGCGAAATGCGGGAAGCAAAGGAAGATGAAAAGGAAAAGAGAAACACACACACACACACGTAAAAAGAAGAGCTTGGTGCAAAGTGGGAAAAAACGGAGACACTTCCCCAATCATGCGCCGCTTCTGTTTGCTGCCACCTTGTCAGAGGGAAGGTCGCGAAGAAGAGCGCGAAAGGAAAAGGAAAAGTAAAAGAAAACAATGCAATACGCGGTGTCGGAGCGAGCGAGCGAGAGAGAGAGACACTTCGCCAACCTGAAGTCAAACCTAAAGAAAGAGCTGGGGGACTCGAGAGGGGAAATGGCCAAACGTTACCGAGCGTGTTGACGGAGAATAGAGGCTACGGGCGCCGGCTTCGTTGTCGTTGCGGTGTGGTGGTTCCGTATTAACTGGTCGGGCAGATCTTTCTCACTTCCATCTACTGTTAGCGTGGTGGAAGAAGAAAATACATAGGTTTGATAATTGTGCATTCCAGTAAATCAGGTGCGAGGCCAACACGTTAACGATTGTGTTGAGGGAGAGAGAGAAAGAGAAAGGAGAAGAAAAAGCCACAGTTGAAATCGAATTACGCCGACAGTTATTATACATCAATCTGTGTCTTCGCACTCACCCACACAAAAAGGCATGCGCTGATGTGCATGGAGATGTCTGAATGCAAGCGGATGCTCTCTTATGAATGAACCTCATTTTTTGTTTTCCTTCTCCCGTCTCGCGTAGCGTCACGGCGCGTTGCATCTTCACGCATCACATCATTATTCTTATTCTTATTCTTATTGTTGATGTGCGCAGTACCACTAAGAACTAAAATATCAAGAACAAAGAAAAACCAAGAGAAAGAGGACCCCGTCCATCTCTCGCGCGGCATATTCTGTTGCACCCACCCCCTCCCACCGTAGTCGAAGCTCACGTGCGCTGAAGTCGTACACCTCCGTGACATTCAACCGAAAGAAAGGTTCGCAGCGTAAAAATCACTGGAGAGTGCACCGTGCTCGTGCACAAGTGCGAGCAGGAGGAGCCATCAACGAAAAGGAAGAAAGAAAAAAAAGAAGTTGAAAGGCCCAAGCAGAGGGGCAAGTGATGAGAACTGGTAATGTGTTGGTGGCACACAGCGGGGGTGACAAGACCACCTAAAAACAAAACACATGTGAAACAGGGAAGAACACGTTGGGGAGAAGAGCGTGAAGGCGCGGAGACGGGCCGTGACAGCTCGCCACCCCCTCGCAGGATAACACAAGCAAGCAAACAAACAGCGATAGTAAGAGCATTACAGATAAAGAGTATGTGTACACGATAACGGCCATCAAGGGAAGAGAAAATCATAAAAAGGAATAAAAAATGCTTTCGTGCTGGACGAGAGCCGGGACCCTACAAGGTAGCTTTCCTGCAGTGCATGTTCCTTCAGTTTTCTTCTCATTTATTTGAGGCGCAGTAACGAGGAGGCTTCCCTCAAACAACACGTTGCCGCAGACGGCGATGAGGTACACCGCACGCTGCTGTTGGCTGTGCCCGCCACGCACCAATGCGCTCCGCATGCTGTACCGATTGCGGAAACGCAAGACCCCCCCCCCTCCAGAGACGGCCTGAGGAGACCTGCAATTGCACGCGGCAGCGCCGGTCGTTGTTGCAACGGTACACGACGCGCCGAGCGGGGGCTTGTGGTGCCTCCAACTCCGTGTACACGGTGCCGGCAAGAGCTCTGGAAGACCGCCACAATATGCGTATCGTGGAGAGACGGCCGCGAAGGCCAGAAGGGAGCAGGATGCCGGCCCGACCGTCGTTGCTGCCTGAGAAAGAGAAGCAACGAGACGGTGGCGGTGGTGGTGACAGTTACCTGCGCGTTGGCGATGCCCCTCCACCCCCACCTATCAACTTCTGCAGAGAGACCACCCGCCCGCAACTGCCGTCCCCGCTACAGCATCAGTTACAAAAAACAAATACGAATAATAACGGCGAAGACAGTCTCTCTCTCTCTCCATTTAAGAATAAGAGACAGCGGGAAGGATGCAGTCTGTGCTTTGCACCACCACATCGGGTCCTTCAGATCAACGTAGTTTTACTCTCTTTGTTTGTTGTTCGTAGCGTCTGTGGTTGTGCTTCGGGACAGTGTACAAATATTTATGCTGTTTGGTAGGGGTGTATGCGTTTAAAGAGCAGGCATTGAGGGTGGGGATGACAGAGGAAGCAGAGCAGCAAGAGAGTCGAACCCAAGCCACCTTGGCGAGTTCGATGAAATCATCTTTTCGCGGTTTTTCGTTCTTTTCAGTCATTGGCAGAGTCGCACACACACACACACACATACACACACACACACTTACACGCATAGGCAAACGCCGAGCCACGAGCGCTTCCATCTCTAGCAAATCAGGAACGTGTCTCAATCACCTCTATCAGTATATAGATATATGGAGTAATAACAAAAAGAGAAGGTAAGTTCAAGCATATTGGCCCGCGTCCGTTCGACGTGCCTGTATAGAAGAACGCCTTGGAGTTTGGACGAGCCGTTGTGGACTTCCCCACATTTTACAGTAAGCCAATAAAGGAGTACACACATCAAATCAAGGGGGGGAGCGCAATGCGAGTCGTACGTGGAGCCGGGACGCGTCGAAGGGGGAGGGGAGAGGAGGGGCAAAGAGCCGAAAAGAGAGGCGAAGCGCTTTGTAGCGGAGGAGAACGAAAAGAGGTCGTAGCAGGCGGACGACGCCCGATCTTCTCGGAGAAGATGCATAAAATCCAAAAACTTTTCGCCGCATCTCTTACTCGATTCCTCCACCTCTTCCGCATCCGCCATACTCGTCTGTAGTGGTCGCTTGCGGCTGCTCGGTAACGCACCGAGCAACGGAAAAAGAAATGGAAAAGAGAGGGCGAGATCGTAAAACAGAAAAACGTTAGTAGTAGTAATCATAATAGGAAGGTACATGCACGAATTGCCGAGACGGCATCTCGTGATATCGCCGTCGGGGAGGAAAACGAGAAAGGAAAACGAGAAAGGAAAACGAGAAAGGAAGACGTGTCCGCAAATACCCCCTTCATTGGGAGTACCGCTGGTGCGCGGGGAGCAACGAGGACTGTTACAGAAGAAAAGCAACTAAAAAAGACGGGGTAGTATATGAAAACAAAACAAAAAAGGGGGGTTAAGAGTCAAAAATGAAACCCAAAATGAGGCACCAAACATACAATTACCACACGTCTTCCTCTTGCGACGGTGACTCGAATATAGCTGCCGTTCTCCGGTAAAGGAAAAGACGCACCCAACAAGGCTGAGTGGTGTTTTCACAGCAGCGATCAACAAAACGCAGGCAAACGCACACGCACACACACATGCACACGTACGGACCCACGTTTTTGCGTCAGCACTGCTGCCTCTAGAAGGAAAGAACAGAGGGAGCAGAAATTACGGAAAAAGAAGAGAAAAGAAGAAGAACAGAACAAGGCAGAAGGAGGAAGTATACCCCACGAAGGGAGCAACTAAGACAAAGAAGAATATATCTATAATAGAACAACAAAGCTGTGGTTTCGTGGCATAAAAGTGGGTAATGAATGCCTGAAGCTCGGAGAAGGCAAAAACCAGGTAAACAAGTAAATAAATATATATAGATGTATATAGGAAAAAAGGAAACGGCACGGCACACGAACCTTACGGGAATCCGCGCTGAAACTAACAAGCAACGAAGACATTAAACTCCCCATATAGAAGAGAAAGAAATATAAAAGGAGAGAGCAAGAGGAGGAGGAGGGGGGAGGAAGAAAAAACAGAAATTAGTAAGCAAAAGAAAAAGGCACGTCGTGAACGAGAACCTTCTCAAAGGACAGAAAAGCAGAGAAGCCCACAGAGAAGGGGAGAAGCACGAGGGAAGGGAACCGGCGAGGGGTGCCGTGAATGACCGGCCCGCCATGAGAAAGAGAGAGAGAGACCGTGCGGAAACACTTCTTGGAGGCCTTGTTGTGTCGGGAGGTCCTCCCTTCCCGGGCACATCCGCACACTCAGCCTACGACTCTCGTCGTCCCCCGACCTTTCCTGCAACAGTCGGACTGCTATCAGTTTCTATCCTCTTAGCTGTCAGAAGAGGCGTCGCTCAGAGAGCATCCGGTGACGTCCAGAACGCGCAGCTTCGGCAGGCGCCTCCACGACTTGTCCAGCGTGCCGGTGATGCCGGTGTTGCCCGTTAGAATCAGCGCCGACACCGCCACGTCGGCGGGCGCCACCTCCACCGGCACGGCCGGCATCGTACCCTGCAGATTCCAGTACGGGATGAGCACCACGACACCGCCCAGGGAGCACTGCACCTGCTTCCAGAGACAGAAGTTCGAACCGGCCCACACGTTCTCGAGCTGGGCGGGGAACGCCGTGCGAAGGGCGTTGAGCACCGCACCGGTGGCGACACACTGCGCCGTGGTGAGGTAAGGGATGCAGTGGAAGTTGCAGGGGGAAGAAGTGGTTGTGGTTGTGGTTGTGGTTGTGTTGAAATCGCTGTTGGAAGACACTCCCCCATCAACTGTACTGCTGCTGTTGCTGCTGCTGCTGCTGCTGCCCACGAGGCTGTCACTGCTGTCGCTGCTGTCACTGCTGCCCACGAGATTGTTGCTGCCGCTGTTGCTGCCCACGAGGCTGTTGCTGTCGCTGCTGTCACTGCTGCCCACGAGGCTGCCACTGCTGTTGCTGCTGCTGCCCACGAGACTGTTGCTGCCACTGCTGTTGCTGCTGCTGCCCACGAGGCTGCTGCTGTCGCTGCTGTCGCTGCTGCCCACGAGGCTGCCACTGCTGTTGCTGCTGCTGCCCACGAGACTGTTGCTGCCACTGCTGTTGCTGCTGCTGCCCACGAGGCTGCCGCTGCTGCTGTTGCTGCCCACGAGGCTGCTGCTGTCGCTGCTGTCGCTGCTGCCCACGAGGCTGCCACTGCTGTTGCTGCTGCTGCCCACGAGACTGTTGCTGCCACTGCTGTTGCTGCTGCTGCCCACGAGGCTGCCGCTGCTGCTGTTGCTGCCCACGAGGCTGCTGCTGCTGCTGTTGCTGCCCACGAGGCTGTTGCTGTCGCTGCTGCCCACGAGGCTGCCACTGCTGTTGCTGCTGCTGCCCACGAGACTGTTGCTACCGCTGCTGTTGCTGTTACTGCCCACGAGGCTGCTACTGCTGTTGCTGTTACTGCCCATGAGAGTGTCACTGCTGTTGCTGAACTCTGAGGCCGACGAGTTGTGGGAGGGGAAGGACGTCGTAGTCGGGTCGGGGATGGGAGTGATGGGGGGAGCAGTGGTGCCGAAGTCAACGAAACTCAGGCGAGCCGCACCCGGCTTCGGCATGGCGAGACGGCCGTTGTGGGTGGTGGGGCTGGTAGGGCGAGGAGCACCATCCGTGGTGCCCGCAACGACTGACGGAGGGGAGGTCAACGCTTTCGCAGACGCGCCAAGGGCAAGGTGGCCGCATGCAACCGTGAGAAGTGCTGCGACGGTCAGCAGCCGCCACGGACGCGGGGTGCGACTCGACTTCGTCGGCGCTGGAGACATGCTTGTGCGTGTGTGTGTGTGTGTGTTTCCTGTTGTGTGGTACGTGTGCGTTTGACGCTAAAGCAACGGAGGAGAGCGCTAGCGGCGGTTTGTAATGGAACGCGGTGGGGCGGCGGTGAGGCTTAGGTTTAATCACACCGTGGATGAAGTTGCAGGCGAAGACGGCAAGCGAAGAAGAATCTAGCCCACCCGAACCGTACGTGTGCGTGTGTGTGAGTGGGGTGGGGTGGGGAGAAAACAACCAACCAAACAAAAAACGTCGTTAACCGACGGCACAAGGTTTTGCAGGAGCGGAGGAGGAGGAGAGCGGATGGGTAGGTGCGCGTGGCGCTGAGGTCCGCACATGCATATTTTACCTGGAGGGAACGCCGTGCAACAAGAAAAGAAAAAGGGAATTTGTAAGACCACCCGTGCAGCGGGGAAATTTATGTATACCAAAGCGACTCTGTTGTTGATTTCGTGTAGCCGCGAGTTTCACTAGAAGGACGGCCACCGTCCGCGAATTCGCCGTGCCAGCACGCACGGTAACCCGCTTGGGCCGAAGACGGGAATCTGCTGCGTAGGGTTTCGCTTGCTTGCTACTGCGTTAATCGGTGCATGCTAAGAAAAAAAAAAAACAAGACATTTAGTTTATAACGGCAGACCCTGAAGGCAATATAGGTACGGACGTGCAGCAGATGTGCTCGAAATACACTGTCCGCTTGCTGCTGCTACTGCCTCATCTCTGGCCTGCTCGTCCGGTTGCGGTGCTCAACCTGTACCTAGATAGCTCGTTCAGCCGGAGCAACAACAGCGGCCACAAAAGACAACAACGCAGTGCTTTAAAAAAAAAACCCTTTATCGTCCGCTGATGTGCACCTCCATGAAGCGGATGCGCTCCGTCCGGTTCGAGACGAGCGCGAACTCGTGAATGTACTTCCACACAGTCGGGAACTCTTTTTTGAGCGACACAATGAAGCTTTTTGCGTTCTCGCACACCGCGCCGGCGGTCATACCGCCGTGACCGACGCGGAAGAGCAGCTGACCTTGTCGCCGGCACTCAATCAAGCCGGCGGTGGAGCCCTGGGAGAGGCGGAAGGACAGTGTTTCGCGCTCATCCAGGCCTTCCAGTGGCGTAATGGCCTTCGCAGGGCAACGAACAGCCGTGCTGGGCACCGCAGCAGCTGCCGTCGCACCCGCCGAGTGGGTTGACCCCCCTGCCGAGGCCTTCACCGCGTCCACCACCGCGTTCGGAAGCTTCGCCTCAATGCGGGCGTCCACCACGAAATGGCTGAAGGTGGCTGCCACCCGCAGCGCCCGTTTCGCGGCCTCGGCGTCGCCACGCTTGCACACCGCCTCCGCCGTCACCACCGCATCGTAGTATCCGTGTCGCTTATTAACCTTTTGGCAGTCGTGCGAGATCACCTTCGGTACGATGAGGCAGGTGGTGCGGCCGTTCTTGACGTACACGGCGTGGGGCAGATGGAAGCGGTGCTGGCGCACGAGCTGCGGCGACTGCGCGATGACGACGGACGGAAGGATGAATTCGAGATAGATGCCCTCCTGGTCGGCACCGGTGCTGCTGCCGCTGCCACTGCTGCTGCCGCCGGTCTCACTGCAGACTCGCTGCAGTTTGTACAGCACCGCCTTGGTGATGATCAGCCGCTTGTCCTGCGGCATGTGTGTCGATGATGATGGTGGTGGTGTCACGAGTCGTTCCACTGCGTATGATGCTTGTATAAATATATATTTATATACTGTTTTGAGAAGACAGCGCGATTTGATGACGCGGTACGAGAGGAGTAGAAGGGAGGAGAGGAGAAAAGAGTGTTTGAAGTATTTGTGAGAGAGAGAGAGGGAGGGTGAGAGAATAATATCAAGAATAAAAAAACAGTTCCTGGAAACACACCCAGTTGTCCTACGTGCCTGCTGGCCAAATGGAGAGGGGAGGAAGCAACAACAACCTCAAATCGTCCGTGCGTTGTTTCCTAAGTTTGGCATGCCTTTTTCTTTTTGGATATGTTTTCTATACTGGGCGCTATTCGCCCTCTTTCTAGCGTAGGCTACTCATCGTCGCTTCGGCGCAGCGTCGACCAGCACGTCTGCCGTTACAGCGGCATTTCCATCCGCGTCGCGGCGCTCCACGAAGGGTCTTCTGTCTTCCTGGCACCAAGACGGCCCTCGTCGTCATCGGGGCTGCCGCTGCGTGGCCGACGGCGGCCTCCCGCTTCCCCAGCCGCCGCGTCAACGGCAACAACGTCTCTCTCACGCGCCCTGTCGCTCGCTTCCACCGTCGCGGACGACGCCGGCGACAACCCCACCGACGCAGCGTCCTTCGTGCTGGGCAAAAGTCCGTCGTGGAACTCGCGGGCCGCACCCGAGACACGCCCAATGACCGCCGCATCGAACGCCGTGAGCGATACGTCCGCCGCCCGGCGCACACGCGACAGCGCAACGTACGTCTCTGCAGCTGTGCCAAGCGACGCGTCCAGCGCAAGGCGGACCATCGGCAGCGTCAGCCCCTCCACATGGTACACCGACAACGCCCACGCCAGTTGCAGCGGCAGCTGTCGACGACGGAGCGTCAGCCGCCCCTCGCGGTCGCGCACCGACATGGTCACCGCCGGGACCACCACCGCCTCCATCCCTGTCGTGAAGCGCACCTTCGGCGGGGCGGGGCCGTGGGCTTGCGGCGCAAAGCCAACGACAATCCCCACATCACCGCCCGAGAGCTGCGGCGCGCCGGGCAGGGCGGCCAGCAGGACAACCTGCGCGCCTTCCTTCAAGGTGACCACGGCAGGCAGCGGCAGCTCGCTGTCGATGTCAGCGCCCGGCTCAGCGGCGTAGTCCTCCGAGGCGTAGCGCTGGAAGGCGACGGAGTCGAGCTGCTGCAGTCGCTGCGCGTTGTAGCGGTCGGCATCCGCGCGATGCGCCATCACGGTCGTCGCCTCTACCCCGCCCCGACTCTCCAGCCGCCGATTGACGCAGGGGGTCAGCACCGCCTGCACGAGCGGGGTGCACGCACCACGGCGGACATCGTCGCAGCACCGCGCAAACGCTTCGTCCGCCGCGTGCCGGTGGTCCTTTGTAAAAACTACGGCCTCCAGCTGACACGCCTGCCAGGCCGTACAGGCAAAGGCGGGTTGGGCCTCCTCGCCCGCACCGCTGGAGGGCGGCGGCAGCTGAAGGAAGTCCCCGACGACGACGAGCTGCAGCCCGCCAAACGGCAAAGCCGCGTTGTCCGCCACCATCACCGCCGGCGACGGGGACTTTTTCTCAGATAGCGGCGCACGGAGCACCCGCGCGAGGCGGTCCAGCAGCGCAAACGTGTGCGCCGGCAGCAGGTGGATCGCGTCGATCACGAGCACCTCACATTGCTGCCACGCCCGCACCACGTCGGGGCGGTTCTGCATGCGGTGCAGCACGACGGCGGGGTCGCCTTCACCGCGGCCGATGCCGGCAAACAAATGGACGGTGGTGCCGCCGATGCGACGGGCGGCGGCGGCGGTGGCGGCGGTGACCGCTACACGGCTCCTGCCAACGTCATCGTCGGTGTCACTGCTGACGCGCTCCTCTCCGTCGCTGACCGCGTCGTGTCCGTGTTCTTTGGAGGCGAGGACGTGCCGGAGGACGCAGCGGAGCCACTCCGTCTTGCCGGTGCCGGCTGCCCCGGTGATGAACACGTTGTGGCCGCTACGGAGCAGCTGCACTGCGCGGCGCTGTTCCGGGGTGAAGTCTTGTGTCGCGCTGGCCGAAGCGGAGGTGGACGTCACAAGAGGGGAGGCAGAGGCCGCAGCCCCGCTGCGAACGGGCGACGCTTTCTCCGCTGCTGTGCCCGTCGTTGTGGAACCACCGGTGATGACTGGCTGAGACGGTTCTTTCTCGCCTTCAGGTGCCGCTGCGGCAACCATTTTGTATCCATGCGCGCGAACTTCTGCCCCGTAGCGAGCGCCGTACGCGTCATCGACGCTGTCTGCATCGCTGTCCTTCTCACTCTCCTCGTCTTCCTCTCCGGCTCCTCGACCAGACAACGATGCCCGCAGAGGATCTCGCAGACCCACCGCACTATCGCGACCGCTTCCACCACCCCCACTCACGCCACCTCCGCTTGACACCTCAAGCGCCCCACCCCCGCCGCTCCGCGGCCCGCGCTGCGACTTCGACGCCACATTGCGCTCCATGTCCTTCCACCGCGACTTGTCCTGCAGTACCCCCGCCATCATGCGCAGCTCGTCCACGTCATCGGTCGTCTCAACGTACACGCTACACAAGCGGCGCTCGTGGGGCACCACCACCGTCAGCCTCCCCTGCGCCACGTGCGTCGACAACACACGCTGCAGCCGCGCCAGCTGGAAAAAGGTGCCCTCGTGCCGCTTGTGCCGACTGGAGCGCACGACGAGGCAGGGGCCGAGGCCGTTCTGGCGGGAAAGAAAGCATTCCGAGCCGCCCCACTGCCCAATGCGCTCACCGTCTTCCGCGAAGACGAGAACTCTGCCCCGGACGGCGCTCACCGTCGTCTTGGGCTTGGGCACGCGCACGCGCACCGCCATGGCCGCCATTTCCTTTCGCCTCTCTCTCGCCACACACACGAGGCGACCCGCTAAAAACAACAACAACAACACAAAAATTAAGAAAAACGCGCAACAGTTTATTCAGCTTCGGCTGCGACGGCGGACTTCGGTTAGAATGCGGGAAAGGCAGGTCCGCTCGATTCTCACAGCAAATGAACAGAGGAGAACAGACAGCGAATAGCTCCCTTCCTCCATCGATTGGAGCTGAACGTATGAAAACCGGAGGAGGGGGGTGGGGTGGGTGGGAGGAGTAGCGGCGAGTATAATTGGTCAACGTACTGTAGTTTACTTTATGAAAGAGGATCTATGTAAGTGTTGCCTTCTATGTGTGTCACTGCGCAAAAAAAAAAAAATGATCGGGCTTTCTTTTTTGGTTCCAAAGTGATGATAACTGGTGCGCGTGCGTGCGTAAGAGCTAGACAAAATCCAGTCTGGTGTTGATGAGGGTTGAAGTCAGAAAGAAGAAAGAGCAGAGCAGTGTACTCTGTGGTTTTCAGCGATGACAAGCGTCGATGCTAGAGGGTGCGTGCACGGGTGTGATGATGTGTGCCTTCGTACCGCATGGACGACGACAAGGAACAGCAAAAGACGGAAGAACGAAGGGAGGAGGGGGGAAACACAGAAGGTTGTTTGACGAAGAGAGAGAGAGAGAGAGAGAGAATAGC